GTGCCCCCGTCCCCACCACTTCAAGTGTCGTTTCCTATTCCCCGTCCAGGGCTGGACAGACGTTCCTTGTCTTTCAACCTTTTACCCCCCCGGACTTGCGTCATCCTAAAATCTGTCTGTCCGTCTACCTTAACTGGCACCTGCCCAGCTACCCCATACTGGCACTGCACACATGCCAGTCCTCTTACTAGTATAAGGGTCTGTTCTGCCCCCCTGCTCCCATGCCCTGCTGGCCCCGGGCATGCGACCCATGTCTTTGCAGTCCCTGCTCCCCCCCTCCCCCCAAGCCGAACATTCAGTCTTGCATGCTGCTGTACCGACTACGTCAGGGCCATCATCTTTTTGTTTTGTCTCTAATTTTGATTTTATCTTGACTCAAAACTCCTCGGACTGAAGCATCATTGCTGACGGCGTTCAATAGAGAACAGTCAATCATCCTGAACGCCTCAGTGTACACAGAGCACATCGCACCGACACACATCTCGAGAAGGTCTTGACCTGTATTACTCTGCCCCTGCGCGGCTCGTCCCGTGACCTCCTGTCTACGTTGTCCACCTCGCTAGGGTGTCACCCTGTCTGTTGTTGAGGTTCTCCAGGCTTACCATCACGTGGCCGCCCGGCTGGGTTTTTGACCAGCTATCCCGACTGTTCGGTTCAGCGCGAGACTTCGCTCGCGACCATCCACGCCGTGCTGGGAATCCCTGCGCACGTCTGCATCATTCATTGAATAGTCTCTACAGGTATGTGCAATGGCAGTGCTTGTTGTCCGAATCCCAATGCACGGCCGGCCGGCCGCTGCACGCAGTGTTCAAGGACATCCCATGATTCTTCCAAAGGCGTACAGGGTGCGAGTTTTGTGGCCTACCTTGCGCGCTATGCAGGCCGTAGGGCCAAGCAGCCTTATTTGTCCTGTGGCGTGCCTATACTGAAAACTACCGTGAGCTGACTTGGTATCTGCAGACACTTCTCGAGTAGCCTTTTGAGTCGTAACTATCTCGGTCTCACGACCTGGAGCGCCATCAACACAAACATCCGTAAGTTGGTGCTTGGAACACGTGGCTTCACTTTCTCCCCCAGTTCCTTGTTCGCGACCTTTGTGATGTGTTTGATCCTCGGGCTCGTGGGCTCAGAATTCGCCGTATCAGGCGTGGCTGGCTCAAGCTAATGGCTGCGACGGCCGAATTACACATCTGACCCAATGCAGCCGGCTTTCGAAACCGGACGGCTTACCCACGATGCGGCCACGACAAAAGATGCGCCGCTTCCGTCTAATCATGATAGCTGGCACCTCTGCGAGGCTGGTAGCAGTGGCTAACACGGTCTTTCCGAACAGATTGATCGTCCAGCTGTAGCCGTCGATATTGTCGTCTGCCCTTCTCTATGGGATTCGCAATGGCTCAACACCGGCAGCCTGCCTTCAAGGAGGAGCATTCCCCGGCTGATGCGGTAAGCTGCCTCTTTTCTCATCTTCCCGTGGTGATTTTCTTTTTCTTTTTCTTCATGATGCCGCCCTTTCTTCCCTCCCCCAACCTTTCTTTGAAGTCACCCCAATGGCCTTGAGTACCCGATAGTTCCGGGTTGCTTGGCTAGTATTTCTTGATTTACCTTCTCTCAATGTCGCGAGGTGGAAGACACACACACACACAGACACACACATACGTACGTGTAGCTGGGCTCATCTCAGCCTCCACATGCGTGTCCACACACATCCCAGGACCCCTGCTCCCCCGTGGCATGATGGCTATCGTGCCAGGCTGTCGTGTGGAATCTGGATTGTTTCTAGAAGACGGGGTTGCGGGTCGACAGGCCTGACCGGGACCGGAATTTGGGCAGCCTGCGTCCTGTGGGTGTGGCAGGGGAGACGCCTGTTTCAGCCGGGGGGCTTGCTGGCTGCATCCGACAAGGGCCTGCTAGTGCGACCCCAGGAAAAAAAAAAACCTTGGCCGTGGTCGAGACTTGGGGCCTCCCCTGCTAGCACTGTAGCGTGGGTACCGTGTACTCTGGAACTGGCACGAGCCTAAGCCGTGAAGTACGGGCAACGAGCGCATGGCACAGAAAGCTTCGACGCGTCATGCACTCGATGTTCCGTGCCTGAACTTCCCCCCCTCCCATAATCTTGTTTCTGGATCTTCCGTTTTCCGCACCGTCGTTATTTTATTATTAGGATACGACAGGCACTGCGCACACACATTCGTACGTTGCGACCGTTCTGGGGTGGTTGGCTAGAGAGGGCGATGGGAGAGACAAGAAACAGAGACAACCTTGAGAGCTTGCGAGTCCCGTATAGCGTGGCGCGAGGAGTCAAGCGCCCCCTTCCAGGAGGGTTGCCAGTCCACCGCGCCTCGTACTAGAGCGAGCGCCTCGGCAGATCAAAATGGCGCCTCTGGCGGGACCAGTCAAGCAACAGGAACAAGAAGGAGAAAAAAGACCCGTTTTTGCCGCGTCGAGTTGACCGCGCTGCATACTACACAGTACGTCCTTACAGGAGGGCAGGGTTTCTCTCCTCACTGGTCTGGCCCTTCACCGCAGCTGTTCCTGGGATCTTCTCCCGCCACCGCCGTCATGTGACCGAGACCAGTCAAGTGCTGTGTCGTGTGAGAAACTGTGGGCCTCTTCCCCATCTGAATAATGAGGGCTCGGAGGAAGAAAAGTCGAAGCAGAGCAGAGAAAGGCAGAGTTGCTTGGCCGGGAAGCGTACCGCCATGGCCCCCGGTTACAGCCTAGGGGGCATGCTCTCACACTTCCGCGGCCCTCCGTCGCAGAGCCGTTGTATTCGAGACAAGGTGGATCAGGGCACTGCATGCGACTTATCGCGGGCTGCAGTGCGTCTCGCAGGGGGTATGGGCAGATTGACCAGGACACCCTCGCCACACCGCTGTTCCTTCTTCCCCCCTCCCTGGCCACACCAATTGATCCTGCCTCAGCCCCGGCCCCCGCTGCAGATTTGGGACTAGCTGCTCTCAATCCTGACCAACCCTTCCCACCCGACTGCACCATCCACTCGCTTCGTTGCATTAGCCCCACATGGTGCGCTACCCACCTCAATTTCCCAACCTTCATGCGCTGCTCGTTCCCCACCGCGCGTTCTGGACGAGAGTCACCCACAGTCCTGGTACTGTGCTACTTTGGTATCTTTGTTGCGTGCGCACCGGTGGGGCCCCGCCTCGCGCGTGTGGTGCTGAGCAAGTCAAAGTCTCGCCAGGCATTATACCGCCTCGAAACGACCGATGCCTCATAGCCCTTATAGCTGATTTGCTATAGGGGTGATCTTGTTGTCCTTCTTTTGCCCCAAGCCCAATCCGAATCTCCTCCCAGCTCAAATATCTTGACAAACCCTTGCCCCCCCCCTTCCCTTCAACTTTCCACCCGCTGCTGAGGCTCACCCTCGCAACATTCCTTCCTGGTCTTTGCACTCCACGCCCTGTCCACCTTGAGAACGATACCCTTGTGTCACCTTCTCGGTCAGTACCTGTCACCCCCGTCTCTGCCTTCCTCCCTCAATCCACCACACAACTCTCTCTCTCTCTCTTTCTACCAATGGTCCCGTCTTTTCACCTCGCCGACGCCATTGCACCCTGAGTGAATCTCAAGGCCACGCAGTTGCTCATTGCCATCACCAGTGTGTATGTATCGTTTGTATCGGTGCGTGTTTTTTTGTGGAATTGTTGTTTTGTGGTCTTGTCATCAACCTGTCGCCACCTGTACCTCCCTTTGCGCTTCTGTCCTGGCGCCTGCCCTCAATCACACATCATCGTCATTTCGATTTCCTATCTTGGACGAAGGACGTCCTTTGAGTGGTTGGGCACGGCATCCCCTGTCCTCGCTTGTGCAATCCCACAGGATGCCACGGCACAGGCCACAGGCCACAGGCCACAGGCCACAGGCACACACACGCCCCCCGTCTCAATCCCGCACGCACACCAGCATGGGGCCTAGGTCGCCTCGCTGTTGATCCATCATCCCCGTCGCCATAGACGCCTTAATAAGCTTTCTTGGAGCTTTCGCGTCGACTGGGCCCCCTGTGCACTTAGTCGTCTTCGGGGAAAAGAAAAAGACAAACAAAAGAAAGGAAAATTATGTGCTTCATCTTTTTCCTGCAGCCTCGAACTCTTTGAGATTTTTTGTTTTGATACTTTGCCTCTCTCTACCCCCTTGCCCTGTCTACTTGCAGTCTTCCAACAATATTCTCCTGGAACCAAGAAGAACATCTCCCTTCTCCTACCTCAAGGCTACATATTATCCGCAGGCTGCCCACGTCTTGCCGGCGCTGAGCTGACCGTTGTCCACTCTCTATGCAGCAGCATCATCCCCACCACCAGCAAGCTCCACCCTCGCATCTTCAACAACACCGACCTTCAAGCATCGTCCAGCAGCACCAGGCGGCGCCACCACCACAAGGCTATCAACCTAGCAGTTATCCGCCGCCCCCAAACTCGGGCAATAACGCGCCAACCACGCCCCAAGACGCTCTGCCCTACTACCAGCCCAACTCGTACAGTGCTGCCAACGCGCCGAGCGGATACACATCCGCCCCAGGTAAGTCGCGTCTCCACCTCGTGGACAGGCAGCCAGACAAGACAGACCGAGACCTATCGTCTGTCGAGGAGGCGCGGGGAACCTTGCCAGCTGATCAATCTCTTGTGGTTCCAGACCAGACCGACATGATGGCCCAAACCGTGCCGCGACAGTCCTACCTGCAGTCTTATCACACATCCAACTCGCCCGCGTCTGTCGCCTCACCATCTGGCCATGACCAGAGGACAATGTACGGCCAGCACCAGCAGCAGCCGCTGCAGCAGCAGATGCACCAGTCTTACTACCCGCAACCTCCCCAGCAGCAGCACTATGGCTCCATGCCTCAGGGATCCATGGGCCAGCAGGCCGCCGCCTCGCCCTACGCGCAGCACACGCCTCAGCCCCAGCCCAGCATGATGATGTCGCACCAACCCCACCAGCAGCAGCAAATTCCCCAGCACCCAAGCCAACATGCCCAGGCCGCCATGGCCGCCAGCCCTCGTCACCCGCAGAAGATCGATACGCACCAGCAGGTGCCTCAGCTTCAGAGGCCGTCGGCTTCGGGCCCCATTGGAGGTCCCTCCCCGGGCGCCCAGAACGGCGGTCAGCTCTCGACACCTACGGGCTCAGCATCTGGTGTGAATCCCAACGCGGCGCCCGGCCCGATCCCTGCCACGACCCCTCTTGTCGTTAGGCAAGACGGCAATGGCGTGCAGTGGATTGCGTTCGAATACTCGCGGGATCGGGTCAAGATGGAGTACACCATCCGGTGCGACGTGGAGTCTGTTGATACCGATCAGCTCAAGACCGAGTTCAAGACAGAGAACTGCGTGTATCCTCGCGCCTGCTGTCCCAAAGATCAATATCGCGGCAATCGGCTGCAGTACGAGACGGAGTGCAATACTGTGGGATGGGCTCTGGCACAGCTGAATCCTCCTCTGCGCGGCAAGCGCGGTCTGATCCAGCGAGCAGTCGACAGCTGGCGGAACAGCAACCAGGACCCACGGCTGCGCAGCAGAAGGGTTCGGCGTATGGCTAAGATGACTCACCGCAAGAGCCAGCCTGCCACTCCTGCCCACATGGGCGGTCCAGGCGGCCCTCAGGGCATGCCCACAGGTCCCATGGGCGCCGCGCCTATGGGTAAGCCCGGCATGAACATGGGCGGTCACATGGGCCACGGCAATCCTGATGGCCACCACGGCGAAGAAGTCGGTATGTACCAGATGTGATGTGTCTGTGTGTGCGCGCGCGCGCTCTACGATTGTTGTGATACCTTTTCTTCCCTTTTTTTCTTTTTCTTTCTCTCTCTGCAGACAATACCGTTAAATGTGTGGTCGCGCTTGGTCTTGTCTCTGTTCTTATGTGTGTGTTTGTGTGTGCGGTGTGTATGTGTGGATATCGCACTTGGGAATCTTGGGAGCTTGTCTTTTTTTCCTCTTCTTGTTTTTCCTTTCCTCGTCTTTTCTTCTTTTTTCCCTTTGTTCTATACGGCGCCGCCGACTCATATACATACAAGGCTTCAGAAGCTTGTCTGGCGACAGAGTGCTCGGCATATCATTGAAAAAAGAGGGAACACCTGTACATTACACTAGTTGGCTGCTGCGTTGGGTGTTTAGTTTTGTTCTGCTGATCTTTCTGGCGAGAGAGAAAGAAGAGAGGAGGCACGGCGTCGCATCGCGCTGCATTCACCTGCAGTTGCGTGCGCTGGTTCGCCCGTTGCCCATCTCAGCAGCAGTTTGCAACAACAACAAGACACACACACTTCAGCTCATTTTTGTGGTCCAGAGGCTACAGTCAAGTCTCAACAAAAAGGGCCCTGTTTATATCGCGAACTATCATTTTTTTTGCATGCTTCTCCTCAGACCCTTACCCTCCCTACCTTCCCTGCGCAAGTTGCTGCACCACCCATGCTCTCGCTTACCTGTCTCTGGATGCTATTTCCGTCCTCCCACCCACACCCTTTCCTCAAAGCAGCAAGCGTGTCCGCAGATCCTAGGATCCTCAAACACTCACTGTGGATGTATACTGATGACCTCCTCGCCCCTATAGGTGACGGTGACTATATGGATGAGCAACATCACCACCATCACCAGGCACCTGCTGGCCAGGCCGGTGGCGGCCCCGAGGATACCCGCCACGCTCAGGTCTTCAACAGCGGCTACGGCAGCTACGGCAGCAACGCCCCGGCCAGCAGCTCGTCCATGCCGTCGCTGCAGGACACGCTTAGCAATGGTCACCAGGCCGTCGCCGCCACCCGCCGTGGAGGATCACGACAGCCCAACGGCGACGAGCCCGAAGACCTCTTCCCAGATATCCCCGAGGCCAAGAAGCGAAAATTCATCCTCGTCGAGGACAGTGACCGACAGAGCCGCCTCAGGGTCCGCGTCACCCTCGATGGGGTAGACACCCGCGAGATTCCTGACTCCTTCCGCAAGAGCTCGTCCGTCTACCCTCGGAGCTACTTCCCTCGGGAGATGCAGAGCCCCCCGCCCAGCGCTACAGGCTCGAGGTTCTTCGAGGGAGATCTCAGTGATGTGGAGGATGATGGCAGCGCCGAGACAGATGGCCGACGTGCTGGCAGGGGCGTCAGCGGCAGAGGAAAGACCATGGTCAAGGTGCCCTGCAGTGATGGTTCCGACATTGAGCTGGCCATCCCCAAGATGCGTAAAGCCATTCGGGGCAAGGAAGTCCGCCTCAATGACCTGGGATACCGCATGGCATGGCTGCAGAGCCGCGTCTTTGCCGGCCGCCCCGTTTTCCTCCAGCGCGCCCTGGACTGCTACCGCAACAAGACCAAGCAGGCCATCGAGTCCATCATGCAAGATGTCAAGACTGCCGCTCCACACTACGAGACACGTGTTGGCAAGCGCAGGTGGACAGAGAAGAGTCGCCGCGCCGACAAGAAGGACGATGAGTCCTAGAAAAGGACTTCCAGCAGATGGGTGACCTACAGATCGTCATATTGGCCTTTTGTCATCATTCAGACTGTTTTCCTTTTCCCCCTCCACCACCTTTCACTTGTGTGTGTGTGTGTGTGTGTGTGTGCGTATGGCCTTGAAACACGAATTCGCCCATGTCGCGTGTTGAACCTTTTTTTTCTTTCTAGGAGGCTTGTTTGCTTGCGTTTGACCGAGAAAGCGACTGTGCGCAAGCCTGATCTCTTGTTATTCTCCTTTTTCTTCTCTTGGGCCTCTCTATCGTCGCAGATCATGCCATACTGCACCTGCAGACTTGGTCGATATCATCAACAATGGGTCGCGCGGCGCCGGGGTTTTCGGTCTGTACAAAGCATATATTGAACCCGGCCCCCCAGTGACAATTTTCTTTTCCCTTTTCGATACTTGTCTCGTGAAGTCACTACGCAAACGAGATTACGACCTAGACGATGACTTCAGAGATACCAAGGAAAGAAAAGAGAGAAAAACGGAAAAAGGAAAAGAAAATCTGGACAATGGGGAACAAAAATATCGGCAAAGAAGTCGGCACCGCGGGCCGGGGGGGGGGTTTATCAAAAAAAAAAATTACACCAAAAGAAGCCGATGGCTTGGTCGCTCAGGCGAACTTCATGAAACGAGGAAGGGGAAAAAAGGAGAAGACAAAAAATCCGACTATGGTCTGTTTTCGATTCTGATTTTGTTGTTTTACTTCGCACGAGGCTTCGAAACCTTGTTGGTGACATTTCGGGGAGGTGAACGTTGTTGTGGTGAGGAGGAAAGAAGGCGGGGGGAGGCCGGTTTTGTCATTCTGTTTTGTTGACTTTTGCGATTGTGGGGGGGGGGGGGGGATGGGACCCTCTGGCCTTGGGGTCTGATCGATATCAATATGCTGAATCTGCTGTGCAGGAAGCATTCTTTAGATTTCCGGGCAGTCTCTATTAGGTCGGGGAAGGGAATGGAGGGGTTTGTTGTCCTTGATCGATCTCTCTAGCTATATGCTGCAAACAGATTCGCCGTGTTCACCCTATGGATATCTTCTCCCTCTCTCTCTCTTTCGTCCTCTTGGAAGTAAGTGATATATGTCGACGCTTGAGAGTATCTGATGGATAGTAGTCGTCCGAGTCTGTATTCTCACCAGGGGTGACCTGTCTCTCTTTTGTTCCCCGCATGGGAAATACTGAGAGGCTGCTTACTACTATAGTCCTTACTAGCGGTACGGTACCTGAGTACAACAACAGCAAGGGCCAGCCCAGGGAAAACCAGACGGCAGATCCTTGCCACCGTTGACGCTATCATTGTCTTGTCTGTTGTACGTTCCGTTCCTCTGGTAACATGCTAGAAGGGGGGGTTGTTCCTTGTTGGTTTTTGGATTTTTTTTTTTTGGAGGGATGTTTCTCGAGCACCTTTGATAAACCAGGGACCATCCATGATAAACGAACCTAAGCAACCACTACAATGGCGGCCAGTCGGTTGGTAACAAGTGTTTGCACCATACAGTCACCTGCAATGGCATATGGCATATTTTGAGTAGGTAATGTGGGGGCCGGTGGCTGGCAGGGTTAACATCTGCCCCCTATGTGAGAAATCTCTAGTAATGTATTTTCTTCATGTGGGACGCTTGGATATCAACTGCTGGTGGTGTAACTGCTGCCTCGGAAATACTGAAGAGGAATAAAAAGAAGGGGGAGAGGGGGAAGAGAAGTTGGGTATCAAGCCACGTCGAATTAATTCTGTCCATAGCCCCCCCCCCTACAAACAACAAGTAAAAGCCAAACATAATATCTCAACAAACGAAAGAAAGAAAAGAAAGAAAAGAAAGAAAGAAAAGAAAGAAAGAAAAGAAAGAAAGAAAAGAAAGAAAGAAAAGAAAGAAAGAAAAGAAAGAAAGAAAAGAAAGAAAGAAAAGAAAGAAAGAAAAGAAAGAAAGAAAAGAAAGAAAAGAAAGAAAGAAAGAAAGAAAGAAGAAGAAGAAAAAAAAAAGGGGGGGGGGAAACCGGGCATCACTCGTCCCCATCCATAACTAGAAAAACATCCCTCCCACGAAGCCTCCCAACCTCCCAAGCCCCCAAGTGCCTTTCCCCCCTCCAAGCATGCAGCCTCACCAGCACCTCTGGTTCCTCCTCCTCCTCCTCCTCCATTGCGCCGCCACCACCAGCAGCACCACCTCTTCCCTGCTTCTTCTGCTGCTGCTGCTGCCCCCGCCTTTTGTGAGCCCGGTACCTGGGCACCTCGTCCCTGCCGAGCAGCACCGTGCACAGGCCGGCGCTGGTGTGCTGGATGTCGGCGGCGGTGATGCGGTGGTTGAGGAAGACTTCCTGGTCGTATTTGTCGCTGGCGCGGCGGAAGGAGAGCTGGAGGCCAGAGGCGGGGTACTGTTTTCCCTCTCTATTTAGTTGGCTTATTTTCGATTTTTGTGTGTGTTTGGGGGGAAGAGTTGGGGAGTTTACGTTTGGTTGGGGGGGGGGGGAGATGACTTACAATGGGATCACGGCTCTCTTGGGGCCGGCGGAAGGAGACGCGGAGGTAGGGGGAGAAGGGGTCTGGGGCCATAAAGGACTCGGGTAGTATGGTGTAGCGAGACATTTTTCCTTCTTCTCTGTTTTGTTTTGAAGAACACAAGAAGTTGTTGTTGTTGTTGGCAATGATACTTCTTTCCCCCCCCTTCCTTCCTCCGTAGGCTTCTTTCTTCCCTGTGTTCGATTGAAGGAATGGCCGGCCAGAATAGGAAGCAGTGATTATTCTCGAAATCGTGTAGGAATCGATAGGTTGTAGGTTCCTGGGTTATAAATGTGTGCAACGCAAGACTGCTTGAGAGCTCTCTTCCTTTTTGAAAAGAAGACTGCCCGCCCACAAACATTGGCATCAAGGCAATGGGGTTCTACAATACATGTTTGCTATATAATTGTCGCATTATAGTAAACAAGAAATTCTTGGCCGAAAAGGGTAAACTAGTAAACAAGGCCAGCCAATCAACAGCCTCGACACTTTTGAAAGGGATGGTGGGTGAGCAAGGGTGCGTTGGTAGCAAGGCTGCATTCAGCATTCCTCACGAAGGGTTTTCAAGGATCTAAGTAATCTCTGATGACCTTTGGAAAATACTAAGATCCTTCTCCCCCTGTCCGTGGTGTGGTGTGTGTGTGTGTGTGTGTGTGTGTGTGTGTGGCTGACCTGGGCAGTCATTGGGGGGAGGGGGGGGCATGTCACGAAGCAGCGTTGTCCCGGCTGACAGGCACGCCCAAGGTTGCTGGGCAATGTTTTTTTCCCACTAGGTTTTCTGTTGCCATGGTATTTTGTGGCGCTGCAAACAACAGATCGGGAGGATGATGATGTACAGTAGATTTCTCTCTTTATATTCATAAAACTTGAGTCTTCTCTGTCTTTGTATGGGACGCGAAACTCGAGCCATTCGTTGATAAGGCTGACAGTGCATGGTGCATGGGCTTTGAAGTACAACGTTTTGTTTTGTATCTGTGTTTAATTCATTATTCATCATAGTATACAACAGAACGCCATCTGCATATGAAGGCCCGAACAGCTTCTTAGGGAAGTAGATCAGCTCCATCACCAAAATTCGCTCAACACAGCTGTTACGCTGTCTCCTCTAATTGGATGCCATCCTCCGCAGCCCTCACGATGCTCAATGTACCTCATGATTGACCAACGTCGGGTCCCTTCTTGAGACCCTGGCTCGAGCCACCGCTGGCAGGGACACCCTCCAGAGCAGCACCCTTTTCTGGCTCCGGCATGGGCGCCGCCTTCTTGGTACCAGCGACCTCGTTTGGCTTTGTTCAAAAAGGGGACATCAGTCACTGAGATCATGCAATATCGAGGAGGAGAATGCTTACCAGATCCTTGCCGGCGCCGTGGGCAATCTGGTTGACGTTCGCGTCGACGGCGTTGTGGGCAATGTGACCTTCTCCCTGGCGAGGCATGTTGTGCTGTGTGATGTTGTGCTTGGTTATGGATCTATGCAAGACGATTGGGGTTGTTTGGTTCAGAAAGTTTTGCTGTAATGCTGATTTTTTTCCTTTCGGTTTTAATGAGGTTAAAGATGTTAATTGAAAAATAAAGCTCTCAATCGCTTAAGGACTCACTGGCAGGTAGCTTATGTATGTATGGATTTTATCTTTCACTTTTGACGTCATGCTCAAGATGTCAGTTTGATGTCAGTTTGATGTCATCCATTGTCTGTGACGATGGTCTCTGAGTGGTCCGTCAAGGTTAAAACGGTGGAGTAGGTTCTGTGGCCCAGGCCCAGGCACGCCAACGGACCACATGCTCCGCCTGACGATTCCGCTGTGTACAAAGGACGGTACAGATTTTCAGGTCTCAGGCCCCCCCCCTTTCTCTCCTTTGAACGTGCTGGGAGACCCTCCCTGCTGTAGATCTGAGCTGGAGCTGCTATGGTGGGGTGTAATCTCAGCACCTGCCATCATAGCTTTCATTGTTATAGCACTTACCCTTTGGCACTTGTAGAGCTGTTGTGGGTCTAATCAAAGCTACTACGTACTGTAGTATTGCCCTGGTTCCTAGTACAGCATCTACTACTTACAAGTCTTGCCTTTCTGAGAGCCTCGACAAGGCTCGCGTTGAAAGGAAACACAGAGTCAGAGACGGAACGGAGAGAAGAGAGCGGGCGCGCAAGCAAGACGGCATGTGCATATGCACTCGCCCGCTGCTCAGCCACTCGCGACTGTCAGCACTACTAACGTGCAGGTTGCCTCGTCTTCGTCTTCGTCCCACGCGACTCCTTCTCCCTCGAATCAGCACTCCACCTTGGCGAGGCTTGCGAGTGGGCTCGAGCCTCTCCACCAACAGCAATATGGCGGGGAAGACCGACAGGAACACGTTTGTGCTCGAAGGGTATGGCAAGGTGCCAGTCAAGGCGCCAGGCCTGGAGAAGGACCAGCTGGAGGAGTGGCCTGCTTTCAAGGTATTTCTTTTGGAATTTGTGTTGTGCATAGTTGCTGATGCGTCTCTTCTGTCAATTTAGAACTGGTTCTCGACCTTGAATAGCTCCCTCGCCCTCCAGTCTCGGCCGTCGCACCCCTTCCACAAGGATCCCTACCGGCTCAAGAGCATCGACATCGACTCGTACAGCATGTTTGGCGAGAGGATTGGCTTCCTCAAGCTGACAGCAGATGTGTCCACCGCCAGCGGCTCCAGACTACCCGGCGTTGTCTTCCTGCGCGGCCCAGCCGTTGCGATGCTCGTCGTTCTCATCCCCGACGACCAACCCGAGGGCTCGTTTGAGGAGGCATACGTGATTCTCACCGTCCAGCCCCGTATAGCTGCTGGCAGTCTGAGGTTTGTTGAGCTGCCTGCCGGAATGCTCGATGATAAGAGCAACTTTGCTGGTGCCGCAGCCCAGGAGATCGAGGAAGAGCTCGGCATGGTCATTAAAGAGGAGGAGCTGACCTGCCTTAGCGACAAGGCGGCCGAGATCAGGAGGGCGAGAGATGCAGACAGCAAGCCCAACGCGGTGGACTTGCAGGAGACACTCCCCTTTGCCATGTATCCCTCCGCTGGGGGGTGTGACGAGTATATCAAGATCTTTTCTCATGAGAAACGAGTGCGGAGAGACACACTGCAAGAATGGGAGGGCAAGTACGGTGGCCTACGGGATGAGGGCGAGAAGATTACCCTCAAGCTTGTGCCCCTCGAGGACCTCTGGCTGGAGGGCGGCATGGACTCAAAGGCTCTCGCCGCGGCGACTCTCTACAGGCAGCTTAGAGGATGGGAGAAAGAGCACAAGCAGAAGAAGAAGTGAAGCGAGCGCTGATGGGACTGCTATGCACCGGAAATCGGGGTCCAGGTTGCCCGGAAGAAGACTACAGCCTGAATTGTTTGGCCAGCTCCAGTCCCTCGGCCAGCGTGCCCACCCGGGCGTCGATGGCATACCCTTCGGCCTCCAGCCTTTTGCACTCATCCCACAGCCTGTTCAAGGGGACGTAGAAGACCTCGATGAACTCGTTCTCCTCCAGCTCCGGCTTGAGGTCTTGGTTCTCGGGGAGGCTCATGTCGATCGAGACATGAACCATGACGACGTTGGTGTTGCAGAATCCGGGGTCTAAGTGTGTTAGAGGTAGTGCGCGGTCAGCCAGTCATGTTTCTGTCTCTTTCTTTTTATATTCCTTCTGGACGATCAGGAAGGGGGGGGGGGGGCGTTGAACGTTGCCAGAGATCGCACCATTGAACATGAGGGGCGACTTCTCCGTCACCTTGCCCACATAGCCAGTCTCCTCCTTGAGCTCCCGAACAGCTGCCTGCTCCGCCGTCTCGCCCTTGTCAATGAGGCCTGCGGGGACCTCGATGGTGACCTTGTCTGTCGGAGGGCGATACTGCTTCTGGAGCACAATTTCGGGGCCTAGAGCAGAAGGGCAAAAGCGATTCGCACTTGTCAGCCCAATGTATCGCAAGAAGGGGGAAAGAAGGGAAAGCATGCGAGTCGAGCCATTGCATGTTTTGTAGTCCCGTACCGGTCGACTTCTCCAGAATGGCTACAATGCCAACGCCATCGATATCAGTTCCTTGGGGACGAGTCGTACGTTCACAAGACTCCCAGTCCCTGACCTTGCCAGTAGGATCCTTGTATTGAATTCTGAGGTAAATGTATCTCTTTAGTGCTCAATTCTTCTCCAGGCCAGCCAGCCAGCCAGCTGTAGGGCCCCTTGCCTGTGTGAGTGATTTGATTTGTATATTACTTACTTGACCATCTTGGTCCATATGGCCTCGTTCTCGGCCTGCTCATGAGTAACTGATTAGAAAACCGGAGTACCTTGAAGATCGACGGGGCTTCGGGATGAGTGTGTAGGAGCTCACCAGCGGGCCAGTAGACAAGACTTTGGCGTTTTCTAAAGACATTGTGAGGTCCTCCTGGCTTCCTGGTCTTTCTTATGTACACACTGTTGCCCAAAAGTGTTTCGTCTGTTGCGATGTGTGTGTGTGTGCGCGCGCGTGACTATACTTTGGCACCTCTTCCCTAGGACGCGCTGGGAGCTGCTGTGATGTTTGACGTCAATGGCGGGACATATTATGAAGAAAGGCAGGGGTCTCTGTGGTGGGGCTCCAGGGGCTATAGTAGTAGAACACTGTTGGTGTGGACCCTGAGTTACAGTACGGTGAACCCTTGATTACTACTTTGTGGTATCACTGTGACATGCATTGCTACAAACTATAGCCAAAATTCATTATTGAGTTTAACAGTCCAACACAAATCGCACTCATGCACCACCACGAACCAGCTGAGATTCGACTTGGGTTTCAAGTCGAGATACAAACAACCAGGCACATCAACAAATCCTTTTATTATTAAAGAAAAAGTACGTATAATCTATATCGAGTCTGGTTCAATTGAGGGGAGAGAACAAAGATCGATCGCTCGCTCTGTGGCCTGCTGAACATACACGAAATCCACACCAAGTCCACGACGTGCCCCGTGGCGAGAGGTCTGGCGAAAGGATTCACAAAAATTAACATAGATGGGCTTATAGTGCTTTGGTTCAGCAAACAGTGTACTGTTTCGTCTGTCTTCGTCTCGGCGACTGAATTTTTTTTTGGGGGCGGGGGGAGGGCGGGTGGAAACAAGTCAGTTTTCCGGTGTACCACCAGCAACCACAGCTTCTGCCACCACTAACCCCTACCCTCCTCCTCCTCCTCCTCCCTTGGCTCCGCGAACGAGTAGAATTTCAAGAGACAAGTACATATGGCGCTCCCCAGTACTAGTCTTCTCCATCGCCTGCTTCTTCGATATGGCCATCGTCATCGCCATGCCCGTCTGAGCAGCCCTCCTCGAGCAAGGGTCCTGCGGCGAGATGCCACCCGCTCCTTCTCTTGCTGCTGGGGACGAGAATCCATTGTGCAAGGGACCCGCCGCCCATGACGGGCTGGCTGTGGCCTGAGAAAGGGTAAGCTAGAAGTGAGCATCTGCCTCGCATGTGAGGAGGGCCTCCAGATGTGGGCTTTTGTGACGTCGAATCAAGCAGTCGCTGCCTTGATCCTGCCGTTTGTTTGGTGTCGCTCAGGAAACACGACCAGGAGCTGCTGCTTCACTACGCCACGAAGCGGTATAGTTGGTCCTGAAGCAATGTATGTTGTTCTCTCGTCCTCTCCACAGCAACTTGTTTGAGACGCACTGGCTGACCGAGCCGTCTCGAAGAAAGCAAGCGTCTTACTACCTAACCCTCGAGAGCCTCAACTTCGTCATCATGCTTACCTTCATCCTGTCTTTCTTCAACATTGTCTGCTATTATAGGAAACGCAGGATCCCCCCCCCCCCTCCTCAAAGACCTCTGGCTGGGCCGCTGGTCGGTCCTCCTCCTCATCGCAGCCGACATGTTGATCACCGTCTCCACCACGCCTCTTCTCTATAGCCTCGGACTGATCCTCCTAGCTGGCGGGTGCGGTCTCCCGCCGTCGCTCCGCAGCCTGCTCAACGTGCTGCTCGAGCCGCACAACGTCGGGACACTTAACACGCTAATCAGGTTCCTCGAGACCCTGGGGTCAGGCTCGGCGCCCTCAAGGTCCTGTAGAGGGGGGTCGAGCTGGGCGGGTTTGGATTGGGCTTCCTTTTGCGGTGCGGACGGGGACTACTTATGCGGCGGCGGCGATTATCTTTTGGTATCGGATAAGGCAGGTGCTGGAGAGGGAAATTTTGGAGGAGGGATCATGTGGTATAGAGAGAAGGGGGCATTGTGAAGTTCTTATACGGCTTTCATTATGTATATTTTCGGTTGAGAGCACATAATTGAATAGGCCATGTCCATGCGTGGGGATATCTATGCATATTCCAGGTGGATTGCGCATATACTTTACTGTATTCATCTCGCAAAACACTACATGGTAGATGTATGTACAATTACGTAGTAAAAGAAGGTGGGGGGATATCGTTTTGCTTCTTAAAATATAAATTAAAATAAGAAATACGAAAAGGGACAATGGGAAGGAAAGAAAAGTAGGAAGGATCAGGGATCAAAGGAAAGCCACCGCACAGAGACTACTATGAATTAGTGAAGGTCTACATCGTACTTGCCAAGCGCGCCTTTCTCTCTCTCTTTCCCTTAAAAGTCGATGAAAGTGGCCTGACTTGATCCTCGAACCAAAGTACTTTCCCTAGCGATATGGAAGGTACGATTGCAATGAGCCATACACAACACAGAACTCTTCAAAATGCAAACGGAAAGAGTCGTTGACCTAAATGGTCTTAGCATGATCCTATCCTGTGCGATCTGACCACCCCAAACATCTGTCAAGAACAAACAAAAAAACGGCATGCAAGAAGAGAAGGTGCGTCAGACGGTCTTTGCCGAGATGGGGAGTTGAGCTCCTCAGCCCCTGAAAGCCAATCTGGGTGGGGCTCCAAACAAACCGATCGCCAGGGGAATTTTCCGACTAAAGACGGAGACTGTCTACTTTGCACACAAGCACAGCAGAGCTCGAGAGCGCAACAGAAATTGCATGAGTGAACGGATTGTTTTCTCGGTTCTCGCTCTCGCCTGCTTGCCGGGAAGAGCTTGTCTGCGGCGATACGAAAAAGAAGAAGCAAAAAGGCAGCCACGAAGCGCGTTGGTCTCCTTTAGACCACAACCTACTACGACGAGATGGGAAATTTTAAATTGGTTGACCCCCTCAACGGCGCAGGGCTGAACGCCTCAGGGCCTGGATGGCCCCTCCCTTTCTGTTCTCTTTCCCTCTTTTGGGATGGGACATGAGAGGTCACGGCCTCTTTTTCTTCTTTCTCCTTCTTTCTCTTCTTCTCCTGTCCACTTAGCCAGTCAGACGGAGGATGACAAGGTTAACACCCTTTTCTTGGATGATAGGCTATTTGGCTTCGATGGCTCACAGCTTGATGCCCACGTCACCCACCCAACCGCCCTCCAGAAAACAGACCAGAATAGACAAACGAACAGCGAAAACAGCAAAAATCATTACGACTCCAGGCATACATGCTATGCGGGCATGCCAGAGACAACAAAAAGTGATGGATCGTACAGCAGGATCTTGTTAAGTCCAGGCAGACACGCCCAGGAGTCGGGAATCTCTCCTTTTTCCTTTGCACCACCCTCTGGCCACCTCCCCCCTGGCTCAATGCTTGGCGGATATTATTCACGACATATCCCGGGTTGGGTGATGAGCAAGCCCTAAATGGACATCTCATCAACGATCACACGAGGTGTGACACCAGGGTCAACCCCAGGGCCTAACCCAATTGGCGCCTCACCGCGTCTTACTGCATTCCTTTTTTGGGTCATCACTTGGCCGAATTCATAATGTGAACATCAGTGGGTGAGGGTTCCACTCTCACAGATGGGCGCGCGGCACGGGGAATCAATCATCATCAAAGATGAAGAGGAATGAATCCACGAGGGTTGCCAACACACATGCACACAGTCAGTAGAGTGTATCGATTGATTGACTGACTGCCTGACTGATGAATCAACTGGCTGCCGATTTGCCTGCCATCCAGTCAAAGTGATCGAGCAGTGATGATTATTTTATTTACTCCTTACTGACTATCGACCCTTTTCTTCTGTCCAGTGTCGGTACAACTCCACCAACTAACTCCTAACGCCCAAATCTGGGCCGCCCTCTGATGAACACGAGTTGAAGGGTTTCGACTGCAACCCACACATACTCTCTCTCTCTCTCTCTTACTCTTTGCGGCCCTTGTTGGAAATGCACCTCCTGTCACGTCGACATCGCATCCATCTGTCTGACAGGCTAGTACTCCTTTATCTCGCCGACGAGAACCAAGAAGAGTCGCAGTCTGTCACTCTGTGACTCTCCCAGTCCCTCGGGTAGACACACAGACAAGCGGGACCCCTAGAAACGAGGACCCCTTGTGAGGTTGCATCTGTTCAAGGTTGCCCTGCAGCGCTACACATTTGTTTGTTGAAGCCGCTGTGGACCCTGGCTCCACCTGCACGCTTCCTCCGTACCCTCGAACCTCTTGTCGACCTCCAGACTCGACCACGACCCTCTCTTCATATGTCCTCCGGTCTGCCCAGTCACACACCCACCCACCCACACCTTGTGGTTCCGAGAATCTTCTCCCTGCGATAGCAGAAGAAATTCTGATCGTCACATCGCTGACGTCCTCAACCGCCGCCCGTTTATGCTTCGTCTCTGACGTGGGGGATCTGACAAAGCCAGGGTTCTTTTTTCGTTTATTTTTTGTTGGTTCTTCTCCTTTGGGGGAGAAGGGACCTCTTATGTGCCCCTCTCTCTACCTTGCCCACAGTTCACTCACTCGTTCAACTCATTCTCACTACTCAAAGTGCTTGTGTATGGTCTGCGTCGATCGGGGCCACACAATTCGTTTTTCTCGCCCTTGAGAGAATTACTCACTCACAAACACATATTCTCTCTCTCTCCTGGTCAAGATGGACTGATAGCAAAAACAGGCAACTTCTCCTTGTTGTATCTGCTAAGCTTTTGCTGTCTCCTACCATTGTCGCTCCTTTTTACTACGCTACACACATGTTATATGTCGACAATTCAACTCATCCACTCAATAATGATATTTTTAATCCACACATAAAAAAGAAGAGAAAACTAATCACACGGTCGACCAAACGCTTCTCAATTTCCCTCACAATAAGTGTCAGCCAGCACATTATACAGGCCACAAAGAAGGGGGATATCACGAGAAAATGGTGTCGTTTTTTGGCCTCAAGTTTGGCACCGATAAGCGGAAGTACGTCACAGCACCAGTCTCATCCACGACGCTCCATCCTTTCTCTCTCTTTCTCTTTCGCTTTCTCTTTCTCTTCTCTTGAAAAGAACCATAGCTAATGCATTCCCACCTTCTGCAGAAAGGTGCCAGCGGAGCCGGAACCAGAAATTCAGCATTGGAAGCGCCTTGACCCAAATGTTTCCGAACACAACTTTGCATGGCGTGCCCAGCGCGAAGAAGCCCTCAAGGCCAGCACCAGCCGGCCCAGGACGGCGCACGGGAGCTCGTATGCCAGCAGCATCATCAGCCTCCCCGATGGCGAGCGCCCAGGAACACCAAGTAGCAGCAGTGCCGCCCACGCCGGACTAGGTCCTATGGGCAGTGGTCATGGCCTGAAGTCGTTCAGGTCCGAGGCGAACCTGAAGCTGAGCAGCCTGCGCGCGGGTAATCTGTCGTCGACAAGCCTTGCCCTGCCGTCTGATGCAAACCTTAAGCTCAGCAGCCTCAGGGCGGGGAATCTGTCGTCGACGAGTCTGGCTATGCCGCCCACGAGGCGGCTTGGGGGAGATCTTGACGCCAGGCCCGGGACGGCACACTCGATGCGTGAGATGAGCGGAAGAGGAGGAGCAGCAGCAGCAGGAGGAAGAAGTGGAGAAGTACGGCGCCCGACCCTTGATATCAACTTCACAACCATATCGTCACCATCAGCAAGCTTCAGCGGCGGTTCGCCACAGAGCCTCCTGGGACAGTATGAGCTCGTGTCACCCATCAAAAGCGACTCGGAGTCTCTGCTGGGCGAGGAGCCGGAAAAGGTGGCCAACGATATCACTGCTAGGATCACGCGGGAGGAGGAGGAGCTAGTTAGGATGAGGGGTCCTACAACGGGGATTAAAGGCCCAGGAGTCGTCCAGAAAGGGCCTGCAACGCCCGAGATACAGAGGAGAGATTTTGCCGCCCCCGCCTTGGGGACAGCAGCAGCAGCAACAACAACAACAACAGCAGCAGCAGCAGCAGCAGCATACCCATCACCACCGGCTTCGATTGAGGGTGATCAGCAGCAACACAACGTACCTTCGATACTGGTCCCTGGACCGAGAGACAGCACCGTCAAGCCTCATGCTCCTGCATCTCCTGCTCTTGGGGATATGGTGCGTCCAGTGAGCAGAGGGCGGCAGCCGCAGCGGCGGCGGCAGCAGCAGCAGCAGCAGCAGCAGCAGGATGTCACTTATCGCCACGTACCTCAGAATTCCATCTCGCAGGACTGGCGTCGCCGGTATGATGTTGGCGCTGACAAGCCCGATGTCGTCACTGCGGTTCCGGACGTGAAGGTTGTTGTAGTAGAAGAGCCCTCGATAATCATATCACCACTAAACGCTAACCCAAGTACAGCAGCAGGAGGAGGAGGAGGAGATGGGCCTTCAAGCAGCAAGAACAGCAGCAGAAGTGGTGGCCTCGAGGCGGGCTCAAGCAGAAGCAGAGAACGGAGCCGTACTGAAGATAACCTCTCACACAGGTTCCTGATGCTGAGCCCACGAGAGCCCGTACGCGGGGCCACAGTCCCAGGGGCCAGATCGCCACGATCGCCACTCTTCCAGGAGATGAATCCCTTCTATACACACAGTGAAGAGGAGGAAGGAGGAGAAGGAGAAGAACACGAAGAGCCCACCTTCGACCACCGTAGCGCCACTACGAATGCGCCGTACGGCCTCCCATCACCGCCTCTCTCCCACCGCCAACACCCGAGCGACGGACAGGACAGGAAGCCAGTGGTGCGGACCGTGGGGGCCAAACGAGACACCGTCCTTGTGGGCGCGTCTGGGCGCGAGAGCCTCGGCCTGCAGATCGACAAGTTTGAGAAGTCCCTGCAGCAAGCACAGGCCATGTCGGCGCTTGAGATGAAAGCAGACGCAGCGACAGTGCCGGCAGCAGATCTCACGACCTCGAGGATCATCATCCGCAGCCGCGCAAATAGTAATGCCAGCAGCAACTACAGTGACATCTCGGAGTCACCCATGACCATCGAGCAGCCGCTGTTCTCGCCCAAGCCCTTTCCCCTGAGTCCCAGGCCCATGAGCCCTGCCTCGGGACGGCCCAGGTTAAACGCCGCGCCACCTGGTCGGCCGACTCTGGCGGTGGCCCCCGACAGCCCCCTGGAACAGCTAAGGAAGAAGACGGCTGATATTATCCTCCCACGACTGGCCACGCCGGAGCCTAGGCCGGAGAGTCCTGCTGCTGCTGCAGCAGCAGCAGTTGTTGCAGGAGGCGCAGGAGGAGCGGTGCGGGCGAGGGTCGGCGCCATCCCACGCAGTCGACCATCTCTGGAAGAGGCTGAAGAAGTGAACAAGGCCAGTGCCGTGGTGGCGACGACGACAGCAGGGCTCACGCGCTTTGCAAGCCCAGAAGGTTGCGATGTCCACGTTGAGCGAAGCGAGAGCCCCCGTAGCGTCCAGGGCTCCTTCGGAGGCACCTCCAGCCCGCTCGGGATCGAGAGCCCCATCCTGCAGAGCATGACGCGACCGAGCCCGACATCCCTCGAGCAGACCATAGCGGACGACCTGACCAGCGCGAGCACATCGCCCTCGGAAAGCCCCGGCCTTGTGGGCAGCTACAGCGTCTTCTCGCCGCCGCCGGCCGCCAAACGCTCAGCTGGCGCGCCGAGATCGGTCAAAACGGAATGGTATGGGCCTGCTCCCATGCCGCCTCCTACATCGCCGCTACCTATCCCGGAGAAGAGTGCGCGGCGGATGAACACGGTGCCCGAGGTCGCATTGCCACAGCAACAGCCGCAACAGCAGCTGTCGACCTCGAGCCCTTCAGGATCCTCATCAACAACAGCACCAATCCCCACACCCACGTCGACTGGAGGGCTGGCGTCCCCACCTTTGATCGCCTCCGAGGCGAGGAGCAGTGGCAGTAGTAGCCCCAGCAACCCGAACTGGCCGTTACCCGTGCCCAGCGCCTCTCCCTCCTGGTCATCCCCTGTAAAAGAGGGCGGCGGCGTCGGATTCAGCGCCCGTCGATCCTTACTGCCAGACAAGCGCGCCCCGCCTGCTCCCCTCAACATCGCCGCGACCAAGTATGCCGACGACGGCGGCGGCCATGAGGGGCCCTGGACACCAGATCCGCTGGTCGCACGGCAGCATGGACGATCTCCTCTTCCTCTTCCTCCTCCGCCTCCTGATGCTGCCGATGGTGGTGACGCACTGCTCCTCCCCGGAGAGGATAAGAGTTCTGCCATCGGCGTGGCGCGGGGTTTGTCGATCAAGTACGACCAGGCGCGGGACGTGGAGAGGCGGACGGCCGCAGTCAGGGCGCGGGAGAAAGCGAGGATGGTGGTGGAACAACAGCATCAGGCTACTACTGGTGCTTCTGCTGGTGCTGCTGGTACTTCTTTGTGGAAGACTGCCGAGGAGGCGGCGCGGGTGAAGAAGCAGCAGGCGGCGGCGCGGGAGGCCCGGGAGCTAGCGGAGAGGATTCGGAGGCCTAATGATGGGTTGAGGAGCCCTACTGGGATTGCTGATGAGCAGGGCGTTCGGTTTATTTGAAGGGATGGCTTGGTTGGAAGATATGACATGTGCACACACACACACACACACACATGTATGTATATGTATGCATGAACATGCGTAGATTTGTATGAGACATCCGATTTGGGAAACGGAAGGGAGGGGAAATATTGAGATTCTCTTTGGCTTTTCTAATCATGGAGTTCTTACATTACCATAGCACGTCCTTGGATGTTTTTCTGTTTGGGAGGGGGGAACATTGTCCTGTACTCTGGGCATCACTGGGTGGAAGGAATGCTGGGATGAACAGGAGCCACGGCTTTGGCAGTTCGTTTTCGTCGTGAAATAACGTCCATAACTGAACTCACTTCCATCCGCCGTCTTGCAAGTTCTAATTGGTGTATTGAAATGGTCTTCTCATTTTGTTTCATGTACACATGAATCTTCACTTTCCTCTAATGACCCAACATGATGGGGATGAGCAACCAAAACCGACAACAACAACAATAATAAATTACACAAAGAGATGCCAGTCACAATCTCTTCAGAGTCTTTTATCAGTGGTATTTGAACCAAGACTTGGAAAAATAATTCGACTCACATCGTTATCCCGTCGGGCGAGCTCGTCATCGGCATCGGGATCTCACCATCTCTACCCATGTGGAGACGGCAGGCTGGGCGTTGCTCTAGATAGGGCTCCATATAACTACTTAATATTTACACACAACAAGATGGAATTAAATGGTCAACTTGGACGAGTCTCATCAAGGTTATTTATAATTCCTATACACTGAGTATCTATGCAGACTCTCACTTGATCTTTCTCTTCTTTTTTTAAAACCCATGGATCTCGACACGGACGTCCTCATCATCGGCGCCGGTCTGTCAGGACTCGGCTTCGCGATTCAGCTACAAAAGACATACGGCACCACCACCTGCAAGTTTGAGATTATAGAAAAGTCGGATTCGGTTGGCGGCACGTGGTGGTTGAATTCCTACCCAGGCTGTGGCTGTGATGTGAGTGGAATCTAACGGAAAAGGCTGCCACCGTAATCCGTGCTGTAGCCTCTTACAGACAGAAGAAGGATGAAAGCCTTCCCTGACCACTCAAAACAGGTTCCCTCGCACTTCTACTCCTACTCATGGGCCCTTAACCCAAATTGGACCCGCAAGTACGCCCTTCAGCCGGAAATTCACGCCTACCTAGGTGACCTCGCCACCAGGTACGACATAGAAAGACACACCCGCCTCCACACCGCCGTGCAAGGAGCCGTCTGGGACGAGCAGACAGCCACATGGCTCGTCACTCTTTGTGACCAAGTCACGGGCGAGACAGCCAAGAGACGGTGCAAGGTCCTCGTCTCCGCGGTGGGGTCTCTGTCCGTGCCTCGAGAGTGTGAGATTCCGGGAGCAGACAAGTTCCAAGGAAGACTGTTCCACACTGCAAGGTGGGATCATGACTTTGACTGGGCGGGTAAGGACGTCGTCATCATAGGAAACGGCTGCAGCGCCACACAGATCGTGCCCAGTATCAGCGAAGGAGGAGACACGCAAGCAGTACACAAGGTCACGCAGTTCAGCCGCCAGGCACACTGGCTCTCACCACGCCAACAGTTCGAGTACTCAACCATTTTCAAACTCACCATGCGTTGGGTGCCGTTTGCGATGCGGGTCTATAGGGCGTGGCTGTACTACGAGAAGGAGGTTGATTTTTTGGGCTACCGGATGAACAAAGGAGGTGCTGGCGTGAGAGCAGGCTGGACAAAAACGGCAGCAGAGTACATCCGTGCCAACGCACCCGAGAAATATCGCGAGTTTCTTGTGCCGACAACCGAGGTTGGGTGCAAGAGAAGGGTGAATGATACGGACTACCTGGCTGCGTTGCACAGGGACAATGTTGAGCTGGTGTATGATGACCCTGTCGAGGAGATCGTTAGGGAGGGAGTGGTGACAAGGTCGGGCCGGTTTGTTGGTGCGGATGCAGTGGTGCTGGCGAATGGGTTTCAGACCAAGAAGATGTTGTTCCCGATGGAGATTGTCGGGAGGGGAGGTGTCAGTCTGCATGAACACGTTCGTACACCACGCTCCCTCTCTCCCTCGCTCCTCTTCTCCTCTTCTTTCTTTTTTCCTGTCTCGAAGCTGACCTTCAGCAGTGGACCAGCGTGAGCGAGGGCGTGCCCTCTGCATACTTTGGCACATGTGTCTCGAATGCGCCCAACTTCTTCATGCTCATGGGTCCCAACTCGGTCAGTGGGCACGTGTCTGTTGTTTATACCAGCGAGTGCCAGACCAACTTTATCCTGCGCATGATCAGGCCCATCATGTCGAGGCTTGAAGAACAACACCGTCAGCAGCAAGCCTCCTGGTGGCTCTCACCATTGCAGCTGCTCAGATTTGTCTGGAGGAGTTGTAGCAGGAAGACGGACGTCGTGGCGGTGAAGCCCGAGGCGGAGAGGCGGGATCTCGAGGAGACGCAGACGAGGGCAAAAGAGCTGGTGTGGGCGTCCGGGTGCACGAGCTGGGGGGTGGACGAGGTGACGGGTCGAAACTTTGCCATGTATCCGGACTGGCAGTTTGTGTTTTGGTTTAGAAGCTTCTGGATCAGGTGGCGAGACTTTTCACTGTGGACTACGTCGTCGGGAGGATATGGAAAGGGCAAGTCCAAGTCGAAGACGGTCTGACATAGTTCTGTTTTCCCCCACCAGTTGTGTAAGGAAGGTGCAAGCAACAGGGGGTGTTGTACAGTAGTAGACTACAGTGTGTAGAAGGGGTTTTCCTCAAGGCAGAACAATTACCAAACCCTTCCTCACTCCCCAGTTACTTGTGGTTGGGCCGCAAGTACAGTATACTTACCAACTCACATCCAAGGACAAAAATATGATCAAACCATCGTGGCAAAGCCAAGAAATGGGCAAGGATATGAAAGGACAATAAGAAAGGATAGCATAGTGATGCAGGGTCCTCGTCTCATATGCGGGTGCTGCTGATGATGTGAAGCTCTGGTGGGGCCAAACCCCGCTGATGATCATCATCAGGCGTGCTGTCCGTGGAGAATAAGAGAACGGCAAAAGAGGCAGCCACCGCCAGCCAACACATTCTCAGCTGTGTATGTGACGTGTGACCTCTAGACCTATGAGAAAAGGCAGTGCGATCAAGTATTGGACGCCTCACTGCATAGTACTACAGTATTACTTGTATTTGTGAATGGTTGGTTGGTTATAGGCCCTGTTTCTCGAAATTCATTGTTGGACAGTCTAGAAACCAACCAACAAACAACAAGAGGAGAGGAGGACCTTGAAGGTCAGCCGGCAAGCCCTACTCTGACTTGTGTTCCAGAGCCAGAAGAAATCCACAATAGAGAACAACAGATCATCAAAGCCGCCACTGCGGACAGCAAAGCACAGCACAGGCAGAGCATGACAGGACAGGACACAACATAATGTGAGGGAAACACAGTGGTGGCCACCCCCACCCCCGCCACCAGCACCAACACCAACCAAGGCTTGAAGCTTGTCGTTGTTGTTGTGGTTGTCTGGACCCCCCCCCCCCCTCCTCACCCCTCGTGTTGAGTCCAGACCCCTGAAAGTTTCAGCCAAGCCAAACCAGCAATAAGCTTCCACTGTCCAAAGAAACCGCCCTGCCAAGCACACAGCTCTTCTCCAGCGTGTCTTTTTGTGGGGATGAGACCCCTCAGCTACAAGAGCTCTACTGGTGATCAGTGGTGACAACACAGAACAAGAGGCCCCATGTGCACAGCCTCTCTTGTGCTTTAGTAAATTTGGTCTGGGGGCTGGAAGCTGGCCAGACGATGGTGATGAGATGGCAGTGCATTGATGAGAGAGCCAATCCAGATTTGCATCATCTTTGTTGCTGCTGTTGTTATTGATGCTGGGGGGTTCTATTGGAAGAGGATGGAGATGATCTGATGTAATACGTAACAAGGTGTCTCCATATGTGTACATAGTATGTGTGTGTGATGCACAGATGCTGTCTTGTGCCATGGAATAAGCATAATCCAAGCATATATAAAGGGGCATCTTCAACCTGTCTATCCTCCCCTTCTTCTCTTCTTTTCAGCAGACTCAACCAAACACAAGACAAGACAAGACATCTTATCACGTCATCCAACAAGACCACAATACTACCACATCTTACTCACTTACCTATACTCTCATCATGTTTGGCAACGACAATGACGATGGTAAGCAGAGCTTCCCCCACCCCCTCCGTTACTACCACTACCACTACCACTACCACTGCCACCCTGCCCATCTTCTTCCTATTTTTTACCGCGATATACTGTACTTACACATACAACCTGTTTTGCAGACCGCCGTGAGCGCCGTGACGACAGGCCCGACTTCTACAACCACGAAGGAGGCGACCGCGGCCACGAGAAGAAGGACGATGACCACGAGATTCTCGGCACCCTAGGCGGAGCCATCGCAGGCGGCCTCGGCGGCCACGCCCTGGGCAACAAGGCCGGCGGCCACGGCATCGCGGGCGGCATCCTGGGGGCGGTGGCGGGCGCCTTTGCGGGCCACGAGGCCGAGGAGAAGATCGAGGACTGGAAGGACGACCGGGACGAGAAGAAGCACGCCGAGGAGAGGCGCGAGCAAGACGAGCGCCGCCGGGAGGAAGATCTCGACCGCCGTGAGCGGGATGAGAACCGGCGCGAGGAGGATGAGCGCCGTCGGGAGGATGAGCGCCGTCGGGAGGACGAGGACCGCCACCGCGGACCCGAGGGCGGGCCTCGTGGCGACTTTGTCGAGGTCACCGTCCAGCCTGGCGATACCCTCCGCGGCATCGCTGCCCGGTTCGACCACTGCTCCTTTGAGGACATTGCCAGGCAGAACAACATTGAAAACCCGGACCTGATCTACCCTGGTCAAGTCCTGCAGGTGCCCGCCCGGAGGTAGTGGTATAAGTCGCGCAGGTTCCACGACACGACCAAACTTTGAGGCCTGAGAGAGGAAGAAAAGAGGCCCATGCGTACTCTGTGGAATATTCCAAGTGAGCAGAGAAGCAGACAGCACAATTGAGAGTATCCAGACAACTTGACACGCACACACGCACACACGCACACACACAGAAGACTTGATGATGACCTCGATGCCTGCTTATTTTCAATGATCCTAGTGGTTGTAATGTTCACTTTGCACAAACATACCTGTAAAAAGAAAACAAGAGTATTGACTAGGAAAAAGAAAACCTTGAGAGTCCACAAAGTAGTCATCTAGAACACGGCCCAGTGACGCGACTAATGCAAGCCCCATTTGGGAGGACGGTGCTGCCCGTTCTGGGTGGGCATGTTCAGATTCCAGCCCTTGACGATAACCACTGTATCCCCACCGAGATTGTGACGCCGAGCAGGGGTTGTTGGATGGCGCTTTGGTGGCAAGGAGGGGATTATTTTGTAGTGGCTCTTCTTCATAGTACTGTGGTACAGTAGAAAACACAGAGAGAGAGAGAGAGAGAGAGAGCGAGGAGGGGACCGGAAAAGTACAGGGGGGATGGGGAAGGAGGAAGGAAGAAGAAAAAAAAGAAGCAAAAAAAATTCAGACCCTACTACTAGCGCGGCGCAGATAGCCCAGTCTAGTTAGTGCGCACCACTTACCATAGTAGTGTATCGTACATATCTCACAACTTCCTCCTCTTCTTCAACGTTCAACGAGGATGATCTGAATTCTCTCTCCCCCTCTCGTTCGACCTTCGAAAACACACAAGGCACACCGATCCATGTGCCAACCAGAATCTTCATCATTATAACACCACAGCAGGCGACTTGAAGTCTTTGCGCTCTGCTGCAGGGGAAGGATAGAAAGACTTATCCAGGCAAATTCATTTCATCCATCACTAGCATTGTCATTATCATCATCATCAGCAGCATTACTTACTCTACCAGTATTGTACATTTTAATCACGACTCACAACCTGAGTGAGGTTATATGAATTGTCTCAAATACACACTCTTCTTATCGACACGGCAAAGATGACAAACACCACCACCACCGAGTCGGCGTCCAACAAGGCGCTGGAGGACTCTGGCTACAACACCAACACCGGTGGCCCTGTCGAGACGCACGTCTACGCCTCGAGCGGCGAGGAGGAGCACGAGGTCGCCCACGATGAGAACGAGGCCGTGGCAGAGGGTCTGAGCAAGATCGAGGCCCGCAACGTCCGCTGGTACTCGTACTTCACCACCTGGGACTTCTGGCTCGTCGTCGCCCTGGGCCAGTTCCTCTGCGTGTGCAACACCGCCACCAGCGTCTTCACCACCCTCCTTGCCGACTACGGCACCTCCGTCCCGGCCTTCCAGACCTTCTTCAACTACGTCCTGCTGAGCCTCGTCTACATCCCCTACATGTTCTACCGCTACGGCTGGCGCAAGGTCTTCCGCATCGTCTACAAGGACGGCTGGCGCTACTTCATCCTGTCCTTCCTTGACGTCGAGGGCAACTACTTCACCGTCCTCGCCTACCGCTACACCAACCTCCTCAGCGCCCAGCTGCTCAACTTCTGGTCCATCGTCTGTGTCGTCATCGTCTCTTTCCTGCTCCTCCGCGTCCGCTACCGGCCCTTCCAGATCCTCGGCATCCTCGTCGCCTGTGGCGGCATGGGCATGCTGCTCGGCTCTGACGCCATGACCAGCGGCACCGCCGGCGGCGCCCCGAACAAGGTCAAGGGCGACCTGTTTGGCCTCGCCGGCGCCACCTGCTACGGCCTCAGCAACGTCTTCGAGGAGTGGTACGTCTCGCGCCGCCCGCTCTACGAGGTCCTGTCCTTCATGGGCTTCATCGGCATGTTTGTCGGCGGCGCCACCGCCGCCATCTTTGACCGCTACACCTTCCAGCAGGCCACCTGGAACGGCCCCGTCATCGGCTACATCGTCGGCTACACCCTCGCCCTCTTTGTCTTTTACACTTTCGCCCCCTTCATCCTGCGCATGGGCTCCGCCGCCTTCTTCGACATCAGCCTGCTCACCGGCAACTTCTGGGGCATCATCATCGGCATCCACGTCTTTGGCTACACCGTGGCCACCCTGTACCCCATTGCCTTTGTCCTGATCATCCTGGGCCTTATCGTCTACTTCCTCGCTGGGAGCATGCTGGGTGACTCGAAGAAGCCGTGGCTGGGGGCCAACCAGGAGGCCGGCGTCGCGGGCTTTGGGACAGCTAAGCTTAAGGCTCTTAACGAGGCGAGGAAGCAGGGCATGATTGCTCGGGAACAGGCTGTGTAAGAGATGTGTGTGTGTGTGTGTGTGTAGAGGTGTGTGAGAAAGGCGGGGGGGGGGGGCAATGTTTCTGGGGGTGTTCTGAACCTGATTTGTGAAAGGAGCACATGGGAGCAGCATGGGATATGAAGTGGTTATAAATGAGGATGTAATGTCTCATTTTCTTTCTCTTGTACGGCGTGATTTGGTGTGGTCTTTCACGGTGTCTGGAAATACTTGATATACCCTCGTTTAGAGAATCATTATAACTCTCGCCCTGCAAGTGTGTTTGAAATTATGACACATAAGATGTCCTATGGTCCTCAGAAAGCTCGCTCTTATTGTTCTCTCTACTCGATAGAGGTAGGGTGCAAATAAATTGCCTCAACCATCATCATAATTTCACGAGTATACTTTTCTTCTTCTTCTTCTTCTTCTTCTTCTTCTTTTCCTTTTTTTTCTCTTTCCTTTTTGCATGCACTCAAGAGTTACCAAACTTACATCAATCAACTGTCGTCCAGAGCTATTTCCTGTCAAGTTAAAAAAAAAAAAAAAAGCATGACGGATCGACAAGACGGTCTTTCTTCCCTCCTGCTCTGACCTCGTCGCTTAGCCTCACGATGCTAACAGAATCTAGGCCTTCCCAGTCTAGAAAAGTGCAAGACGGCTGGAGCGGCCGCTTCCACGCCTCTCTGTGTGGCGTTCTCGAGTGGCTACACGCTACGTGACTGCTGAAGAAATGGGAGAGTCACAGAGACGAATGGATGGATGGATGGAAAGCCGCCTGAGCAGCCATCAAGCCTCGCCCCCGCCTCCGCCGACCACACCAGACCACACCACCATTACGGAGCGGGGCGGCGGGGTTGCACTCTTCCTCTGGCGGGCTGTGGTCCCAAGGCGAATGGGGGGGAGGGGGAAAAGAGAGAGCTGCGCGACCTAGCTTTTTCGGCTCTGTAGTGTGGGCTCGCCTGCATTTTCCGGGTCCTTGGGGAATAATGGTGTGGGGGTCTGTGGTCTGTCTCGCCAAAATCCTCGACTTGCCGGACCGACTCGTTCTGCAGCTAAAATGTGGGCGACCAGTGAGGAAGAAGTGTGCTGTGGAGGAGGAGGGGGAGGGAAGATTTTGTGTAAAAGTATGTGTGTGTGTGTGTGTGTGTGACTGTATGCAGGACGTTATGGTCGCATGATGCGGGGAAGAGAGATGGAGAGAGGGAGAGACAGACAAAAGTAGACATGTACATGCGCTGGAAAGTTCTTGGGGTTTTGCTGTGATCGAGGGGGAACCGAATACAACGCCACAACGTTCCTAGCGAAGTAGAGAGGGTTGCACGCTTGCAGTTGTCCAGGCCCGGGCCCGGGTCACCAGGCTTCTCTATCTTTTCTCTCGGCGCTATGGTTGCATACGCCGATGTTCCCTTCGACCTGCTGAGTGATGAGGAGCCGGTCGTCGCTCATCAGGACAAGCCGAGCCGGGCATCCGTGGACCACCGCCATAGGCGTGTGCTCTTTGTCATAGTAGATTACCCGAGGGCGAGCTGCCCCATCATGATGACGACGATAGAGAGTCGGGGCCTTTCCCGATTCCCTGGCCAGCAATGCAGTCACGGCTGACAGGCCCGCGACGTGGCCCTCCCTTGCAGCGGAAGCCTCCCGTGCTAAGGCATGGAAGCAAGCTTCCAGAAGACCACTGCAACACCCAAATTGGTGTGGTGGGACTGGATGCGACCTGCAGCGAACCTGAAGACGGGTTGGCGGGATCATAGGATCGAGTCTCTCTTGGGAGGTTCGGTCTTCAACTTTGGGGTCCTTGTTCGATGGTAGGCCGCCGAGAGTGGAAGCTGGCTAGATTTGATCGAGTAACTTAATAATAGCTTGAGTAGAAATAGGGAGTCGTCGTGTTCACCACGACGACTTCTTACGTGGAAGCTCGTCGCATCGAGGTTTCAACCCATGCCGTCGTCGTCCCAGAGCGGGCGGCAGACCCAGACAACAGGGCATGCCCTCCTCAGCCACCTGCAGCGACCTGCAGCTAAGGTGTACGACAGCCTCGTGGTAATATGCATGTGTCGTATGATGGCCTCAGGAAGTAGCAAAGAAGAAAAAAGAAAGAATGGATATAGATAAATTACGAACGGTGGGCCTGGCCCTTCCCGCGGGAGGGCAGACCATGTCTGTTGCCAGTGGGGGGGGGGGGAAGGGGGACAGCGGGGGTCGAGGGACTGGACGGATGAATAGGAAGGAAATCGAACGGGATATCGATATTGATATTTGGTGCGTCGCCTGGATTTGGCTGTTTGCTGAGGAGGGGACGGCATCTCGATCTTGTCTGACGCCGTTGGGAGGGGTCTGTAATTTCCACGATCCCGTGTCTCGTTCTCGACAGGTTACCCAGATGGTACGAAATGATGCTGTCCTCCGATGCAGGTGACAGGAGGATATCATTCATCATCGACACCTCTCTCACACGAGATTGGTAACTAGACCGAGATATCTTTGTCTGGCGGTGATGTGATGGAGTAATGGAAGTGTGCACGCAGCTAACTGGGAGAGATTAGCAGAGGACGGGGGCGGGTCCTAGGCGCCGTTTACTGAACCTTGACCCCTGGCCCCCTGGCCCTGGCCCTGGCCTGATCTTCTGACCCCTTCACCCCTCTAGAGCCCGGGCCCCTGGCAAGTTTCCCCCACACGTTATCATACTATATAATACTAGCTAGTACTACGTAGTACTGTGACACTATGTATGGCCTAGAGCTAAGTAAGTACTTACCTGGCTGGACCCTTCTCCAGGGGTCCTTTGTGCCGTCCTCACGGTCTGTACCAGCGTATCGAACTATCACCATAGCGCACTATAGTACCACCATAAGTGCTGTAAGTAGTGGCCGTTTTGGAACGTTGTTGAGCTTCTACTATAGTACATACCGAGTGATTGTAACACTACTAAGAATTTCAGCGGGATAGAATTTCGATAATGTACCAGTAAGGAGTCTGTTGACATTCCATCTTAATTTGTTGATCCCATTGCTTCAAATTTTTTTCATCTTGTTACTTCCGTGTAGTTTCTGCTTATTTCAGTTTCCCATTCCACATCAAGGCCACATCCACTTTTACCTCGGGCCACCAACTGTCCTGCCAGGCCCTGCAAAGTCCAACCGTTGTACCTCTTGATTGACTCCCGCATGCTACGTCTACCTGCTGTAATCTGTTACTTAGCCTTCTAAACTTTCCTCCTTCCCCTCTTCTAGCTTCCTCATTGGGGTTCCTACTTTTGGTGGTGGTTGTAAAGAAAAAGAAAAAAAAAAAAGGAAGGAAAGAAAAAGAGAAGAATGAGAGAGGGAGAGACAGAAAAGGAGCCACATAATCAATCGCCAGGAGGCCAATCCTTTTATCGACCTACCATTTTTTTTTGTTTTTTGTTTCGTTTCCCTGATAGAACCCAGCCAGAACGAAGGAAGTGGTAGCCCATGACACGCGACAGAAAGAAGAGAGAGCCGCTGACGGGGAGAATCAGGGCCCTGGAAGTAGGGAAGCTAACAAGTAACTAGCCAGGCCAACCATTTCAATCTTCCATCTGAGATCTCACGGCTCCTTCGTCACCAAAGCAAAGTCCATGTCAGCGCTTGTAACAGCCTCGGGAAATCCTACGCCGTGCCAAGTGCCAGTGTCCACCCCTTTTCCGGTCCGCTGCGACTTCTTCCAGCCCATCCGCCCACCTTTCCTTTCTTTGCTGCACCCGCTGTGGGCCCCCTTTCGAACCTTTTGATCCCTCTAACTCTCTCTGATTTGCCCCGACCCGACCCGAACTCACCTCGACCTGATTCGACTTGACATTGGATTTTCCTGTCTATCCTGTCCTGTCCTGTCAACTTTCCCCCCGACTTGACCTGGACCTCTGCCTGTCCTGTCGTGTCGTGCCAGCCTCCCTCCCCTCTTCGACAATCCACCATCGTCGACAACACCTCTTCTCTGCGCCTGCCACCCCCCCTGCAGGACTATTGTGTGAGGCCTCGAGAGCCCACACTATACAGCAGCCTTTTTACTATATACATACAGAGAGACAAGAGGACAGGGCCCTCGAGCAGGTTGGGATACGATTTTGGTCTTTTGGTCTGGGTACACTCTGTAAGTCCCCAGCTGTCTTGTCATGCGCAGAGCACTGCCCTTCCCTGCCCTGCCCTGCGATGCAATGCGCTGCAGCGAGCCTTGTGTTGAGCTGCAGCTCTCCACTGCCCAAAAACCCAATGCGCGATAAAATTTGTTGCTGCATGCCTGTTCCCCAGCTGTCGTCTACGCCACAGCACCCAAGTTGGGCCCTCATCTGCCATGCCAGCACTGAGGCCAGTGTTGTCAATTCCAATGCGAATCAGGTGTGCACTATGACCAGAGGTTGAAGATTGTTTGGCTATGACAAGTGGTGATACAGGTGAAGACGATGATGCTGCGACTCGGGCCTTTTGCCATGATAATTTTGTCTTTCTGTTTCCTTGCTTACCTCTTACTTTTTCCTGTCTACGATTCTATCCCCCTCTCCTCCTTCCTGTTCCTTCCCTTTCCTTTTCTCCCCTTCTCTTATTCTCATCACCTTTTCTCTACTTCTGACTTGCGCGGTTGTGCTGACAAATATACTTTGGTCTTTCGCAGTACTTCTGGGTTCCCCAAGCCAAAACGAATTCTCGCTGTCCTCTTACCGGGATACGCCGTTGCTTATACTTCTCGCGGACAATTGTTATAACCTGCCGTTATGTCCTACTACGGCGACTCGCAGTGGCCCGCCGGCACCCAACCCGCCGGCGCTTGGGACCACCAGACACCCCCGACACGATCTGGTTTGCCTCCCAACAACGCCTCCACAGATCCGACCCGGACATATATTGACAAGCCCGACCCAGGCGCGAGCTCCGCTATACCGCGAGAGGAAACTTCTGCCTTCTGGTATCAGTTCGAGGGTACGTCTTGGCCCGGGCCCCGTTGGCCTTTTACCTCACCATCGCTGTCGTCCCTGGTACAACAACATGTTCGCTCTCAGCGTTGATGTTAAGAACCTTGGGGGGGGGGGGGCGAGGGGACAGTCTCCCTCGAGCGGTGGTGGAGACGACAACAGTAGAGACTGGAGCTGACGTTGAGTGTGCAGAGGTGGAACGAGCCATCGAGAACCTGGTCAAGAGCGGCAAGATGTTTGGTGTGCCTGGGGCTAGACGTGAGTTCCAACAACCTTTCCCTCCCGGTCCTGCCAGGTCCCGTCCCAACTTTGGTGAGTATACAACACTTGTCCAAGTGCTGCTGGCTGGGTCTCGTACCACCAGTGCCCCCCCAGCTGACCTCTTGTTCCCTCACGTCTTGTAGACCCTCGCAACTCTGGCGGCCCCCAGCGACCACACTCGGTCGAGTTCGACGGCCGGCCCGGACACCCCTCGTCCAACCTCCAGAATTTCTACGCCTCCCAGCGACACCAGTCTTCGCGCGGCTCCAACGAGGCGGAACAGATGATGCAGCACAAGAGGAGGATGGCAGCTCAGCGGGAGCGGGAGCTGCGCAATTACCACCAGGAGCAGCAATTCAACCGAAGTAGGCCGCCCTCATCTGTATAGCATCTTGAAAATCAGCAGAGCAGCAGCAGCATTCCTGTCGCAATTATGAGAAAGAAAAGACACAAAAGAAAAAGAAAAAGAAACACAAAAAGACCACAAGAGCAACGCGCGTTCCCTTCCTACCCCCCAAAAAGGGAAGAAGGGCCAACAAGCAAAAAGAACAAGAGCCCTTTCTCTCCCTCTGATGTGTGGTTGTTTGTTTGCTGTCCTTCTTTACCCAAATCTCCATCCCATCATCGCCTCAAGTGCGGCCTGTCAAATCTGGAGCCCGATTCTCTCTCCCCTGCGAATAGACATCTCCCTTGCCACCAACAAGTACTGTACTGGATGAACGCAGCGGGCTGACTTGTCGCTTTGAATAGCTGCCTTTGCCGACTTGAACGTCGGGGCCGCCGGCGGACCCGGTACTGGGCCCGGTCCTGCTACTGCCGCTGCCGCCAGTATCAATTCTGCCAATCCCGTCCGGCCTGATCGAAACCTTAGCCCCGGCAACCTGTCTGAGGAAGCCCGCCGTGAGCTGATTGCTCGCCAGCGGAGCGCCCTGTACGGAGAGGGTCCCTTTGCCGACACAGGTGGCTACATCGACGAGACGGGCGCGCCGCGACAGGGTCTGCCCGCCACTCACCATGGCGGTTCCGCCAGCCTGCGAGGCCCCTCGCCCCTGGCCTACGAATACAGCCGCAACGCGCCAGCCCATCCTGATGTCGGCGCCCAGTCTTCTGCCGACCCGGCCTCGGGCGGCGCCCAGCAGCCCTCGCGGACGAGCAGCAATGCCAGCCCGCAGTCTAACCCAGGCCCCAAGGGCCCGCTGGAGCAGACGACTCGCACCAGCAACTCATCGCCCGGCGGCGGATCTCCTCAGAATGCGAAGCCTCCTGCTGGCAAGACTGTGGCGCCTATCGGCACCCGACCCTCTGGGCCCTCTTCGAACCAGGGCCCTGCCAAACAGTCGGCCTCGTCCCCGCTGACTCACGGCTTCAGCGCTCCTGGAGCCAACGAGGCGGCTGGTAACAGCACCTCGACCGGCCCGGTCAACACGTCGTCCACGACCACGTCAGGTGAGGGCTCCACGCCGCTGGGCAACTGGGGCCAGAGGGGCGGTCCCTGGGGTCCCAAGACGCAGACAAGTGTCTGGGGTTAGAAACCCATTGGGCATGCGTGGGCGTCGCCTTCTCGTGTCCGAGAGCTGGCTCAGGAAGGAGGCACAGCGGTACTGCTTGGAGCAGGAGCAGGAGCAAGAGGAGGAGGAGAAGAAGAAGAAGAAGAAGGAGAAAGGGAAGGCGCCCACTGGACGGAGTCTTGAGAAAAAGTATGACGATCTTGTATTGCGCATGCATTGATCTGGAGAATGGTGTGGGATACGACCAGGTGTTATCTGCTTTTGTGCTTCTTGGTGGTCGGCATCTGCGGCACGGCGTCCCAGACACAATACCCGCTGCATGGGCATCGGCGCAAGGCCTTTGATATCTGGCTGTGATTGGGAGGGTTTGTTTCTTAACGGGAAAAGAGAAGGGGAAGGGGTTATATCCTGACGAGTCCTGGGGTTTGGGTTTGGGATTCTTTTTTATCTGTTGTTAAGCTTCTGGAGAGCGCAAAAAGGTGGGAGCAAGGGAGACTCGAGTCGGGCGCCAGGTCATGTCAATGTGGGGAATTCTGTCTTCTCCTGTCTGGTCTGGAGAAACGTTGGGCGGAGTTCAACTTGTCTTTTTATCATTTGTTATTTGGTGGTCTGTTACGGGGGTTTTGTGTTGTTTCTTTGGACCCATGCCTAATATCTTTTTTTTTTTTTGTTTCCTTTTTGTTTTTCCTCTTGTCGGCTGGTGGGCTGTTGGAGTTCTTTTTTCCCCCCTTCTTTCCATCTTGCTTCATTCCTCTTTTAATATCGCTTCCTTTTCCTCTCTCTCTCTCTCTCTCTCCATCTCTCTCACTGTTGGGGCTCGGGTCAGTGGCGTTGAGATGATATGAGTTCGCAATGTTGACGGCGGTATCGGGAAGGGAAGGGTTTTGAGTCGACGGTCAAAAATACCCGGCATGGGGGCGCGTAGGCACTCACTGACTTTGCCTGGACTTCGTTATCGCATCAACTTTCACACATGGAGTATATATATATATATATATACATATATATATATATATACCACCCCGCCCCCTTTTCCTCACACACACACACGGTACACACACACATTCCAAAAAAAAAAAAAAAAAAAAAAAAAGACAAGGGTGACATTCACACGTCCGTTTCGAACATACCGCAGGGCAGGGTTGGTTTGCTCTTCTACTTGAAACGGCCAAAGAACGCAAAAAATCTGGAAAATAAAATATTGATTTTTTCCCTGGGTGTAATAACTGATAATTGTCCACATGAGGGCTCACAACTGTTGAGGTAGGCAGTTCTGAAAGGGAGAGATGGATGGTCCTTTGTCGCAGCAGCAGCGCTTTTCTTTGCATATGCTCACATATATTCTCACCCACGACTTGTCTCGATTCTCAACCAACCAGCGCTTTGAAGCCAGCCTCCAAGTCCATCAAATCATCCGCACTCCTCGCCTTGCCACCCCATACCACAACCCCTCTCTCGTCCACAGCAAAAGCCCCTCCCTGCTGCCACTTATTCCCCATGCCAGGAACACCGTCCCCGCCGTCCTCCCCCGTCAAGTTCGCGGCCGCCCTCCTCCCCACAGAAGCCGCCACCTTGGCGCCCAGCCAGCCCTTTTCCCGCCAGGCCGCCGCCTGGGTGGCCGGGTTGAAGTAGTACCAGACGGTCGAGACGCCGAGCCCCCACGCGGCGTAGATGGCGCGGTCCTCGTCGATGAGCACCTGGACCTTCCAGGGCCCGCCGATGAGGTCGAGCCATTTCTTGGTGGCGGCCGGGGAGGCGTGGGAGATGGCTATGCAGGTGATGTTGCTGTTGGAGAGCTTGTTGGAGAGCTCGCGGAGGGATAGGAAGGTATTTTGGGCGACTTTTTTTTTTTTTTTTTTTTTTTGGTGGCATGAGTTAGTTATGGGAATCGATCACTCTTTTTTTTTCTTCTCTTTCTTTCTTGAATGAAATATTGATGTTTGGAAAAGAGAGGAAGAGAGAGAGAGAGAGAGAGAGAGAGAGAAGAGAGGAAGTATAGTTCCATCTTACAGGCACATCCTACACATCGCAGAAACACAACCACCACCTTCCTCCCCCTCCCAACCACCAGCTTCCCATCTTGATCCGCCGGCGCCACGTCGCCCACCCTGGGAGGTTCCGCAGCGACAGGAACGGGAGGCGGCGCGGGCGAGAGCCAAGGCTGCACCGTCATGGGGAGGCTCTTTGCCGTCATCCACTTGGGCCATGACTTCTGCTCCTCTCCGCCTGCCTCTCCTCCTGCTGCTGCCTCGTCTCCATCTATCGTGTTGCTGCGGGTGCCCCGTTTCGAAGCTCGTCGTGGTGGTGTGGTGTCGGCGGCGGCGGGCGATGTGAAGTTGAGGGCGTCCTTGGGGATGCCCAGTTTCTTCATGGCGATCTTGGTTCCGAGGCTGGAGAACATGGTGAGTTTTTTTTTTGGGGGGGGGGGGGGATGGGGCGGGTATGTAGGTAAGTTGAGGTTGTTCTTTGTGTAGATGGAGAGAATGATTATTATTCACGACGACGACCGGGGGTTGCAATGAATGTTTGGGTATAGATATAGAGATGTAAATATAAACACACAGCAAACACACGAGGATAAAGAAATCGTTAATCAGTATGAAAAAAGGCACAGCCTCGTGTAGAGTATGAGAACAGAAAATCATGCAAGAGGGAATTCGCAGTAGAAAGAAGGAACCAAATGCCACTTCTTCTTCTTCTTCTCTCTTTCTCTCTTTTCCTCCCATTTTCATTACGAATTAGTAGGAGGGGGCGGAGGGGGCAGGGAGCTTTGACATGTATGAAACACCAAAAACCATTCGTTTCCGCCCATTAACGTGAAGGGGTCCAATCCAAGAGCCTTGGGACCCTTGAGACGAGGCGTGTCGCAGCGAGGGTTCCTTCCCCTTCCCCGCCTTTCAAGGCCGGCACTCTCACTTTAACACTTTGAGAGACTCGGAGCTGACCCCTGGATATAGAACACACAGACGTATGTACTATTGGTTGCAGGCTGAAAATTACTATGGCATTCACATAGTAAAACAGACGCACGAGGCTGAGCTCGAGCTGGCACGCACAGAAACACACAGACATCACCCCGGAGAGAGAGAGAGTGTGTGTGTGCGTGTGGGGCTTGGGTCTACCCTGGGCGACAAGGCGAGGCCAGCAATGGATCCTCGGAAACAATTGGCGGGCGTGAAAGGGAGGCCAGGTTCTTTCAGCCTGATTGTTCCTATTTTCTTCTCCTCGATCTTTCTTTTCGGGGAGGGAAGGGGGGAGGGGGCGGCAAAGGTTCTCCGGGCTCGATCTGCGCGATCTATTGAATCGAGCACATCTATCTCATCTTACCCATCGAATTCCAATGTGCCGACAGGTCATCGCCGATGAAGAAGAAAAGAACATGTTCATCCAAACTTGATTTGAAGGAGATGCGATAGGTTCCCTCGGAGCATCACGCCCGAGTTTACTGTCGGGGCCTGCACTGTTTTCGGACAATGGCGCCTGAATGCTTCTGTTCTTGAGACTGCAGGATGACGAGCTTGGTAGAACTGGAGCGGTTTGGTAGTACAACCTCAGCATGCAATTTGAATCTTCATGTGTCTTGATTTTTTTTCTTCTTCCTCCCCCCTTGATTGCTCTTAAAAGAGAGGAAAAGGAAAGGAAGAAAAGAAAAGAAAGCAAATGAGAATAAAACAAGTGGAGCATAAAAGTTCCGACAACTTAGCATCCCATTTTATTGCGGAAGGGTAATGTGACAGATTGAAGACCCCAGATGCTAGTACGATATGGGAAGAACTGATGATGCCTAACAGAGAGAGCAGCGCAATGCAGCACTTGTGACAGGGTCTGAATAAGGAAACCATTTAAAAGACTGTTTGGCAATAATCGATCAAAATGGTAATAGGCGCATGTAAAGGAGGATCGCTTAGGGTGAGATTTCCACCCCTTTCCCCTGCTGAGAGCGCAGACCACGCCGATCCTACAGGACAGGAAAGTTGAGACGAACGGTCCGTCGTGGAGATGGTTTGCGCAGGTCAGACCAGGCCCCGGCGAATAGCAGCGAGAACGCAGGCCAGACACCCTGCCCCTCGAACCTCCACCATCCGAACAGGACACGTGCTGGCCGGCGAACCCCGATTGACGACCATGCCGTGGCGCAACGGGCCATGGGAATCTCGTGGCCTCGTCAATTCAATATACTCGAGGCAGTGGCTGTGGACGACATGGCAAGGACATGGGCCCAGACTACTTCCCAATCATTGGATGACAGGCCCAAGAATGGTCGAGTCCACGATCGATCTCGGGCAGTCATGCGTGCCAGGCGTCATAGGGATTGGTGGAAGTCCGGGGCGCCTGTGTCTAGAGCTGACGTATGCCGCATATAGTGCTTGTATCGCACGGCACGCGGCATGCGGCACTGCAGCATGCAGCAAGCTATCTCGACCAAGTTGATGGTGCCCAGTCCAAATCTGGCTTCTAGATCTTCACAAACCCCACCCTCTCCTTCTTGCAGAGGGTTGGCAGGTGGCAGGACGACCCAGGCCTGGCGGGAACGGTCCCAAGACAGGGCGGCCTGCAGGTCCCGGAACATGCTCCCGCAGGCTGCATCTCGTCGACGGCGCAGCTGCATGCTTCCAGGCTTGAGGCTGAACCGGGCCGTGCTGGAACAATCTGGCGGGCTCTGCTTTCCGACAGAGGATCGTAGTCTGCTTGAAAAAGGTAGACGGATGGGAAGAATCCGGGGCGAAGAAGCTTGTAGAAAGACAGACACAGAGGGTGCAGGAGGGTAGGGGAGAGACGAGAGGAGAGCGTAAAGTCAGCCCCGCCTCGTGCATCAAGGCCCTGCCTGCCTAGCTTGTTGTGGCAGCGTCAGCAGCTCGACGAGTTGGATGACTGCACCTTCAAGAATGGCCGAGACATGCCTCTCGTTCAGGAAATAGGCCCGGGCAGAGTGAAGAGAAGAAAAGTCACAGACGTGACCACAGCCACCATGCAAGGCGATGGGCAGAGACGTCATGCCCGCTCGGTTCCGAGAGGGGAGAGAGGGAAGTATTCGGTGCTGGGCGGGCGAGAGGCTGGAATCAGCCCACATCCCATGTCAATGATATGCCACACAATGCTGGCTGCTGTCTACTGTCTGCTGACACTGCCTAGACGATGGGCTCGAGGACAACCTTCTCCAGGCAGCGCAGGCCGAAAAGACATAACCAGCTTACCAAATCATGCATCATTTGCGTCTCCACGGCCCTGTGCACAGACATTAGCCTTATCCGACCCTCTGGACTGGACACGACACGACATGACAGAATGGGCACGGGAAAGCCCCAGCCATGTGCAGGGAGAAAAGGACAAGAAACAGAAGAGGCTTAGAAATGGCGTTGAGGGTCCTCGCAGGTGGGTCAAGTTCCGGTATGGTACGGTAGCACGGCCCAAGGCGAGCATGCATGCATGCATGCATGCATGCTGCATGTGGGCTGAATGAGCACCTCCAGCCAGCCCATCAAGGTGGTCCTGTGCAAGCCGCAGAGACATTGGCTAGCCGAACACCGTGGTGCAGAGGAGGCAAAGACCACATGCTAACAGCGAGCCAGACAGAAATGTGCAGTGGACAAAGGAGCCGAGATGCCGCCCCAGCCGGAAAAGGAGAATGAAGATGGGTTTCCAAATATGAACGTGCCGCCAACAAGAAAAGATCCTCGAAAGGGCTGTCGTACTTTTGGTGGATACGAGACGGCGGACCCTTCGCACAAGAAGAAAGCCTCCCCTCGAGGTATGGTGGAGGTAGTGCAGAGAGGCGAAGAGCGCTGAGGGCAGTAGCAGAACAGAAAGAGAAGAAGGAAGCTTAAAGGAGGAGGAGGAGGCACGGAAACCAGCCACAGTCCAAGCCCCTTCACTTTTGATTGGCGAAAGGTAAAGGAGAGAGAGCATGCCCATTGCTCTTTTCCCTTTCCACCCCACATCCCTCTCACTTTCCGGGAGGGCAGAGCTGCTACCGACAGCCGGACACACACTTTTCACACCCAGAACATGACCATCTCAGATGGGGCGCCCTGTCAGTGTTTGTGTGTGCATGTGAGTGGGAGTGTGTGATTCTAGCATGTGTACTTCACATACTATAATAGTATCATATAGTACGTGCATATGTACACAACAGCAGTGCTATGGTGGTGGTGGTTTTGAAATACCTTGGCCTGGAGGGGAAGCATGGGGAAGGGGAAATTGGCTAAGAGAGAAAATGTGAAAAAGGGGACCAGGGGACCTGGCGGAGGAGGAAGGGGAGGAGGAGGGGGGCGGCATGTAGAAACACCATGCCAGACTAAGAAGTACCCGACACAGAATTGGGGGCAGGTGTCATTGAGTGTCCATGCAAAGAACTGTAATACTCTCTGGTGGTTTGTTGCCCATTTGTCTTCCCGATCATATCCCCGATTGGTGTGTATGTAGTGTATGTATTTGCATCCTATGTATTTTAAGAAGGGACGGGGAGTCAAATAGTGTGGGTGGAATGATGATTGCATATTATCAGGTCTTTTGCCACGTTCAAGCCGGCCCTCAAAAGTGAACATAATTATTGCGGATACCACAATTATTTTTTTTTAATCCCTCTTCTCTTTTTCTTTTTTGTGACCCGTGGATTCGGACGCGTCCTCAGGGGACTTGGCGACAACCCTCTCTAATTGATTGTCCACAGTGCTAGATGCCAGGTAAGAAGAGGAAATGCAGCACGCTATAGTAGACAGTTTTTGGCACCGCCTCCCCCCAAGGGACCCCCCATAGCCCCCTACCCCTAGTTTCTCCTCTGGGGCCCTGCGGGGCTTCCCGCAAGAAACGGGCTCTCGAATGTTTCTAGGGCCAAGACTACCATCCAACCGTCCTTTAATTCTGCTTCCCGCCCCTTGGCACCGGTATTCTTTGTCAATCTGGACCCAGTCTCTATTTATCAAGTATGTTTAGTTTGATTCCGCCAACCAATCCTCAAGGGAAAGCCGGGTACCGATGACAGTACACCATCACCGTTTCCTTGGCTCTGCTCGATGGTTGTCTGCATCTTTCACATTCCCTTCGATCCCGAGTTCCTTTTCTTGGAGCTGGTACGCACTTTGAGTTCACCGGGCGGGGACGTTGGGGGCGGGGTGGGCGAGACAGAAGAAGAAGAAGAAACGGTCTCCTCTCACTATCATTGCCGAAAGATAAAACAGAAAGGAAAGGAAGAATCGATGAAAGAGACGGGGAAATACACAAGGCCTGAATAGAAAGGGTGACAGTTTCAGAAGGTGACGAGGTAAATTACTACTCAGAAGACTTTGTAGCCGAAGCCATACAGTAGGAAAGCAGATGCTCAGTACTGTATCCTGTCCTAAGCCTCTTTCACCGCTGCGGAACTTCCAGACAGACCATCAGCCTTGCATGTCCTTTTTTTTTTTTTTTTTGCCTCTTTCTCTCTCCACTCTCCATACATGATTTACTGTAGCTTGAGGAGGCGGAATGAACATATTGTCCTTGACAAGAAGGTATAAAGATCGGCGTTGTGCTGTGTGTATGCACTATGGCTGTCTGTCTACCGCCTAGGCCCAGGTTATGGTAGAGTTGACCCCTTGCAAAGCACAGCATCCCAGCCCTTCCACTCCCCGCCTCCAGGGTCTGGGCACTTTAGCGATGTGATTCATGCAGCATGTAAACGCCCTGTACCATTGCACATAGTAAGCCCCCCAGAACGTCATTTCATGCAACCCATCCACTGAACCCACTCACATCACTGGACTATGGTACATACTGCACCCACAAAGTACCTTAGCCCTGCAACTAACCCTGGCCCCCTAATTGATCACTTAGCAGGTGCTTAGTAGGTGCTTAGACCAAGGCCCATGCTGCCGCCACCAGTCCCCCTCGACGATCACCAACTTCTTTCCAGGACTGTTTCACCGTTGCAGCTGACTTGGGACCCAGCAGAACATACCTCAACGACTTGCTCTCTGCTGCTTGCTGCTGCTGCCACTGCCGCCGCACGTCACCACTGCACTTGCACCACACCCACCCACCCACACTCCTTGCAACTTGGACTGCACAATCTGTGGGCAACTTGTTGTACAACCACAGACCACGGTGCTGGACCCACGAACCAAGTGCAGAACTGCATTGTACCTCCATACTTTCTCGGCACAATCAACCCAGTCTTTGTGACCTTTGGGAAGCAGCATACCCAGAGAAGGACCTGCCTCTTATTGTGTGTATGTATTGTAATGTGCGCGCATTGAACCTCTTTGCTCGCCTTCTGTCTCTCCCTCTCTTGTCCCTCTCCTGCCCTCCTGCCCTCTATTCTCTCTCTTGACGTTCGAGGTTCGGCTACCACTTCCACTCGCGCACACTTCACTTGGCCTTTGACATTTCTTCACACTTACCTCAACAGATCCAAGTGCACCATTGGATCATTGTCTCTCTAGACCCCCTCGACTCACCCGTCTCTCTCTCTCGCTCTAGGAACTCTGCATCGTGGAACGCAATCTCTCCTTTACAGTTACGAGTACGGAAACACTAGACCGTCTGCCTGCCTGCCTACCCACCCAATCTCCTCTTCCTTCTCTTCCCCCTTTGCCTCCTCTCCCTCCTCCTCCTCCCTCCTCCCTCCTCTTCTGTCACTGTATGTCCTGCTTGACCTGAAACTTTGTGACTGCCAGTCGGTTATTCATTCTACCTTGTCGGAACGATTCGAATGCTCACATATACTTTGTCGCCACAGATTTGCCCAGTGCTCCTTTATTTCCGACAGACCCAACAACGTACGTTCACCGTCTCTAGACCTATACATGCATGCATACATACATACATACATACACACGCACCTACCGCCCACGTTCACCAACCACCAATAAGCACTGGCTTGCTGTTTGTCCTGCAATCCAGCTGATCGATCCTCTGGGAGTCGAACTTGGTGGTTCAAGATCCAATCCCCGTCATCATTACCGTCACCGTGCCTGCCTCCGTCCTGCCTAGCACTGGTTTTCCGTCAGACCCAGTGTCTCCTCCCGTAACCTTTTCTACGACAGGATCCCTCCCTCGAACTCGATTGCTTACACCATTTGTGGCTGTCAGACAGGCAAGAACGAACCCCCGCCCCCCCCTACTTCCTCCTACTCTCCACCGAACAACCTTTCGAATATACACGCCTCTCGCCAAGATACAGCCAAGCCGACTCCGCGAGCCCGCTTACCTCCTTCCGATACCACGACGATCCTCTATCTCCGATTCTGACTTGCTCGATCCAGCTGATCTGGCTGTTCAAGATCACATTGTCTCATCCTGTGTCGACTCTCTCCTACCGTAAAGTACGAGCCTAAGTCTCTGCTTTGATCGACACGGTCCTGCCTGCTCGGCCAGGCACCCTGCCCGCTCCTCACCGCACCGCCGCGCCCCCAGCTTTACCCACGGCGACCTGTTCTCCTGCCGCTTTCCTCGATCGACCTGTCGATACCCGTCTGCCTCGTTACTCAGCCCTTCCGTTTTGACCCTGTCCTCTGAAGCCCGTCGACCTTGTATTCGCGTTTTGAGGGGGCTGGCCTGCGGTCTGCAGCCTTTGCATCCGAGGTTGCTGTCCTTTTTGCCTTGCGCTCTGCTTTCTTCTCGCTGTTCCTACCGTTGCCGCTGCGCGCTGTCTGTGGTAGCAGGGCCTCTCTACATTCATGGACAGCCGGCCATCCGCCGCTGAAACAGACCACGCATACCAGCCCGTCGCCTCCTGGAGTCGCGCCGGTCTGAGCCCACACCCAGACGGGCCCTCGACACCGCGGACCCCCGGTGCCGCCACGCCTACCGCCGCCGTCTTCGCCGATTCGCTGCCCACCAGCCCATACCCTCCGACCCTGGATCTGCTGGCCCCGTTGCTGTTCTCCCAGCACCAGGCCCAGCTCTTGCAGTACAACAAGCTCATCTCACCTGGTCGAGGTGGCGGTGGAGCCCTGCTGCCCACATCCCATCTCGGACTGCCTCCTGTGCCGAACATCCAGGCGGCCCCGAGGTCCAGGTCCAGATCCTCCTCGAAGGTGTCAAACAAGGACGGTCATAACGCCAAGCAGTCTCCTGCCGTGCAGAGCTGCCATGGGACGAGGGGTTCAAGAAACACCGAGAGACAAGACCGTGAGGCCATGACGATGGGGAAGGACAAGGAGTCGATACCCCCGGCCAAGGGCAAGGACACAGCACCCCAGAAGCCGCCGCTCAAGGCACAGCCTGACCTTGCCCACCCGCTCCCTTCCCGTCCTGCCCACCGCGCTGCACAGGCTCATCAGCAGTCTGCCGCAAGTTCCTCCCAGTCGAGCTCAGTCCCGTCCACACCCCATCAGCGCGCGCGTGATTTCTTCGAGGAATCCCGCGAGCCCTCGCCCAATGCCATCCAGAGCCACTCGCCTCGCTCAGTATACTCGGAGCCCCACGGCGGGGCTGCCACCCTCCCCACCCGCCAGCCTCAGTCACAACGGCCCTGCCCGTTTGAGACCGCCTCTGTCAAGTTCCGCAGACGTATGCCCTATAGCTTGGGGGCTGAGAAGCTGGAAAGGATAGACGCGGCCAAGATCAAGAGCAAGCTGTCGGAAGATGAAGAGCGGAAGCTGTCCACAGACATGCGCGAGATTTATGACAGGTTATTGCCGTCCTCAGAGGTCGAGCAGAATCGTGAGAGGCTGGTCAAGAAGCTGGAGAAGATCTTCAACGAAGAATGGCCAGGGCACGACATCCAGGTGCACTTATTTGGCTCCTCGGGCAACCTGCTCTGCTCGGACGACTCTGACGGTCCGTTGATTTGCCCCTAGGGGACCCCCCCCCCTCTCCCTCTCCCCAATCTGTGCTGGACAATGGGCTTACAACCACCATAGTTGACATATGTATCACGACGGACTGGAAGGAGTTGGAGGGCGTCTGTATGATAGCGGACCTCCTGAACAAGCGTATGACGCACCCCTTCCTTCTTAGTCTTTGCCGAGGATACTGTATACTAATGACTCTGCTTGGCTAGGTGGGATGGAGAAGGTCGTGTGCATATCGAGGGCAAAGGTCCCTATCGTCAAGATATGGGATCCGGAACTCAAGCTGGCCTGTGACATGAACGTCAACAACACACTGGCGCTGGAGAACACGCGCATGGTTCGCACATATGTGGAGACGGATGAGCGCGTCCGCCCGTTGGCGATGGTCATCAAGTACTGGACCAAGAGGCGTGTTGTCAATGATGCTGGTGAGTTGTCTCCCCATATCGCCTGTGCTCAACAAGACAGCTCTCTTTTTGCTGACGATGGGAATTGTTCCACTATCTGCAGCCTTTGGGTTCACGCTTAGCTCCTATACATGGATATGTATGATCATTGCGTTCCTTCAGCTTCGCGAACCACCTGTCCTGCCGGCTCTGCATCAGTGCCCACACCTGAAGCTGCCTGCAGCGGGTGGCCACAAGAGCGACTTTGCAGACGACCTCAGTCAGCTGAAGGGGTTCGGCCGCGAGAACAAGAAGTCGATAGGGGAGCTGCTCTTTGAGTTCTTCAGATTCTATGCGCACGAGTTTGATTATGAGACCATGGCCTTGTCAGTGCGCCTCGGCAAGATGATCCCGAAGACACAGAAGAAGTGGAATCATGCCATGAACAACATGCTCTGCGTCGAGGAGCCGTTCAACAGAGAGCGCAACCTGGGCAACACGGCAGACGATTTTTCGTTCCGGGGGCTCCACCTGGAGCTGCGCCGTGCGTTCGATCTGGTTGCCAAGGGCAGACTGCACGAGTGCTGTGAGCAGTTCATTTTTCCCAAGGAGGAGCCTTCAGAGAACAAAGGCTTTGTTAAGCCGGCGCCTCGCCCTGCCATTATCCGCAGTTCCTCGCAGCAGCAACCCGGCCGAGGCGGACGGAACGGAGGGGGCCGAGGCAACAGGAACCATCTTCGCAACGGCAATAGTAATCGGAGGGCATCGTCCAGCCATGCCTACGAGAACTCCCAGGCCAGTGCCGCAGGCATGGGGGCCGCCGCCCTACCTCACCCTCTGCTGATCAACCCCGCGATGCAGGCTGGAGACCTGCAGCAGTGGTCCCAACTTGCACAGCAGTATGCCTCCTATCCTGCTGCGGATATGGCAATGCTCAGTAATGCCTTCTTCGCACAAGAGCGGTGGCAGTGGTTCGCACACCATCAGGCCCAGGCCCAGCTCCATCAGCACGCCGTGCAGCAGCACGCACAACGCCTGCAGGCCAGCGCCGCGCTGCCGACGGAGAGATCCCGCACTAGCTCTTTTGACCAGCCGCCGCCTCTGACGGCACCTATTCGGCCCGAGTACTACGTCTGGCCTCCCCACCTGCAGCCGAACCTCTATCCTCAGCAGCAACAGCAGCCGCAGCATCAGCAGCACCATGCCGGCTTCGGGACGTACCCGAACTCCCCATCCGCCTCCACTGCGGCCCCCGAATTTAGGAGAAGCCTGCACAGGTCGAATGCGGCGAACGAATCTGGAAGCTCGTCCAGCAGCGGCGCGCTGAGATCTCAGTCCCAGCCTGCGTCTCGGACATCTGCGCCCATCGCCCAGGCTGCCCGAGGTGTGAGCGGTGCAATGGGCAACGCGCCACAGGCCAATCTCTCGCCTTTCCCTGCCTTCGCCCCAGACGACAAAACGGATTCGGAGGCTGACGGAAGTTCGAGCAGGACTCTGCCAGACTCACCTCCCGAGGAGGACAGTGCTGGCTATCTCGGCTACTTTGTGGCTGGCTCGAACATCCCTTCTCAGAAGATCTCGGCTAATCTTAGCGTCCTCGGTGACATGGGATTGAGTCGTGCGAGTCGTCGCAGGTTATCAACCGAAGGGCCTCAGTCTGTCCTCGACAGGCGCCTACAGAGGACATCTCGGTCGCCTTCACCTCTCGGGCACGGTAGAACCATATCCGCTGGGGCGAATTCGGCGCCGCTTGCCTCCGTCCCTTTCCCGCACGGCATCAATCGATCTGCGAAAGAGGGTGCGCCGCTGGTCGCGAACGGTACCCACCCTGTGCAGGCTTCACATCTGCCCTGGCCCCCAACAGCCGCTGACGATGCCACCTATGACAATCCGCTCCACATCAGCCAGACACAATCGGCCAGCAGCCCCCTGACGACCGAGGCGACGACGGCTGCACGGCCGCAGGTGACGCCTGATTTGAGGCCAGCAGGGCCTCCTGACCGTCCGCTAGTCGTGGATGGAACCATAACCCAGTCACCTGTCTCGCCTCCGACCACGGCATCCATCCCATCGTTTGGACAGCGGCTGGCAGGCCCGCATGGTATCGGCAGCGGCTATTATGCAACAGTCCCCGGAGACGGAGCTCAAAACAAGACAAAGGCCGCAGACTTCAAGTGGCAGCGTGTCGTGTCGAGGAACCAGCCCGGAATTGCGCCACGCGATATGGCACCCCTCGACCTGGCCATGCCTGCCTCGGTGTATTCCGAGTCGCAACACCTGTCGCCGGTCTATGAGACACGGACTCCATCGCCCACGGCGTATCGCGAGAAGCTGCTGCCTATACAGAGCGTGGGGTCTTTGGACCTTCCCTGGCAGGCTCCCCGCGTACTCGAACCTCCCCACAAGCCGTCTGAGCGGAACGGGACAGCCAAGGACAATGAGCCTGGTCTCGCTCAGCTCCCACGAACCACCAGCCAAGCGGCACGAGAAAGCACCACTGCGTCCCGTACAACCAGGGGCGAACTGGAGAACGGGTCTAATTGGCAGAAGGCAAAGACGCGGAAGAAGCAATCAGACACGAGGGCTACCGGCAGAGCGTCTACGCACAGCGAGCAGCCGCCCAAGAACGAGTCGGAGAGAAAAGGCGGATGATCGAAGGCGCAGTGCAGATCGAGACCGCAACACCAGCCGCTACTGCGCGAGCGACTTGTGTTGCAGATGATAACCTGAACAGGGCCCCGAATGTTGCATTTTGGATAAGTGCATGTCACCATCAAGCCTGGTCACAGGAGACGTGGGCAGCCAGGGGCATTTGCCTCATGTTGGACAAGATACTCCTGTTCAGGATCTTGCTGGCCCCTTGGTCTAATGTGCTATCCGGACGCCTCGGGCTGGTGTTTCTGAGGTGCAACTTGTACGATTTTGCCTTTCACGAAGCCAGTGCTGATACGGTCACGATGAAGGAACACCTGCACAGGCTACGATCTTGAAGTGATCTCGAAAGTCGCCTGCAGTGTTCCCACGAGGCGATGAGTCGTCTTGTTCTATTTTTCAAACGATGGGCCAGTGTCAATTTGCGTTCTTGTTGTGTGCATCAACTTTCAGACAGGCGTCTTTTTCACGGGTTTACTACGATATCACTGGTACTATAGAAGATCATTCGAGGACAGCATACATATACCACAAACATTGAGCGAACACTGCAAAAAAAAGAAGAAACGAGGACAAGACAGGGTAGGGCATTTTCGGTTCGGCAGAGCATAAGGCATTTGCAACGTATCCACTTTCTCTTTTGCGAATGCGATTCCGATTCGGACCACACCTATGACTTCCAGTCAACCTGTTATCAATTTGGATCATGGGAAATGCGTCACGGAGCAGATGCGCAGGTTAAGCACATGTTGTTCATCGCATAATTTGGTTGGGCTAGGACGTCTCCGGTCTTAGGATTTGACGAGTATGGTGTACTGGTCGTTGTCTGTCCTCATCTGGCTCTTTGTTCTCGTCTTGCTTTTGGCTTTGTAGCATGAGTTAGGGCGCAACCCTTGGGAGATCGGCATGTCTCCTTTTACTTCGACAGGGCACCAAGTCCCTGGTAAGATATGGTGTCAACCCTACGGATGTCTGCGTCTATCTCAATTATCACCAATGCAAACCGGCAGGGATTGAGACCTTTCTGACGGCAAACGGTCAAGTCGAGAGACACAATCCAGTCAGATGGTAGCGTCGAAAGGGATGTCAAATATGCAAGATGGAGCATGGACTCGTGAAGGAATATGTTATAAGAAATGCTTTTGTTTTGGGAAGGGATAGAAGCGAGGAAATTGTTTCGTCACTGGATGGAGTTTACGTCACGGCATGGATACTGAACATAAGAGGGCACCACGGATGGTTTGCTGTCAATACCACATAGACTGGGAGAAGGGGGGAGGGGTAACGTTGGGTGCATCTTTTCAAAGACGCGCATGAAAAAGAAAAACAGGGACAAAGTGCGGATTAAAAAAAAAAAAGTCCATAAAAACAAAATAAAAAAAATGTTGAAAATCTATTTAAAAGGATATATCAGTGTATCTTGGCTGCTACGTATGTAACACTGCCGCTTGGGATGAGAAACGTTGCATGTCAAAATGACTTGATTTGAGGTCATGTGGGACGTTTTTCTTTTGTTGGGGGGATTTCCTTGAATCCTACCCACGGATCCATGCTATCATTCCCCAGTCATAGGCAGCCAAGGCTCGATACACACAGATGGGCAGAAAGAATCCAGGCGTGGTAGACACAAACATAATATCCATGTACCAAAGCCTGCAGTCTCGTAGGACGAGATCACGGTCGTCCAAGGTCCTAGCCAGCTATGACAAGGACATAATTCCGTGTTCGTACGAGGTGCGGCTCTGAATTTCAGGGGGGGGGGGGGGAAAGAAGGATATCTAGCTACTAAAAACGAAATAGTCCGTCTGCGGTGTCATTATCATTGTCATTGTTCAATCATCATCTTCATAGGGACCAGTAGATATCGACCTTGACAGACTGGACAAAGTTGACCCAGCTGCCGAATCTGGACATAGCCCAGACGGTGACGACATCACCCAGCTTCAGGCTCCGGACAAAAGCACCATCACCCGTCGCCTCACCGCGGCCCATCTCCTTCAGTTCCTCGGCGGTGAGTGGGTCCTTGTCGTCGTTCCAAGACCAAACCACCACGTGAGTGGTGGGATCGCGGATGGCGGTCTTGTTGTGCTGGATAGTAAGCTGGCGGTCGGGATGAAGGGGGTGATCAAACTCAGGTCGGTCGGCATAAACAGCCGGGTGGATGGGTCGCAGGGCGTAGACGGGCAAATACGGATCAGGGAGCGGATCGTCGTGAAGAGGTTCCGCGTCCTCCTCTGCCTGAGGTTCCCTTTCTAAACACCCTTGGGGACGGGCAGCGTTCTTGTCAAACCTCTCCAGACCAGCGCAGAAGAAGGTGTTGGAGCCCCTGTAGGACCCCCTGTCTCGTAGAGCGTTGCCTGACCAGCCCTGGTCGTGGCTGGTGATGGTGAAGACGATCTTGCGGCACGGGTGCTCGAGAGTGCTGGTGGGGCTTTGGATCCAACTCTGGAACTGGGAAACTGGGTATTCGCCGTCAGGGGAGAGAGGCTGTGGCGGGGCTCTTGTAAGGGCGTAATGGCGGTCGTCGTAGTGCGTCTTCCTGGTGAAGCCCAGAGGCTGCGAGCGCAGCTGTGATGGTTGTCAGCAGGGAAGCGTCGTACGCACATAAGGTCACATCACCATAGCCGCAGCAGCAGCAGACTCACCAGGAAGTGGTTCTCCGTTGCCCTGCCAGACCTGACAGTGACACTGGCATCGAGGAGGGCTGTTGTGTGAGGCCAGTATTCGGCGGCTTCGACGATGGACAGCACGACCTCGGGTGGTAGCCTCAGTCCCTGCTGCAACATCGACTTGACGATGATTACATCCATGGGCGACGGCTCGTAGAGTAGTTGGGCGCTCGCGCCACTTGAGGAGGAGGAGGCATGAGAGCTGGACGGGGACACAGGCTGAGACCCGGACGGAGATGTTGTCGAGGTGGAGGAGGGAACGATACCCAAGGTGCGGTTGACAAAGCTCTGGAGGAAAGGGAAGAAAGACATGAAGGGCAGGAGGAGGAGGAGGACTGTGAAGATTGTCCCGAGGAGGCTCATGAGCTGTGTTGCAAGTGGTCTGTCCTGGTCCCTTCCTATATGGTTGTAATACCAGCGAATCACAGTGTATGTATGCAAGTTGTGGTTGTGTATTGATGAAGGGCTCAAAAATGTGACAGCGTTGCAGTCATACTTGACCAGCAGCAGCCTAGATCTGACGTATCTGTGTTGTATTGTTGTACCATGTATGTCGAACCTGGAGCCTGCGAACGTACTCTGTACTTTTGACGCGTGGTAGTTACTACTATGGTAGGTGGTGTTACTGCTGTATACATAGTAGAGTACATGGGCGGTCGCCAAGGGTGTAGTGGGGAATGCGGGGCTACGTCATCCCCTTATCTCTTATCTTCTAAACACCCCTAAGGGGTAAGCACAGTAAAAAGTTCTGGAGCGATCGCGGGATGACAAAGTTGCGAATGATTACAAACCCCGCCTGCCGTTTCTGCTTCATTCCCTTCTCACCTGCGTTGATCGTACGACAAGGCGTGTGTGTGTGTGTGTATGTGTGTCGTGGGTGGGAGGCTTTTATCTCCCACGCCTCTCATTGTTCTTTCGTCTGTCATCCTCGTCGTTTCACATATCGCACTCCAATGAAGCTGTCGTGAAGATGAGCGCTCAACGATCAGTCGCAGGAGCTCTCCTCCGACTCGCCAGTGTTGGCACTGGGGGCCGCAGCAGTTCCAGCACCACAACCGCTGCTCATAAACTTGCACGACTCGCCTCAACATTTCCTCAACGGTCCTCACCTCGGACGATCGCTCCATCGACCCAGCGATGCCTTCACTCGACACCCTCCCGCTCCAGCGGCGCCTCCAACCCCGCCATGTCCTTTCCCTGCCTCGATGCCGTCGAGACTACCTCCGCTACACTCGAGGCCAAGTCCTCTACCTCTGGCCCCGAGCCTTCCTACACCACGGGGGCTACCCTCAAATACCACTGTGACACCCCGATCCTGCTGGACTGGGGAGGAACGCTGCGCGAATTCGATATTGCCTACGAGACGTGGGGCACGCCCAATCACAACAGGTCCAACGTGATCCTGCTGCACACGGGTCTGTCTGCCTCGTCCCACGCACACTCCACCGAGCTGAACCCGCAGCCTGGATGGTGGGAGAAGTTCATAGGACCCGGCTGTGCTCTGGACACCGACAAGTACTTCATAATATGCACCAATGTTCTCGGTGGCTGCTACGGCTCGACCGGTCCCAGCAGCATCGATCCTGCTGATGGCCAAAATTATGCCACACGTTTCCCCATCCTGACTATAGATGACATGGTGCGCGCCCAATTTAGGCTGCTGGACCACCTCGGGGTCGACAAGCTGTACGCCAGTGTCGGGTCCAGCATGGGCGGCATGCTGTCCCTGGCGGCCGCCGTGCAGTTCCCAGACCGGGTGGGCAGGATCGTCTCCATCAGTGGGTGTGCCCGGAGCCACCCATACAGTATAGCCATGCGCCACACCCAGAGGCAGGTTCTGATGATGGATCCCAACTGGAACAGGGGTTATTACTACGGCAAGATTCCTCCTCACCACGGCATGAAGCTCGCCCGCGAGATTGCCACGGTTACCTACCGCTCCGGCCCCGAGTGGGAGCAGCGCTTCGGCAGGAGGAGGGCTGACCCGGCCAAACCCCCGGCCCTGTGTCCGGATTTCCTCATCGAGACGTACCTGGACCACGCCGGCGAGAAGTTCAACCTGACGTACGACGCCAACAGTCTCTTGTACGTCAGCAAGGCCATGGACCTTTTCGACCTGGGCGGCGAGAACAGGTCGCGCACCGCAGCCCGGCGAGCGGAACGAGAGACGGAGCTCACTTCGGGTGGCGGCTCTGTTGGCTTTGATGCCAGCTGCAGCCTAACCCTGCCGGAAGATCCATACGAGGAGCAGCCAGGCACCAGTGAGGGCGAGGTAGACCCGAAGCAAGCCCTGAGCGCGAAGCCACCCGCGGATCTCGTCGCCGGCCTCGCTCCCCTGCGCGATCACCCGACACTTGTCATGGGCGTGGCCAGTGACATCCTGTTCCCCGCGTGGCAGCAGCGTGAGATTGCCGAGACGCTGAGGTATGCTGGAAACAGGAAAGTCACGCATGTTGAGCTCAGCGAGGAGCAGAGCATGTTTGGTCACGACACCTTCCTGCTGGACCTGCAGAACATTGGAGGAAACATCAAGACCTTCCTGGGTTGATAAGGGGACCAGGACGAGATATGGTAATCAAAAAACTTGTCTGTCAGTATCTTGGGGCGACCTTTTCTCATCGCAAGACATGAATGCCTGGTAAGAAGATGGGTACTTATCATCTCAGGTGAGGCGACCATCGGAGGCATCTTCGAGAGACCAAAACTCCAGTGGCCAGGAACTTCTCATCCTCGTGCCATATTATATATATATATGCCAGATCTGTGCACATCCTCTATATACCCGCAAGGTTCAATATTCAATCTAGCTCATTCCAATTTCAAAAGTATCTAGCGAAGACAAACTAAAGTCGATGAATGTTGCTCCGTTGCGCTGTATGCATATAAAATATCAAACTTGCGGGGACGACATGGGAGGTGGAACTGAGCCATTGAAGATTCAACCACAGCAGAGGGAAAAGAAGTGGTCCAGGTCAAGTCTTTGGTCAATTCATCTCATCTTCTTAACCTGCAACCAGCTGCGAGTGTGTGTGATATGAAGAAGAACATTGCCTGTTTCGGCAGCCAGCCGTGATCTGATTGGTCTGCCGCAACATCGACTCATGCACTACTTGGCATACTCTGTAGCACATTTCTGACCTGGACCTGGTAGTAAGACAATTAGCATTCAAGCTGAGCTTGGTCTGGGCATTTCTTGGGCGTGATGTTCTTGTGCTCAGCAGTTTTGTAGATGACTTGATATAAATGGCTGGCTGTATGAGGGTGTGATTTTTTGGTGGGTAAAAAGACAAGTGGGGGAAATTGGATTGAAGTCTAGGGTAAGTGGTTACCCTAACCCTGGTTCTTCCCATCTGGTCCCTGGACGGCCAGCTACACCTTGGTCTGTCTATTCAGTGGTACAAGAGATCAGGCTTGAAGGGGCTTTGACTACTACTACCTACGATGATAATCATGGCCACTGGTGAGAGAAAGGAAAGAAGGAAAAAGGAGAGAAGGATTTCCGAGGGACAAGAAATCTGGAGGAGAACTTGTTAAAAGCGTCAGCTAACTTTGGGTACCCCCCCCCCCCCGGCCGGTTCTTTTACATACTTCATATACTCATCATTCATTCTTAAATTACCCAGAAAATGGTGATCATGTTCGAATACCAAGTAGCCACTGAACTAACAGAACCTGAAAATTGTTGTTCATCCCCCAGTGGGAGGTTTTATAAGATTACTGGTCATTTCCATGGAGGCTTTTCATGACTTTCTCAAGACTACCTCAAATCCAAAGCGTGCCAGGGCATGATCCCGCGGCTCAGGGTCATCGAGTGTTGAGACTGTATAAAACATCTGCACGAGTGGACTTCCCAATACTCTCGACTTTGCGATTACTAGTACCCAGACAGAACATAGATTTTTACAATACCATAATGATTGGTTCTGTTGACTCCGAGTAATCATACGTGTCCTGATGCTCTCTGGTTGAAGTATCATGTTCGTTCTCCCGCTCCACGTTTTCAAGCATCACTCAGAAGCCTTTCAGGCTCGCATCCATGTATCAAGTCACATACGTACCAGTCTCGAAAGAAAGTCAGTAAGATCTCCCTGTGACGCTAAATACCATATTTCGGAAAGAAGCCAAGATGGATAGAGAACTCACCTGCCAGACTTCCACAGAGACTTCTTCCGTGTCGACCCGCGCTACATACCCATACGCAACCACATAGTTCAGGTAGTTGTACGCAGAACACGCCGTCTCGAACGTCAAAAACACATTCGGCGAGTGGCCTGTCTCTCTGGCCAGGATAGTGCACCCGTCGGATGTCTGCAGAAGAGCCACGACGTTCGGGTTGAACTCGCCGTTGGTGTCTTGCATGCCAATATCAAGACCGCCAATGACCGTGCCTAGGGGTTGTTATTGATTGTTCTTTATCAGAAACAAGAATGCTCAGGAGGTTCATGTTCAGGTCCTTTTGAGTCCAATAACATCGAGTGCTTCGATAAGAGTACATGAGACGGACAGAGAAAAAATGTGTGTGTGTGTGTGTGTATGGCTGCTGGCTCACCCTCGATCGCAGGTCCGGTGAAACTACCACCCTGGACCGGCTCAAACACTTGGGTGCCCAATGGTGTGGATCCAAGATCGGTGAGCGTGCCGTCTTCAAGGTACAGAGTGAAAAGGTATGCCAATGCAGGAGCCGTTGGAGCGGTGTTGTTTGCTGAGCGTGCTGATAGCTTTGTCGTTGGTAGGGCCGATGCTGCGGCCGCCAGACCAAGCAAGGAAGTGAAGAGGGAGGACAACATTTTGAACGACAAGTCAAACGCTTCTTTTCTTTCTTTCGTAACAGCTTCGAGGCTGGTCACATAAACTCCCAATCGATCGTCGGTCCTGCATAACATAAAGCAAGTATGTTTGTACGACGGTTTGGATTTTTGCAGCTGACATCTATTATATAATCACTTCCTCCCTTGCATTACAAGCCAGTCTTGATTCTTCTATAACTCCGAACAATTACTCCGAATCCTTTAAGATCTAGCCCAAGGGGTGAAGGTGTCTACGCAAATACAACAGTGTCGATTCCAAATAATTATTATTATTATTCCTATTCGAGTCGCGCCGCAGAGTCCCTTCAGCCCCCATGTGAACGATTGCGCCAGGAGTGCGCGGCGTCTATGAATACATCAGCGTCCGGCTCTCAGATGCTAGGGCTGATATTGGCTCGCCCGAGTCCCAGTCTATGGTCCAGCCGCATGTTCCTAATGTAATAACATGTCATCTTTGTTGTGATCGAGACAGTCTATTGATGACTACGGCTGCGTTTGCAGCTCGCCAAGTCCCGTTCGACCTATTGGACGGTTCCAAGGGCCTAGCCGACTCTAATTACTGAATACTGAGTGCTGCGGCGGGAGATACCTTCAGTGAGTATGCTTCATGGGTCGCTGTGTCCCAATCTGGCTTGTCGGACCCGTCTACCACCCATCATTCTTCATACTCCTCGTTCTTGTCCTTGCCGCTCCTTTCCCTAATCCTTATAATGTTCATATAACACAATTACCTCGAGAAATCGGCCCTTGTTTCAATTCATCCAGTAATGTTGATTTTGCACGGCTAATATTTTTGAAAAGAATAATGATAGAGACTCGGAAAATGATTGTCAACTAATTCGACCCATCAATTGCGAGAAATCCTCCGATATTCAATCAAAGCCTAAATCAGCAAATGAGTATTAAGTTCGGAAACAATCACCTCACTCTGCAAAGACCTCAATTACGTCATTAAAAACATATTGATCAATACAAACGGCAGAATAGTTTGCTTCAACAGAGTTTGTGGGGCCATCGTGAACCTTCTCAACGCGGCTCAATTACTGATGTGTCACCACCAGTGATGCCATCCGGACAGAAATTTGCAGCTACGCCGAAGGCTACGAGGCTGTGGCGCGGCTCCACAAGGTGAATAATGAGAATTCGCGTTTCAGAGGGATAAACATGCGGCAGGAATTGCGCAGGTTCCCAAGGGAGAATTCGCCGAGTTACCGAGAATCGTCCGCCGTAGTGAAGAGTTTTTCTTTCAAGAGTGGAACTGCGGATGGAGTGTGCTCGGGAAGGCTTCGGTCCACAGCAAGGCGCCAAGAGTGATTGATGATTGTGGGCATGACCTCGTCGGGCAAACCGTGTATCATTTTCTGTGTGAGGTTTATCTGCTCACTGGTCCTTTAAAGGGGGGGATAGTTATTTATTCAGCTCGAAAATGGACAATCATGCGGTGAACTCCGGACCGCTGCACTTTCTTACACGTCCCCTCTCAATGCCCACTCCTGATGGATTTTACTCCTATGCCTATCGTATGTTGCCTCACCTGAGTCGCGGCAGGATTTTGTAGTCCGAGATAACTAACTAGCCCTTCCGGAGCGGAAGCGGAGTGGATCGTGGATCCCCCAAAAACATGGAGTGGCATGATAGACTAAAGTCTTTTGGGAGGACAAAATTCGTTGCGACGAAAATTGATATTAAAAGGAAACGGGGGGCCATGGAGGAGAAGAAACCGGTGGAAACCAACGCAATCATAATTCATCACAGGCACCGTGGCTGAGAAGAAGAACAACTGCCAGCAACGGGGGGATGCATAGGAAATGATTGAAAAAGACAACGCCGAGAATGACCCGACTGGAATTCTATCATCAGACTCATCCGCAGTAATTCTGCTGAAGGATGACCCGCCCAATGGCGGGCTGAGGGCATGGCTCCAAGTACTCGGAGCTTTCTTCATGTACTTTAACACTTGGGGTAAATGCCGTCCAAACCAATTTTGTATTCATATTGAAACAGAGAGAGAGAGAGAGAGAGAGAGAGAGAGAGAGAGAGAGAAACGGAGTGACGAGCCTAATCATTAACGTTTTTTTTTATTACGCAGGTATTGTTTCGAGTTATGGGAGCTACCAAGAGTACTATGAAGAGTCAATCCTCAGCACGAGCACCTCCTTCCAGGTCTCTGCGATCGGCGCGATCCAAAGTTTCTTCATGGTGTTCCTAGGATTTCTCGCCGGCCCTATCTTCGATAAGGGGTATTTCAAACCTCTTGTCAGGGGCGGAACGCTCCTCGTGCTGCTGGGGACCGTTACACAGGGCTTTTCGACCCGATACTGGCAGTTGCTGCTGTCGCAGGGCGTCTGCGTTGGTGTGGGAATGGGATGCCTGGCTGTTCCGAGCATAGCTGTCCCGTCCGCGTGGTTCACGACCAAGATGCCTCTGGCAAATGGCATTATAGTTTCAGCGAGCGGATTTGGTGGGTACGTATTCCCCCCTTTAGCCGGCGACCTTTCATGGAGAGAGAGAAAGGTCCGGGTGCCGTTTTGATTTTGCCTTCCACTGCAGTTGGTCTTACTTGAAAAGAAGAGAAAAGCTAATGTATATACACCATTCTCAGGGTTGTGTATCCAATCATGATCAAGTACTTGATCCCGCTCGTCGGCTTCAGGTATGCAAGTCTGAGCGTGGCGTTGGTGGTATTTGTCACATTGGGAATATCCAATGTGGTCATGAGCCAGCCCGAGTCCTCGCGACCAAAGAGGGCCTTTTTCGATCGAACAGTTTTGACGGACGTGCCATATCTTCTCTTCGTCCTCGGCTGCGTGCTCACGTTCCTGGGCCTGTACACAACCTTCTTCTACGTTGCCGATTTCGCAGTCGAGACGAACGTCATTAAAGAAGGCGTGGCAACATATCTGGTCACGGTCTTGAATGCTGCGTCCATCCTCGGACGCATCCTGCCTAACATCCCACAGATCACGCAAGGACTGGGGCCATTCAACATGATGATTATCTCGGTGTCGTCTCTGGCCCTCCTCGTGTTGTGCCTCAACGCCGACGCTGGCCTCGCGGGTCTCATGACGATAGTCAGCTTCTATGGGTTTTTCACAGGTTCCTATTTCTCTCTACAGCCCACAATCTTCTGGCGACTCACGGCAGATATGAACCGTCATGGGACCCGGATGGGCATGGCATCGACGTGCATGAGTTTTGGGCTTCTGATTGGGGCGCCAGCTTCTGGGGCGCTGTTGAGAACGTTTGGGTTCCAGGCCAGCTGGGCTTGGAGCGGGGTGACGCTGTTCTTGGGTTCCATGGCCATACTTGGCAGTCGAGGGCTGACAGGAGGCTGGTGCCCGTTCAAGAGCGTCTGAGAGACAGTCAGTGTGAGGGCTGGTTGGTGGTCCAGTGGGAAGAAGTCTGGCCGTGTTTAACACAAGAGAAGGACAGGAGAGGCTGAGGATGTAATGGGATGGGCGGCCTCAGACTTGGCTAGGGGATGGTCTTTTGATTCTTTTTTTCTTCTCCAAGATACCCAATGTCAATTTCACGTACCTGATTTCAACCACAGAGCATTCTGAGGGAGCCTATTTCAATATTGTAGGCATTGTAGAACAAAATAACATGCGGCGATAAGTGACAAGACAGAAGTGAAGGGCAACCCAAGGTCTCCAGCAGTGTGGTTCACCTGGTCAGGCAACGCATTCAATACCCTACTTAATCTTATAGATTTCATCCGAACATTGGCCCCATTTACCTGCCCGACGCGTTTACTTCCAAGGTCTGGCACCTTTCCACGAGCCTCGCGACTTGGTGCTGTGTTGTCTAAGAACGCAACAGCAGCAATTCAAACCAACAACAATAACACTTCGAGGCGACCCAACCAGCTACTGCTTTGATCTCTTTCTATTCCACTCTCTGTCTCTTTTCTCTGATGTCTTCCACCGCAACGAAATAGCGACCTCGAAAGCAACACACGCTTTCCAAACACTTCAGAATTCACAACAACATCAAGCAAGATCGCTATCCTGATCACCATCATCAACAACGGAAACCTTTTTTCTCTATTTCTCTCTCTCTCCAAGATGGCGTTCACCATCTTCAACAAGATCCTCGGCCTGTTGATGGCGGCCACCGTCCTCATCGCGGGCCAAGCCCTCCCCACGCACCACCTTAACCGCGGTCGCAAGCAGGAGGAGATGGACCGCGTCGTCGATGTCTGGAGGATGCCCACACCGCAGGAATTCTACGCGGTGTGCGGAATCGGGCCTGACGAGCGCCTCCCGCTTCCTCCTGAGGGGGATGCTCGCTATGCGCTCCTCCCAGGTCCATCCAGCCGTCGTCGTCCTTCCTCCTCCTCTTGCCCTCGCTCGCGCTCTCACCCTTGCCCTTCTGAACCCGACAACACCAGACCGACCGATGCGGACATCATGTGTGTTCCATCACACATCCCCAAGGTGAAGAGCGCCAGGCTGAACTGGTTGCTTCACGACCTCATCGTGTCCCACCCTGAGGTTGACAGCTGTTCGCCGCAGGGGCGAGCTCAACTCTACGAGCTCGCCAAAGCCGAAGAGGCCCAGAGGCAGCAGCTGGAGTCGTCTCAGCTGCATGAGCTGTTGCTGCAGAAGAAGAAGAAGAAGAAGCAGCAGCAGCAGCAGCAGCAGCAGCAGCAGCAGTCCAAGGCAGATCGACCTGTGGCCACCGTGTTATCGTCTCCTGCTGCTATCATCATCATCGACGACGACGACCAAGGACTGGCTGCCGACCTTGCCGACGAGGGAGACGCGGTCTAGGAAACCGTGTCCTCTTGTTCGAACAAGAGCGAGCAGGCCAGTCCTATAGCCGTCGTGACTGATGATGATGATGATGACGCACAGGTACAGCAGCACGATGGTGTACAGGTTTCGACCGAGGGGCTCTCCCCGAAGTCGTCACAGCAGGACACAGCTGTGGCGCATCTCATACAGCCCTCCCACGGTCTCGAGGAGAATGCTGCCAACCATGAGGATGACAGCAGCAGCAGCAGCAGCAGCAGCATCATCATCATCAGCGATGGTGGTGATGATGATGAACTTCTTGTGGTCGGCTCCGAGAGAGGGCAGGCCTCGGCCTGTACCAGCACTGACCCCACACCTCCAGAGGACAATAGCACCCTCTCGGATGGTGCAGTGGAAGATGAACTGAATTGCAGCCCTAGCATGGCTGCTAATCCGACTTCTCAGGCTGAGGCGGCCGAGGAAGACACTGTTCTCCCGAATAGAGAGGAGGCAGTGGGTGAAGATGCATCCATCACAGTGATCGTGGATCCAGAACCCAGCGGAATAATAGAAACCAGCTCTTCTTCTGAGGTCGTCGAGGACGTCGCCGAGAACTTCAACGAGATCGCCGCCGAGAGCGACGCCCACGCCCAGGTCCACATCGACGACGACGAACACATAGATGCGCCGGAGCCGATGGAGGTCGACGACGTGCAGGTTCGTCCTGAGGGTCTTCTCGTCCATCCCACGCCACAGCAGCAGAAGCAGCAACAACAACAAAAACAACAAGAAGAAGAAACCGAGGTCTCTCAAATCAAAGAGGACCCGGTGGGTGAGTCGATGGATCTGGACGAGGGACGATCTGAGGAGGTGTGGACCGAGATAATGGCGGACCTGGAGAACAGCTTTCCAGAGGATGATCCCATGGCGGACGTCCGAGTTGTCGACCAGGAGGAGGACGGCCAAGTCCTTAGTCAGGAGGAGGAGGTTCGTCGTCCCCCCAGGTCACCAAAGGGCAAGGAGATGGCTACCTTCGATATGCCCCCTACCCCGTACGAGATGACCTTGCCGCACCCCCACTACGACGACGATAACAACAACGACAACCATCACCAGCAGGCCATGGAAGATGTGCAGATGGTCGACGAGCAGGTCGCCCAGTGCAGTAATCAGCAGCAGCAGCAGCAGCAGCAGCAGCAGCACCGCACCAACTCCCTGACCAGGTACACCACCAACGACTCCATGGAGTCCATCGAACAAGTCGGTGGCAATTGCGTTTCCGGGCCGTCCAAGACAGAGGAGGTTTCGCAGGACACTGGTGGTGACCCAATGGAGGAGATACAGGTTTTCGAAGAGGATGCTCATCCCAAGTCTTACTCAAAGGACAAAGAGATGGCCCACTCCAACAACCCGACACCTGCACCGTACCCGACCGAGTGCATAACCACCGACGACCACCTCATGCAAGATGTCCACAAACAAGAAGACGTCCACATACCAGAGGAAGAGGAGCATATCTATGCAGAATCGTCGAAGGCCAATGGGGTTCAGCAGCAGCAGCAGCACTTCACGGAGCGCCATGCCGAACAAATCAACACGGACTACCACATGAGGGACGTCATCCAGGTTCGTGAAGAGAAGAATGTTACTTTGAAAGTGCACCGATACCGCCAACAGCAGCCATGCTCACCAACAACAGCCTTGGTTATCCCGCGCCGTCAACCCAGGCAGCCCAAAGTCAAGCCTGTCAAACCCATTGTCAAACCCAACCAGCGAGTCATCTTCAAGAAAGTCGGCGACAAGTTCTGCGGCTTCCAAGTCATCCCTCGGCCAGGCGGACCAAGAGATCCGACCGACAATGACAATAACACGCACGTGTCCCTGGCGCCCATGGTCCAGAAGAGAAAGTGGGACGAGCCACACAGCCAGAGCCAAAAGGGCTACTGCACCGCGGCCATCCTCTTCCGGGCCTTCCACTACTTCCAGTCCGAGGTCCACACGGGCCGCGTCGTGGAAGAGATCCGCCGGCTCACAGCAACCATGCTCCCCGACATGTACAGCGCAGCCGAGGCCAAGGTCTACGAGAGCGCCCTCAAGTTCGACAGGGAGGCTGTCGAGTGGCGGGGGACCGACCCAGCCCAGCTCCGCACCTACGTGGGAGGCGGCAGGTGGCGCTCGACCACCATCACGACCTTCCACAAGTTTGTCTGCGACCGCGGCTACCGGCCCTCGCACCGCGGGCCCTGGTCCATTGTGGAGGGCGTGCGGCTCATCATGGAGTACATGACCTACCGCATCCCCTTCCTCAACACCAACTCGCACGTCCTCAACTTCCTCGAGCGCCGCCTCACCCCCTGCGTCGAGTTTGCCATGCGCACGTGCGACCCAGGCCTCGGCGCCACGATACACGGCACGGCGAGGGAGCACGTCCTGCCTGCGCCCGAGCGGCCCGAGCACCGCATGTACTCCCGCTCCTACGCCGCGCCCCTGTTCGAGCTCGTGCGCGCCCGCCTCTTCTTCTGGGTGATCCACCTGGCCCCGACCAAGATGGGCACCCTCGACATCAAGTCGGCGTGGAGCTGGGTCCAGGACGTCAGTGACGCCTGCACCTTCACCAAGCAGGGCAGGGTCCACCACGTCTGGGAGGTCAAGGACAACAGCGGGCAGGTCAGGGCCAACTGGCGCGCCCACGACGTCGCCGACCCCGACCAGCTGCGGGGCTGGTTCTTCACCTGGCTCGACAACGTCGTCTGCCCGCGGCTGCACAAGCTCACCAGACACGAGCCCGACATGTACAGGTACTGGGTGTGTCTGCGGCACGAGCTGGACCTGGAGATCTCGGATTACCTGCTCGACTTTAAGGGCTGGGGTCCCGACCGGCATGGGCCGCAGCTTTCGAGTGCGCAGGCCATTGCTGATATTATTGCACAGAACTCTGGGTAATTTGAAGCCTGCGTCTGCGAGATAGTCAGTGGTCTTTGTTTGTTCCAAGGGGGGTGTTGGGCCAGATGGAGTGCCGTCTGTTAGAGAGAGGGACGGAAAGAACAGTCCCGGGTTCTATTTGTTTTCTTTTCTTCTTCTTTTTCTTCGGCTCGTTGCTTTTCATGTTGTTGTTGTTTTTTTTTGTTTTTTTTTTTTCGGGTTATTTTTGAAGGTGGACTTGATGGTGCACAATGACCACACCTACTATTGTGATGGCACCATATTTATGGGAAAGGGAACTTTGGCGTATTGATGTGAAGGGAAAAGGCATGATGGATACGAATTCGGAAGCCCAAGTGGAACAAACATCAGATTAGGAAAGTCAATCAGACTCACGACGCCCATCATCTCGGGCCAGATCAGATTTGATTTGAGTTTTGATGAAACCTGTGGGAATGCACATCGACCCGTGTCCAATCCTTCACAGTCTCTCGTTCGCCCTCCCTTTCTGTTATTGCACGATAGAACACGACGCACAAGTAGGCTCACGCTGCCTGCTTCTACTTTTTGACACAACTTGTGTTCAAGTTGTACGATCCCTCGCATCGTCCTCGTGCTTTTCCAGCATGCCATGCTCCTCGACAAGATTCTGGGTATCACCGAGAGTCTGGTTCGGTAGCAAGTACACCAGAATAAAGCCAGGAGTGATCTAGGAAAGAAAAAAAAAAGAAAAAAAAAATAGGCGTCAGTGAGCAATGGTTTGAAGTTTTCGATCAGTTGTGGTGTGTAGCATAAGATGAAGGAGTAACAGTGCAGAAGGAGAGAACAGGAAAGTCTGAACTGACAATAACCATGGCTGCCACGAAAAAGTAAGAAGTGACTGTGTTGTACTGAAAAACAATGACAAAGTTAGTTTGTCTTTCACGATCCTCCCCACGGTCTATATCTCATCATCATCATCATCATCATCATCGTCATGGAGGAGAAAACATTACTGCTTTGACAATGGCGATTCTCTCGGCCGTTCCCCAGGCAGGTATCGCGCCCGTGATGGAGTTGAACAGCGTATTGATCAGCCCGGGCGTGGCGCTGTCCCCGAGCTCCCTGGCCAGCTCCTCTCGGAACGTGCCCGTGTAGATGGCCCCCGAGATGGCATCCCCCACGCTCTGTCCCAGGATGCCAAACAGCACGGTCAGGGCGGTCATCTGCGCCGCCTCTGAATGGGGCACATTGATGGTCGCCGCGACGAAGCCGCCCGTCTGCACCAGGCCGTCGCCCAGGCCCTGGATCATCTGCACAACGTACAGCTCGGCGTAGGGCGGGTTCGTCTGCGTGCGGATGTGGAACATGACGCCGTAGCCGATCATGCGGACTACGCAGCCCAGCATGATCCACCACTTGTACTGGCGCGTCTTCCACATGATGAAGCCGAAGCCGATGCCGACGAAGACGATGGTGACTGCGTTTGTGTAGGATAAATAGGTGCCTTGTAGGACGGACATGTTTTGCGCGATGATGGCCCAGCTGTAGAGGGTGAGGTGATTGATGCAGTTTGTTAGCCAGGCATTGAATGACAAACCTTTATCCAGATTGTTTGGGAAGGAAGAGAAGAAAAAAAAAAAGACAATAAACGTACTTGTAAAGGTAGCTATGAGACGAAGCTGCTGCCATGTAATCCAAAAAGTACAAGAGAAAAGCGAGACAAATGACCCGGTTCTTGATGTACCGGCCAGGAAAGAAAGGATTCGAGGCCACCCGCGCTTCATACAGAGGAAGAACCACCAGCAAGCCAATCGGACCCAGCACGAACAGGGCGATGATCCACGGCGTGCGATACCCCTGCGGCTGCAGCGACGCCAGAGCCAAGGGCACGAGGATGAAGCCGAGAGACACCACGGCGATGACCAGGCCGCCCAGGTCGAGGGCGGCGCATACCTGGAGGAAACTCGGCTTGGGCTTGGTGCTGGGCGGTGCTGCCACGAGCTGCGCCTCGAGCCTCCTGGCGCGCCGCTGGAAGACGAGCATGATGATTGTGATGGCGGCGACGCCGACTGGGTAGCAGATGGCGTCGATTCCGATCCCCCAGTGCCAGCCTAGACCGCCTGCAGACATGACCGAGTCGATGCTTTTGGATTTTTTTAAATTTTTTTTTTTTGCTTAGTCTGAAGCTCTGGAGAAAGGAAAAAAATACGAGATGCAAAAGGAAAAGAAAAGAAGAAGGCTCGGGGGAAGGGGAAGGTCTAGGGGATTTTACTTACACGTAGCCAGAAATCCAGGGCATAATAATATAAGGCCAGAACTGAAACGAAACACCAAATCCTCTCTGCCGAGTCGTGGTGAAATCAGTGATAATCACATCGTTCATGGAATTAATAGCCGTCATGCCCAAAACCCGGATAAAAGTCCCCGCCGCGATGGCCGGAAAGGACCTCGCAGAGGCAGAGACGACGAGCCCGATCGTGATGAAGACCAGGGCGACTGGGTACATCTCGCCGCGCCCGTATATGTCGGACGTCTTGGCCCAGAAGGGCTTCATCAGGGCGAAGACGAGGTCGCAGACTACGATGAACGCCGAGGACGCCGAAATGTTCTCAAAGTCGGAGAGGGCGTAGGTGTAGTAGGTTCCGAAGGTGGTATTGTCGAACTCGCTGGTTCCCGCAGGAGTCTCAGTACATGGTGTGTTACGGGGTTCTTCTGCGTAAAAGAAGTGGGGAGGAAGATTGATGATATGTGCTTGACCAAAGTCTCAACTTACTATGCGAGCATGCACAAGCCTAGACCGAAAAACACCCAGAATTTGCCATGTTTGCCCCACGCAGACTCCATGAGCTCGGCCCTCTTCGCTCCCTCCCCGCTGAGCCCAACATCCGGCAGGTCTTGCTTGAGGCTTCCGGCATCTTGTTGTAGCGAGGGTAGCCTCTGGATAGGAAGCAGGTCGCTGGGCTCAGCTTTGGAGGACATGGTGCCTGGCTCGGCTGTCTTCTCCTCTGAAGACATTGATGTTGATAAGTAAGACGGCCAACAAGGAGGGGTAGTGAGGTACTGTCGATTTGGTATCATGAACCTGGGGGCTCTCTCATTTCTTCCCACGTTGTTCAGGCGGACCCGCGTGTATATTATAATAACACACACACCGATAAAGTCGTCGACTGTCGCTGTTGGATATTTCAGTAATCAAGTTATTGGCCACTCTTCTTTCAGCTCTGAGATTGATGGACTTACCTGAACGACAACTCACTGCAGGATATCTGCGGGCTCGGAGATAAGGCAAGATCTCATGATGGCCGTCTGATAATACGTTGCAGAGTGTAGATGTTACCTGCAGATCTCAAAGCAGGTCTGGTGGGACACGGCACATGCAAGCACACAAAATGGAGGTTGAACATTCTTCATTTGAGGGGCCCTGTTAAAGTTACCCTAACTCATCACACTCACTGGTGCATTGCACTGTCGCTCGTCCAGTATAGATAGGACTTAACGAAACCTTGTTCGATGATAGCCAATGGATAGCCAGAAACCTTTATTAAGACTGTAGAGCTTGGCCTGGGCCTGCCTGGCTGCTCCCTCTCCGCCCTTGCATTCCTCGGTGGATGGCCAACGGTTCTTGCTATTTCCAAAAGAGGAATCCGCATGTGAATGGGATCGGCTGACAGATAAGAAAGATGTTGGCAGACCAGTAGCAGCTTGTGCGTCAGACAAAAGAGATAGCGTGGCCTGGTGTTGAGATAGCGTGCTGAGTCGACTGCCTTTAACTAGACAATTAGACGCTGATAGACCTCTCTCAGGACTTGGACCTTTGGTAAAAGTCGTGTCTCTCAACCTCAAACAAGCCCCTATCTCAAGCAGATTTGGGTATACCAGGGCCTGCTGCGGTTATATCGATAGTGGCGTGGTTTATCCCCGTATTCCCCCAGTGTAACGACCAAGTGCCTGCTGTGACCCTCTGGAGTCAGGGCTCTCGGTAACTGTACCGGGAATACGCCAATCGCAACGTCCCTATTACTCAACTGTTCCTCATCCCATGCATGCCGTACTGTATGTACTCATCATCCGCTTGGGAGAAGATGGCCCTCTTTCTCATGCTGTGAGATGATCCGCCTGGCCGGTGTGCGCGAATATTCCTGTCTCTAACCTGGAGAACTGCAGCCTTTTGGTCCCTAAAAGTGAGAACTGGGCTCTCAAGTCGGCTTCGTTGTTGCTCAGTTTGGTGTCGACGGTGGTTCAACCAAGAACTGGCCTCGATATGCATCGTGCTTTGTGAGATGGATTAGTCTCAGCTCACGTCCAGAACCGCTTCTTAATGTCAAGCGGCAGAGACGGCCGCGGCGTCTCCTGTGGCGTGAACACCTTCAGCGACCTCGACTGTTGAGTGCAGATGCCGATGGCGTGCCGGTCTGCAGTGCCGCTCGTGATTTCCCTCAGCATCTGGAGCGCCGAGACGAGCTTCTGCAGGTTCTCCTGCGACCTCTCCTCGAATGCCATGAGGCGACGCCAGGAGTTGATGACATGGACGTTCGTGAAGGCGTTCAGGCTGTGAAGACTCTTGATGAGGTACTAAATACTCAGTGCACGAGTGTATGTTAGTAATGAGACAGACGCTGTGGGCATTCATGAGTGAACGCGCTGGCTAGTACGCAGAAGCAAAGGGGGAGAGGCAGGTCGAGTCTCCTTACGGGGGTCCTTCCCAGCCACATCTGCTGGGTCTTGGTGTCACTATCTTGGAAGTCGGTCTTCGTGATGAGCTCCGCAGTATGTGCACTCAGGGTCCCACCCCCCTTGCGGAGGAGCGTCAAGGGCCGCAAGCTAGGAGGCTTTTTGGAGGCTGCCTCCTCGAACTTGTCACCATCGTCGCCGTTGCCGTTGTTCTCGTCGTTCAGCAAGGACTGGAACAAACGTCTCTCGGCATCGGACTGCATGGAGATCTGCTGCTCGTGCGCAGCCTGCACCTGTTCGTGTTGAATTGAGGTCATCAGGTTCTGCTCCGTCTGGGGCAGCCTCCAGTTGGGGCTCGCCCAGGAAGGCTCTAATTCTGTGAAGGCGGCGTCGACCTCCATGAGGACGAGACAGCGGAGGGGGCCGAGGTTGTAGAGGATGGCACGGTGGTGGGAGCCGGCCTCGCTCATGTCTGTAGTGTGGCGTGTGAAGTGCTCCTCGAAGAGTCTTCCGTAATTGTTGCGGTGCGACTCGTGGAGGACAGGCCATTTAGGAGTGACGAGGAGGGAGTTGCGGATCATAGAGAGCTCCAGACGGTAGGGTTTGGAGCAGCGTCCTCGGGCCACTCGCAGCAAGTGTGAGAGATTACTCCTGTTGATGATGACATCCACATCATCAAGCTTCAGCCCTGGCCTCATGACCTCGATGGCACGAAACATGGCCTGGAACGGCGACTCGGGCATATACGCCGTATTAAAATCCCGACAGCTGCTCAGCCTTCTGTTTGGCGCGAAAGACAACGGGAGCTCATGGAAAACGACGCCTGGCGCCTCGCCCGGGACGAAGATCTGTGGTGTCTGTCTTGCCAACGATGGCAGCAACCTTATTCTCCCCTCTCGATTCTTCATCCTGGCCAGCCTCGGGTCTCTTGGTGCTGGCGCTGGTGGCAGCCTCCAGTTGTAGCTGCACGCAAGTTCGAAGCCCCCCGCGCTCGTGACCCTCCCTGCATACGGCTTGGTCGTGGTTTCGTCCACGGCGCCCAGCTGCCTGCCTAGGTTGGCTGTCATCCATGAGTATCTGACAGGGTCAATGCCCAGCATGCGCAGGCGGCGCTGGGTGAGGTGGGAGAGCTTGTTGATACCGGCACGACCATGTTTGGACCATGGTGTGGACGACATATTAGGGGGGGGGGGGAGGAGGAGGAAGGGTCCGACTAAGCTCGACGAGATCAAGTCGTCTCTCAGACATATGTATGTATATCAAGTGGTCATGATGCTGATATCCATCTGAACGGCTTTCGATTCAAAGTGTCGACGAAAAGGCAGTCTGGAGGCCTTGATTATGAGAACGATTGTTCGTGTCTTAAATTTATACAAAAGAAAGAAAAGAAAAATACAACCAGTATGTGTGACTAGGTGAGTATATTAGATGAATAAAATTCGAGACCGTGGAAGTGAAGTGATGGTGGTGGTGGTGGTGGTGGTGGAAAAATTCTTTGGAAAGGGGAAGCCAGGGTTGGGGTCAGGACCGGTTCAAGCACCTGTTCAATATTACGTGTAAAGAACTACAATGCTTACTTGTAATAATAGCCGAGACTTGAACATGATTTCAAACTTTGGAACGTAAATAAAAATATATAAATAGCATGTTCGTTCTTGGATGTCGGGATTGAAGGGTATATGCATCATTTACTATATGTATCTTCTGTCTGACCCTCTTTTGAGCCGACAAGAAACCAAAAAAACCAGCAAGACATCAACATTGTCCAAGAAGGCCACACACACACACACACACACACACACACACAAAAGAGGAAGAAGAAAAAAGAAGAGGTCCATCTCCAACCAAAAACCAGCTCCAGTCCCAAGATGAACCACACAAGATGATACACGCGCACACATACGAGAGAAGGGGAGTCTGAATAGAGAAGGCGGATGGATGGACGACAGGAAGAACTCCCAACACACCGTTGAACTCCGAGCCCAGGATTGAAAAAGTGTCAAAACAACAGCAGCAGAAGCAGCGGCAGCAGCAGAAGCAGCAACAACAACGACAATATGGCCTTGATATCTCAGCAGAGAGCCTCGACATCATCGAACCATCACGTCAGCAGCTGCCCTGCTGCCCCCCCCCCCCCCCGGCGTACAGATTTACCGCCAGTGGTCCGCGCCATAGCCCCCATTGGGGTTGGAGAAGCTCCTCTGCGGGTGGGTCTCGAAGCCGTCGTCATGTATCTGCGAGTTGGGGTTCGAGAAGCTGCGGTTGGGAACACCAGGCAGGGGCGCGGTGGGGGGCATGCCAGGCGGTGGGCTGTGCATGCCGCCGAAGCCATTGTTGTCGATGGGCGAGAAGCTGTCCGAGTAAGGATCGTGCGTGTTGTAGCCGTTGGGCGTGCCCGGCGGCGACGCAGCGGCAGGGCCGTTCCGCAGCAAAGGTCTCGCCGCCGCGGCGCTCATGCCCGCCGCGCCCCCAGCCGTCATGCTCATGGACCCAAACTTCTCGTGGTTGGGCTCGCTGTAGTCCGGAACCTGCACCTCGCGCGTGGCGATGCCCGTCTTGGCGTCATACTCGGGCTGGGCCTCGGAGAATCCGTCCGGGTTGATGCCCCTGGCCTTGTAGCCTTCCATCTCCAGGCGCTCGTCCTCCATCTTCTGCGCCGCCATCTTGGCCTCCATGGTGCCCCTCTTGCGCTGGCGGATGCAGTAGAAGCCGGCATAGGCCACAAGACCGAGCGCGGCGGCTCCGCTGCAGGCGAAGATGGCCGACTTGCTGCCTGTCGAGAGGTTGTTGAACTTTTCCGACAGGCTCTCGGTGGGCGCCGCGGTCAGGGTCTCTTCGGCCGTGGAGTTCTTGTCGGTGCTGTGGGTGGTGGAGAGATGATTTGTTAGTTAAAAAATAAAAAATAAAAAGGTACTAAAGGGTAAGAGAACAAGAAGAGAGGAAGGGTTGCTTACTTGAGCATCTCAATACTGGCCCAAGTGCCGCTGTTGTCGGTGTAGTTGTAAGCCGTACCCCGGCCGTAGTCGGTGACCTTGACGCTCTGAACAGCCATGGTGTAGGGTCCATTGCTGTAGTCGGTCTCGCCGCCAGCCCACTCGATGGTACCCTCGGCGTTGTCTGGGTCGCCACCGGCCCAGGGACCAATGTACACCCTCATGGGGGTCTGCGGGTAGCTGTGTGTGTTGTTGGCCTCCTCGGGGGTCAGGGAGCGCTTGAGCTCGCCGTCAATGTACCACTGGAGGCTGCTGTTGGTCCAGTCGACGGTGTAGTTGTGGAAGGCGTCGAGGGTGCCTCCCGAGACTTCAAAGTCGGTCTCCCAGGTGATGTTGTTGAGACCCTTGCCAAAGTAGTTGGTCTGGACGGCAGTGCCGTTGCCGCCAACAAACTCGAGGTCAATCTCGTCGAGGTCGTCGGACAGCAGCATGACGGACGAAATAATGCCCTGGCCAGGAGCCGCCTTCATCCAGATCTCGACACGACCACCAAAGATGTAGAACTCGGAGCGGATGGTCGGGGAGTCGCCCTTCTCGGAGATGGTGAAGTTGGCACCGTCGTCGGTCCAGGTGATGGCGTCTGAGGAGGCAGTGATGGTCCACATGGAACTCGAGGGTGCACTCGAGGTGTTGAAGACCCATTCGTGCTCGGTGGAGAAGGCCGGGTCGGTGGGACAACCTGTGCCGTTGGTGACGGGGTTACAGGAGCTGCTCGTCTGCGCGACGACGTGCTGCACCGCGCCCAGCAGGAGGGCAGCAGGCAGCACGAAGGCACGGGAGGACAACATGGTGCAAGGTAACAAGAAGAGGTCAAGGCACAACTCGAGTCGGGTTTGGATCGATTTCCTTTTTGTCGAATGTCGCACAGGCTGGCACGGCCAGATATGCGAAGTCGTGGAGGGACCGACGAATACTAAGACAGGAAAAGAAGAAAAAAAAGAACGAGAAGACAGAAAAAAGACTCTAGGAGACCAGATGGATGAAGGGTCGGTGCTGAGCTCGAAGGCCCAAGATCCCAAGGATGACGACGAGCCTGAGAACAGCAAGTAGACGGTTGGACGACACCGATATCCCCACCAAACGGCTGATGTGTTTGCTCGTCCTGCTACCGTAATTCAGTCGAGATGAACCCCGATAGACAAGAAGAACAATGCGGGGGAGGGAAAGAGAGAAGGAGTGACAAGTGTTGACTCGGAGGCCAACCAAAAGGAATGTGTGTATACCCAATGGGTAAAGTTTAGGGAGCGTGGGTGACCGAAAGTCTGTCGTGGTCGGGGGAACGTGATGGTGATGAGGATGGACAGGAGAGACTTTGACTGGGATCCTGGAGAGGGAGCGACAAGAAAAAGAGGAGCAGAGGAGAGAAGGGGGGGGGGGGGTTGGAAAGGGAACGGAAAATCGGTAGAGAAACAGAAGGATGATAAAAAAGGACCCACACCGCACGAGGGTTCCAATGGGCAGGGCAGGGCAGGGGAAAGAAGAAAAGAAGACCAGACAGAAAAAGGGAAAAGGCAGCGAAAATGAAAAGGAAGAAGGGTGAAAAAGGGGTTACATCGTGAGTTAGCTCACAAGCTCAACCACAAGCACAGGCAGAGTATAGAAATATGCTTAGGACTATAGTTGATACAAATGCAGTAGACTAAACTCCACTCCACTGACTACGCTGAACTGAACAGTAAGTATCTTTCTCGCCTTATCTGGTGTTGCTTTTCTGTCGTCATAATACAAGATCCGGTGTGGTGGGAGGGATTCTCGTCTGGTTTGAGTATGGCCAAGTGAATCGGCAAAGACAGAGAGAAAGGAGTGCACAGAGAGACAAGAGAGCAACCAACTCCTCTTTTTGCCATCTCTCGCCTCCCTGCGTCGGAAGTAATTTGCCTCTGGCCTGTCACGAAGTCAGGTCAAGCCGTATCGACGTATCAGAACGAAGCGCCCGAGATTTGATAGAGACTCGGGCGCCTCACAGGCCAGACAAGCCTCCCTCTTTGGGCCTAGACCCACGCTGGGGACCCGTTATACCCGCCCGTTGAAACCACATGGAGGAGAGAGGAACCCCCCCCCCCCTCTTCAAGCGGACCCCACGCACCGTCCACAGCCCAAAGTCTAACCAACGAAAAGATACACAGCTCGGACGGAGATAGACCCCCCCCCCAAGCCAAGTGAGAGAAGGGGAAGAAGGGTGAGAGGGGTAGGGGAGGGAGGGATTGAGAGAGATAAAGAGAGAGAGAAGGTAGGGAAATCTTCAAGGGTCCCTCCGTTAGTGTGTTACACACTGGAGAATCAATATGGTCTGGAGACGCAGTAATGCAGGAACACGTTCTGATTTCCAGGGCTGATGCTAGATCCCTGGGTCACCCCCCCCCCCCCCACCTCCTGTCTTTGCCCCTGCGCTATCACTCACCTTTTCTCTACCCCTAGTGCCGCCCTTGCTTTACCCCTGCCCCATCCCTGCAGATCTCTTCACCCAGCTCCCTGTCCCCCAGCAGGGATTGCGGCTCTGACGGATGCCAAGCCTCATCTTTTAGCCGATAGTCCCCAGACGCTAGTCCAGAACGGTACTAGATGGCGGGACGACCCACCAAGCACTGTACTGTTCCTGGCCTTTCACCCTTTGTCCTTTACTTGGCCACAAGCTCGGGAGTCGGTATGGGCCACGAGATTACCATCACGATGACTACTTACTTATCCACATCTGCTCAATATACCTTCGTATGGATCTTTGAAATTCCCTCATATCATCTTGTTCGTATTTTCTCTCTTCTCTCTCCTCTTTGCCAGAATTCATCACGATAGTTTGCTGGACCATTATTTCAAACCGCCCCCTTCGATCCCGACTCAGCCGTGCCGAATTCCGCCTGCTTGTTGTCTTCAAAGTACTTACACAGTTCAGATTTGAAAGACCTGAAGACCGTTTCCAACCCAGGGTGGCGATTATTTTTGGATTCTTCAATTTCCCTGGAGAGGGACTTTTGGCGGGATGATGGGTGGCGGATGGGAGATCATCAGGATCGACTGCTCATCTGCTGTCTCTTGGGATGGGCCCAAGCACGCCCGTTGTTATTTACAACTGTCGTTGTGGTCCATGCACGCACGCCTCTGGTTTATAGAGGACGAAAGGAATAATACCAGCAAGTCTTGGACCTTGATGTCAAATCAAAAATTCCTGGCAGGTCGGGCTATGTCTGTGGCAAACAATGCCAGCTTCCGAGACATCTTCAAGACTTTGATCCGGATCCCTTTTTGCGCGACAGTGATTGTAGGCTGCCCGGCCATACCCGAATGATGATCCACTACCAGAGATGCTGTTCAGACGACTTGTGCAGGATCCCAGATTCTCCCTTCCTGCTGTTTCTGCCCGTTATCCGTCTGCATTACATAACATCAACTTGCCCGATCACAACAGTAAAAATTACAATCTCGGCGGCTCTCAAGGACAACAAGGGGTGACATCGATGACTCTGGGATAACAGCAGAGAGCAAGACAGGGAAAAGAAAAGGTTCATGGGACTCGAGCCTCAGTTGCAACATAGAACGGAGCAGTTGCATCTTGAATATCTGGACACAGCTAACGGCTGGTGGCAGAACTCCCCCAGTGTCCTATTTCCATGTTCGTTGCCATAGCCCGGCGCCATGGTCCGAGGTTGTGTCATTGTACCCCGTAGTCTTATTTGCGGCGGCGGTTATTGATGGCAAAGAGTAACAGCCACCTTGAATGATGTTTCGGGGACTGCTCTCCGCCTACGGATGGCTGCTTATACGATGTTGAGGCGTCCGAATAGTTCCCCTCAAGTGACCCTGTACCATTGTCTGCCTCTCTCTCTCTCTCTCTCTCTCTCTCTCTCTCTCTGGCTGGCTGGGCTTGAGCTGTGGTATGACCTCTGGTCATGATCTAGCAGGGACGACAAACTGGTAACGGTGCTACTACGCGGTATCTTCAGAGGGTTCCAACTATAAAAGCACTGACCTACTTCGTACCTTTGATGGCGGGCGTCAGGTTCTGAGGCAGCATCCTCGCCCATCCTGAACCATTACTACGCCCGCTCTACACACTATCTTGAGCAGCATCAGGATTCATGTTGCCTGCTGCCCCTGCACAAGAATCTCGTCTCTTGAACACGCCACCTTGATCTCCCAACCTGACAAGCCGAGGGAAGGGGTTACTCACCTAGTCTCCCCCAACCCCCCCTTTTAAGAATGCGCGTCCAGTATTTGGGTCTCTGCCTCACCAGCGTCCTCGGTGCATCGATGAGAGATGGGTCCAGCGACAGTCTCACTTCGTGCTCCAGACCTCTCGAGGCTGGCTCCCAGACAGTATCCGCCCTGGCTGAGGCCTACGCCGCCCTCATAGGAAACTACACGGCCGCCCTCGCCCAGAGTTTCCTCGCAGACAACTTCACCGACACGTCGGACAGCATCAACGCCCTCGCAGGCTTCCCCCTTGGGTCTGTGACCTTCTCTTCCAAGCAGGCCTTCATGGACAGCCAGGCGAGCCAGCCTGGGATCCCTCTCGTTGTCACCGCCACCAGCGCCGTTGGCTGTGACACGCTCGTCCTCCGCTGGACGCAGACTTTTGGTGCAGACAACCTGCCTGTTGCGGGCATCAGTGTCTTGTCCTTTGTGTGTGAAGAGGAGGAGGAGGATGGGGGTCAGTGGAGGCTGAAGACGCTGGAGACTGAATTCAACAGCCTAGTGTATTATCGAGATATGGGAGGGAGGTAGTAGTCCCGTCTTGTGATGGAGGGTTTTGTTTTGGGGATGGGTGGTCCGGTCTGAGTCAGACTGACTGTGTGTTACTGAAGAATTGGGGGGGGGGGGGCGGCCCGAAGATAGTTCATGCAAGCAGCGGAACCTGCCGAGGGCACAGAAAGAGGGCAAACCATAAGCAATAGGCTTCCTTGGCTGACGCAGTGACGGGACGAATTCATTTGAAGTTTCGCGTTGTGGCCTGTCGTGCCCTGGGGCCGATCATGTAAACATGACACACGAGGAGAAAGACCCCGTCACCCCAAGTCATGTTGTAGTCAAAGATGAGGATTCAGAAACAGGATTGTTTCCCTTGTCATTGCAGCTCCTCATCCTTCTCGTTGACATGGCACTCACTGACTAGACCCAAGTTGAGTCCTCGCCACAACCAATTCTAAGTATGACTACAGACAAGAACCCCCACCTTCTCTCTATCCGCCCAACATCATCCATCCCATGAGAGGGGGAAGATTTTGGTCACATGAAGCCCAACAAGTAGTGCGTAACGCAATAAATCATTTCCCCTTATATCCATGACTCTGTGTTCTGCGGACCTTCGCGAAGCAACAAGAGGATCCTTTTTCCACCCCCGTGTTCTCAGGTTGGCGGCCCGTGCATTTTTTTTTATTTACGACGGAGGATAGTTACTATGGTAAACCCCTCGGAGCTGATGTCCTAAAACGGCGACATCTCCGTCATGAGTGCCACTATTTTATCGACATGGGTTTGCGGGCCCTGGGAGACCCCCACATGATACATTCGCCAATCTCCACCGCCATCGGTATTCTCGTTTTGACCACCTCGACTATAAAAAACCCTTGGGAAAGAACAGACGACGGACTGAACAGACGAAACTGTTTCGATTTTGACGTGGCTGGGAGAAAGAAACCAAAACCAAAAGAAAAGAAGGCAAAGGAAAGAAACAGGAGAAGAGTGAGAGACCGAGAAAAGACAAACGAAAAAGCACAGTCAGCACTCAGATCTGAGGGCTAATACCTTTGATATCTACCATATCTCAAGAGTCTTTCATCACTCCTTACAATGGTGAGAATGGAGAAACCCTCATTCTAAGGATGCCCCATGCCTCATGGCACTCTGAGAGTTTTCAAGAGGCTGGGAGAGAAAGCTGACCGACGTACAACACGACTACAACAGGCTACGGGCAGACAGCTGAGCGCCGAGGAGATTGCCATCTTCCGTGACTGCTTCAATGAATACGTGAGTGTTCCCAGAAATGGACTCTGAGAGGAGGTGGACTTGAATCAGCGGCTAAATTCTATGCACAGGATCAAGATCGAGGTGGCAACATCTCCGCCGAGGAGTTCGGCCGCGTGATGCGGAAGACGAACCCGTCCATCACCGACGACGAGGTCGCCAAGATCATCAAGGAGGTCGACCTGGACGGTGACGGCACCATCAACTTTGATGGTAAGAATGTGAAACTGCTTCATTTCAGACAGCAGCTTGTTCCCCCCGCCCCCCTTTTGTGTCCTCACATACCAGACGATCAGTTGAAGCCGCCCCCCCCCCCCCCGGCTCCTTTCCACCCTTCTCTCGTCCTGCACGAACAGCCGAGATAATAACAAAGACTGACCCACCCAACAGAATTCATCACAATGATGACCGGCCAGCCATACAAGTCTCCCGAGCCGGCTGCCGCCGCCGTCACCACCACCACCACGGAGGAAGAGACCAAGACCGAGGGTACGCCCCCAGGCACTACCGCCGCACTAAAGTCACCCACGAGCGCCGGCGCCGGCGCCGTGCGGGGCCTCAGCACCATGTCGGCCCGGCTGCAGCGTCAACGGCTTGCTAACCAGGTGTACAAGGACGCGTGGGCGGCAACTGATCCCACCCTCAAGGCATCCCTCTCCCGGGACGAGCTGGCTGCGGTCGCCGCCAGGGCGGGGCTGAGCGTGACCGGCGCGGACCTGGAGGAGCTGGTTGATCCTGCGGAGGGGGAGGGCGCGAGGATTACTTGTAAGTTTTCTGTGTGTGACCTGTTAAGAAGAAGAAGAAGAAGAAGAAGAAGAAACAATATTTCAGATGTTGTGTTTTGTTTGCTGACTTTTTTTTTCTCTCTTTCTTTTCTCTCAATGTAGACGAGAGGTTCCTCGATTTTGCGAAGAGACAGGAGGTGGATGATATCTTGAGTGGATACGAGGAGGAGTAAATTAAATAGTGGTTCAGCCATCAAGATAGGTCAAACAGAAGAAAGCAAAGAAGGTGCCAGCCTGAATTGATATAGTAAAATCTGTGTGCTGTTTCTTTCATTTCGGTCACAGGACCAGTAGTTGGTGCTTGCTTTTGATCGTGATTAGTTGCACAAAGTCGCCTTGCACAAAGTCACCTTAAGACTTGCGCTATACGTTACTTGGTAGCTACAGGGCCAAAGGTAGGGATGGCAGAAATGATCCGTCTTTTCAATCATGTAAGCGTGCTGCATTATCGGTAGTTTCCTCCTTTCTCTCTCTTTTCGTGGCTCTCAAAAGCATGGATCTTTCTTTGATCTTTCAGATATCACTATTTGAGATATGATATTCCTCGTAAAGTTGGTCTTTCTGCATGAACAAAGGCGACCGAGTGAGAGTCTTCTCAAGAAAATGACAATAAGTCATTAAATACCATTCTGTCTCCTGCCCCAAGCTGGCGTCAGTCAAGGGCACACACTTTCTCAATAAAAGGTACATGTATAAACAAATGTACCACCCAATGCTTGACCACAAGACACTTGAATTTCTTCAACAGCAACGAAACGTTTTCTAAACATGATTACATTTGCAACTATCCAAAAAAAAAAAAAAAAAAATAATGATCAAGATGAAGCCAGCCCGGGTATCATCAATTCAAAGTCAACGCGCGCAAGGCACCGGAGAGAAGGATTTGCAGATGCTCGCCTCAAGTTTCTTCTTCTCTTCTTTTTTTTTTTTTGTCTCTGATTTATTCTATTCCAGGTCTTGTGTGTAGTTAGTAGATAGGCGGGTTGCTCCCTACTCTCCATTCATGCTACAGGCTGGGTCAGGTCGACGAGGATCTTGACGTGGTTATCCTTGTCCTCGATCAGAGTCTTGAAGCCTTCATCTGCGACCTTGTCCATGGCGACCTTCTTGGTGATCATGCCTTCGGGATTCATCTTTCCAGAAGCGATGGCCTCAATGACCGCCTCGAAGTCGCCGTGAACGTATGTAGCAACTATGATGGATTTGTCAGTACTATGTTTCTTTTTTATCTTTTGCCTTTTGCTTGTGTTTTTTCTCTCCGCCCCCCCCCCCTCTCCCTTAGGAATTGAGGGGTTTATGTGTGGAGTATCAATGACTTACCTCCCATATAAGCACGCTCGCGAAAAACAATATCGTTCATGTTCAAGGTGGCCCTCTTCCCCCAGACAGCCACATTGACCAGCGTGCCCCTGGCCTTGATGGCCTTGAAAGCCGAGTCGACAGCGACCTGCACACCCGCACAGTCGAACCCGACGTCGGCGCCCAGGCCACCCGTCAGTTTCTCGACCTCAGCCACGACGTCGGTGCTGGTCGGGTCAATGACGTGGTGGGCACCAAACTGCGTGGCGAACTCGCGTCGGCGCCTGGCAACCTCGGAGACGATGATGTTCTTGCAGCCCCTGGTGACGAGGGCCTGGATGACAGAGAGGCCGATGGGCCCACCGCCCAGGACGAGAGCGGTGTCACCCTCCTTGAAAGGCGAAATGTCGACCGAGTGCCAGCCGACGGCGAGGGGCTCGACCAGGGCACCGACCTCGAGGGAGATGTTATCGGGCAGCGGCTTGACAGCCACAGCTGGGGCGAGGGTGGTCTCCTGCATGCCGCCGCCCCAGCCTGACAGGCCCAGGAAGCCGTTGCCATCGCAGCAGTTGACCAGGCCGCGCTTGCAGGACCGGCAGCTGTCGTCCCAGAGTGTGGGCTGCACGCACACCTTGTCGCCAGGCTTGACGTGGGTGACGCCCTCGCCCACCTCCTCGATGACGCCCGAAAACTCGTGGCCTATGGTGAGGGGGAGCGTCTCTCCTGTGATGGGGTGCGGGTGGCCTGGCGTGGGGATGAGGTTCGCCCCGCCAACGTACTCGTGCAGGTCGGTTCCGCAGATGCCGCAAAACTTGGGCGCGAGACGGACCCAGCCTGGCTTGACGGCAGTCGGGGCGGGAATCTTTTCCAGGCGGATATCTCGCTGGCCGTAATATCGCACAGCGTTGATAGTAGTGTTGTTTGTGGTTGCAGTGTCCGACATGATTATTTGAAAAGGGCAATGATGATGTTGTGAAGTGTTGGGGTCGTGATTTGTGTGTATGATTTGTGTTCAAGGAAACCAAGGATGATGATGATGATGATGACGATGATGACGTGGGTGTTAATAACTTTCAACAAAGTCAAAGTGTGGGTGCACCTTGAAGGAGGGGAAAGGATAAAAACGAAGCTATTGAGCCGGGAAGGGGGCGAGGGCTCTATATACCTTTGGCAACAAGTACCGTCCTCCTCCTCCTCACTCCAAAAGGGCCCCAAGGAGTGATGAGACACATACACATACACGCACACCCACTCACGTATCGTGCTGTCAGTATCTGTCTGGTGATGACCATTTTCGTACCTTACCCGGGAGGGCTTAGGAGGACAAGTCTATGGTGTGACGCAGGTATCGCAACCCACCATGCACAAGTGGCTCGATGAGGTGAGGTCCAGGTGAGGTCCATCTCTCTTCCCCCCCCCCCTCTCTCTCCGTTTCTTGTCATTTCCATTCTTATATCCAAGTCATCTCTTCTACGGATGAATTATCACGGGCAATATATGGTTGGACAGAGCTGATGCTGGCCACCCTATTCACCTTGTCGAATCGATCAGAAAGAACATTCTTTTTCCGTTGTCTGGTTCCATTGAATAAACCTTCCATCAGCCTACAAGGCAATGATCAACAGATAAATGAATGGGGCGGGGGACGAAATACCACATGCACCCCGCATGCTGATCGGTCCAAGGCAGGTGGGGAAGACAAGGTCACAGTATGGAGGGCAGTTGCAATACATTAAGTAAGTACTTGGAGTACATACAAACAACATGCATAATACATGTACTGACTACGGCACTGAGCAGTCGAGCCAAGTACTCCTCACCTCCGCACTCAGAAATAATCATGGCTCCTCCCTTGGACAATAACGGATGCAGCGACTTGAGGCCGTTTTCCAATCCATGTCAGCCCGCAAGTGAGGGGCAATGGATAAGCAAGTACATAACAGGTGCAGCCTAGACCTTCGCTTGGAGTTTAATGAGTTCACAATTTTTCCATTACGGCACAATACCAAAGGCCGAAAAGTGGCAAGGAAAAAAAGAAAATTGGATAATTAAATAAATCATGAATTCATAAAAGCAAACTATTCCACAGTCATGTACAAAATCTGTACAGTTGCAGACTGTGTGTGTAGAGAGACTTGCCCAGATCTAGAAGACCTCACTGGGTTGCCTGCGAGTCTTTGGAAGCCATCGTTTCGATTCGAGGAAAAATTCCACCACAGAAAAAAGCCACCATACAAAAGAGTCCCACAGTCTTTTTTCTTCAAAAGCCCCAGTGCACTTCTACGGAGCGGAGGCCAGAACGGCCTATACCTCTTTCTGACAGGTTGCTGCGCCCCACGTCCTGAGGTGATTCAGAAGGAAGGATGGAAAGACAAAACCAACGGAGCGCCAAATACAGTTGATTGATTCTGGCACTTTTGCTACTTGGTTCCCAGAACTGCGGTTCTCGGCTGGGCCCGCTACACCGTCGCTAGCACGTACCCCTTTCCTTGACACGCTTGGCTTTGAATCGCATTGAAACCTCTGGTTTCGTCGTCCAACTGCCTCTGTCTTCCTAAGTCTATTTGGCAGACTGCCTGCATTAAGGAGTGAATTCTTTAGTCCTGATGCAAAGTCGCCCTCACACCCAGTTTCCAGCCACTTTGCCGGTCAATTATTCCAGTTCAATCTGGTATCTTTTACTGACAGAGACTTCTTTGCATATGCAAATGGGCATTTGCCCTAATTAACCACGCACTGCCCCCTTCCTGTTTTTTTTCTTTTCTTTCCTTCCTTCTTCTTCTCATTCTCATAGGTGTATAGGAGAGACGTGTAGTAGGTGATGCGGTCGGTGTTAATGGGCATCAATTACTATCTCACTGGTGTCGTCCGTGTCGCTACGTATATCCCATCATCGCTTTGATGAGGATCTGTGGAGAGATGTCTAAGGTGCAGTGAGTGCTGTGGCACTGGCGGCCATAATTCTTCCACAGCATCATAGTGGGCAACATGATTGTTTTTGATTGGAAAGGGAGAGAACAAGAAAAATATAGACATGACACTGAATAAAGGGTGGAGGAGGTCAGCCGAGAGAGGGTAGATGAAAAAGGACCAGCTCAAGAGGCGTATTGTTGTAGGTTTTGATTTGGAGGCGCAGTTATAAGAAAATATCACGGTCGATAAACTATTTGTATCCAGACTGTTCACCACTAATGTATGATATCATCTGGGCCAACCAATGCCGGATTGTTACAAAGCTCCAGGAGAGTGGCCATCTCTGATGATATGAAGCCAGCCAGCCAGCGTGATGACCACCAAAGACAAGACCTATCAATGCCCACGTATCAGCTGCAGGTTGAGAGTACTCATGTATTACTCCCCGACAGCAGAGACAGGCCGATCATTTCTAGTCGCCAGTATGATGGCGACAGGCCACTCCACCATGACTTGACCCCCAGCCGACCTCACCATGCTCTCCAACTGCATCCACTCGGCTGTGCCCCACGTTTGCTGGCCAAACCCCATCTGAGAGCTCTCCAGAAACCCTTTGAGCCACGCCGCGTCCGCCGCGCGCCGCCAGCTCGCGTCGCGGACAGAACTTTGCGTGTCAGTGGCCCCGACACGGTTCGGCGCCGGCTGCCAGCACTTTGGATCCTCGTCAATGAAGCAGAACGGCCGCCCGTCATTATCGCCTTCCACGTTGACCAGAATCCGCTTCGCCCCAGTCTCAAACAGCTCTGTGGGCAGCGGGACAGAGTCAAGCCCCGCCATGGCTGCGGCCATGCCATTCACGGCGGCAGGGAATAGGCGCCCCTCGCGGAGTAGCCGCAGCGACTCTTTGCTGGTGACTCGGTACCACAGGCACTCGAGGGCCGGCCGGCCCGGGAAGCGCAGTCTGAAACCGTACGTCGCGGCCGCCAGTGTGCCGCCCGGTTTGAGCATGTGGGCGATTGAGCGGATGGCCTCTGGGGTGTTGAAGTAGTGGAAGGCCATGCCCACAGTGACGAGATCGACAGAGGAAGGGGGGATCGAGGCGTGGACAGTCTCGGCTGGGCTCTGGATGAATTCGAACTTGGGTGAAACAGTCGTCGAGGTGAGGCTTCTTTTCGCTGATTGGACATTGGCTGACCCGGCATCACTCACAACAACATGGTCGAAGAGAGGATGGAGGCTCATAGATAGGGTGCCAGGACCTGAAACGGACAGAAATCATAAGTAACGTATCAACCGCTTGCAGAGAATAAAAACACAAAACAACAACATGATGGTCTCTTGGCTTACCAGCACCGACATCGTGGAGGCAATGAAACTTGCCGCCGTGCTCACGATGATAGTCCAGCCACATCTCAAGCATGGATTGTGGATATCGAGGACGAAAGAGATGATATTCGTCCCAGTCGAGATTCTTGAAAGCAAAGGGATACTTGACCTCCTTTCTGCCGTCTCCAGACTCTGATGCCTCGTGTGCATCCTCGAGAGCTGTTCGAGGGAGCTCTGGATCGTAATTGCCCATTGTAGGATTAATTTAGACGACTTGGTATCAACCACGTACACTTGCCTCGATGGGCGGTTGTAATGGATTTGTGGGATTCTTGGGGCAGTGGCTGCGAGATCTTTAGAAGATGGTAGTATAAAGAAGGGGGGCTTGATGGGTAGTTAATCAATCACCGTGGCTGGTAGCAACTGGTGGTATTTGTTTGGACTGTTGGTTGGCTGGATGGATGGATGGCTGAACGGATGGATGGATTATTAGCTGTGACTGAAATCTACTAATCGGCGACCGATTATGTGGGCAACGTTGCGATGAGACATTGATATTTATACGTATATAGTGTACACCTGAGTTCTAGCCCACAAGATGGGACCACGCGCGTACAGCCTACAATTTCAACCCATCTTCCATAATAATACGGGTCTCTTCATTCACATGCCAAACGTGCTTTCCCAACTTTCAACCCGGGTTCAAGTCCAGTTCAGGGCGTGGTTTCCCATTCGAGTGCTATGGTACTTTCTTCCCCAACGAGGGAAAGCACGACCTTTGACCGTCACTTCTCTGGCCCTCATGACATGGAAAAGGCGAAGAAGACGAAGAAGAAGAAGACGGTAGAGAAAACAAGAAAAGCACACGCACACACACACCTCATGTGAAAAAGAAACCGCCCTAAACCCTGTCGTCATCATCCAGCCCATCTGATCTGATTATCTGCACTGCACTGCACTACATAGAGTAGGCCTTCCGAGGGGCCGCGTGAAGCCCAAGAACCCGACAGGCATCGGCGGACACTTGGGAAGTAGTCCATGGGAACCAGTCGAAACATGTTCCATTATTGGCTGTCAAACGGCGCCTCCGTGTTAATGCCAAGCTGTTGATGCCAGCGGAATCTGTCCGCGAGCGCGGCAAGGGGCCCGCTGTAATACGGGGTACAACAAGTTCAGTGCTACGATGTATCCCAGCGGGCCAACGCAGGATCGAGGAAAAAGCACTGCTGCCGCAGACTGGGGCTAAATGAAGGACCCCCCCAAGGGTGAGACCGCAACCCTGAACCCTCTCTCCTTCGAACCCCGTACCTAGAGCTTCTGCAGTGTGACGCCAACATGCTTAGCGAGATCTCATGCTGTGTTGGGAGGTTTTTCTCATCTGGAAGGGGGGAAGCGACGGGCGTCCTGAGACAAGTGGACTGGTGGTTGTGTTCTTGGTCGTCTGGTGACGTTCCGTCCTGGGGCTATTATCTGATGGCTCCGGACCAACTCGCCTTGCCTGGCAATTTTAGGCCAGATAGAAAAGAACTTGATCTGGGCGCTAGAACCTGGACTTAGCCAGGTCCCCTCCTCCACTAGAATAAACGCGCAGACCCAAACGGGAGATGACTCTACTCATACCATAGTACATACTACTTCCTCCTGCGCAATGACAAACCGTTCCGCTCCCCTCCCCTTCTTCTCACCCTTCCATCGGGTCAGAGTTCCACACCCACCACCTACTTTCGCCGATGGTGGTGTAATGCAGCCGTACCATACCGTACAAGGACTTGGACATCCTCCATCCTCCCTCTCGCTAATCTGGCGTGGTCCCGGTTCTCCGGTCTGGTGCGCCACGCCCGCTGCTGTACCCACAGGAACAGTAGATTTGGGCTCTAGACAAGCCTATGAGTGAGCCTGTTCGTCACGCTTGGACAAGCCTGCGCCTTCCTGGTTCGACTTCTCGAGGTTTCGCTGTGGTCGGACGTGCAACGTCTTGCGCCCCGACCTGTTGGCCGATTCAGCAAGCATGAGGAACAAGCATTCAAAATGTGATACGTCACATAAATGTCATTGTCATTTCATTCACACTGGCCAACATCGGCACCGCATTGTTGTCTCTTTCTTTCTCTTACACCGCTTCAAAGCAGATCTGGGAAGTTGTGGTTATATAAGAGGGGGTATATCTTGTGGAGAAACCCAGATAGCGGAAACCTTCCGTTCTCTTGCCCTTTTGTGTATTCTCGCCAGGATCCAAACCCCGGAAGTAGGTTGCAATAGAAAAATTTGCCCAAATACCATGCAGGACTGTCCCTCCTGTCCAATGAATTCCCATGATGCCACCCAGACGGGCATCAGACAGTTTCGATGTACCTCTTCATCTCCCTGGTAAAGAGAGAAGAAGGAAGAAAAAAATCCGAGTCAGCACCGCAAAACAGACAGCGTGTAAGAAAAGTGCTGGCAGCACATGACTAAGGGGGAGGGGGGGGGTGGGCTTGAGGATGGATACTACTCACCAATCGGTCACGGCCTCATCCCATTGGCGGATCTCATGATCTCTGGTGCCTCCAAAGTGATCTACGAACTCGTCTCCAAAGACCTCCCTCGCAATGCTCTCCTTCCTGGTAAAGCGGTCGACCGCCTCGCGCAGGCTCTTGGCCAGCCTCTGACCCTGATCAGACGCACCACCAACGTCCTCGCCCTTTCCAAGCGGTGGGCAGGGAATCTCCAGTTTCTTCTCGATACCCCGAATCCCGAGGGCTAGGATGGCGGAGAAGACGAAGAATGGATTCGCGTCGGCGCCGGGCACGCGAACCTCGAAGCGGGTCGCCCCCGGCTTGGCGGTGGGCGGGGCGATGATGCGGATGGACGCAGCCCTGTGCTCCAGTCCCCAGGACACGGTGACGGGCGCCCAGAAGTTCTCCACCAGGCGCTTGTAGCTGTTGATGGTGGGGGCAAACAGCGGCATGATGTCCGGGAGGCCCTCGAGGAGGCCAGCCAGAAAGTGCCGACCGATATCAGAGAGGTGGGCAATGTCGGCCCAAGGGGCAGAGGCGTCGGGGGTGTCCCGGAAGAGGAGATTCTTGCCTGCCTTGTCGACCAGCGACACGTGCATGTGGCCAGAGTTGCCGGGCAGGCCCTGCTTGGGCTTTGCCATGAAGCAAGGCGTGATCGCGTACTTTGTGGCAACGGACTTGACGACATACTTAAAGAGACTGGCGCGATCGGCCATGCCTCGAACCTCGCCGAACTCGAGGGCAGCCTCGTAGACACCAGGGCCGCTCTCGGTGTGCCAGCCCTCGATGTTGCAGTTGAACGCCTCGCAGGTGTTGAAGATGTCGTAGTAATAGTCCTTGTTATGGACAGGTCTGATCAGGCTGTAGCCGAACATGCCCTCTGTCAGTGCGGGGAGAGAGTGGGTGGTGTTGTCCCTGAGGTAAGGGGCGGCAGAGGTGTTGCCCTCGGGGTTCTTGAACTGGTAAAATTCATACTCGGCTGTAGGGAAGGGAAGGGAAGGCAGAAAAAAAGCACAGAAATTAGCCCTCTGTTGAACGTGTGGCGAGATGTAACCCCAGGATGGAAACATACCTCCTGCCATGGCGCCCCAGCCGTTGGCCTCGAGCTTGTCAACTTGTCTCTTGAGCAGTTGGCGGGGACATGCGCTCAGGGGCTCATTGGTGTCTGGGTCGTAGAAGGAGACGAGGAAAAAGGGCATATTGTCCTCCCATGGTATCCTGCGGAACGTTGCCAGGTCCGGGATGGCGATAAGGTCCCTGTAGCCGTTCTCCTTGTTGCTGATGCCGAGCTCGCGGAAGTAGGTCTGGTCGTGCATGTCCCAGCCGAAGATGACAGAGCAGAAGCCAAAGCCAGCCTTGGCGACGGAGAGGAACTTCTTCTTGGAGACAAGCTTGCCGCGCAGGATACCGTCAACGTCGACGCCGGCGAGCTTCACGCTGTTGTCGTCCGCAAGGATGGAGGGCAGAGACTCGACGGTGATGTCCTCAGGATGAGGGGAGGGCTTCTTGAAAGAAGCCATGGTGGATTAATCGGGCGAGGCAGGTACGCGTTGCAGAGGCAATTCGTCGTATCAGATAAATTCACGTCTCTCTCGTCTTGCGTCTTGTCTGTTTCGTGGTCACACTCTTTTCTAAATGGTTGGGTAGGGCAGGCCGCGAGAAACGAAAGAGGGGAAAATAAAGATGAATAAAAAAGACAAATACGAATGATAATGCTACTCAATCTTGGAATCTGCAGCTCAAGACAAAACAAGAGTACAGCAGAGCACAAGTAGATAAGTACACGAGTAAGGAGCCGATAGGTGGAGGATGAGGTCGTCGCGATCTGCGTAGGGCTGCCGGTGTAGGAACCGTGCAGGAAGAGGTGGTGGGGTCGGGGGGGTGGGAAGGGACGGGGGATAGTTTTCAAGAGAGATAGGCAGCCACAGTCAACTATAAAAGCCACCTCAGTACTTTGCGTATCAAATCCTGTGAGGTCATACTGGATGGCGGGGCTAGCCCTGGCCCAGACGCTTGGTCGTGCCCCCCTGACGCCACCATATTTTGTGTGTGTGTTGCTATGAGGGCTTACCGCTAATGCTCCCTACACACGCACTGCAGCTTCTCACAAAGCTACCCCTCATTCTCCAATGCCCCGCAGCCAAAAAGGGCCATAGCTGAAAGCCAGGGGTGCTGAAGTCGCTTATCTTTCCATGTTCTATCTATGTACTTTCTGAAGTGAACAAAACAAGAAAAGTGAAGGAATCACAACACCACTACTGATGAAGGAGAAAAATGAAAGAGAAAGAAAAGAGAAAAACCGGAAAGACAAAAAAGAGGGTCGTCTTCCGTCTCTGAATGATATCTTTTTCAGGGCACCAGATTCCATGACTACTATGTACCTGCGCTGTAGATCGATACTTCTTTATCAGCAGCGAGTCAAGCTCCGAAACCGATTAGGACCTCGCTCCCCAGCCGTGTGTGTACTATGTACCTAAGTACTTCCCATGCAGGGTCTCTGCACTGCACTGATAAGAAAATAATACGTCGGTGTTTACTGGCCAGCAGTCGTATGGATCGGAGCAGCTACCGAGAACAACAGCAGGAATCGACCAAGATCAATTGACTCGTTGTGTACGGCCTATCAGGATCTTTTTGCACTGTACCTTTGTAATTCCATAGACATAATCTCGAGTACTATGGGTACTCGCACCACAGCAGGTCCTGTGTCACTAAACTTAGTAAGGTAGCACCACAGCCGCCGATTCTCGGAGGAAAGACTCACGAAGGAACGCTCAGAGCAATGACCACGCGCAGAGCTGGATCGCTGCATCCGTCCCGGGCTCCATGACTAAACGTGCTGCCGTCGATGATTTTATTCCTTTGCCCCTCCATGGAGATACGACTCAAGCCTTGCGTGCTCTGTGCCATAGTATAAACATCTCGACACCACCAATTGCTCTTGTGTAACCCGATCTTCAACACTCGATACCTTCCTCTTCTTTCTTTTCTTTCCTCCTAATTTCCCCTCCTCCTCTTAGCTACCAGCTCACCGCCTTTTATCCTCCCCTCCCCTAATATACGCAGCGGGCGACATCAACTCGGCAACCCTTCTACATCTTACGACATCAAACAATTACACAATGGGCTCTGCGGGACGTCTGGCTGGCAAGAATGCCGTCGTTACCGGTGCTGCTGGGTGAGTCGAGCTCCATTCGCTCTCGAAGAGTGAAGCTCCCTTCTCCTCCAGCCCCCAGCTTGGGACCAATTTGCTCACGATAATATTCCCCCCACCAGTGGCATCGGTCTGGAGACCTCGATCCTCTTCGCTAAGGAGGGCGCCAACCTCCTGATGGCCGACATCTCCGCCCCCGCTCTCGAAAAGGCCAAGGCCAAGCTCCTGCAGCTCGTTCCCGACGCCAAGGTAAACACCACCCTGTGCGATGTCTCCAAGGAGGCCCAGGTGCAGGCCATGGTCGAGTCCCTGGACTCCGCTGGCGGCCTGGACGTCATCTTCAACAACGCCGGCATCATGCACGCCAAGGACGACGACGCCGTCGGCACACCCGAGAACATCTGGGACCTGACCATGGATATCAACGTCAAGGGTGTCTGGTTCGGCTCCAAGCACGCCATTCTGGCCCTGCGCCGTCACAAGAAGACCAAGGGCTCTATCATCAACACTGCCTCTGTCGTCGCCCTCGTCGGCAGCGCCACCCCGCAGCTGGCCTATACCGCCTCCAAGGGTGCTGTGCTCGCCCTCACCCGCGAGTTGGCTATGGTGCACGCTCGCGAGGGCTTCCGTTTCAACAGCTTGTGCCCCGCGCCCCTCAACACACCGCTGCTGCAGGACTGGCTTGGCGACGACCAGCCCAAGAGGCTCCGCCGCGAGATCCACTTCCCCTCCGGTCGTTTTGGCGAGGCTATCGAGCAGGCCCACGCCGTTCTCTTCCTTGCCAGTGACGAGAGCAGCTTCGTTAATGGTCATGTGCGTAACCACCCCCCCCCCCCCACCACACCAGCGCTGTGGTGTCCCTTGATTTATTGGTGTTTTTTTTCCTGCTACGTCGCGACATGAAAGCTGACCTGATGATGCAACAGGATATGGTGGTCGATGGTGGTATGACCAAGGCTTACGTGACCCCCGAGGGCCCCGCGTCTCAGGCTCCTGTGAACAACGCCCTCAAGGACTCGCTGGACGCTTAGACGGCGGTGATTCCTGGACGGGGTGCTCGTGGCAGTCACAGACTTTGTGTGTACAGAGGATTTTGTTTGTAAAATCCTATGCCCGCGCCACTATAGAGAAGATTTCTTAGAAAGGGTGGTCTATTGGTGTTCTTGGCTGGGATTTGTCAGAAAACGATCTGGTATTTGGTGTTCGATGGGTTGCGCTTTTGATTTTGTTGACAGGCTCTAAACCACATAGATGAAGCACCCGTCCCCCGTCCCCCTCCACTTCAAGGAAGCACACTGCAAATGCTCTTTTACTCTGTCCAGAGGGTCCTCTTCAGTTGTATGAGGGCTTCCTCCATCATCACCAGCTTGCTCGTCCGAAATGGCTTTTCATCACAAATTTGGTTCGTGTTGTCGGTCGTATGTACTTTGACGAATATTTGAGGTGACATGATCGATATGATTTTGACTTAATTCTTTTCCTTTTCCGTCTTTAGAATTGGCCTTCCGTGTTGCCCTCGCCCATACTCTTGCTCCCCGAGCTCCCGCTCTGGATGGCCCCGACGATGCCGTCCATGTAGCTTGCGCCGCTCCACTTCTGGTGGGTCAACACCTCGACTCCGAGCTCCTTCTCCCTCCTCTGCACCAGGTTGACGTAGGCCAGCATGCCGTCATTCTTGAACTCCTTGGACAGCTGGTTCGTGATGGTGGCGGTGCTGTGCAGGCCGGCCAGCGAGATCAGCTGGATCACGAAGCCTTCTCTCGCGATGTCCCAGATGAACGACTTGAGCGTCTCCTCGGTGAATCCGTGGGACATCCAGTTGAAGGAAGGGCTGAGGTTGTAGACCAGGCCCTTGCCCGGGTGGGCGGAACGGACGGCACGGCCGAGCTTGGTGCACACGTCGACGTTCGGGTCGCCCGTCTCAACCCACAGCAGGTCGGCATAGGGCCCGAAAGCGATAGACCGCTTAGTGGCCGCCTCCATGCCGGCCTTGTAGTGGTAGAAGCCCTCCCGGGTGCGCGGGATGTCCCAGCTGAAGTATACCTCCTTGCCACCCGGCGTGAGGCTGGCAGCCAGCGCCCTCCGGTTCGCCAGGCCCATGTCGCGATCCTCTGCCACCTGTCGCCTGTACGCCTCGACAATCGCCTCCGAGGCACCCTCGGCCTGCAGATGGGCCAGCGCGGCCTCGTCAAACGTCACCAGCTTCGTCTGCTTGACCCACGCCGCCTCGAAAGCGTCTATCTCGGGGCCCGAGGCCCCTCGCTTTTCCATCTCCTGCAGCGTCTCGGCGAGGGGCTTGATGTCGGGATCTGTGACGCCCAGGATAAACTCGTGGTCGCGCACGTCGATGGAGCTGCTCAGCAGCCTGCCGCTTTCCGAGTCGGTGCGGGCGATGACGAGGGTCTCGACGCCCATGAGGTCCCACTGGAAGCGGGCGGCGACCAGGCGGTTGATGTGCTCGCCGACGGGGACGAGGACCTTGCCAGCCAGATGGCCACACTTCTTGCCTCCGTGCAGCTGGTCCTCGAAGTGGACGGCAGCTGCGCCGTTCTCCGCGAAGAGCTTGGCCAGCTTGAGGACGGCGGTCAGTCCGCCGTGGCCAGTGTCGCCGTCGGCCACGATGGGTCTGAAATAGTCGACGTAGGGTGTCTTAGCACGGTCGGCGGGGGAAAGCTTTCTGCGCAGGTCCCACTGTTTGCGATCGTGCATGGACTGCGCCTTGAACATGCGCTGGACCTGGTTGGGGACGGTATTGTAAGGATAGTCGCCAAAGTCTGGGGAGACCTCGTTGGTGGGAGTTAGGGTGGACGAGCAGGCCCAGCCGGAGAGGTAGAGAACTTCCTGATGGGGTGCCTGCTGGGTCATCTGGACGGGATCGATGGCGCCCACTGCCAGGAAGGAAGAGCTGCGGTCAGCAACTACAGCGGAGGAACATGGAGGTTGGAAGGGAAAAGGAAGAGGAGGCTCATACTTGTGTGTAGAGGCTCGCCCTTGCTCAACCTCTCCTGGATCAGATTCCACAGCTTCCTCGCCATGACAGAGCTGGGATAGGACTGCTGGAGAGAGCCCCTCTTGGAGACGATGTCTGCGGCGGTGTAGGGCCTCTTGATGCCAGCATATCTCGGAGTGGCCCACCACGCCTCGACATCCTTGATCTGCTGTTCATATAGCGTGTCTTCATATGAGCCTGATTTACTCGACTCCGGTAGGAGCTGGAAGGAGTCGGAGGGTAAAGAGGCAGCCAGTGGAGGCGTGTCCCCAGGAAGAGTAGAAGACGAGGGCATTCTGTGAGTCGGTGTAGTGGAGAGCTGACGGACAGGCAGCAGCAGTGAAGGCGCCTGGCATCTCGGTGTGGAAGTTGGTATTAACAGCCTCGAATGTGCCCTGCCACGTACGGACCATGGGACCGACAGCGATGCCGGTATCCTCCGCAACATCTTTTGTGTATGTGTACAAATTCAGGCTCAGATATAATCGTTTGCTTCTCGTTCAAAATAACGTTAGGATGGGGTCTTTGTTTGCAATGTAGTATTTATTAGAAGTGGATGTGATCTGGGACATGAGACTTGAGATTGTAAAGCTGGAGAGTAATTGCTTAGAGGCGACAGGCCGCAGAGAGCCGAGGGAAACCCCAACGGATGCCCACTCAAGGCCAAAGCTACCACTGTCGCCGATTCGGTACCGGGCTCAAGGGCCTCTAGAGGGCACCCGGGCCAAGGGGGATTGAGGGGCGTTTGGGGTGGGAGTTGGGGGTCGTGGAGTGGTGGTTCAGTTCATGGTGCGGGGTAAGACAGGCTACCCCCTGGCAGATAGAGAGTGCCATGGTACTCAAGCTGTAGTTACACTGAACGGGTTCCCTCGGTTGATCGGTAATGGTGTATACTTATTCACGAGTGGCACCGTAGACTGTATAGAATCACAGGCCACAGGGCTCATCACCACACAATAGCTGGCCCGAGGATACTTTTGTTCCCAAGGTGGATCTACTGTACATACAATCATCCACCATCATTACCACCACCCCTCCTTCTTCCTGTCCTTCTTATCCCACACCTCTCCGGATCGTGTCGACGTTACCTCATTCTCCGCTGCTGAGCCCCTCTTTTGTCTACGATTCCCGAGAAGGTCTGATCGGGATCATTCCCTACAATTGAGACTTGCAGAGTCGCAGAGAGAAACGACGACCAGATTTACGGGAGAGGTAATCAACAGATAGTACAAACATCATGGCCACCAGGTTATATGGCTCCACCAGAGCCATTGGCTCTTTGAGGGCAGAGGTAAAGTGAACATCCGGCCACTCATCCATAGACCATGGCTATCATCAGGTTTAGCACTCGCACTTGACCAGCCTGCTGACAATAGGCCCTCGCTTTCACCAACGTACAGCTCCTGAAAGTCCGTCCGTCTTCTCGATCAGCCACGGCTAGGCTCGCGGCCGCCTCGTTCACAAGAGCATACTCTTCCTCCTCCGAACCAGACCTCAAGGCCACCCTCAAAGAGATCATCCCGGCCAAGAGGGAACTCCTCAAAAAGGTCAAGGCCCGCAGCTCTGCCGTCCTCAGCGAGGTCAAGGTCGAGAATGCCCTTGGTGGCATGCGTGGCCTCAAGGCCATGGTCTGGGAGGGCTCCGTCTTGGATCCCAATGAGGGCATCCGCTTCCACGGCCGCACCATCAAGGACTGCCAGCAGGAGCTGCCCAAGGGCAAGACGGGCACCGAGATGCTGCCCGAGGCCATGTTCTGGCTTCTCCTGACCGGCCAGGTCCCCTCCACGGCCCAGGTCCGCGTCCTATCCCGCCAGCTTGCAGAGCAGGCACAGCTGCCCGCCTTTGTCGGCAAAATGCTCGACGACTTCCCCAAGGATCTGCACCCCATGACGCAGTTCGCCATCGCCGTCGCCGCCCTCAACTATACCTCCAAGTTCGCCAAGGCCTACGAGAAGGGTCTTAACAAGGCCGACTACTGGGAGCCCACCTTTGACGACTCCATCAGCCTGCTCGCCAAGCTGCCCACCATCGCCGCCAAGATCTACCAGAACTCGTACAGGGGCGGCGGTGCCCTCCCTGCCGAGGTTGACCTCGAGCAGGACTGGTCTTATAACTTCGCTGCCATGCTGGGCAAAGGCGGCAAGGAAAACGAGAACTTCCAGGACCTATTGCGCCTGTACCTTGCCCTGCACGGCGACCATGAGGGCGGCAACGTCTCGGCCCACACAACCCATCTCGTGGGAAGTGCCCTGAGCGATCCCTTCCTGAGCTACAGCGCCGGCTTGCAGGGTCTTGCAGGTCCTCTTCATGGGTAAGTCTGCTGCTGCTTCTGCTTCTTTTCAGGTTCCATGCTGAACAGGTGGTCTCTTTTCTCAAGCCTTGCGGCACAAGAAGTGCTGCGCTGGATCATCCAGATGAAGGATGCCATACCCTCCTCCTACAGCGATCAGGATGTTCACGATTACCTCTGGTCCACCCTCAATTCCGGTCGTGTCGTGCCCGGCTACGGCCACGCGGTTCTTCGAAAACCCGATCCGCGGTTCGAGGCCCTCATGGACTACGCCGCTACACGGCCCGAAATCGCCCAAGACCCTGTGTTCCAGCTCGTCAAGAAGAACAGCGAGATCGCCCCTGAGGTGCTCAAGGAGCACGGCAAGACAAAGAACCCGTACCCGAACGTCGACTCCAGCAGTGGTGTCCTCTTCCACCACTACGGCTTCACGGAGACCCTCTACTACACTGCCACCTTTGGCGTGTCGAGAGGCCTGGGTCCTCTTGCACAGCTGATCTGGGATCGGGCTCTGGGTCTGCCCATTGAGCGGCCCAAGAGCATTAACCTGCAGGGCATTCTGGACCAGGTCGGGAGTTCCTGAGGCACCACTTGCCTGACACCAGAAGGAGGGGAATGATGAAATTAAGACCTAAGACGATGAATGGCTTTGAAGAAAAGGTTATTTTTATTTGATTGCAGGATAGATAGAAGCATTGTTGTCTTGGGAGAAATTTTAACATTGATGGTCCAACAGATTGCTTTGGGGCCCACCCTTTCGCTCGCCTCACTGACTCGCTCCGTCTGGTCTCTTGTTTTTCACAATAGAGGTCTTATTTGTAGACTTGAACCTCTACACAATGATTGTAGTTCATTCATATTAAGTAGGGGTGTTAACATCAGACCAGACTGGAAATTTTGAGGCAAATCTGTCAACCAGTGCTCGACGACTTGCTACACAATTGCAAGGCTGCTACTTATTCAGACATCCCATATCCCTCAACGTCGTCTTCATCGCGAGTCGTACTGATATACATCCTCAACTTTCACTGCAGGGGCTTTTTTTCCCCCTCGATGGACCATGGCATCCATGATGCGGTCTCCCATTCTTCTCCATCTCCCAGCTTCTATCCCCCTCCCTCCCCCACCTCTTTCTTTTGTTCTGTCTCGCTGGCTCCACCCAGCAAGCCTTTTCTTACTTCTCACCCGAAATCATCTCATCCTCGCCAGCCTTCTTGACCTCATGTACCTGCCTATCATGCTCCTGTCCCCCCTCCTCCTCCGTCTCCCCAGCCTCACCCTCAATGTGCATATTCCGGTTCTTCCCAGGGTGTCTCTTACCGGTCACGTCGAGGTAGATCAGCTTTGCGGTGTTGACGAGGGTCTTACGCCCCTCGAACACGGGGAACAGGCCGACTGCGAACAGGGAGCAGAAGATCCAGATGATGCCGACGACGACCCAGCCTGTGTCGTGTGTTGTTAACAAGTGGGTGGAGGGAGGCATTTGTCACGAACGAAGGAGATTTGGCTCACCAGTGAAGAATTTCTTGCTGAAGATGTATCCGCTGCCATACATTGCTGTTATTTGGGATTCATTGTCCCGTTAGTCAAGAATTCCTTGGTTACTTGTTCGCAAGTAGACCACAGAAGGATAACCACTTACGCATAGGCCAGAGCACCAGGAAAGCAAGGCTGTAGTAATAAGAATATCAGAATCAGACTTATCCAACAAAGGAAGGAAAGAAAGAGAGGATCAATGAAAGTTGAGATGGGCCTCAAAAGCAAAGAAGACGACGGCGCAAACTCACGTCATAACCACCGTCATGGTCTTGCTGATCCTTCCCGCCCGCAGCAGCTTCTTCTGCTCCGCCTCAAAGTCATCAGGAGCCTGCGCATGCCCGCTGTTGACCTCCTCCAGGTCCAGGTCCGCAGCGGCCGCCAGCTCGTGGTCGTCGCCCTGGCGGATGCTCATCATGGACTTCCAGTCGTAGTGGTCGAGGCCGAAGAGGAGCGTGAAGATGGGGATGAGGACCAGGGGGGAGAGCAGGGCGACGACGTTCCCGGCCAGCATGGGGTCGTTGGAGCCGGTGCAGGTCACGTCGAGGCTGCCGCACGTCTTCTTGGCGGTGACGAGCCAGGCGATCAGGGCGAAGGCCAGGCCGAAGATGGGGGAGAGGGCGGCCTAGACAGAGATGGATGTGTGAGCACAGGAAGTTAGATACACACATCATTTATATTCTAGGAACAACACTCCGGTTTTTGGAAAGGGCTTTCAAACTTACAGCCCACTTGTTGAGACCAGCCCAGGTAAGGGTCAGCGTAGCAGGGAGTACAGCCGATGAGATAATGACGCCCATCATGAGGTAGAGGTAGCCCATCGAGATACCTGCATAGAACAGGCCGACCGAGAAGCTGGCTATGAAGACAGCGTAGCCGACGACAATGCAATGGCTCATCCAGATCAGACGGTTGCCCGACGCATCCGGCTTGAAATATGTACGGTACCTTTTATCAGAATACAGAGTCACGTGTCAGTAGGACGTCTTAGAGGAAAACCAAGAAGTAAGAAGGGTGAACAAGAGGCAACAGACAGATCATAAGTGAAGATGGACGAGACAGCAATCAGTTCCGAAGAGGTAGCCGAGGTGACGGCCATGAAGATGATGAGCAGAGTCGCGATGGCGCCGCCTTTGCCGAGAAGAGCAACGGCAGCATAGGGAAGAACGAGGCCAGCAGACACATCAGCGTCGGACATGCGGTCTGGATAGGTTGGGAATCGCGGGTTCGACTCGAGAGCCAGTGCAGACAAGCCCATTGTCCTGTCACATCGCTTGTGTCAGCAAAGGATACAACTCTTTGGCCGTATCGGGTCTGGCAAAATTCCATCTTACTTACGTAGCTGTTAGCCATGGGATGGCAAACCACGACAGACCACCGAGGATGTAACCTGGGAGGGCATGTACTGGCGATGCTGCAATAGCCTTATTGTAGTATCCATCTATTATTATGAGAATTTCGTTGGTCAGCATATAGTCATAATCTTTTTTCTTCCCCTTCTCCTTCTCACCCTCTTTACTTACTATCCAGGAACACGGTGCCAAAGTTTCCAACAATGTTAATAACAAAGAAGATGGCTCCCTCCTTGGAGCGCATGGTCAAGTAGCTGCCGTCCTTGTTGCCATCGACGGGATGCTTGAGTGCGGCTGTGACCAGGAGGTCATAGACAGCGCCAGGGGATCCCAGGACATCCGAGGACGCGTAGGCCGTCAGGGAAAAGATAATGATGATGATCAAGAGGATGAATGTGTGGATCCAGTCCGTCAAGATGGTCGCCTTGAGACCACCGACCATGGTATAAGCTATGGATTACGTGCAATGGTTAGCATCCAGGCGACAAAAATAGATAGAACGGGTTTAAACCATATCAAGTGAAACCGACTTACCCACGACACCCACTGGCAACAGATAAATGGCAGCAATCTCATTCATGCCCGTCAAGGCGTTGACAGTCGCAGACCCACCGACAATCAACATGAGGGACACAAGGATATTGGTCACGAGGCCAAAGACCATGAAGACGAGATGAGGCAGGGTGCCGAACCGCGCCTTGATGACCTCGAGGAAGGTGTGGGCGTTGGGCGCCCTCCGCTTGAGCTCGATGGCCAGCGTCGCGAACAGGAGAATCTGCACCGTGGCGCCCGAGGCGTACCAGAAGGGGCCAGAGACGCCGTATCGGTAACAGACACCGGTGGACTGGAGAAGACTGCGTGGGGGAGGGAGGGTTCACAGAGACGAATTAGTATCACTGTACTGGTCACTTCTCATGTGTGTGTTTTCTCATTAGATACTTACGTCGCTGCCCAGGTCCAGGAGGAGACCACGGCACTCCCGACGAGGCCTGACTTGACCGTACGGCCGGCTGTGTTGAACATCTCGGATGTCTGCAGCTCGCTGTTGTACCTTCGCAGGACGAAGGTGACGAGGATCATACCTAGCCCATCCACCCCATGTCAGAGCCAGGTTCTCACACACATACACACACATACTCCCAGAAAATATTGGGTTTGTAGAGGGGAACATACCCAAGGCAAAAAGAGCCCCCAGTCCTAAGACAATGCCATAGCCATAGGCTGGGTCCAATGCTACGTGCACCATCTTGGCTGTGAGGTGGAGGTGATGATGGACGGGACCGTGGTGGGTTTGAGAGGATGAATGATGGTGATGGACGATGACCAAGTTGGTTTGCCTCACACTCTCTCCTCCGCGTTCGTAAGCTCTGAAATCTCCTCCTCGTAAGCCTCAGGTATATACTCAAGGTAGGAGCAAACTTGGGTGATCAAGAGATGCGGCTTGCGTATGGTCCTGACCCTTTTAAGAATGCCACACAGCCCGTGTCAAAGAAAAGTCACAGTAGCACAAGGTATTATAAAGCTGTCTGTCACAATGACGACGGCAACAACAACAATATTGCACGCACACACATTAATTCCTCATCACCAGCTGACAGCTCGGACTCTGAAGCTTTCAAGTATGCAGACAGAATGCGGGCTTCCTAATTTAAAAAAGCCAATGAGCTACGTACATAGCGAACGAACCATAACCCTGACATGTGCACAGAACCATGGGAGGGGGGGGATAATACTATGTAGGCAAGAGATAAGACGAAGCAAAAGATGATCTAATGGACAGACGGGCTGCAGCAAATCAAAATGTCGGATCTCCGTTGATATCAAGCCCCCCCTTCGCGTCAGCATAGTGTCCTGGGTGGAAGAAAGAAAAAGAGAAAAAGATAACGGGCGCCATAATAGTACTATAGTAGCTCCTTGCCAGGAGGGGTGCCGGGACGATCTCGCACTCTTTTTGGGTTCAGGGCTTGTTTAGCCTGCGACTTAGGGGCCCCCACGCCTAGTGATACCTTGAGTGGAGGAGGATGGTTCTTTTTCCTTGGCCGAGATAAAGTAGTATTTTCTGTGAATCATTATTACAATGCATAAAGCTTATCGTTGCTTGTGAAATTCACTACAGTAATTAGTTACAGTATTTAGCACTTACATAGTACTCTATTGTTCTTCTTTTTCTTCATGTTATTAAATCCATACGACAGTAGATTCACGTGCTCTGGTGGGAGCGGAAAGAAGAAACGAGGAGAATAAGGTTGGCAAGTACTCAAGATAGCGTCAGGTCTAAGCAGTGCCGGCACACTAAGCAAGGTTCCGTCTGCCACGATCAGTACTACGTAGCATAGCAGACACTCACCTTTTCTTATTACATAAATCTTGAAGGGGGGGGGGGGGGGGCAGAAGAGCACATCACGAACTCGACTCTCACCATCCACCCTCCCTTCCATCCATCAAAACAACTGGAGTAAAACCAATCTCTCAGCTTCAAACCTCTCTCTACACACTCTTTAACCTAACTTAATCAATTGATCAACAAAACCAAACAAAAAACCATGTCCCAGCAACCCGAATCCCCTCTCTTCTCCCCAACCCTCATCTCTCCCGAAATCGGAGCCACCCTCCCTCAAGGCTTCACCATCCGCCCAATCCAGAGACAAGATTTTCAAAAGGGCTACCTGGACTGCCTCGAGGTCCTCACCTGGGTCGGCCCCCTCACCGAGGCCGAATGGGACGAGCGCTATACCGAGATGGAGAGGGCTGCGGCCACGTACTACCTGCTCGTCATCGAATACCAGGACCGCATCGTCGGGACCGGCTCGTTGGTCGTCGAGAGGAAATTGTAAGTACACACACACTTCACACAACCTCCCACCTCTCCCCTTGGGAATCGACTATTGTTATGCTGCTGAAGGGGGTTGAGGGGGTCCATATTCGTGCCAGCAGCCAGCTCACATACTATTTCTCTTCTTTTTTTCTTTCCTCCGTTTGTAGCATCCACAATCGCGGACTGGTTGGCCATGTAGAGGAGATTGCCATCGCCAAGGAACACCAGGGCAAGGGCCTCGGTCTGAAGATGATTCAGGCTATCGACTCTGTGGGCAAGAGTGTTGGGTGCTACAAGAACATACTCAACTGTGGGCCGCAAAACGAGCCCTTCTACGCCAAGTGCGGCTACGACAACTCGGGCACGGAGATGTCACATTATTTTGAGACCGCCAAGGACAACTTTCACAGGGGATGATGATAGGAATTGATGATAATCATGATCATGACGATGAGCAGTACTTAGTTGGTTTGCACAAAAGAAACCGGCATCCAAGATTATAATATTCACCAAAGAAAACAAAAGCTCCCATCTACCTCACCACTTCCCAGAAGTGGCCTTCGGGTCTCTCGAACTCTGGCCTACCGTAAATGTGTATTGTCCGGTGGTGACCAGCACCCAGTTCTGCCTCTCCGCGTCCCAGTAGCTCAGATCTCGTCGTGTGAGGTTGAATTCGACTGTCCTGACCTCCTTCTGCTCGAGGTGCACCTTCTCGAAGCCGCGGAGCACCCTCACAGGGAAATCGACTGCCTTCTTCCCGTCCTGTGGGCTAGGGTAAGACAGGTAGAGCTGTGCCACTGCCTTGCCGGCTTTGGCGCCCGTGTTGGTCACGTTCACATGAACGGACACGTACGTCTCCCACAAGTCCGGGTTGCCTCCTTCGTCGCCTCCTGCAGGGGACAGCGCATGCTTCGTTTTGTACCCATCGGGATAAGGGTAAGGATCTGCGACGAGTTCTTCGACGGTATCTACATAGGGGTAGATATACTTGTCGAGCTTCCTGATGTCGGCAGGCCAGAGTGCCTCGCTCGCGTCAGGCAGCTCGTCGCTGTATTTTGGGGGTGTGGCCCCAGGCTGCGGCCGGGCTGCGGGAAGAGCGGTCTTGTCCTTGATCTGGGTGATTTGCAGATCGGAGAAGTCAAAGGTTGTGTAGCTCAGGCCGAAGCCGAATTCGAAACGTGGCGCAATGTCCTTCTTGTCAAAATAGCGATAATCAATGTAGAGCCCTTCACTGAAGTCCTGTTGTGGGACGACACCGTTGGGTAGGTACATGATCTGGCCGCCCGCACCGTAGTCGTCGAGAGACTTGCCAATCGTGTAAGGCAGATGACCAGACGGGCTCTCATCACCAAAGATGATGTCTGCAAGAGCGTTGCCGCTCTCCTGGCCGGGGAGGTTGGCGAGAAGGACAGCCTTTACGTTGGGCAGATCCACCCACTTCTCCATCACGACCGGACCGACGGCATGAATTACAACGAGGACCTCGCCAGTGCCACCGCCACAGCCTTCAGCAACCTTAACGATTAGGTCATCAGCGCCCTTCTGCAGCGAAAGATCCGGTCGGTCTCCGGCCACATCTGACCACCGTACGTAGCCCTCTCCAGCATCTGCGTTGCCAAAGACAATGCACACATCCTGGTCGAGGATGCTCGGGTCGGAGTCGAAAGACGGGTTGTTGGTGAGATACTCAGACCATTGGACCTTGGACATGTTGAACCCTTCCCGCAGAGGCAGGACAGGAGGCACGAGATACGGAAACTCAACAGCACCGCTGCCCCATCCAGACCCTAAAGTCCCATCATTGCATGCTCGGTCCATGCATACGTTGGGACCCTTTCCTGGCCCAGCATCCTCGCCAAAGATGCCAATCTTGAGCTTGCCCATGTGTCTCTCACGGAGGTCTCGCTTCTTGCTTTTCTTCTTGGCGTCGGTGAACCCCATACGGTCAATCGGAAGCAGGTCCTTGTTCTTGAGCAGAACAATGCCTTCCCTTGCAACAGCACGAGCGATGTCCTTGTGGTCACCCTGTACGTTGACGAACTTGTTCACCTCCACAGACTCCTGCGGTGTCTCGGACCCAGGGGCCATGGTGCCGAAGCGATCGTTTGTCCACGAGGAGAAATTGGGCCCTTGGCCATCAAACTTGGTCTTGTCGTCTTGACCGAGCTGATACCACGCAGCAACAATTCGGGACACCATATCGTTCAGGCGCTCCAGGGGCACAGATCCATTCATGACGGACCGCGTCAGCTCGGGTCCCCAATAGGACAGGCCGTCTGAGAAGCGCGCTCCATCGCCCGGCATGGTCATATCGAGGCCGGCGAGGGCACTGGCCACACCTGATTGCTGTGCGCCCCAGTCTGACATGATGAAGCCCTGGAAGCCGAGCTCGTCCTTCAAGATGCCGTTGAGAAGCTTCGAGTTCTGGCAGACATACGAGTTGTTGACCTGGTTGTACGAGCACATGACCGACGCAACACCTGCCCTGACAGAGTCGCCGAAAGGCCAGGCGTAGAGCTCATGTAGCGTTCGGTCATCAATGTTGGATGAGATGGCGTTGGGCAAGGCCCATTCCCAGGGCTGTCGGAAGTGCTCCTGCTCATTCCCCACAAAGTGCTTGATGGTGGCCATCACGCCCTCGGACTGAATGCCCTTGATCGTCTCGGCTGCCGCGATTCCCTGGAGGTATGGGTCGGATCCAAAGCCCTCCCAGTTCCGACCTCCAGCTGGCATGCGTCCTAGGGGACCGACACAGGGCCCGAGGAGGACGTTGATGCCCTTGCCGCGGGCCTCGTTCCCGTGTGCCTTGCCACGAGAGTACATCAGCTCCTTATTCCAGGTGGCGCCGACTGTCACGCCTGCGGGGAAGGCCGAGGCGTTGTCAGCGAAGCGCAGGCCGAGAGGTCCATCCTGGAGCTGCAGCTGTGGGAAACCGACGTGCACGGCAGGCCCGTTGGTCCCGACTGCAAGGCCCATCATCCAACCCGTGCCCGTGGTCACGTTCACCTTCTCGGCCAGGGTCATGTTCTGCACCATGGCAGCGGCCTTCCTGTAGCTCTCGGCCCAACCAGAGGCACTACCGCCGTTGGGCGTCGGGTACCACGGTGGGGACTGCCCGTAAGCGGGCGCCGCCTGGAACTTGGTATAGATAGTCGCCCCTCCAGCCCCGAGGACCAGCCATATTATGAGCACGGCTGCGCAGGTGATGATGCAGCATCGCGAGCGGTTTCGAAAAGGACGCTGCAGGGTGGCGAGGCTGATTCTCGTCCTATGGCCGCTGAGGAAGGCAGGCTTGCGCTCGTGGTCAACACGACCAGCAAGAGGGTCGGTGGTCAGGAAGTCGGTGGCATCGAGATCAGAGCCGTCGTCAGAGGAGAGGGAACGGCGTGCTTCGGGGTCGACGGATGATTGGTGGTAACGCTGGGAAGGGCTGAGCAGCCCCTCCTTGCTCTCGTCCATCATCGCGGGGGCGAGCAGTAGGGAATACCTAAGCTGCTGCGCCAGGTACGTCCTGCCGTGGCCTCTCGACGGCAGATAGTCGTACTCGTTCTTCTAGATGGGGTCGGTGGTTATGGTTTGTTGCTTTATTGATGTCTCCAGAGGCGGAGGAGACAGCACAGTAAAAGTCAGGTCTGTGGAGGAATCACATCGTAGCAGGAAGATGACCAAGTCACCAGCAGCATCTTGGCCTCTGCTGGCTTTTAATGCATTGTCATCTGGTCCAGTGTTTCGATGATCCGAGCTTGAAACGGGATTTGAGTTGTGCGTTGCTTGGCTTTCCCATGCACGGACGAGTTAGAGGCTATGGCGGTTCATCGGCTGCGTTACCCGCTGACACTGCAGCACTACTTACCCCATGTACCGTGGTAGGACTGTAGCAGAGTGCAGTGCAGTAGGCCAGGTACAACAACGACGCAGGCTTGGCAGGTACAGTGGCTGATCTACATTGGCTTCAGGGCTTGTTCAGGGTCCTTGGGGGCCCAATCAGTCCGCCACCCGATTTTAACGTCCTCGAGTTCGGGACATTTCAGACCGTTCGATGTAAATACTGTACTTGTTGACCCGTAGAGTTGTTCGTTCTCTTGTCTGCCAGACTGGTCAATACAAACATCCTCGGCACTTTCTTCCTACTTTTGATTATTTCCCCCCATTTCTCTTCTTTCTTCTTCCCTTGAAAGAAAAAAAAGGAAAAGGAAAACAAAAAAGCATAGAAGAGCAAGTGCCTGGATGCATGTCTTGTGCACTATCATGAGAAAACCACCCTATTGACGTAATATTCTCGTGGTACCTCTTCTTCTTGTCCTTTTCCTCCATCCTCCTCTTTCATCTTCTAACGAACCCTCCCATTCTTCCATTTCATGTCTTTCCTTTCTCGTTGTGTTCCTGCCTCCCTTCCATTTGTGTTCGCATGTTACTATTGATACCCCTTCAGCTTGTGAGTGAACGTAACTTTGGACTTCCCAAGAGTGGGGAAGGCAGATTGCCGGACTCATGGCTCGATACAACGCCACTCGGTGCAACGCGGCTATAGATGGGGAAAGCCAAGGGGGTCGGCTCGTCTGCCCTGCCTGCTACTACTTCATGTCACTATGTTATCTATCTTTCGCTACTATGAATCCACGAAGCGGTGAAATTGCCAAACCCATATGGCAGGCTTCAATGTAACGTTGACATGCTACCCTTTCATTTCTATTACCCGGCGGCCATGAACGTTCTTGAATGCGTACGCGGCTCGATATTGGACATGCAGCACAATAAGAAGACTCGTCTCTTTTTGTCTGCAGCCAGTCTCTCATAGATTGTCATGCAAGAGGCTTATGGGCTTAGCCTCGTCAGACTTCAGCTGTCGTTTGCTTGAAACACCATCTTGAACGTAAACCATGCGGTCACTTTCGACATGGACGGCCCTCCTCCTGGAGCTGCTCCTCCTCGCATCTCGCGCTGACGACGTCACTGCCCAGTTCAACAACCCTGCGGGCGTTGACATATGGTGTGGCAAGGCCTACCGACCAGAGTACGTGACACTTGTCGTCTTCAATATACGTTCAGTAATAAGTTTTCAATATTGATATTTCGCAAATTAGGAATGCATCTTTCAACCCTGGTGGCTGGTTCGTCGACCCAGAGACCAACAGCTCCTCGCTCAGGCTCAAGGCCAAGCCTCGCATGAGCATCTATCTTGATACGGACGCCACTGCTGCCCTCCTCGTAGACGCCGAGACGGCTTCGCAGTATGGCGCGGACGGGCAGCAGCTGCAGGTGACCATCTCCTCCGACGGTGTGTCTCTCGGCTCGGCAGTCCTGGACGCTGGATCCGTCGACAACGAGGTCGCCGTCGACCTCTCTCTCCTCACCCCGAGGATGGATCCCTACAGCCTCGAGATCCAGGCCACAACACTGGCCAACTCGTCAACAACGGCCTACCAGACGAGCACCAATCTTTCCTACCTCCCTTACCCAGACTCGTACGGGAGCGTGGCCAGGCTGGACAACCTCTACGGCGGCACCCAGGCGCAGAGGGGCAAGAACAGCTCGTGGGTCGACATCTACCCTTACACGTACTATGTGCAGTGGAGTCTGTACTGGGACGCCAACGTGAGCACCCTGAACGACTTCTCTTCCACGTACAACATGATCCATATCGTGCCCACGGGAACCCTTCAGGATGAACCCTTTCCGTGGGACCAGTTCCAGCCCTATCTCGACCGGGCGGCAGAGCTGGGCATCTGGCTGCAGTACGATGTCCTCTGGACGCCGGACAATCTCACCTCCATGATCGAGCAAGTGTCGACGTTGCGTACACATCCAAGTATCCTGTCCTGGTAGTGAGTCCTCCCCTCCCCCCCCCCCCCATGGCATGATGTGTATTCTCCTGTGGCAAGCTTCTTGCTGTTCCCCTCTTCTCTGGAAATATCCAACTCACACACGAGTCTTTAGTCAGTCTGATGAGCCCGACGGCAAAGGCAACCCTCTTAACTCGACCGGCATAGCCTACAATGTTATTAAGAGCCTCGATCCTTACCATCCTATCAGTCTAGCTCTCAAGTCAGTTATTTTTATCCTATCCAACTTGGTTATTATTGCTACGTTTCCAACTCTTTGCGTATGCTGACCTACATTATTTACACTCCAGCTGTTATGATTTCTACTACGAGGACTATGCGGCGGGAGCGGACATCATCACCCCAGGTACGCCCGTCTCTTAACCAGCTTCTATTGTCTACTTGGCCTTGACAATCTACATCTCTCATCTCTATTCCAATATCATACTACATTATGGAGAATTGAGGCTATGAGGACCTCACCCATGTTCCTGAGAATAAAAATTCTGATCGAGACAACCACACAGATGTGTATCCCATCTCAACAAACCTCACCTACTCAACAGTCTACGACACAGTCTGCAACGCCACTTACGGCTGCTGCGGCTGTGACGACTGCGGAACAGGCACCACCGTCTTCTCTGACATCTCGCACCGGCTCGACGAGTTCCGCCGCCGCGACAGCCTCATTGGCTGGGCCAAGACCCAATGGTTCGCCCCGCAGGCCTTTGGCAACGAGACCTTCTGGACGAGGTACCCCACCGCCCCGGAGCTGGAGGTCATGACCCTGCTGGCCGTCAACCACGGGGCCAAGGCGGTGGTCAACTGGGATTTCCCCACGTCCTCGGAGCTGTCTGCCATCACTAGCGACCTGGCTGCGCTATTCAACAACACCGCAGTGACCAAATTTCTCATCGGCACGCCGAGGACGCAGGACTTGGTGGTCGTGGGCGGGGCCAACATTGATGCTGCTCTCTGGGTGGATGAGTCGGGCGGCAAGGCTTTGGTCTCTGTGGCTAATCTGAATTATTACGCTGTGACGGGCTCGGTCACGGTGAGCCTTCCCTCTGGCATCAGTGCGTCGGGTGTCTCTGGGAATGTCTGGGGTAACTCGACTTGGCAGGTTGGGAACGGGACTGTGGGAATTGCTGCGGGACTGGATGGCCTTGAGACTGCCATATTCGTTATCAGTCTTGTTTGAGCAATGGGTACCCTAATTTGATATCCTTCGTGTAATCGAAGCCTACGTAGAATTCGTTCTCTCCTTCTCTACGTGTGAGTTTCATGATTGTGGAAGTGTAAGGTTCACTCGATAATCACACGATATTCAAGGCACAATACACCGTTTGCAATATTGACAAATTCCAACGGCACAAGCCTAGGATAAATTCAACTCATCACCTCTACATCTACTTTGAGTTCCCCTAATAGACATACCTGAAGTTAGGGTTCTCTTTATCCGTATAATCCTCAAAGGCATGCAAATACGATTCATCATGCGCCTCCCGCACACCTTGCGCAGCCAGCTGATCACGTTTCTTGTTCTGCCACGTCAAGTACCACCGCAGCGCCAATATATCAATGACAAGCAGCGAGTAACAGCCGAGATGGGTAGCAAAAGCAGTAAAGTAGCGCGGCGCGTCCCAGCTCAGGAAGACCTGGGGACCTGTGGTTTCGTGGTAAATGTCAGTTGTCAGTCTAACTTGCATGGCTTGGACATTGCGCTTTCTACGAGACAGGGGAATTTCAAGACAATATGAAGAATAACAATCGTACCGATAGCATTGCCAGTAGCCCAGATGATAAAGTTGATCGAAATGGCGACTGACTTCTTTGTCTGGCCGGCGACGTTTCTTGAGATCATGGACAGGCTTAATGTCTGCGCGCTCCAGAAGGAGAATGTGATGTAGTAGCTGATCAGCAGGCCAACATGTTGGGATCGCGTGTCGAGAGGAACGGTCATGAGACAGATGGTGCCGATGAAGGAGCTTCAAGTTGGGAGCATGTCAGCTTGTGGTGCCACAAAGATGGTAGTGGGAGAATAAAAAAAAGAATGAAGGAAGAAAGGCCAAAAAGAAATTCAGAGTTTGCACTTGACTGACGGTATGATAAAGGCCAGCATGACAAGCAGGTTCTGGTGCGTCTTCTTGACCAGCCACAGAGATGAGAGGAGGACAATAATGATATAGGCCCCCAGAACCATGGCCAGCAGCTGTGTCTGCAGTGTGGTGAATCCAAGGCTCTCTATGATGATATTCTCGAACGAGCCCAGGCCAGACGTGGGCAGCGTGGTGCAGAGGGCGATGATGGCGTAGCCCCAAATCTGAGGATCGCGGAGTCCCTCGATGAGCTGGTCCTTCTTGAAAACTCTGTTCTGCACGCCCGTCTGGTTGTCTCGGACCCGCTCGATCATGAGGTGTTTATCTTCCTCGGAGAAGCACTTTTATATCCAGTCAGCATTGTCTCATTTCCATTATTCCTTTTTCCTTTTTTCCCTCTCCCATAAGCAGTTTATGAAAACATACCTTGGCTCGCATAGGACTATCGGGCATCCACCAGCCAACGAAAAGCCCAAAGAAAATGGAGATGATCCCATAAACGAGAAAAATCCACTGCCAGGACTTGAGCGGGCCTGTGGTGATGAGGGTGAAGCAGTAGGCCAGCAGCCCCCCAACGATCTGCTGCATACCGTTCATCATGTACCAGTAGATGACCCTCGCGGCCTGTTCGTCCCGCCGGTACCAGATGGACGACAGGAGGACGAAGGAGGGCTGGCAGGCGGACTCGAAGAGACCAAGCAGGGTGCGCACCGTGACCAGGCCGGCGAAGTTGGTGCAGGCGGCAGTACATGCGAGGACGGTGCCCCAGCCGACGATGCAGAAGCTGAGATATTTACCGATGGGAACCCTTCAGTTTGAATGGAAGGATTAGCATAGCTCTTGCTTATTGTTGGAAAGAAGATTCCTTCAAGCCGGAACGGCAGACATATTTTTTTTGCATTACTTACCTCGCAATGATCCAGTTCTGAGGGTATTCGACGATGAGGATAGTAATATAAATACAAGTCGTAAGCCACGAGTATTCCTGCCCTACTAGACCCGTGTCGTCGACGATGCCCATGATGGAGGCAAAGCTAAGCGTGCCCTTGTCGATGGCCTGTAGAAAATACGTGCAGACCATGACGACCAGAATGCGCCTGTCGATCTTGCGCCGCAACTCGACGTTCTTCTCGGGTGAGATCTCGATGCGCGCCGCCGACACGTACTGTGCGAGCTCCTTGTCGACCTTGTCATAGTCCTGGTGGCTTTTGGTGAACTCGATCTCGTGTGCCGACAGGACTCTCTCGGCCTTGTCGATGCCATCGTCGTTGGGGCCTTGCTGCTGGCTCGTGACGCCCTGCTTGGCCGGCGCATCGACGCCTTCAGTAGAGCCTGGGGTCGTCATTGTTGTTGAAGGGGCCTGACGGTATCTTGGCTCACTCTGTGCTGCATATACGCACAAGTAAATAAAGGCTTATTTACTGCGCCAAAAGAAGACTATGAGCACACGAGGAGGGGGAGTAAAGTACTAAGTGGGACGGTGGAAGGAATCTGCACAATAGAGCGAGAGATGGCGAGTCTACTTCTTAATTGAAAGTCTTATAAACCAACAAGAGCAGAACACTACATAGAATCCCCAGAAACCGAATTTAGGCATTATTCCGCACGTGCAAGGGTATTCCATTGAGCTCAACAACCTGGTAAATACGCCGCTGGGCTCGAGAGAGTCTGACCCGGGCCGGATGGCTTCTTTGGGCGACAAGTCATAACCAATGGCAAAAACTGGTGCGGAGATACGAAATGGTTCAAGGGGGGCTCATTGGGGCGGTCAGACCTTGTGAAGGATCAACTACTGTGGTGGAAATGGACATGGCATCCTACGTTGCGAGAGAGAGAGAGAGAGAGAGAGAGCCTCGGCAATAATTTTATTCAAACTATGTTCGTGCTGAGTTATCAGCAGAGAATTGAACCCTCTAAGAAAATGCACACACGATGCCATCTCTCTCTCTATATTGGCCTCCAGGACTTACAGCCTGCCTTGTAATGCATCGAATAAAGGTCGTGTTTCGAGATCGATATTTCCAACGAACCAGCCAACACTCCGTCTCTACAGATTCATTGCATATGAAAAGTCAATTTTTCAAACCTTTCTACTGTTCAAGACGCTCACCTGATGTTCTCGTCCCAACAACCCTCTCCTCCACAACCCCGTACCCACATCACAGCCCAGCTGGAGACGCTGACCCACTATCCCCAGCAACCCCGCAGGGAAACCTGTTCGGCTGACTCTCACAACCAGAGGGGAAGCAAACCGTTGTGGAGACTTTTAGACCAAATCTGGGGAAGACGTTCTCCATCTCTCAACGAGGAACAGAAATCTGGGGCCATTTCAGGGGAGAAGGGAGGGGTCTTTGGAATGTTTGAAATCTTGCTCCCGGCCCGGGGTCTTGAACTCGGCGTAGTTTCGGTCCGAAATAGTCCAGCATTCGGTTGATGTTTTACTGCTCCATCCGTGCTGTGAGATCCAGGTGTGGGAATGTTAATTCTAAAGTTTCGTTCTTGAGGAGGAAGACAGTGCCTGTGAGTGTGAGTGTGTCGGTTGCTTCAATGCCTATCCAGATTCCTGTCGTCCTTCGTTGTCGTCCTTGCTTCTCGTACAGTACAGTATCTGAGATCAGTCCACCTATCAAATCATTCCAACATGCCGGCAGAAATACAAGGGATCAAGTCCCAGGACGTCCACGCCAAGATCCGCCTCCTGATCGACGGCATGGTCAGCATCAATGACAAGACAGGGAAATTTCTCCTCAGGCTCGAAGACGGCCGTGTCATCGACACAAAAGGCTGGAATGATTGGGAATGGACACACGGCGTGGGTCTCTACGGGCTATGGCAGTACTACGAGCTCACAGGCGACGCCGCCTACCTCGAGATCATCGAGTCCTGGTTCGCAGCCCGGTTCGCGGCGGGGGGCACCACCAAGAACATCAACACGATGGCTGTGTTCCTGACCCTCGCCTACGTCTACGAGCGCACTGGGAACTCGACCTACCTGCCCTGGCTCGACAGCTGGGCCGAGTGGGCGTACCGGGACCTCGAGCGCACCCGCTTCGGCGGCATGCAGCACGTCACCTACGTTTCGCTCCATGACCAGCAGCTGTGGGACGACACCCTCATGATGACTGTCTTGCCCCTCGCCAAGATCGGGCTGGTCCTGGGCAGGCCGCACTATGTGGCCGAGGCCAAGAGGCAGTTCCTCCTGCACCTGCAGTACCTCTTCGACCCCAAGACAGGCTTGTTCTACCATGGCTGGGAGTTTTACAAGCCAGGAAGTAGTGAGGCTGCTGCTGCTGCTGCACAGGGCCACAATTTTGCCGAGGCGAGGTGGGCCAGAGGCAATAGCTGGCTTACCATCGTCATCCCCGAGTTTCTCGAGCTCCTCGATCTCGATGTCACGGCTGACCCCATCGGCATACACCTGCGCAACGTCCTGGAGGCCCAGTGCTCCGCCCTGTCCTCGCTCCAGGATTCCTCGGGTCTCTGGCGGACACTCCTGGATGTTCCCGAGAGCGAGGGCTCGTATCTCGAGGCGAGTGCCACGGCGGGGTTTGCCTTTGGGCTCCTCAAGGGGCGGCGGAAGCGCTATCTGGACCCCTCGGCCTCGTTCTCTCCGGCTGAGGCTTCCGACGGGCAGAGGCTTGGGGGCTCGAAGCAGAGCTCGTACGATGAGGTGGCGTTAAAAGCCATCGAGGGGATTCTGCAGAATGTGGACGAGAGCGGCGAGCTGTTGAAGACATCCTTCGGCACAGCAATGGGGTAAGTGATGAGCACACGCATGTACCCTCCCTGACGAAACTAGCCCTGAACTAAAATGCTCTGCAGAAACACCCTCCAGCATTATAAAGACATCCCTGTTACAAGCATGCCGTATGGACAAGCTATGGCCATCATGGCATTGGTTGAATTTCTTCGGCGGTATCTGTAGATTCTCCACTACTTTAGCATTGAAACGCGAGCTGAGAGGAGCACGGCGACTTGCACAAAAATCCTATAAAAGGAGGAGGGAGGAGGATCTGGGTGCAGGATGACTGAGGAACTTTAGACCACGGCCGAAGGACATAGAAATTTAATCAGGATGGCATCTTCTTGAGAATGATAGACACCATATAGATTCAAAGAGAGAACGAACACAACATTGAACCTACGGTACACGACAGAACCCCATGCGAGTATTCTCAGTACCGAAAGCATCGCGAGTCTCTTAAAATGCAGGCGCCTGTTTCCAGACAGGCAAGGAGCGCAAGTTCCGTCTGTCAAAATCCACCTTCCCTTTACTGTCGACCCAAGCTCCCTCGTCAGTAGCCTCAATGCCATCCGCAGCCAGAGAATCAATCTCCTTTCTGCTGAGACCATATTGATCCTTTGGTAGCCAGACAATGGGCGTGCTCGACTTCAGGCTCGGCTTCTTGTATGCCCCCTGGATTTGATCATCCGTATATTGCGGTGGTGGGTCAGTCTCGGCAGCTGTGTGGCGCAAGAACGCCCTCATAGCCTTCTGGGATGCATAGACATGTGGTTCAAAGAACCGGGCCACAGGATCCAAAACCTTGTGAGGTATGTGGACCTCACGTCCAAGCTGCTGAATGCGGGAGCTATCGTGTAATTCGGCCTCCTCTTGGGCCCTTCCCTCCTCTACGGCTGCCAAGAGAGGCTCTTGTTGGGGATCTCTTTCGCCTGCATCCTCGGAAATCAAGTTGTCGGGGAAATGGTCTTCCAGGGGGTTGAGATAGCGGTTGGTGAGGACGTTGTATGCAATTGTTCCAAAGAAAAGAATCAAGGTTATGATCGAAGGTCCTGTTGCCTTACGAAGCCCGAAGAGCCCGATGAGACACAACTCGCCGATATACACTCCTGCAAGAATTTGCTGCAGTGCACGTGTATAACACTTGCCTTTGGATTCGATCTTGGGCTGGATCACAAAAAGAAGGTTGTACTATGGGCATATGGATGTTAGTATTTGGCGATATCGAAATGTTCCTTCATTCCTTCTCGAGCTATTACCGCGGAAATCTAACAATCATTCTGCACGCTCGGGACCAACGTACCTTGTAGCTGCAGTAGAACAAAAAGAGCCCTACGGTCGCAAAGCCGAGGACGAGAGGTGAGATGCAGCTATACACCAGGGCGATGATGATAAAGTTGGTGAACTTGGGGTAAACTTTACCCCAGCCGATGCCCTTGAGACTGGTGTACTGCTGATATTTATCTCGTGGGGTTTTGTAGATGAACATCTCGAACAAGACATACTCGAAGAGGTCTGACCAGTTCATAATGTTCTTAGTCGAGGATGCGAGCCCTTGTAGGATAAAGTACGTGAGGTAAAAGTTGGACGACTTGGGAATGTTGTCGGCGAGCAGCTGGGGTATGTGATGCGGCTCGTTGATGATCTTTGGGATGAATGCAGTAGCTGAAGAACTCAGGGCAGTCACTAGGAAAACCTGTATGATCTGGAAGGCATAATACCACGCCTGGACTTGGAGCTCAGCAGAGACAGTTGTTGGCTCCCCAGATGCTTTGGCAATTTCTACACCAGGGACCCGTTAGTTGGACATAGAAGAAGCGGCCTGGGCCAGTCGAATACTACTTACTCCTCATGATGTTCGGTACGTACGACGCGAGCAGACTTGTGAGAAAGGGGGGGAGAAACCCAGTCAAAAGGCCTAGCACGGGTTCGGGAAGATCCTTGATCCAGCCAAGCAGTTCGAAGCTGGCGAGGTAATTGACATTCGAGATCGTGCCCACGATAGCGGTCGGGATGGACCAAAAGATGATCAAGAGCGCAATGAAAATGTTGGCAACTGACTTTTTCGACAGGCGTTCGGCTTGAGGTATGGCCAGATTAGTCCAGATAACCTCACTCGGAGCGACGCCAATGAGTCTAGACTGGATAGTAAGGTTGGGCGGAACGGGAAGCCGGAGCTTGGACTCCCCACGGTATGCCCTTTGGGCGGCTGACTGATCAGTGTACTCCACAAAGACGGCACAGCGAGTGTGACCCTGTGCCCCTTGGCTTGTGTATGTTTCTCTTTTTTCATTGACTTTTTGGACTGCCTCCTTGACACCACCTCGCAGATGATCGATCAGATCGGATGCGGCCCCGGCGATGTAATAAGTCCTCTCGCGTGGACGGGCGGTTTCCACATCAACCTCTGGCGGAGGCTCATCGTCCGTGGAAGAAGCAGCCTTCCCCGAATCCGTGGTCTTCTTGGTAGCATGTCTGACAAATGAGACCTCTGCATACTCCAGCTTCGCTACTTTGTCATCTCGGGATGTCACAGCATCATCAAGAGTCTTCGTCTTGGTGATGACCCACTGAGACCTCGCTTCATCGCCGAACGTAGACTGTGCATCGACATCTGATGAAGCACCCTTGGGAGGATCGAGGTGGAGAACTGTACGCGAGGAGAGACGAGACGCATTGGCCCGGGACAGGTACCAGGCTTGGCGGAGTCCGATCAGCCAGATGCGCTCTCTGGCGATCACAAACATGACAAAACCAAAGTACAGCCAGGCGACCACGGCATGTGCGTAGAGTCGATTCTTATCATGCACATTGCCGAGACCCAGCCTGTCTAGCTGGGAAGCATCGCCACCACCCGTGGCGTTGACGGGAAATAAGATTGGCCAAGTAATGCAGACGCCGACAAAACACGTGAAGATGGTGGTCCTCAGAAACCGGAGATACAGGTAGGCATCAAGGGTGGAATGCTCAAGCACAAATTTGTCATCCAGCTGCCTAATGGTCCTCAACCATTCGAAGCGTTTCAGGCTGGAAATTGGTGTCCGGTCTCTGATGCACACACAAAAAGACACACAGTCAGCATGGCGCTACCGAAGGACATACCTATTGCCCCCCCCCCCCCCCAAGACGGCACACATGGACTTACTTTTCAGGTATCACATCAATGTAGGTCCTTGGCGAGTAGATTCTGCGGAATGGCCTTTTGATAATCACAAAAACCAGCAAGAGCAGGACAGCACTTGTCAAGGATGGCACTAGGGCAGCCAAAATGGCAGGAAGAGAGGCTGACGTTTCTGACTGGAAAGCACACCATCAGTCTTTGACATGTTGTTTACAATGCGTGATGCTATATTTGAAAATATTCATCAACGATCTCTCGGGACACTTACGTCTTTGCTGGCTGTGTCGTTCTTCAAAGACGACATCGACATCAGAGAGCCAACATGGTCAGCCTTCCAGCCGCCGGCGGCAGGAAGCAGAAAGGGCTGCTGATCCATGATCAATAGCGGTGGAGTCGCTAAACAAGGCTGGAGTCGAAAAATTGATGCATGCCACTGACTATGGAGTGTGGAAGGGGAAATACACACAAAGTGGGAAGTGCGAGTGAGAATGGATGGAGAGGCAGCAGGAGCAGCAGAGACGACAAAAAGTGACGTTGCAGCCTGGACTTGTTCATACTTGCCAGGAATCAGGATTGCGCCTACCCCAGCCACTGCACTACAGTACAGACAAGCCACTGCACCAGACCCTAACCCTGCCAACGTCACTTCAAAAAGATAGAAGGGCCACCCTCCTTTATCTAGAGCTTAAACTGTCTGTGTGATCCTTCCGAAAACATTTCAAAAAAACGAGCTCTGAAGCTTGATTGCAGATCTATCTATATGCTTGCGCCTAGTTTTTGTCAAATCCGAAATCCTTAAATCCTTCTTTGTAAAGGAAAGAAAATATCGAGACAAGGAAAACACCTTTCCATTCTTCCAAAACCAGCAGACTGAAGAAGCAACACCTGGTCACCACAACCTGTCCTCCTCGTCGGATGTGCCCGCCATCCGGATCTCAACCCTCTGCTGAGGTAGTACATGTGTTACAGATATCAAACATGCTTTTCTGGTCTCTTCATAAGACCTCCGGCTTACACGCATCTCAATACCACGTCGGGGTGACAGACCAGTGGCGAAGCATTGTCGCGACTGCAGAATTCCACTCGTATTCGAAACACCGAGCCAGCTGATCTACCTCTTCAGCCGTGGGAGCCCGACCTCCCCACATCTCGAGCCTTGACGCCTCCAGCACAGAGTACGTTGATACTAGGTTGCTGTGCCCTTCTATCAGCCAGCCACTCCTCTGTCTACTAAAACGCGAGACTCTGGTTGTCACCGCGAATACGCCCATCCATCCACTGGACAAGTGGCGGGTCGCTACTCGACCAGTAGGGAAGGAGAAGAAAAATCGGGTTCACGTACTCATCAACTATCTTTCGAAGGCAGAGCCAGGCCATATTCCAGCTGCGATTGCTCTCTGGGTCATTCCGTACTCGGGCCTGCGCGTCCGCCAGGATGTCGCCGCAGAAGGGGTAGCTCCTCGTGAGGCCCCTCAGTTCCGTGAGGAACTGGTTGCTGCTGACATAGTAGCTCCAAGCCTCTGTCATCGGCCCCTGGAAGGCCACGGCGTCATTCTCATTCTCACACGTGGCGGCAACACGCTCGATCCTGACAAGCTCCGTCAACGTGTTTATAGAGTGAGATTGCAGGGATTCGATCATTCGATGGAGGGATCGCTGTGAAGAAGAAAACGCCTTGTCAGTTGTCCATATCAACTCTCAGAACCAACTTTCTATCATCTCTTGCCGCCATATCTCTTTGGCTTTCTCTCCCTTCTCCATGCTGGAAATGGGGCCCAAGATGATGGCCCGCGAGTGCAATCGCCTAGGATCCGTTGGTGGCAAGGTAGATGCGCACCTGAGCTCCCTTATCCTTCTTGCTCCCATGAGACCCACGACTAGAACGAGAGGAAGACATTGTGGCAAAGGTCTTCCAAATTTCTTGGAGCGTTTGGGCTTGTTGTAAGTGCAGTCGGGCAGTAGCGCGAAAGGCTGATTTCAGAGGACGAGTTATCACAGCTAATGTGTTTGGTGTCAATAACTTACACTGAAATTCCGTGAGAAGCCCTTCTTTTATAAGTTATTTATATACACATACATACGTACGAAGCATACTAATATGCCCAGATGCCATCTATTAGCACCGCCTCAAATACTCGCCACGAGCCTCGCAGAGCCTCTGAGGTCTTTACAGTCACTTCTGCAACAGTCAGAGGAACGAGGAGCAAAGCTGGGATCGTGTGGGTCCCTGTCCAGCTGGGGGCCACGCGAAACGAGAATAAACATCCCATGGCAAATCCGAGAGCCGTACTGGGAGTGCAGCCATGGTGAGGTGGGCTAGGCATGGGTGCCCGTACGCAGTCTTCGTCCTTCCACTGCCTCACTTGTTCCTAAATTGGAAATTCTGGCACCCGTCAACCAGCGAATCAAATAATCGAACGCCCAATAAGGAAGGAAAATCATACATGACGCTAAGGTAAAAAAGAAAAAAGCCCCTCTCCGCTATATCTGCGCGCACAATCCAGGAGTTCCCGAAGGATCGGACCGGATAGGGCAGAGCCGCAGATGACAGCGCCCCGTAGGAGGCAGCAGCAAGTCATGCCAGGACATCCCCGTTCCCTGCCTCCTTGACGGGGCTGAAATGCTCATCTCCCACGTGGGATAGTACAGCAGTGCTGTCAAAGGCGTGCGGCTGATGCTGAAACTTGGGGTGGAGACGAGAGAGGTTCTTTGCCTCGCGTGTGTTTGTGGGCATTGGTGTGGGTATGTTGAGGGCATGCTTCTAGAATTCCCAGCTGAAGGGTCATGGGGATCCGACCGAACCGGGCCTTTTACAGATCGAAAACAGATCATCAGCTGTGCAATGATTCCCTCGGCCTTCGACCTGTGAGCTGCCTCCGTATTCGAAGATCTCAGGACGCAAGAATATTCTGGCAGTCATACAGAGAGTGACGGGCACAGGGATTGACACACAGCAGGTGGGGTGACTACACCATCCAAAGACCGCTGCCTAGAACCTCAGTGCAGCCGGCGCACTAGACGAGGAGCTTGAAAATGACGTACTACTCAAACAATGGGACAGATTGAGCAGAAGGATGGATGGACAGAGGGGGGAAGAGGGGGCAGCGTCTCGCTCCAGAAGGCTCGGGATCCGGATTGTCGTCGTTCCATTCTTACATGCGCCGTGAGGGAGGGTCACGCGCCGGACTGCTGCAGCCTGCAGAGGTAGAAGATCAAAACTTTGCAAGAGGAGTATGAACACACCCCACGCGCTCCCATGGGATGGGGGATGATGGAGAACATTCCAGTCATTCCATCAAGGTTTGCATAGCCCTCTCTCTTTTGGGAGAAACCCTGTTTCACCGGAGACTGGCCAGTCGAAAGCGACTCGGTGGCGTTCACCTTGTCCCAGGACTCGATAGGCTCACAGTGGGATGTATGCGTGTGTGTGTTTGTGTGTGGTAGGCGAGAGCACACAATTCCCACCTCAATAAAGAACCTCGGCTTTTTTCTCTTCAATAGGGGTGGAAACAAGAGCTTCTCACTGGTCAATATGTTTGATTACGTTAAGAGATATATTTTGGGACGTGTTTGACTAATGAAAAGGCGGTATAGTCTTCCCTGCTTCTGGCAACAACAAGCGTGTGGGTATGTCTGGGTAAGAAAGAGTTTGGCGCAAGTCAGCCTTGTAGGGCTGCAGGCAAGCTCTCTGCCTGGCACTGGCACCACGAACGTGCATGCATAACACCGGGGTATATGCGTCATCTTTTTTTTTTTTTTTTTTCGCGTTCGTCTCACCCAACCCGGAACTAGAAGTGCTCGGTCTGCGTGCATACTCCGGCGGATCCAGCCAGCCAGGATTGTGCGGATCTGCCGTGAGACTCCGCGGACCAGCTGCGCCGTCTACGATTGGTCTTCATAGAGGCCCTTCATTTTTGTCATTCGGCATTACCGTTTCCACACACACACGTTATGCTACGCATACAGACACGATCTAAAAGGACCCTGGGACAATGAGATTTTAGGCTCTCGTGTGGTGACTCTTGCGAGCCCGATGATCCGGGTCATATGTCCGTCCCACAGCGGGTGGATGGCAATTACTTGCTGGCGGGTTCGCAGGCCGCTGTTCCCTGGACTTGCCGTCATCCCACGATGATCCACGAGGACCTGTCAGGCATGCAACACATGCATATACGGAGGCCACTTGATCGTCATGGCGTGGGGGGTGTCGCTTAGCTCTGCGATATCCGGCACTGCGGCCTTTCCATTTCTGCTCTATCGTCTCCCAAATAGGAGCCAGAGCGAGGCGACTAGCTGTTTCTATGCCTGGTGCTCATCGTGTCCTTCTGAACCTGCCGTGTGTCCAAACACAGGGTCGTCGGCCTCGCTACCATGGGTGTCCTCGTCATCATCCTCACCGACGAAGTCTTCACTCTCCAGGCTGTCGCCTTTGATAGCCAGAGTCCACAGCCACCCTAACAAAGCCACGCCGCCAAACAGGCCCCAAGCGAGGAGTTCGCCTTTGGGACGGATACGTGCCGAGAGCGTGAACACGGCCCCAGAGGTGAAAGGTCCGAAGCTGCGGCCAGCAGCGGACAGGGTCTGAGCGATGCCGTTGAGAGTGCCTAAAGTCTCGTGAGATGGCGCGGAATTTGTAATCTTTGGAATGAGCACATGACATGGTCAGTATTCGTTCGAGGGTGAGCCTCGGCCCCCAAGGAGCCACCTGAAGGAAAGAGCCACAGCTTACCAGTAAGAGAGCACAGCTCAAGCCACCCACAGCACTCAGATTTTTGAGGACAAGGATGACGCCAAGCTCTGCCAGCAGCGATGATCTGCCATCTGTCCACCCGAACAAGCCTCGCTGGTCCTGATACCCAACCCATGGGATCAAGATCATGCAGAGCGCCAGGCCCAGCAAGCTCAGTCTAAAGGTGCCCAGGTTGCCCAGGCGAGCCTTGATGCGCTCAAACAAGGAGATCTGAAACACAATAGTAACCAGGCCGGCCAGACTCATGCTCACACCAATGGTCCCTGGGCCCAGATCACGTCCCGTTGGGGGTGCAGCACTTGCAAAGATGGGATACAGGCTGTTGAAGGAGATGTTGGCGACCTGAAAGATGAGGTATGTGAAGAGGATGCTCAGAGTGGTCCAGTTCAGAAGTTGACGCAGGGTCGACCGGCGAGAAGGACCACTGTCCTTGCTGTAGTCGACACCGTCGCCTGTGTTGGCATGATCCTGAGACTCAATGTCTGGATGCGTTGAGGCATGCAGGAGTGCTTGATCCTCGCCCTGGTCCGTGTCTTCACCGTCTGCGCTATGGTCGGAGCTATGTTCCTCCCAAGGACTCGAGTCGCGAGCCGAGTTGCGCCAGTGCGGTGTCCAAGAGGAGCCCCTCTTTCCCTTGTTCCGGCCGAAACATGAGCCGAGACAGAGCTTCTCCACCCAGCCCAGCCCGGTCAGAGGGCGCGTCCGTTGGACGTCTTCAAGCGTCTCCTGGAACCATATAGCCAAGACCACGACAGCCAGGAGTAATGCGGCAGCTGACATGACGTTGGGGCCTAGGTAGGGGAATTTTTGGCCCTCGACCTCCCCAACAAGCAGCCCGCCCAGTGCGGGGCCGGTGATGCCCCCCAGGGAGTACATGACCGGCAGCCAGGTGAAAGCCCTGCTCTGGTTGCTCCTGTCGGTCAACTCGCCCAGAACGGTCGGGACCACGGCGGCGTTGCCGTTCAACAAGCCCATGGCGATGTGGACGACCATGACCTGCCAGTAGCGCTGGCAGAAGCCGAAGAAGGCGAAGCAGACCATCAGCAGGGCCGTTCCGACCAGCATGACGGGCTTCCGACCGACTCTGTCCGAGAAATAGCCCCACAGGAAGTTCGTCAAGAGCTGGGCCAGGGCGAAGGAGGATGCCAGCAGGCCGACGTATAGGCCAACCTGCGCGTCTGGTATCTCAGGGAAAGAGGCGACCATATTGGGCAGGTATGGACCGATGGAGTTCAGGGCAGTCTGCTCGCAAATGCTCAGGAGGGCCAGGAGAGCCAGCTGCCGGACGGGTAAGGGGGTGGCATGGCTGTTGCTGTCTCTGCTGCCCGTGTGCCTATGTCCGTGGTGGCGGCCCCAGTAGCTCTTGCCCGCATCACCACCATCGCCATCGGAATAGGAAGTCGGAGAGAGGGTGGCGGAGGAGTCGGGCGCATCGCTAGGGGTCTTGGGCGGCTGCGTGGGGAAGGTATGGTACTTGTGGGTAGACTGCTGCCGGCGTAAGCCCCCGATGGTGCTTCGTCTGCGGCTCGAGGGATCTGCGCGCAGGCCGTATGGGGTCGGGAAGGCGGGGATGGGGGCGCCGGCATGGAACGACCCAGAGGAGGTCAGCCGCACGGGGCGGGTGAGGCCTGGGCGGGAGGAGGAGAAGGACGAAGAGGCAGCAGCGTTGGAGCCTGAGGCTGCGGTGGAAGAGGAGGCTGCCGAGCCCACGGGCGCTGGCGCTGCTCGAGGCATGTTGACGGCGAGGGTCAGCAACAAGAGATACTAAACGGCCCTGAGCAGTTCATACTCTCTCCCTCTCCCTCTCTTTCTCTTGTTCTCTATCTCCTTGACACGATATGTGGTGAGACAATTGCAGAGCCTCGCTTTCCAAACGTACCCTCAGACAGACAGTATAAAAGCAAGAGAATAGAGGAGAAGACCAAGATGATCTAGAATCTGCCTGCTCGTCGGCGGGTCCATGACCATGTGAGCAGATTCGTGACGTGCCCCGCGACGGAGGAGTCCTAACCTCCTGGCGCCGGTTCCTCTTTGGGGAAGGGGGGTGGATAAAAAAAAAAATTAGAGAATTCACTCCAGAAATCGTGACGCAACAGGAGACGGGCACTGACGGGCACTGACGGGCAATGATGGGGGGCGCGGCGTCGCCCGCCTCATTTTTCACGATTTGCCATTCTGGAATAGACAGGAGACTTAGCTCCGGAGGAGCTGACTCAGCGGCGACTGGGGTGGATGGTACTAGGCGTCGACAAATCGATGATGGCCCATTTCAAATCTACCTTGGATGGGTATGCAACAAGATCGAGAATACATGGCGCTGCTTTAGGCCTAGCTCTTGAGATCTTGGTCCTCGTGAGATATTTGGGAGAAGATGATTCCCCAGATGATGTTCTGAAAAGAGTAAACTATTGTTTTAAATTTCCCAGGAGTCGTCGGTGAAGAACCCAGACGTGTGGAAAAACGGGGCAGGGCTACCCTAACCCTCACTTTTGTTTCTCCATCATATAGCAACCAATCTTCTCAACGCTATTTTCTAATTATCACGCTGGAAGACTTTCAGTTCCGACCTACTGATAGTGGAAGCTGGAAAACAAAGAGGGTCAGGAGAGAAGAAGGGGAGAAGAAATACAAAAGAAACAAGTGACTTAGAAGACAGAAAATAAGAAATGGTAATTAAGGCAAATACGAAGATGGGCGGGAAACAGAAACGAGTGACGGCAGGGTAACATTTTAATCATACTTACAGGAACCCCATATATAAGTGAGACACGAAAAAAGAAGAGGGAGAACTGTGCCTAGCGACGTCATTCTTCCTGCTTTCAAGGTTGAATTGTCGAATGATTCAGTAAAAATGTGCTCCACATGTATACTATGATCTAAGTGAGGCAACTTTGAATACCAGATCCGACGCCAATAAATACAAGTATATGTGTACTCCACAGATGATGGACCATCAGAAATTATCAACCTTCCCATTCTCCCCGGGGGTAATCCCACATGCACTCACTCATCAAACAATGTTCAGTTGCTATTCAGTCAGATCGAGAGCGGCGCAGACCTCCTCTATGCTTCTCATCTCCTGCGCCCGGTAGAGCTCCATCTCATCTAACATTCCTTCTCCGCCGAGGACCTGCTGCAGTTGGCGTTTCGACTCCGCTGTGGCGTTCTCCGTGTCGGTCACCTCTTTGATGCTGCTTGGGTCTTGATGCAGATTGCTCTGGAAGATCCCAGCCGCCGAGAGGGGCAGAAAGTCTTCGTACTGAATAGGTGCCCATGAGACAAGTCCGTGTGAAATGGCTTGCTGAAGCGTCCTTGGTGCTGCTACTGCTTCCCTGGGCTTCCCGGATGTTGCCAAAGTCTGCCCCTTTTCTGTGAGGCTGTACTCTGCCCAGATGAGCCCCTCGGCCCTGAGAGCCTCCCAGTCATCTGGGAAAGCATTGTCGAATACTGTCTTGTACTCTGACTCTTTGCCCGCTTGAAGCAGACCCAACCGATTGACTTTGGTGATCATCTCGTCGTATATCTTTCGGCCTTTGAGGGTCAGTGCAGCGCCTCTCTGTTCAACCTCACCAAAACGGGCGCAATGGCTACCCTTCAACTCATTACCATCAATCTCGCTGAAGAGGATACCCTCGTCGACAGCCAAAAAGCTTGTTTGCCTGAGCAGGATGTTGCACTTCCTCTCCGGCGGGCCTTCGATGCGGTCCTTGGGAACAAGTCCCACACCCGGCATCCTCTGCTGCACATCATCGATCGCCACTGTGGCAGGCGTCAGATGGTTGAGATGAGGGTTGCGGAATGCCATGATGTCGACCAGCAAATCCCCGTTGCTGTCTGCTTTCAGGGTATCATACTCGTGCCTCGTGATGGACACCTGGTTGCGCCAGGCGAGCGTCTCGCACCCACCCTGGATAAACTCTTCGGATTCGGAAGCGGTGAGACCGCCCTGGGACTCGGCTGCCTCGACCAGCTCGACCGTCCTCTGGCTGAAGACGGGGGACCTCTGGGCGAGAAGGCTCTCTGCGAGTGGCTGCAGGGCCGGGGAGAGCAGTTCTGTCCTTAGCACGGATGTGAATAATCTGAACGGTGCTGCAGAGAGTCCTGCCTGCGTTACTGGTCGGAAGGCGGTCGCGTGTATTGGTAGGTGTGTGGCAGAGAGATTGTAATGCCCGACTGCCTTCATGCCCCTGTTCATGCCGTCAGAAAGGGTAAAAAGGAAAAGAAGAAAAAAAATATTAAAGACTTCGTCGGGGAAATTGAACGTCATCAAATCCTGACCAGTTCCACCTCGAGGGAAATTATGCAAGACGCGACAGTCCTGCGGTGAGGACGGAGATTACATCATACCAGAATATCTGGTTGTTCGAAATAGAGGCGAGGTATGGACCCGGAAAGAAGAAGAGAAGGAAAAAAAAAAAAGGGAAAACCCTCGGAAACTTACAATATGTTGAAGAACCTAGCAGCCATGTGCAACTCGGCGGTAGAAGCCAGCCGGACGGCGCCATGGCGTGGAATGTCTGTCAAGGGTAGTGTCGCACGGTTCTGCGTATTGACCTGGTCGACTAATCTCTGCAGGACCGCATACTGTGGCACCTCTTGCTGGTACATCCGCGATAGAGCCCTAGCGAAGCGCAGACGAAGCTGCGTGGCTGAGACCAAGGAAGGCATTGGTCAAAGAGGACTGGCTCCAGTGTATGTGTGTATAAAAAAAAAATAAGAAGGAAAAGGGCCTTCGATATCAGGTAACTATTGTGAGCATCCCCGCTAGATTTCTGAGGGCCTTTCTTCTTCTCCTGATTTTGGCTGGGCAGTAAGTATTGGCAGATTGACTGGTATTAGAAGAACTGAATTATTCGCATCGCTAATTATTGCTGCTAAGTTATGGGATGATGATTAACAATAAGAAGTGGGCGGTAAAGTAGACTGGCATGCACTCGATGGGACCCAGAAAAGCCTCCTGTGATGTCGGTAGACAAATGTATGACTTGTCCTTGTAATTCCACCATGTCCAAACACATCAAAGTAGGTAGGTATATTTGGGCGGACATACCTGCCCCGTGCTCCGCGCTCCGTATAATTCGCACTGATAAAAGATCCGAAGTCTTCCGCGTCCCGATCCGCTTCCGACTCGCAGTCCTCGTGTACTTCCTAGAAGGGCAAGTCGGCAGAACATAGAGCCGGTAAGCAGCAGTAGCTTCGCTCCTTTTCCTCCTCTCTGGTTTTCTCTTTCTATCAATTTGATAATTCCGCAAAACCAAGGTCGGCATAAGTTCTTCGCGTTGTCAGCTGATTGTGGATGCACGTTGCTGACTATCTGTGGAGCGTGTCTGCAGCGGTGGCCTCATGATTCAACAGCTGGCGTGACCTGGCCTACGGTCTCATTGAATTTGGTTTTTGGTTTTTACTGGTGTTTCTGGTGGGATATTTACGACCCCCTCCAAGGTTGTCACACAGAAGAAGAGAAGAGGCCTTTCCATTTCGGGTGGTCGTGTCATTGAATTGTTCCCTGGGTAATTATTGAAAATGAAGACAGGCTTTCTTACTGGACTTAAACAACAAATCTATGGCTCATTGGCCAGCTGCACAGTACTTACAGTAATAGGCCTCTTGATACCGCATTACATCGGCACAGCTAAGCTGCTGCTCTGCTATGAGTGGGATGATTTCTGCTTCACAAAGATTGCATGCATGAGCTTCTACCCCACTTCATCGTCTTGACAATGGTAAGGAATCAACACCACCGCCGTCGAGAAATAATACTCAAGGCCGACCTGACCAATCCAGCCGCTTGCAACATGAAATCTATTAGAAAGGTTCTAGAAATGGAAGAGAAAAGAAAAAAAAGCCACATCCGCCCAAGGAGAGTGGGCTATCTACTACTACTTCTACTACTCCTCCTCCTAACGCATCAGGCTGCTCAACTTATCCAGGGACTGTGCCAATTCCTCCTGGACATCGTGCTGCCACACCCAATCCATCCGAGTGAGAAGCGACGCCTTGAGCTTCTCCTTGTCGCAGCCGAACTCAGGGTGCTCCAAATCGTAGACCGTCCCCGTCTCGCGAGAATCCTCGACCAGCCTCTGGGTCCTCTCCCTCCTCGTTGTGTCGTACGTTCGGAACGCAGCCGAGATCGCTTTGTCCACATTCTTCTTCTGGCCCTCTCCTCCTCTTCTCGTCAACGCCTCCGCGACCAGGTTGCCCAAGATGTAGGCATCCTCGATAGCCATGCCGGCGCCCGAGCCCTTGTGAGGGGTCGTGGCGTGGGCGGCGTCGCCGATCAGACAAACCAGGCCATCGTCAGACACGTATGTCGAGGCGGGCGGGTGGTTGAAGAGGGCCCAGATGTCGTTTTGGCGCATCAAGCCGATAATCTTGGTCACGGTTGAGGACCAGCCCGAGAAGGAGGCCTTGAGCGTCTCGTGGTCGGCCCTGACAACCCAGTTCGGGTCTGTCCATTCTTTGGACGAGTTGAAGGCAACGACTGGAAATAGTACTTTTGTCAGCCCATGATCTCTTGTATAGGTGAATTGACCTTTTTTTTTTCCTCAATAAAAATAGGCAAAGGCTGAAGCCCAGGGACGTACCATTCATCAGCTTGGCCCCTTCGATCGGGAATGTCAAGATGTGAGCGTGCCTCCCCAAGTACATCTGTGCGTTCTTGGCCGGTTCTTCACCCAGCGCAGCCACAGCCTCCTCCATGGGAATCAACCCACGGTAGCAGAACTTGCCGCTATACACCGCATCAGCCGCCTCAGGCCTGGGCGTCGAGGCCAGCAGCGTCTTGCGGATGTTGGACTTGATGCCATCGCAGCCAATGACAGCGTCGTGCGTCGCGGATGAGCCATCCTTGAAGTGGAGCACGACCTGGCTGCCGGCGGGCGGGGTTGTCGTCGTGTAGTGGGTAACACGTCTGCCGAACTGGGCTACGCCCTCGGGAACGTGCTTGATCAGCTCGTCGAGGAAGTCGCTCCTCTTGACGCCCCGCTGGCCGTTCTTACACTCCACGGTCGCGATGAGCTCTCCGGTGCGGTCCTCAGGGCTCGTCTCCGCCTCGCCCTCCACTTTGTACCTGCCGTCGACGCTCTCGCCGAAGCGGAAGTCAAACCATACGCCTTTCTTCGAGTCAAATTGGTTTGTCGTCTCCGTCTTTTCGAATGCTGCATACACCTCAGGCCCGATGCACTTCATCGCATGGCTGGCATTGGGCCCAAAAGACACTCCTGCTCCGATCTCGCCAAAGGCACTGTTATGTCGGGGACTCGCTGATTAGCAAGATCTGGGGGTTGCTGTAGGGCCATCTCAGGGGCTGCCAAAGGACGACTTACTGGGCAGACTCGTAGACTGTGACGGTATATAAGGGCGTTGTCGAGGATGAGGATTTGGACAGCTTGAGCAGGTTCAGCGCGAGGGTAAGTCCAGCGATACCGCCGCCGACAATGGCGATGGATGGGATGTGGCTGCTCTCGACTGTGGTACTCGACATGTTTGTGTCTTGGATTGATATTGTCGTGAGATGTAAGGTTGCGGGCTTGGCTTTTAGGTAGGAGTATGTGAAATCAAGCAGGCAAGAGGTAGATGAATGATGCTGGAACAAAAATGGTGTCTCAAGAACAAGGGACTACTGTAGCTGTCTGTCTAGTGGGTTTTTGGATGTTGATGCTGCTCTCTCCAATTTTCGACGGTCTTGGCGAGGCCAAAGCATGGTCTAATATACTTGTTCAGAAGCCGACGATGATGCTGAGGGACGGCAAGTCGTTCTCCAGAGCGGGACCCGCACCGGGACGAGAGGCCGAGTTGCGCGCATTGTGGCAATGCCCTCATCCAGGATGCTTCCGGATATCATACTTACCCTAGACAAATAACCAATTGGAGAGAGCGAAAAAGAAGAATAGGAGCGCATGATTTCTCATCACTTCTCAAGGTTGATGTGATGTCTCGGGAAGAGATCCGAAGTCATCGGCTACTCGTCACTATCCATCTTGTTAAATCCGTGTTCCACAAGGCATTGATTATATTCATGTCACATCGAATAATGCGCTGTTGCACGCACTCATGTATGAAGTTTCAACCACAGCCTAGAAATAAGACTGCAGGTACTCGTGGATGTGTTCAGCGTTTTTAGACAGAAGAGAAAGGAAGGGAGAAAGATAATCAGAAGTCATCGCTGTTTCTACTTAGGGACTTGGTATATAGGACTATGCAGGTGTGAGTGGGTGTATAGTCTGACCACCCTCTGTAAAGCTTCTCTCTCTGCGCTTAATCCCGAGCTTACATCCACTGGATATGGGGTATGGGGTACGGTAGACGCCCCTGGAATCCTGCCCGCACATAGCCTTAAACCTCGCCGGAAACAGCACCCGGAAGCCTGGACAAAATGCACGTCCTCACAGTAACTGTACCACATCTTATTTGGCGGATATAGTCAGGTCTACGGGCCGAGGGTGATTTGCACAATACTTTGACGTATGTATGGCATGCAGGCCGACACCATCATTTGACTACCATTGTACTACTGCTTTCTATAAATTGGGGTGTTGCACCTCTGCAAGTATTCTTCTTCTTCATCCCCGTTCTTCCTTTCGGTTCCCACCCGAAGACCTAAATCCATTGTCTGATGATGTCATGATGTCCATCGAATGGAAAGAATGGGATTGTGCGTCCTGAGACATTGTACCATTCTTACAACACATGAAATCTCGAGTCTAGGAATAAGAGAGACTTGGTACTGGTGATGCGATAAAAGGTAGCCTTCTATTCCCATTTCTCCCATTCGAAAAGAGTAGCTCTTGGTTTGTGTTGACTTTCTTCTCTATGATTTCCCTCTTTCCCACTATCTTTTATTTTCTTTCTTACTTCCCCCACCCCGGGTCTTGGTGACAATTTTATTTTCTAGTCTTATCTCAAGTTCTGTTTCTCCTTTTTCCGTCTCTGTCCTGCCACACTCTTCCCTTCCCTTTCCCCTTCCTGGCGAGGAAATGACGAAGAAGAAGATGAAGAAGCGAGGAGAGAAGGACAAGTACGAGTTGTCTGCAATACCCAAATAAGAAGTACCCTCGAGTTCCTCCTGTTCTGGTTTGCTGGGGTGGGGGTTTGTCTACCATCAAAGTGGATGCTCTGGAGAGGCCAAGATGGATACAAGATTATATCGCACGCAATTCTTTATCAGAAGCAAAACCCCCATTCGAGAAAGGTGTGCCGTCTGGGCGTGGAGACCCCTGACCAGGGGTTAGGAATTAGGTTTGGTTGCAAGGGGCCGGATCAGCCAATTAAAGCACTCATGCTCTGGGAGTGGCTCGACTAAGCAGCCAAGTTCCAGTGGATGCGTCCCAGTGCAATGCCTGCTAGCGAGCTCAACAGACCTCTGAAACCAAGGCGGCGCTGGAGGGACCCAGACCACCTAATTTACAAACTTTGACATTCTGTCATCCCGCGCCAGCTGGGCCAGACTCCAGACCTGATCCAACCTTCAACTTCCCAACTCACGCCAACTGCCTTCATTCTTTCTTCACCGCAGGGCCTCTTTTCGATCCTGTCGTCCTGATCAATCCCTGACGGGGAGACTGGATAGTGATAGATAGCGGGGAGGCAGACGAGGGACAATCCCGTCCTTTTCTACAGGCTCCGCTATCAGCGACGTCGACATCACCCAAGACAGTCGTCAAACCTCCTCATCCCATCGCCACATGGTTGTCGCGACACAAACGTGACACACACACAGCTGCCACTCCCACCAGATCAGCAACACGGCATAGGAGATAGGGCCGAGTACAAGTGCGCGTATACGTATAGTACGCACGCACAGACACATATACGCACACATATACCTGGGGTACAACCCGGTCTGTGCCCTCTCTCAAGTCTCTCTCCTCGGGGTTCGACTCTCAAGAGGAGGATTTCTCTTGGCTGCGGTCCAGGTCGAACTGTCGAGTCCCATGCCACCGCGTCATCACGGACAGTCCGTAGACTTACGATGAGAGGCGCGGACAACGACGACCGCACGTGGAAAGATCATCGTCTTCGCTCCCGGAGGAAATCCTCTTCGGGTCTCAACAGCCTCCTCTCCTTGCCATCACATCATCTTGGCTCGACGTCCTCTTCCTCCTCGTCTTCCTCCTCCTCCTTCCGTTCCTACATACCCTCTTTCCTTCGGACAATGCACCCACCGTCCTTCAGGCAGCTCCTCGTTGCCTCCACCGTCCTCTGCTTCTGCCTCTTCCTCTACGGCAGGCGACTGTGGTCTACACACACGACAGGCGTCCACGACGAGTGGGCGAAACCACCACCTCCACCCCCACAACCACAGCCACCGTCGTCCCCTCCAGAACAACAAGATCAAGCATCCTCGGGTGGGGAGCATCAAACCCCTCTGCAACAGGTGCCATGGCACTGGAACGACTACACAAGGTGGGCCGCGCATCTTCCCCTCCCTCCTGCAGTTCTCTATGACTTACGACTAACCTCCCCGATCTGAAACCAGCCTCGACGCCTTCTATCATGGCATCCGCACCCTGGTCGACTACTCGAGCTGGATTCCTGAACAGAGCAAGGACTCTGGTGATGTCAGGATTCTCGACAAGGTCCCCTTTGATCCCGTTCCCGCCAATCCTTATACCCAGCTAGAGGACGTCCAAACCTGCTACCTCGACGCCCACGACACCGTTCCTGCCCCCGATGTCTTCTCCTATCCTGGCATCCCCGCCTATATGCCCGCTCCTTACTTTGGTGCCTACGAGAACCTCGGCATGGCTCCCGACCAATGCTGGGAACGCTTCGGTCGCCTCGGTCCCTATGGATACTCGTACCCCAAGTCCAAAGGCGGCTTTGGCCTCGAGACGCCGCCCGCCGACGAGCCTGTTCTCGACCGCATGATCAAAAAGTACGACTACACTGACATCAACTGGGACACGGTCCAGAAGAGGTGCCTCGAGAAGAACCGCGACCGTTTCGTCACCGGCAAGGACGCTGCCAAGGCTGCGGGGGGCCTCGGGCGTCTGTGGCCTCAATCAGGCAAGGACACCAAGAAGCCTCTGGCCCGAAATGTCCTGATCCTGCGCGCCTGGACCGGCATCGAGTGGACACCCATGCGCATCATCAACACCAGGGCCCTGATCACTGAGCTGTCCCTCAAGTCCGGTGGTCAGTTTGATGTCCACATCCTCATGCACATTGTCGACGATTCCATCGATATTTCCAACGAGGCCACGGCCAAGAAGATGGTTCGCGACAATGTGCCCGAGGAATTCTGGGACATCACCACGCCGTGGTCGGTCCCAGACATGGCTGCCCGCTACCCAGGGTTCCGCGACGACATGACTCTCGAGAACGACAGCCACAAGCCCATCTACAGCGTCTACCGCATCCCCCATTTTGCCCTTCAGTGGTTTGCCCAGCGCCACCCCGAGTACGAGTATTTCTGGAACTGGGAGCTCGACCTGCGCTTCACCGGCCATTACTACGAGTTCTTCGATTCTGCCGCCAGGTGGGCCGACAAGCAGCCCCGCAAGTATCTCTGGGAGCGCAACGAGCGCTTCTGGATTCCGGGCCTCCACGGCCGCTGGCAGGATTTTGTTGATCTCGTCGAGAAGGAGACCATCGCAAGCAGGGAGGCCAGCCCCTGGGGCCCGCTCCTCAACGAGGGCATCGTCGATACTGCCACCTACCCGCCCACTACCATCGAGCGAGACAACTACGAGTGGGGTGTCGGCGAGGCCGCCGATCTCGTCTCTTTCAGCCCCCTGTTCGACCCAGCCAAGAACGCTTGGTCTCTGCGGTACGATATCACTGGCTACAACGACACTGTCCCTCCCCGTCGCACCTCCATCATTACCATCGGTCGCTTCTCGCGCCGCCTGCTACAGGCCATGCACGAGGAGGTCTCGCGCAACAAGCACACCATGTTTCCCGAGATGTTCCCTGGCTCCATTGCACTGCACCACGGCCTCAAGGCCGTCTACATACCCCATCCTATCTATTTCGACCGCCGATGGCCCCTCGACAGGCTCGACTCCGTCTTCAACCACGCCGAGACTCCCGAGCTCAGCGTGTACTACTGGCCCTTCACCCCGGGCACCTCGGAGCACAACTTCTTGACCTCAACATACTACTACAACACCGAGTTCGGTCCACAGCTGTGGCACCGGTGGCTCGGCCAGGAGGACGCTGGTCTGGGCGGTCCTGAGTTGGAACAGGATACAGGTCGCATGTGCTTGAGGGGCGTCTTGATGCATCCCGTCAAGTTCGACTTCACCTCGGACAAGGCTATCGGTGCGACATGATTATGTGCTACGCACCTGCATGCATGGCGGGATGAGCCCATTCAGCGGCTTTGGTTTGTCCCTGTGAAATATTACTCACGTATCCTCTTGTATACTATACATATTGTACACAGCATTGGGTACATTGCCTTGATAGACATAGCGATTCAATGACAAATTCTTGGAAGGATTTTTCTTTTTTTTTTCTTTCTTTTTTCCCGACACAAATAATCAATTTTTATTCCTCCTTTACCACCCCTCTCACAATACGAGTCTTCAAGCTCGCGCCAACGCATCTGAATCGCTAGGAGAATTGTGAGAAGCCAATTGATTGAGCCATCACAAAACATGCATCGGAGCCATATCTAGCCAAAAGACTTGGAGTGGGCGGCTCAATTGACTGCTGTGGTGTGTAGGAAATCAGATTGAGTGGACGGAGCGACCTTCTCCGTAGACATGTGTCTGTCCCGGCGGAGATTAAGCAGGGGCTTGCATCGGCTTCAGTCATAATGCTGTGGAGCGACTCCAGCAGAAGTCTGACACCTCCTTTTCTCTAATCCCCTTCCTTTTTGGTGGTGAAAGTCGACATCACCCCAGATTTCCCTCCTGGAATGGTCTTATTACTACTCCCTCCCCCACGATGTCGTCCGATCAGCATTCTTAATTCCTGAAATTGTCTGATCCTTTTTTTTGACCCACAAGAAAAGAAGAGGGCAAGGCAGCACCAGCAAGTACTACTACACATGGGCGTATATGGACCATGTACTTGTTTGGCGCTGCGATCTTTCTGGCGACCACCCACCATCAATGAGACAAGATTATCAGGGTCACAAGCGGTTTGTGTGCCACACAAGCATTATCGCTTGTGAGAGGAAGCAGACTCGGGCTTCGCCATGATCCCAACAGTGGGGAGGAGCGGGAGGCTGATCTTCTGTGTCAGCCTCGCCAGCCTCGCCCTGCTTTGGAGCTGCCGCCTGCCTCGTCTCTGTATCTTTGACCAATGTCCTCAAGGCCAGAGAGACTTGTTTCTCAGCAGCAGCAGCACTGCGAACTCAGTCTCTGGGGGTCAGGTCATCATCGGCGGGCCGGATCTCTCTGCTCCGGATGCACCTTTTATCTCGTGGCCACTGGCCCGCGTCTGCACCGAGACAACCAGGTGGACACCGGGCCTGGTGTTCCTCTGTGATAACAACTCTGGTGGCATCGGAAATATAAGAAACTTCATACTCACGTGCCTCCGATATGCCATCGAGGCCGGCGCCACAGGCATCACCATGCCGACGATCCAGACGAGGTCGCCCAGCCGGCTAGATGACCTGTTCATCGGCAAGAAGCTGCCCTTTTCCTACTTTTTCGATGAGGAGCACTTCCGCCAGAGCTTACACGCCGCCTGTCCCCAGATAACCATCTACGACGCGCCTGAGGACATACCAGGCTTAGACATGGGCAACGAAGGTGAAGAAGAGGGACGCAGGGGCGATGTGAGGCCCGACATGATCACGCCTAACCGTCTGGGCCAGAGAGGCGGTTGTGACCAGCGCGATCTCAACCGCCACGCCGACCTCTTTGGTCCCCGGTTGCACGCCTGGCTGGGCGAGAAACAGGAGCGGCTCAGCCAGGACCCCATCAGCCCGTCCAACCCGAAGCTGATCCGCTTCAACTGGGGCGTGCAGTGGACGTTTCCCGTGTACCGAGACGGGCCCGAGTTCGTCGCCACGTTTGGTGGGTTGCTCAGATTTCGCGCCGATATCCTGGAGCTGGGCTACAAGACGGTTGCGGCCATGAATTCACTGGCCGCCCTGTCCGCCTCGCATCCGACTACGCCAGAACAGACAGAAGAAGAAGAAGAAGAAAAGAAAGAAGCCGCCAATAATGCATCTTCTTCCTTCATCGGCATCCACCTGCGCACCGAGAGCGACGCCCTGAGCAGCTGGCCCTCGTTTCACGACCAGACCAGCGCCTATCTCGCCAGGGCGTCCACGCTGCGTTCCCCGCCGCCCAGGTTCGCGTACCTGGCCACGGGGAACGCGACTGAGGCGGCCCGACTCGCCTCTCTCGCGCTGGAGGAGCACGGCCTGCGCGTCCTGACCAAGCACGAGCTCCTGGCTGGCCAAAAGGAGGGGGAGGAGGAGGAGAGCCGGGACCTGCTGGAGCGGCTGGGGGCTCTGAGCTGGGACCAGCAGGCCCTGGTGGACTTTGTGGTGCTGCTGCAGGCTGAGTACTTCCTGGGCGTGAGTCCTAGCTCTTTTAGCCTGAATGTTGCGCTGAAGAGGCATCTGAAGCATGACGGGCTCTACACGAGGCCTTGGAGGGTTGGTGTTGAGGGGGGTGATGGGAGGAGCTGGCTTGTGGGCAGGTTTGATGGATACTGGGATGACTGGTTGTTCATGTACGACTCTCTGTGGCCTTGAGTACATTGTACTGTTTGTCTTTGTATGACGTGGTGCATCTATGACACGGTGCCTTGCAGTTGTTGAACCAAGCTGCTGTGCTATGCTCTTTTGCTGTCACACAGCGTGGACATCGAGGATGATAAACGTCCTTGGCCTCTAGTCAGGCGGGTAGTCAAACCCTGTCCGCAAGGCAGCATTCCCATGAGCACAGCAAAGTCTTCATCAGAGACTCTTCAGCGACTAGTCTTGACCACAGTCTCATCGCGGTCCGGTGTCCAGGCCAAGGGCACGATTAAATCCATACCTTTTCTTTCTTTTTTTTTAAAAAAAAGAAAAAGAAAGAAAAAAAGCGAGACTGTGTTCTGAGGCTTGCTTTAAAAAGTATGTAACAATTTGTAGAAGCTTGTATGAGAGGTTTCCCACTCAGATCTGAGTTGTCTACCACCCAAGGCTTCACAAGCAATAAATCGTTGGATGCAAAGGGCGTTTGGAGGGCCGGGTGAATTCTCAGGTACTTATTAGTAGGGTGAGGATCTATTATAGTGCAGGTAGCTGCCAAGTGCCCTGGACATTATCGATAAGCATAACTTATCTTATCGGCCCTGTAAAAATTTCCTGGAGCAGGGGTCTAAACTACTGAGGACTGCCCTAGAAGGCGTCGCCCTTTTGACCCCTCCAAACAATTCCTTACTCCAGTTCGCCCTCCACTTCAATCAGCATAAACACATCCTTGAAAAGGCTGAGCACCATCTTTAAGCGCTCACAAGCGAGAAACTGTTTCTCGATTGCTCGATTTTTCGATTTTTTTCCCGCTCCCAATCCAATTGCGACGTTTGACGTCGTCATCCCCTCTCCACTTTCAGTGCTGTTTTCACCATGTCGAAACGTGCGGGTGAGCACGAGGATGGCCCCCTCAAGGCTGGGCATCGTCCAGATGCAATGGACATGGACATTGACACCGACAACGCCAACAACGACAAGGACATGGGGGAGTTTGAAGACGAGTTTGAGGATGAGTTCGAGAGCGAGGACGAAGTTCTTGAGGCGGGCGTCGACGGGAGACCAGATGCCGAGAGGGAAAGAGAACAGGCCGAGATGGACGTCGACAACCCCTCGGGCTCTGCTGGACCGTCCGCCTTCATCGTTGGCAGATCCAAGCTTGAGCCTGGCCAGACCCTCGCGCCCGACCCGTCTACCTACCACATGCTCCACAACCTGTCGACGCCGTGGCCCTGCCTGTCCTTCGACATAATACCCGACGCCCTCGGCGACAATCGCAAGGTCTACCCAGCCACCATGTACACGGTCTCTGGCACCCAGGCCGAGGGCCTGCGGGCGCAGGAGAACGCCCTCATGGTTATGAAGTTTGCCGGTCTGAGCAAGATGGACCGCGGGGATGACGGCAGCGACGATGAAGAGGACGACGAGGACGACGACGAGGACGCAGAACCCATCCTCGAGTCTAAGTCCATTCCGCTGTCGTCCACGACGAACCGCATCCGCGCCCACCAGTCACCCGCTCCAGGCGCATCCTCTGGGGCCCCGACCACCCTCGTCGCGACCATGACTGAGTCCTCTCATGTCTACATCCACGACATCACCCCTCATCTGGCCAGCTTCGACACCCCTGGCACCATCATCTCCGACAAGCAGAACAGACCGCTGTCCACTATCCGCGCACACAAGTCGGAGGGGTATGCGGTGGACTGGTCACCCCTGTCTCCTGCGGGCAGGCTTGCCACCGGTGACAACGACGGTCTCATCTACATTACTACCCGAACCGACGGTGGCGGCTGGGTCACGGACACCCGGCCCCTGACCGGCCACACAGGTAGCGTCGAGGAGATCCAGTGGAGCCCCAGCGAGGACAAGGTCTTCTCGTCTGCCTCGTCCGACGGTACAATCCGCATCTGGGACATACGGAGCAAGAGCCGCAAGCCCATGATCACCATGCAGGTCAGCAAGGCCGATGTCAACGTCATGAGCTGGAGCAAGCAGAGGTCCAACCTGCTCGCCTCGGGCGATGACGACGGTGTCTGGGGCGTATGGGACCTGCGCCAGTGGAAGCCCAACGCTACCGAGAAGCCCACCCCCGTCGCAAGCTTCGACTACCACAAGGAACAGATCACGAGTGTCGAGTGGCACCCGACCGACGACAGCATCGTCGCCGTGGCCGCCGGCGACAACACCGTCACCCTCTGGGACCTGGCCGTCGAGTTGGACGACGAGGAGAGCAAGGACACCGCAGGCGTGCAGGATGTCCCACCCCAGCTGCTGTTTGTGCACTACCACGAGCAGGCCAAGGAAGTCCACTGGCACCCTCAGATTCCCGGTACCCTGGTGGCCACCGGCCAAGAGTTCAGCATCTTCAAGACCATCAGCGTCTAGGTGAACACTCAATCACGAGGTACGAAGTGGGGTGTGAGAGAGACATGTTATATTACTTGCTCTATGTCCTGGTCTGACCAGGGGAGGCCCAGGACGATAGTGTTTATGCCAGGTTGGAGGGGTGGGGGGAACACGGCGTGAACCAGGACTTGAAAGATACCATTGAACACAAACATGCCAGCTCACACAGTCTGGTTTTTATCAACTTTCTCACACGTCCCGACTTGATTCTCCATCTTGTATCCGCCGTGATAAATCATGACACCGTATCGTACCCAACAACATTTCCTCTCTCATGACGACGATTTCGGTCTTTGAGACAGACATTCTGGTGACGTTCCCCCGTCTAAATCCTCTCTCTCTCTCTCTCTCTCTCTCTCTCTCGCTTTCTCTTGGCCTCGACTTGATTCTCATGCAATATTATTGTTGTTATGAACCTTGCAAAGTCTTGACTCAGATCTATGTAACATAAAGCAGTGGAGCTGGCTGCGAAAGCATATTACAAGCTCGTCTCGGCTTTTCGGGTGTGGCAAGCAACCCGAACTGCTCTCGTGTGTGGGACAGCCACATCCATTGAAGAGAATGGATGGTTGATATCGGTAGTCTATATTGTGGAGCTGCTTCTACTCTGCTCACGAGGTGGTAACCAGGATGATTTCATCTGTACAACAAGCCTCTCTCTTAGCTGTCACTTCGGACGTTGGACCGGAGTCTTCATGTCGACGATGGAGGAAATGGTGTCACTAAAACCCAGCCTCTGCTCCCGATTCAGGCAATGGAAAATCAGAGGATTGCTAGAAATTTACACGTGTCGCAGTTCAAAATAATGAATTTTCACGGCGAAGGCCATTGAGTATCTTTCAACAAAACTTGACTTGGATATCACAGGCTATAAATTAATACACCAAAATCTCTTTGTCTCCCGCTCTCTCCAAATACACACACACACACATCTCTAATTTATCTATCCATGTGCAAACAGCAAACATCTATGCCTTGGCTTCCAAAAACTCGTTGCTGAACGGATAATCAGTGTACCCCTCTGGCTTTTCCGGCAAATAAAACGTATCACGATTGTAAGCCGTAAATGGGATCTCCTTGTCGACCTTGAAGACCAAGTCCGGGTTCGAGATAAAGTACCGCCCAAAGACAACCATGACATTGTTGTTCGGGAACTCCTCGTCCACAGCCGTGTGGGCAGACGCGGCGGTGAACCCACCAGCGAGCAGCACAGGGCTCTGGTTGTCCCAGATGTCCACGAGGAAGTTGAGCTTCTTGGTAGACTCGACCTCGGCAGTGTCTATGCCCTGGAACCTGGACTCGACCAGGTGGATGTACGCCAGCCCGAACTGCTTGAGCTCCCGAACCAGGTACGAGAACTGCGGCACGGGGTCGGCCATGCCCATGTCCTGGAACGACGAGTAGGGGCTCAGGCGGATGGCGGTCCTGTCGCCGCCGATGGCAGCGGCCACGGCCTTGGTGGTCTCGAGGGCGAAGCGCGCCCTGTTCTCGACGGAGCCGCCCCACCGGTCGGTGCGCTTGTTGCTGACATCCTGCAGGAACTGGTCGACCAGGTAGCCGTTGGCGCCGTGGATCTCGACGCCGTCGAACCCGGCCGCCACGGCGTTCTTGGCCGCCTGCGCGTACCAGCCGACGTACTGCCAGATCTCGTCCTCGGTCAGCGGCGAGGGCGTGGCGCCGCCCTCGAGGGCGATGTCGCTGGCGCTGACGATCCGGGCGCCCTCGCCGAGCTCCCCCTGCAGCGTGGCGGGCTTGCCGGCGCGGCCCAGGGCCCAGAGCTGCATGTAGATGACGCCCTTTTTGGCGTGGACGGCGTCGGCCACCTTGCGCCAGCTCTCGACCTGCGCGTCGGACCAGACGCCGGGGACGTTGGAGTAACCCCCGGCCTGGGGCGCGATCAAGGTCGCCTCGCTGATGAGGAGGGTGCCTGGCACGGAGGAACGCTGGGCGTAGTATTCGGAGACGATGGGTTGGATGGGGACGTGGTCCTTGTTGGCGCGTAAGCGGGTAAGGGGAGCCATGGCCAGCCGGTTGGAGAGCTCGGCACGGCCCAGCTTGAGGGGCTTGAAGAGATTCCTAGAGGCAGCCATTTTTTTTTCTTTCTTCTTCTTTCTTTCTTCTTTTTCTTTCCTTCGTTAACCTATCTTCCTCTTTTGTCTTTAATGCGTACTTATTATGTACGGAGAGATCAATATTATGACAGCACACACATTCAACTGATGGAGACTTGATGTAAATGTTCTCAGTCCAGTAGATTATAGACTCTAAGGATATAACTGGTGGCGTGCGTATGGAGTACCAAGGATGGGTTGAGTGAACACTTGAGTGTCAGGAGGGTGGAATTCATGGCTACATGTATTTATATTCGAATTATTTTGGTTTATTAACTACACTCACAGTCATTTGTTTGAATCATACAGAAACAAGCCAAGCACAGCATGGAACAGATTATGAAGCGCTTTGAGATCCACTTCTTAGAAATCACTTTGGCTCTGTATTAGTAACCAGAGTTGGATAGTATTAGAGAGCCACGGACGGAGATGGAATCTTATCGTTTCCCCGAGGCCTCGTCTAGTTTCAGGGGCCGGGGCGTCGAAGAAAAAATTCAAGAGAAAGAAGGAAAAGTATCCATAGCCACCTCCCTGCACATACAGTTACAATGACCCAAGGGCAGGCGGTCTGTGGGCGACATAAGTTGCGCCCTTTTTGCACCTTGACTTCATCAGGGAGAGCCACAAGAACGATACAGTAAGTGATCATGGTGTACTAATAAATACAGGACTTAGTATTCGGCAACTGGTGTATCGTTCATTGCCTTGGAGAAATGCAGGGGTGAAACATCCAAGATCTACACAAGGACAAGAGAAGAAGGCAAAGGGACGGAAAGGATAGCGGCCGTCATCATCTTTCCAAATATCACGCAATGGACAGGCTCGATAAAATTGTTGTCGCCTATAAAGTTTATCACTTACATTGAGTAGAGGACCACATCTCTGACGTCAAAGAACACAACTGCCGAGGTTCCAGAACTCCGTGACCCAGAGGGTAAGAGGGTCCAGAGCTCTTACTTACTAAGGTGGGGATTGCATACTGTATTTATCTACTGTATTTAAGTACTGTACAATAGCGTGCCACTCACGCCTTTCGGCGATAACCGCCATTAGTAAAACAACGACACACAAGTTCAGTTCGTGATCAAGAACGCCCTTTTCTCTTCCTCTTTCAGCGTGTATGTACATTTTAACAGTCAATTTATAACTGTGTTCCTTTCCTCGGGAGGTATGGCATCGTGTTGCTTAAGCTGAGTTCTACAACCTGTACACATTCTCAATTTAAGAGACATAATTCATACTCAAGTACTTACAGTATCACACAATCCAAAAAATCCACAACGTTCAAAATGACAACCGGCGTGTTCCGCTACATCGACCCCACCGCCGTCAACCCTTGGGCCAAGGTCGACACTGATGTAACATCCTTTGAGCGTGTCGAGCGCAAACGCTCCGTGACCAATCTCCGCGACGCAGGGTCCAATTTCGGCGGCATCGACGTCTCTGGCTTCGCAGTCTACAACTCTCCCTCCGCCACCGACCCAGCCGTCTTCTTCGCCCCCGACGACACGGAACTGCGCAGGACCTACTACCCCGAGGTCGAGCGCCTGCTGCGCGACAAGCTGAGCGGTGCACCAGCAGCAGCAGCAGCAGCAGCACCCACCACCAACAACAAGGTGAAAAAGGTCGTCATCTTCGACCACACCATCCGCCGCCACGACTCGACCTCGCCACGCCAGCCCGTCCAGCAGGTGCACGTCGACCAGACCCCCAAGGCCGCCGAGGCGAGGGTGCGGAGGCATGTTCCCGCCGACGAGGCCGACGAGCTGCTCAGGGGTCGGTATCAGCTGATTAATGTCTGGCGGCCCATCGGGCATGCGGCGAGCGACTTTCCCCTGGCTGTGATCGACTGGCGCACCACGGCGCCCGAGGATCTGGTCAAGGTCGACTTGTTGTATCCCACGCGAAACAAGGATATCGGCGATGGTAACGATGATCGTGGCAAGGAAATCCTCCCTGATCCAGACAGGGCAAAGGATATTACGGGCTATGAAGTAAGAGGTACGTGTGTGTCTCTCGCTCTCACCAAGTGAGAAAGAGACGGCGGCTCCCAAGCCGCTCACTCTCATGAATGGACTGACAGACCGACCGTATCCTTTCGACTGTATAATAATGAGCGTATGCTGACGAAGAGTGTGAGCACCTTATGTCATGTGACAGGCGAGACGTATTCGGTCGCACCTAGTCCCAGACACAAGCTGTACTACCAGAAGGACATGACCCCGGATGAGGCCATGTTCATCAAGTGCTTTGATTCCTGGAGTCAGGGCCAGCCCAAGGGCCGGGAGGGCATCGCGGCCCTGACGCCTCACACTGCTTTCATCGACCCTGCTACGCCCAAGGACGCAAAGGAGAGGCAGAGCATTGAGGTTCGGTGTCTGGTGTTTTATGAGCCAGACGAGTCGTGAGGCTGCTGGGGGGAGGGGGAGAGAGAGAGAGAGCGTCCTCGCATCTTTATGAGATTAATATGAGATGGTTCAACGTCTAAGAGCCATTTCGTCTGTCACTGTCTATATGAATGATTCTTTTAATTTCAACAAAGCAAGAACTCAAGATTCAAAATGGAGGAGAACAGAACGCAAGCAATGAATATGCAGCGGGGCCTACAAAGCAATCAATGCTCTCAGCACACGGAGCTAAGTAAGGATCTACCAAAGATGTCAGTTTATAGAACATCCTCGATTAGCTTTGCGATTATGGTATGCAGTCGGCGGTACGAGGTAGAGATTGTCCAAATGTACCGGGGGACATGTCTTCTCATGGGCAATGTAGTTAACTTGTTTATAAGTGCCTATAATTGTTCTAGGCATAGTTTAATGCAAGGATCACAATACATAAATGCATCTTTTGTATAATTCTCATATGGAATGATACATGGCGCTGTCCTGTATCTAGCGCCTGGCAACAGAAAGTGTCACCACCCTTTCCTGGCTAAAGGGGCGAGGTTTGTCAGGTAACATCGCTCTACGGGCTTAGTTCTTAACAGGCTAAAAAGAAAATGCCGTTCCAAATCGCAACAGTCCGATAATAGACAGTCTAGATTGTCCTAGCAGAAGACGTCGGCCAGGCGCACCCAGGCAGCTCGCTTATATGCAAAGAACAACAAGCATTGGCGGTGATTGGCGGACTCATAATCCATGAGGAGAAATGACCCCAGAAATAAAAAAGTGGTGGTGCTTGATGCCATACTGTACCGGTCAATACGGACATATTTCCTCCGTTACACTGCTCTTGATGATCCGATGGAGCATCACGCATGGGTGCTCCAAGGGCAGCACATTTCTGTTGCGGGCAAGGTATATTGCGAGGAGAGTAACGAATATCATCTGCTTCTGTATATTCTTACATGCACTGGAAGTTAGGGAATCAAAACTCCAATTCAACTCACTTTCTCGAGGGATAGCGGAAAAATTATAACCACCAGGAGTCTTCAGTGTCATTAGCTGCCAATTTTCACACTGGCATTCCAACTCTTTCTCTAGCCGACTGCCTGCGGACCAGAAAGACTGTTGACCACCAAGGTACGGATTCTAACCAGAGACCATAACTGCCAACAATGTCTACCTGGACATTCCTCTCCGGCCTATTGTTGGCCGCCTCGACGGCCAGCAGAGCAGCAACCCTCCAACAGCTCAACGTAACCCTCGCCCACAACCCAACCGACGTAGGCTTCTACATCTACGTACCAGACAACCTCCCACCGCACCCGCCCATCCTCGTCAACCCGCACTGGTGCCACGGAGACGCCCCGACGGCCTACGCTGACTCCACATTCGCCAACCTGTCCTCGGAGCACGGCTTCATCGTCATCTACCCAGACAGCCCCAACCTCGCCGACAAGTGCTGGGACGTCTCCTCCCCGGCGACGCTCACCCACGGCGGCGGCGGCGACAGCCTGGGCATCGTCAGCATGGTGCGGTGGACCCTGGACCGCTACCAGGCCGACGCCTCGCGCGTGTTTGTCACGGGCGTCAGCTCCGGCGCCATGATGACCAACGTCCTCGCCGGGGCGTACCCTGACGTGTTCGCGGCCGGGTCGGCGTTTGCAGGCGTGGCGCTTGGGTGTTTTGGCGTCGACATCCCGGCCAACGAGTCGGCGGTCGACTACTGGAACACGGCGTGTGCGGAGGGGCTGGTGCGGCACACGCCCGAGCAGTGGGCGGCTGTTGTGCGGGCGGCTTACCCTGGGTACCCGGACGACGGCTGGCGGCCCAAGATGCAGGTGTTCCACGGGACGGCGGACGAGACGCTGAACTACACCAACCTGGGCGAGGAGATCAAGGAATGGACGGGTGTGTTTGGGCTGAGCGGGCAGCCGACGAGCACCTCGCTGAACACGCCGTTGGCGAACTGGACGAGATGGGAGTACGGCAACAGGGACTGGTTTGAGGCGTATCGTGCGTGGAATGTCACTCATAATATCCCCGTGCAGGAGGATCTGGTGATTGACTTCTTCGATCTCGCCTGTACCGAGGGGGATTGTTTCCACTGGGGACAAGAATGACTGGTGACGAGAGACTCGCAGAGAAAGAAAGAGACAGAGAGAGAACACCAAAACCATGTTCACATAGCACCTTCGCCTCTATACAAGAATCAGGGTTGATGATTGGTCCGTAGATGGCTTATATTTAGGCATTCTCCATCCCTACTACTAATATAACTCTAACCTCTCAGTGATCGTCACGCTTTGACCAAGGCTCGACAGCGGCAAGCAGGGCCTCGTGCACCGCAGGATCACCCGTGCTCGTCAGGACCTCGCTGAACTTGTCGTCTCCGATGCGCCGGAAGAAGATCAAGAAGCCAGCCCACACAAAGTCGGCATAGCTGACCGTCTTGCCTATAAAGAAGGGCCCGTCGTCCTTCTCCTTGAGCCACCCCGTGACCTTTTGCAGCAGCGGTGCGGCCTTGGCGAAGCCCGCCTCCCCGCCCTCGGCCTTCTCGAGCTCGTCCAGGGACATGCCCACCTTCTCCTCGCGGGTCCTGTACCAGTAGTCCAGGCTGGGCTCCTTGAGCAGTCGCTTGGGGACGCTGAGGATATAGTGGCCGCGGACGGCGGCCATGATGTCGGGCATGAGGTCCTCCAGCTTCTTGAGGGCAGGGTCGTCGAGGTGCAGAGAAGGGCTTGGGTGGTCCTTCTCGAGGAGGGTTGCAATGACCCTGGAGTCGGCCACATAGCTGCCGTCGGTGTAGACAATGGTAGGGCTGGTGTAGGCGCTGGCGTTGGGGAGGTGTGGCTCGAGGCGGGTCTTGAGCTCAGGGTAGTTGAGCCAAACCGTCTCGTAGTCCAGGCCCTTGAAGTTAAGGGCGAATCGGGTCTTCCATGGGTTCAGGGACCAGCACTTGTTACTGTCACCCTTGCTGGCGAGGTCAAACAAGATGATTTTCTGGTTGGGGGCCATGTCGGTAGTTGTCTGGTGGTGTGTGTTGCTGACTAGGGTGGATGGAATGGAGGACAAATCGATGGATGGATGGATGGATGGATGGATGATGAGTCAACTCAGTTGGTTGGATGGGATGTGGATGGTGAAATTGGTTGTGCAAGTACCTCTAGAGTACGTAACATAAGTCGACGCGCCCTTTGCTGATGACAAGACCTGAAATGACTGTTTACTTAGTAATTATTTGTAGATAAGTAGCCCGTCAAGTGAAGGCACTGGACAAGAGGCGCTTGAGGCGCTGAAAGGACCCCTCCTGTAGTCACTACTATGACACAATAACTGTTACTTCCAGTGCTGAGTCATTGTGCTCAATACCCTTCTGCCCCTCGTGGCTCACACGACATGAGCCCCGCACTTAGCGCTCCCGAGCGAGCTTGCCTGCTTGCCACTGCCGTATGTCGCCCAAAACGCTGAGGGCTTCTACAGTGATTATTGCTCGCCGCCAACATGACTGTTACCTTGTGTCCCAACCACGGCAAGTTACTTGTTGCTGCCAGAGGCTTTACAATCATCAATTTCCTTAATTCTGCCTACCTGGAGGAGCTCGGATACTACATCTCAAAAGACACCAGAAAAGACCACGAGGAGAGAGAACCCATCTTGGGCAGCATAGCTCGCTCCTTGCATGCAACGTCTGATTCCTGCCCACAAGAGAGCGACCAAAGAACTTGATGACAACAGCTGCGTTGCAGAGCAGTACTTGATTGGTCTCGAACTTGGGATCAGATGAAATTTGTGCAGATGCTACCATACTGATACAGTTCTGACATTGGGGAAGGAGAGATGAGATCAATACGGATACGAGGCTAATAAGCCCTGCATGTGTTATTTAATACTACCGGCTGAAGCTGCCTCGGTACATGCGACACCAGATGCTCTCATGCCACACACCATCACCATCGACACATAAACACACACACACACACACATGCACACATAGAGCTCTTCGCCCAGGGATACATGATAAGTGTCATCGACGTGCGCCATGTCACTACGGGCACGAACTGGTAAGGGCGCCACAGCCACACCAGAAGAATCTGGAGCTGGCGGCGTGGCTGGCGGCGGCAGCAATGATGGCGGCGATGCCCCCCCTCGAAAGTCTGCAGTGGCTCTGCACAAACGTGGCCTCTTCACCATAGCTGCTTTCTCGTTACAGTACCTGGTCATTCCTGCAGCCATGGGCGTTCGGCACTTGCGCCAACGTCTCTTTCCCGACGAGACAAACCCGACGCTGATCAAGACGTATCCCGTTCGGCCACGTCTGCCCGTCAGGATCTTCTTCCCAAAGTCCTACGACAGGACTTCTCCTCAACAACTCCCGCTCTTGTTTTCCATCCACGGCGGAGGTTTTGTCCTCGGTGAACCCTCCGACAATGATCCATGGAACTCCAGCTTCTCCGAGAAGCACAAGGCCCTCGTCGTTGCCCTCCATTACGCCAAAGCCCCAGCGAACCACTACCCTGGGCCGCGCGTCGATTTGGAGGCCCTCATAGCTGCCGTCTTTGCCGACCAGGAACTCGCTGCCCATATCAATCCCGACAAGGTGGGCATCACGGGCTTCTCGGCCGGCGGCAACCTGGCCTTGACCGTCAGCGAGGTGCCCGCCGTTCGGGACAGGATCACTGCAGGCGTTGTTCCCATTTATCCCGTCACGGACTTTGCCACTTCTCCCGATGCCAAGAGGGCCACGAGGAGGTACAAGCCCAAACTATTGGGCTCAAGGGCTAGCGAAAAGGACCCTCTGCACGGGATTGCTGCTCTATTTGACTGGGCCTGTGAGTTTTCTTCTCAAGTCTCTGTCTCTATATCTCGCTCATACAAATCCATCATTGCTCGCTTTTTCTGACTCGTTTTTTGTATTTGTGCGCCCTTAGATATCCCTGTCGGGCAGGATCTACGTGATCCGCTGCTGTCGCCCTTGTACGCAGAGCGCGCCAGTCTGCCCCGCCGGATCTGGGTCATAGGGTGCGAACTCGACATGCTCGGCCACGAGGGCTTGAGGACAGCCTGCCGCCTGGCCGGCAAGCCCGAGCCCGGGATGGACCAACGCATCGGTCAAGAGGAGCTGGCAGCTGGGGGCGCGCTGGGGACGCTCATCACCGAGGGGGACGAGAGGTTCACCTGGGAGGTCAAGGACCAGCACGGCGAGGTCAAGTGGCTGTGCGTACCTGACGCCGGGCATGGGTTTGATATGGATGGAGGGTTGGGTGCTGACAAGGAGGCGGCCGAGGACGGGAGGTTAAAGAGAGAGGCTTTGGTTGAGAGGACGGGAGTCTGGCTCTTTGGTGAGTCTTGAGGGATCTGAGAGGAGAGCTAGTAGTAGTTCTGCTATTCTCTCATGGTTGATCGAGCTTGTCTTGGATTGTCAACATATGCTTTTCCTTTTTCTTGAGTTCCTATTTTACTTTTTCCAGATGAAAGTCCACTGGAAGTATGAGACCTGTAATCTTTCAAATATCAACATCATACCACCTTCTAGGCCTTGATGAGTATGTATAATTGAGTATACTGCACATGTGTGCATGAGAATAAGAAAGAAAGAGTGAAAGTGAGAGGGGAACTCAGCGACAAAATAGACCTTGGGAGAATAAACTCCATTTCCTTCTCTACAATAGATCAAATGCTGGTTATGCACCCATGGGCTCAATGTATGGTCCAAAGTCCCTGGTTGAGGCGGAGAACGTGAGGGGGAGCTCGGGAGGAGTCTAGCGTGCAACCGTCATGCCACGTCTGCTATGCTTGCGTGGTCCCTTCTCCTTCTTCCCCTTTTACATTCCATGTATGTTGTTTTTTCCTTCACCCTCATCTTCACATCTCAAGCTTGTCAGCACCACAACGCTTTTCTTTTTCTATTTATTTGTTTGTTACAGCCTGTTAAAGAGCGCGCGCGAGAGAGAGAGAGAGAGAGAGAGAGAGAGAGAGAGTATGTATGAGAAAGAGGGGGAGGGCAGAGTCGCACACACACTTCTGAACAGGTGAGAGGATGGAGGACGATCGAGACTGGGAGGACGCGGCCTTCAACACGCGCCACCTACACAACCACAACGACCGAGGCGGCCAACTGGGGAACGTGCGCCATGAGTTCCAGGTCCGCAACACGATGGGCACTCACCTCATCAAATGTGCTGCCCTCGATCGCCTCCTCCAGCAGCAGCAACAGCAGCAGATGAAGAAGAAGACAGGGGGCGACCGTGCCGAGACGGGAGGAGGCCGGAAGGGGAAGGCCGGTAATGGGAAGGCCATTTCAGCTGCAGGCCCAGCGGGGGTTTCTTCATCGTTCTCTTCCTCCTCCTCCAAGAAGAAGAAGAAGGGAGTGGCCGACAGCAGCCGTGGTGATGTCGTCCTAGAGATCTACCGCCTTACCGACGACGAGGACGGCCTGCTGGGCTCTCTGAGATGCGGCAGGACCTTCGAGGCCACGGTCGCGTTTGCAGGCAGCAGGAAGACGCTTGCCAAGATCACCCACGAGCTCGGAGGCGGCGGAGGAGCTGACCCGACACACAATGGGGTGGCCAGAGAAGGGAAACGCCGGCGCGGGTCCCGTGATAGCAGTGGAGGAGTGAATGGCAAGGCAGAGGGCTCCAACTCACCGTCTTCAGGAGAAGAGGTGGACAGCGAGGAGGAGGAGGATGACGATGGCGATGACGATGATGATGGTGCTGCCTCTCAGCTCAGCGGAGAGGGCCGTCGCCGACAACGCGTCGCCACCTTTGAGAAGAACTCGTTCCGGCAGCCCAAGTTCTGGTTCCGCTGGCAAGGCGTCATCGCCACCGACGGCGTACCTCTCGACACGATCGATGGGGACGATGACGAGACCTCGGACAACAGGGCCAGCGTGCACGGGTCGGGGTACCTGGTGTTCTCTAGCAACGACTGCAAGCGCTTTCAGGGTACCATGACCAGCGAGCAGATGGAATGGAACAATGTCAAGATGACCGGGTGGAAAACCAAGCCTCAGCCGGAGAGGGACTTTGAGATTGAGTGGGATGGTGAGTTCTGAAGAGAGAGAGAGGAAGAAAAGAGAGAGCAAAAGACAAGAAGAAGAAAGGACAAGAAAAGAGAAGATTCAGAAGAAAAAGAGCTGAGCCTGCTGTGTTATTATAAGGGGCTGAAGCACTGGCGACTAGCGAACCAGTTTATTTCATGTGGTTTTTTCATGTGAGACCCAATAGGGAGGGAAATCTTTGTCTGCATAAGTAGGAGATGTTGCAGAGGCGAACAGATGGGGTGGAAGGAAAGCTGAAGGGCGTCTGGCTTGAGGTGGATGCGATGTGAGGTATGCTTAAGTATGGAGGGGAGCATCCAGAAGGGGTCAGCGCAAGGTTTTGCCTTCTGCTGGTAGAGCGTGGATAAGTTCTTATGTATTTTTATATTCGCGACAGACTCGACTGTAGTAGCGAGTGTGGACTTTTGCGATCTTCATGGGTATTGACATATTAATAAAACAAGTGATCGGTTTGAGGAGATTCTCAGAATCGAAGGAACCCCATATCTAAAGCAAACAGTCACTGTCTTGGGACTCACTCATGTACTTGAATGGTTGTATCGTTGTATTTATGAACAGATGGAAGAGCAGATGCATATATTGATCAATCCCAAAAAAAAGGCTCGTTTACATTTGACTTGCACACAGCAATTTCCCTATGAGCCACCATCTCATGCATTGTACAGTGTTCCACTCTCGAACCTGGGCTCTGACAACCCATCCGATCGAGAACGTTGAACCACTCCGAAGAACCAAAAACCCCTCCTTTTCAGTTCAAGAATTTCCGAAACCAGTTAACCGCCTGCTCAAGAGCCCTCTCAGCCCCCTCATTCTCACCCGTCTCGTTCGGGTCCGCGCGCAAGGCAAAGCCATGCCCGCACTTCTCGTAGAGCCGAACCTCCAACCTCTCAGGCTCGTCTTCAAACACCCCCCGCAGGCTGGCCTCGACCTCGTGCGCCTGCTCGACAGACATCATCTGGTCCCGATCGCCCAGGGCCAGGCTGAAGGGGACGCGGAACCTGCGCGCGAACGCGGCAAACTCGTCGGGCGCGACGCTGGACGGGTGGGCGGTGAAGTGCGCATCGACCAGCTGCCCAGCGCTGTCGTCGTTGCCATCGTCGTCGCCATCGCCCTCGACCGCCGACGCGCCGCAGATGCGCGAGGACCAGTGGCCGCCGAGACAGAACCCGGCGAGCCCCAGCTTGGCCCCGAGGGGCAGCGAGGCCCTCACGGCGCGGACATAGCCCAGCACGGCAGGGTACAGGCGGCGCACCCTGAAGCTGAAGGGGAGCAGGATGGACATGAGCCGCGCGGCGGCCCAGACTCGTCGGATCTGGCCGAGGAGATTGTACCAGGCGACGGGCCTGGTCAGGGTGGCGGAGAGCGAGAGCATAACCAGGGGCACGCCGCCGCCCGGCAGGAGATCCGGCACGAGCACGCGGAGGCCCGTCCTGGCGGCGTACTGGTCGGCGAGGAGCTTGTTGTTGACCAGCTTGGTGCCGAAGCCGTCGGTGAGGAAGACGATGGTGGAGTTGGACGGGGCCGGGGCCGACAATGACGACGACGACTCCTCCCCGCGGGTGATGTAGGTGGGCACGTCATGGAGGATCTCGACGTGGCCGACGGGCTGGGCGGTGTGAATCGTGCCGGTGAAGCAATCCGGGCAGGACCGGATCGGTGAAGAAGAAGAAGAGGTCATGACGATTATGGAGGTGCTTGCTTGATTGCGAAGCACAAGCAGGATTGAATAATTGTAGAAAATGTGGCCCAAGTAAAAGCTGCTAAAAAAAAATAATAAAAAAAAAGTTTGAAACGAGTCTCAATGTCTTGTAAGCAATCGTCACAGATGAGATCTAGCAATGAAGGACGATGTGACCCTGAGATTAATGATGATGATGATGATGATGATGATGATTGAATGAGCCTTTATGTACAGGTGCGGGGCCGAGCTTATTTATGTTTATATCGGGCATGGCAGTATATACTGTATACTGTTCACCCAGCGCCACAGTTTCATTTCTGGGCGCGGCAACAAGGGCGAGGATAGCAGGAGACGGTTGGGGGGGAGGGTGTGGGGGTTTGCCGTCAAGAAACTATACAACATAACATTTGAACTAAGTGAGAACGCCCACGAGAAATCATGGTACTGTAATCATCACTGCAGGTCGGAAAGATAGCTGTATCAAATTTGGTGTAGCTTGGGAAATACACTTTGCAAGGTCTCGCTAGGGACCCACATGCATTCTAGCCAAGGACAAGAAGATGGATGATATAGATTCGTGTGTATATATGATAAATCTATATTTTTATATGTAATCAATCTCGTGGCTCATTCCCTTTCTTCTATTGCTTGGTTATACCAAGGGCTAATCTCAGGGCCTCCATGAACCTCCACACATCCTCAAAGCTGTTATACATAGGCACAGGCGCCACACGGATGACATCGGGTTTGCGCTTGTCACAGATGATGGCCTTCTCCTGGAAGTCGGCCAGGATCTTGTCCAGGAGGCCCTCCCTCAGCAGCACACTGAGCTGCGCGCCTCGCTCAGCCGGGCTGGATGGCGTGATGATCATAAAGGCCGGCTTATCGTCGACGGCGTCACCCTTCTTCTCATCGGCCAGGATGCGGTACAGCATGTACTCGGCATACGCAGTCAGCACGAGGCTCTTGCTGCGAAGGTTCTGGAACCCAGCCTCCTCAAATTTGGTCAGGGACCCGCTGAGGGCGGCGAGGTCCAGGGCGGACGGGTTTCCGGCCTGAAACCCGCTTGCTCCCGGTGTCGGCTGGAACTGCTTGGCCATCTGGAAGCGCACGCTCTGGTCGCCGCCGTACCAGCCGCTCAAACGAGGGCGAAAGGTTGGTTTTGGCTGCCCGTCTTCGCTCTCGGCCCCAGTGGTCCACTCGACCTTGCCGTGACGGTCGTGGACAAAGGCCCCGGCGATGGAACCCGGCCCAGCGTTGATGTACTTGTAAGTGCACCACATGGCAAAATCGACGTTCCAGTCGTGCAGCTTGAGGTCGACGTTGCCGGCTGCGTGGGCGAGGTCCCAGCCGACGACAATGCCGCGGTCTTGTGCGTATTTCGTGATGGTAGGAATGTCAAAGAACTGGCCGCTGTAGTACTGGATTCCGGGAAGAAGAATGACGGCGGTCTCGTCAGCGTGCGCATCGATAGTAGCGAGGATCTGGGCCGTCGAGATGTACAGGTTCTCCTCTGGGGGCCAGACCTCGACCATGGACTGGGCAGGGTCGAGGTTGTGCCAGCGGATGTGCGAGGAGATGGCGTAGTAGTCGCTGGGGAAGGGTTTCCACTCGAGGATGATCTTGTGGCGCTTCTGGGTAGGGCGGTAGAAGGAGGCCAGCAGCATGTGGATGTTGACGGTGAGGGTGTTCATGTAGACGATCTCGCTGGGGAGGGCGCCCATGAAGTCGGCAGACTTGCGCGCACAATCGGCAGACATGTCCTGCCAGTTCACCAGGGGCGAGTTCTCCAGGTCTACGAAGTGGCCGTTGACTCCGATGGCGGCCCACGTGTCGAGCTGTGCATTGATGAACCGGCGGGTTGTCCTGGACTGCAGGCCCAGCGAGTTTCCACAGAAGTAAATACACGACTCATCTTCCTTCCTCTCGGATGATGATGATGATGATGATGATGATGATGATGATGATGATGATGACGACGAAGACGACGAAGACGATGCTGACGTGGCTAAGAACCTTGCCGTTAGCATATGCCTTTCTCTGTCTAGTTCTTTCTCCCTCTCCGTGCATGTGAACAGGGAAAGCTTACACTGCAACGACTTGCTCTTGAGGGAGGCCTTGGTGGGAAACAGGTAGTCATCACGAAGGTGTCTGAGAGAGTCTGAGGCGTCGAGTGATTGTGCATACTCCAAAGAGTCTTCGAATGCCGGGGCCTGGCCAGCGCGGATCTTGTCAGCAGTGGCGGAGATAACCATGATGATGCCCGAAAGGGTTGATGAGTCAATGACAACACTTTTTCCTATGTCCTGACGAAGCTGGTCACAAAACGAAGCGAGGAATCTATGAAGTCCCTTGGGATTTATTTTTGGCTGCTGCAGCAAGCACCATAGAAGGGGTCACTTGGATCACTTTGTAGTTGTAGGTTCGTTGCTACTCCTGGCCGACTTCGCGACTCACCCTCAGTGAAGAAACTTGCAATGTACGGAGTGTACGGGAAGGTTCTGCTGCCGTAGTCGGCCATGGCAGCCCCGGAAGCCGTAGTTGCTTGTTGTACGTACGCTACGGATACGGCGCTGAATCGCCTCGTGCCTACTGTAGCTAGGCCTTAGGGGAAGCTCCCGCCATGGGAAGCTCCTGCTCCACCTGCTGTGGTGCCGGGACCTTGATACACCGCATAGCACCTACCCTGGATTCTAGGGTCCTCATCCGAGGTTCCGTCCTTCCGTCACGCTTTCCGTCTTTAACCGCGGAACCAACGACCGTTGCCTCATCTCCAGACCTTCTTCTGCGCACATGAGCTAGGCAATAAACTCCACTCACCTGGCACAGAAAATGAGTATCATTCACAAGGCTCCCTAGGCTGGGATTGGGGCCCGGCAAGATACATATTCGCTCAGCCCTTTCTCTTCTTCTGCCCCCCCTGGCTGCGGCGGAAGTTGGCAGTACCTCGCGCGAGCGGAAGCTGAAGGGTCCAAGAAGAGATGGACGGCCCCATCCGGATCCTCTCTCATGGAACGAGGGAAGAAGTCAATGTCGTCTTGCTCGTGCCATCTTTCTTGTCAGTCGCCTTGATGAGGAGGTTCTGGGCATATTTCCCATTCTTGGTGGGTACTGCCATCCATGCTTGGCTGGCATCCGTAGGTCTTCTTCCATGATTCCCCTTCTTCCTCCTCCTCCTCTTCTTCTTCTTCCTCCTCTTCCTCCCTTGGATATACGCTATATGATTATATTTGCAAGCCTTGTCCTCTTGGTTGCCCACTGAAAGGAACGACATTAACCTCGTGATTCTTTTTTTGTTTTTTTTTTATTCCCCTATAAAATACTTAGCCTGTCCATTCCTATTCCTGCAATTTATGCCATCACTTGATACCAATTCTTCATGAAGACGACACTATCAATCTCCTCACAATAAACTTGGCCTGCTTAATTCTGGCTTCACAAACTCAAAAACGCACTCTCACCTGCTATCTGATCTTGCCATTCTCATATCATGTCTCCGCACGCTGTCCCCCAGCAGAACGGCTACGATGAACTCCTGTCCTCCTTCAACGTCACCCGGAATGGCTTCTTACCCGCAGAAGAGCCCCTAGCACGGATTGCAAATCCTTACTACGAGCCGTGGGAGCTCTTGATTCATAACCTCACTAGCCTCTTGTCAAACGGCACTCTCCGCCAGAGGGTCGAACGCCTCCCGATATTGTCCACAGAGAAGCTTAGGACAGAGGCAGAATGGAGGAGGGCATATGTTATACTTACGCTCTTGACCCATGGATATATCTGGGGAGGTGAAAAGGCAGCGGAGGTGAGTAAGACTTGATAGTCTCTTTATTTTTGTTTTCATTATTCTTTTTTCTTTCATCTTATTCCTCTTTCCATCCCTTCTGCTGGTACACAAGTCTTGCTTTGACCCAATAGAACTTCCATATTGACACTCAAACGGTTTTAGGTGCTTCCACCCCCGATAACTGTTCCTCTTCTTTCCGTATCCTCACATCTTGAGGTGCCTCCTGTGGCAACATATGCTGCCCTCAACCTGTGGAACTTCTCCTCCTCCACAGGTGACTTCACCGACATCGACAGCCTCCACTCACCACACACCTTCACCGGCACCAGGGACGAGTCCTGGTTCCTCTGCGTGTCCGTCGCCATGGAGGCCCAGGGCGCCCGCGTCATCCCCTTGATGCTCAAGGCCATCAACGCCATCCCCTCCCGGCACCTCGCCACTATCACGGCCGCCCTAGAACAGCTGGCAAGCAGCATCAAGAAAGTAGGCGCCCTTCTGGACCGAATGCGCGAGCAGTGCGACCCCATGGTCTTTTACCACCGCATCCGGCCGTTCCTGGCAGGCTCCAAGAACATGAGCGGCGCAGGCCTGCCCAGGGGTGTGTTTTACGACGAGGGCGATGGCCGCGGGTCCTGGCAGCAGTGGCGCGGCGGCAGCAACGGGCAGTCCTCGCTGATTCAGTTCTGGGACGTGGTGCTGGGCGTGACGCATACTTCAGAAGGCAGCAACAACCCTCATGCCCAGGTGGGCAAGCCCGAGGAGAAGAGTTTCCACGAGGAAGTGCGCGAGTATATGCCGGGCGGGCACAGGCGGCTGCTGGAGCATGTCGGGCGCTGCGGGAGCATACGGGCCCTGGCTATGCTGCCGACGAGCGGGCCGGACCACGCAAGGATGCAGGAGGCGTACACGGTTGCCGTCGGGACGCTGACCGAGTTTAGGAACAAGCACCTAGGGATAATTACGAGCTACATTGTCATACCATCTAGGAAGCCGTGGAGTGACCAGCCCGATGACAAGAGGGCGGCGGTGAACCTAGCCACCGCGTCGTCTCGGCAGCAGAGCGAGAAGAAGGGTGCTGGCAAGGAATCGGCCGACAAGGAGCTGACGGGCACGGGAGGGACTGCTCTGCTGCCGTTCCTGAAACAGTCGAGGGACGAGACCTCGGAGGCTGGAAAGATGGTTAGGGAACGTATGGCGCAGGCTGGACGGTGATACAATAAGTGACTAGTACTCTACTCTGAATGCATACCTGGGTAGCGATTCATTCAGCGAGGATCAAATAGAGACCGAGGACCATCCTCATACTATGACTTTAATGGCTGTTGCTTCAACTTTACTCAGACGAAGGCTCTTGTGAGGAGTGATAGACTGCTGTGGAATCACCACTTCCTTCAGGGTACTTATTAGGAGACCAAGACCCAGAATATTATCAGGTTGTTCATGTTCAGAATGAGCTTCAGTGAAGCACGTGCTTCTCAAGCGGTCAACTGCAAACAAGGATGTGCAAACAGGCCTAAAATCTGCTGGGATCTGATTTTACCAAGTAATAATACTCAAGAGATGAAAATCACAGTACAGAGGGGCCATATTTAGGGTCAAGCTTGGAAGCCCAGCCAAGAAACAAACAAGGAATGGTTCATGAATCAAGAAACGTTCTCCCCATCCTTCACCTTGGACCATAGAAATGGAGATCGAACAGTCATACAATACATACTTGTGTTTCCTTTTGCCCCCTGCTTACCAAGTGCCAAGATACCCCATTGTTATAATTATTTGTCCTCGTTCCAAGAACGCCCTTCATCGCCCCATAATGCAGTGGCTCGCCACGGTGCCGAGCGCCGAGCGACGTCCGCAGGGGCCGGTCTTTGCTTGCGCATACGGAATAGACCACCCCACCTTGGGCGAGAAGGAGGATTCACCTCGTCTTAAATAGCCTTCCGCGATCCCCGGCCTCGGATCTAATCAATCTGATAATTCACAGTAATTAGCTGGAGAAGAAATCCCCACGCGTGTGCAATCCTATCCGCTTCTGTATCGCACCAAGTCTGGCCGTACCATTTCTTTTCCCTTCTCTTCTTCTCCTAATCATTTTCATCAAGAGAGTTTCCTGGAAAGCTCCGAAAGTTGCGAACAAAGATACATTCCAAAAGTTCATCCGTCTGATATAATTACACTGCCAGTCATAGTCTCTGTCGCTTGGGACAACAACTTTCACACACGAGTTTACCGGAATAACTTTAGCGTACAGGGACAAATATTTCTGGGCCGTGGGGCACCTGCTGCACGCCTCATTGCATTGCATCGGCGATGAACCGACGGTCCAGGGGGGGCTGCCTTGACTGTAAAAAGTCCAAAATCAAATGTGATGGTGAGTAATGCTGTGTGTGCTATCAACTTTCGTTATCTTATATTATAGACATCTTTCCTTTCAAAGGCGGAGTGCTCGTCTGCTCCCATTATGTCTCCAGACTATGTGCGCACAGGCCGTGTATTTCGAGAGGAGAGGTGGTCATCAGCTCATCATCTTGTCTACTTAAGGTTACATAGGCTACTGGCTCCTCAAATACTGATTAAGTCCATCAAGAACTCAAGCCATTCTGTGGCACTTGTCAACGTCGGAGGCATGTCTGTCAAGGCTATGTACCGACGCCCGCCTCTTCTTCGGGTCTCTCCTCCTTCTCCTCCAAGACGAGTCGTCCGAAATGTGCCGTTGTCGAGGGACAACCCCCTGTGGATGATAGTACTGAGAATGAGACGGCACAACTACCTCAGATCGGCGAAAAGGCACTCCTGAACCGTCCCTTCTCACGATTTGACAATGTGACGACGGGTTTCTCTTCTTCTCTGCCTATTCCCAAGGCCGGCCACCCGCTCGTCATGGACCCGAGCCTGATGACCCCGAGAGCTATCAGTCTCATCCCGCCGGGCGTGGTCGACCCGAGCGACCGCGCAACGGTGGAACTGTACTTCAGCCGACATCCCTGGGAGCTGGTCATGAGTTCAGAGTTCGTCAGCGAGATGAACGCCAACGTCCTGGCCGTGCTGCAACAGAATCCCCAGGCCACTGTCGACTCCCTCTCCGCCATCGGGCACTCGTACATAGCCGACTCGCCGCTCGCAGTGCTCAACTACCGAGCACGGATCCTGTCCACGCTGCGGTCGATGGAGCTCTCCGAGTACAGCCTCGAGGAGATGCTGCTGATGCTGCTGGGGCTCTGCGCGGTTGAGCTGGTGGACTGTAAGCCCAACAACAATCCCGAGACGACCATTCCAGCCATCATTGCAAACTCGGCGGCTCTCCTCTCTCACTGGGTCTCGACCGGCCGCGAGGTGTCCTCGCTGGCTCGTTATTTCATTCGTGCCCTGGCCCGTCAGGACATGATCATATCCCTCTTCCACCTCCGCCGGCTCTCGATCCCAACAGAGGTCTGGCTGGACGAGACGGCCAGGACGACAGCTGACCGACTAATGGGGTACACGACCACGCTCATGCCGCTTCTTGGCGAACTCTGCGAGTTGGCTGAGGACATGCGAGGCCTGCTGCAGGCCGGCCCTGTTGAGAGTCAGCAGCAGCAGCAGCAGCAGCAGCAGCATGAGGGAGAAGACGAGGACGAGGATGAGTTGGAGACTTCGCAGCTGATGCTAGATATATCGAGCCACATGAACTCTTCTAACGGCACGTCCTATTATGACTTCGACCTCGAGTCACCACACCACCTGGTAGATTTTGCAGACTACATGCAGAGGGCAGAAGACCTCCGCAGGCGGATCGAGCTCTGGAAACCCACCCTCGCACACGGCCTCTCGTTCCGCAGGTCGAGACGTTTTCTCTCCCAAGCAGCCTGCTACCGAGCCGGCGCCCTGCTCTACCTATTCAGGCTGCTCAACCCTCCCCACCCGTACAATAACAACAGCACTAACATCAACACCAACAACAACGAGCCGCCGCCGCCGCCGCCTTCTTCTTTTTCTTCTTCGTCCATCGTAGACGAAGAAGCTACAGCCAAGGCACACGAGATCCTCATGTCGACCGTTGCGGCCGCTCACAGCCCTGACGAGGTCAAGATGCTCTTGTGGCCCGTGTTCCTCGCGGCCTGCGAGCTGTCCAAGGAGGAGGACAGGCAGGCCGTCTTGGATGTGTTTGATGCCATCATGTCGCAGAGGAAGACGGCGACGGTGCAGAGGTCGAGAGCCTTTATTCTGAATCGGGTCTGGCCCGCCAGGGACGAGGGTAGAGAGTGGAACTGGATGGTCCTGGCGCAGCAGTATCCGAGCGAGTGCTTGCCTATATGAGTACGCTTGGGCACTGGTTGGAGACCAAACTTGATAATGAATAATGAACAGGTCTATCTGGACAAGTCTTGCAGCGCTTGTCGCTCACCATATATATGTCTTTGGTTTGGTAGTGAATTTTCATCATATTGTACGCGATGTGATGACTGGGCATGAGTGTTGTGCTTGCTTATAGCATATCACTGTGTGGGAGTCTCTGCACTCATTTCGATCCTGAAAAAATCACAATGGAGATATTCCAAACTCAGGATCTTATTTTTGACGTGCGAGCCACATTTGTTACCAGACATGAGAATGAAGCATCGCAGTTTTGATTGACATCACCAATTGCAATCGTCGAGATTTTGTAATGTGTTGCCAAAAGATAAGTTTTTATAAATCAATGCACGTTTGGTTAGATGTCTCGGTAATTACTTGACTCCCTGCTTCCTTAAGTATTATACAACCCAAGGACGTCTCCAAGTCGTTGCGTTGCAATCACTTTGGCGGACAAAAGAAGAGATCGGCATTTTCAATATACAAAATTTAACTTTTTAATCCTGGTCGTTGTCTAGCGTCAATTCAACTTAAACTGCAATCGAGGCTTCTAGACCTTTTTTTTTTTTTTTTTTTTTTGTGGTAAAACTACAATCGGAATAGAAAGATATGGCCTATAGTGCAGTCACTTCAATACAAGCCGAAGCAGAGACGCCTAAGAGCTGAACAAAATCATTCAGAAAGCCTACTTGCCGTGTTTATGAAAAGCGCACGGGTCAGTGTTTCATGATCATCTCCATTGGCCAGTCAGTGGCGTGGTCGAATTGGGCACGCGTTTCAGAACCTCAGGATGGTGTTCGTCTCAATCATCAGGGGTTGTTTGAGAGTCGAGATTCCACTCCAGGGCTGCCCTCGCAGATGATATTCTCAAAAACAAACACACATACATCCCTCCACATGATCAAATTTTCATCTGTTCAGCCAAAAGTCGTTCACTACGCTAAGCCCACTTGTAATTGCTCGAGTTTTATCACAAGCAAGGGCTATAGTTCATGGCCTAAGATGCCAGGCCGATTTTGTCTGAGAGTATCGTCCATCTCACGGGCCATCACGATCTTCCTTTTAATCCCTACTCGCGCCGTATCGGCTCTATATCATCACAATGTAGTGGCTGTGTGTCCCGCGATCCCAGCTTTCCAGATTCTTCATCCCACCGTGAGTAATGTTACTGCCTCTATCGGGATGAAGGATACATATTAATTGATGAATGAAAGTGTTCACTATCGCCAGGGCTGGAGATTTTCTCACCTGAGGATGAGGCAAGGCAAGGAAAGCCTCTATGGGAGGTCAAATTGTCGCCAGGAAAAGGTCGAGGCGTGTTTGCGTCACAGCACATCAGAAAGGGGACTCTTTTGCTAGCTGAGGAGCCCCTCGTGGAGGTGGTACTTCCTGCCCTCGTGGCTGGCAAGGGCTATGATCTGGCCGCCATGACCGCGGCCCTGCTGCGAGAATACTCGGGTCTTTCTCCACAAGGCAAGGTGGAATTCGACTCGTGCCACCAGCACCGGTTCGAAAATGACAGGCGAGACGAAGAAGGGCGCTTGATGGTCATCCTGAGAAGCAATGGGTATACGATGGAAGACGCCACAGGCCGCAGTAAGGTGGCCCTGTACCCGAAGGCCTCCTTGATCAACCACTCGTGCCAGCCAAACGTTTTGAACGGCGATGCATCAGGAACTCGAAAGATCATTGCCATGCGGGACATCTTCCCGGGAGAAGAGGTAAGCCAATTTGAAGAACGCCTGCCAGGTCTCCAAGAAGCGACATACATGGGAACGGACTCTCTCCCGACTCGACTCTTGAAATGGTCATGGAAGAAATTTACTCACAGGAAGTGCCATTCTAGATTTCGACCACATACATTCCCTTACTGATGGACACTCCCAATCGCCAAGCTCGACTCCGCCAGTACGGATTCGCCTGCACCTGCGATGCTTGCCGGGCATCAGGATTGTCCGACCACCTGCGGATCCAAGCTGGGAACAACCTGTCGGAGCTACAACAGGCTCTGACAGCGCCGATTATGATGAAGGATTCTGGGCTCCTGCTCCACCGAGCCGAAGACCTTGAATCCTTCTTTGCAGCACAGGGGTTTGGTGATTATCTCGTCAAGACGACCCGCTTAGCCCTTCAGTATGCCATCCGAGTGCGCAACAGCACGGCTGCTAGGACTTGGGCAAGAAAGCACCTCGAGAACCTCTCCATCATTGATGCCGAGTCGACTGAGGCAGAGAGCACACGTGAGATCGTAATGAATGGAATCTGATGTGTGAATTAACTCCATCACTTGAGCATTTGTTGGCGAATATTGTTAAGGTGCAATCAGACTCGTCCCATGGAGAGCTCAACATACCGCCACTCAACTCGATATTTTACCTTCAGGGTTGGAATAAACAAAATCAAGAGACTAGATAATTGAATGCGCACAACCGCAGCGTCTGAGAAGATTCATACAATTAAAAACGATTGATGAATTTCAACGTGCAATGATCAAGTGATAGAGGCTAGTCCAGATACCATTGTGAGATGATATGATCAACAAGTAGTAAAAAGAGGCTACACTACACGTTTACTTTCCAGCAGTGATTCAATACTTGGCCACAGAATTGTCAGTAGCCCAGAGCAAAGCGCCTACAGTATCTGGCTGTGGGGCCTCCCAGCAGTGGAGACAAATGAGCATGCATGCAAAGCTGCCAGCCACACAGGCCCTTGTTATCTGCTGCATATCGATCGTTGTGTCGTAATAATAGATCAAAAAGCCCACATATGAATCCATCATCATAGTCATCAGGACTCCCCGCCCACGAGATTCTGCCCAATGTAAAAAAAGAAAAGAAAAAAAAAAGAGGATCAAGGATGGGTCTACACGACATCTTCGACTTTGACGAACCGGCCTACCGCGCGAAATGCGCAGAGCGCTCGACGCCCAAGCTGCAGGAGGAGGAGATCAGGAAGCTCCGACAGCACTTTGCGACAAGCGCCTCGATCGCGCTCGGCCTGTCGCACGCGGTACAGACGGCAGGGCTCACGGTGGGCGTGTCAGCCTTTGGGCTGCGCCGGTACTGGATCGCCAAGCAGAAGCTCGCCATCATCCGCGAGGAGCTCACGCGGCGCGGGGTCGCCCTGCATGACATGACCAAGCGCGACGCGGGGATCCCACTGGGCGCCTCGCTGGCGGGCATGGGTCTGGGCGCGGGCGTCGGCCATCTCGTGGGCGACGTCGTCGCGGCACCGGATGTGCCGCTGCCCGGACCACATGGGGGCGGGGGCGCGGCGCTGCATCTCGTCAACGCGAACCCCGAGGACGCGGTGCATGGGTTCGTGCAGGGCCTGTCGGACCAGGCCAACGCGGTGGGGCAGGCGATCCACGGCGCGGTGCTGAGCCATGGCGCAGAGCAGCTGGTCACGTCGGCTTCTGCCGAGGCTGGCAGTGGTCATGCTGTCGGTTATGCCGCGGGCCTCGCCGCTGCCAAGAAGATGGAGGAGTTCCTGGGCGAGTGTGTCGGCGAGGCTGTCTTTGCCTACGCCATGGAGAAGCTGCTGGATCCGGAAATTAAGCTCGAGCTGAGGCTGAAGGGGAAGTGCAGCCGCCTGCAGGGTCCCTTGGGTCAATATTGTCACGGCTGCCAACGCTCCATCAGACATGGCACCTTTGCACGTGAGTGGGCGTCTCTCAAGATGATGACGATTTCTTTTCCCTTGGAGTTCCTTGCTGGTCATTCATTCATGAGGAAACTTTCCATTACTCTGACTGACTGTTGTTGTTCGGCGTGTTAAAACAGATTGCTGTCAAGACACTGACGACTTCGATCTCTGCAAAGAGTGTCGTGATGCTGGAAGTAAATGCGCCTGTCCCGACCAGCCAATGCTAACCTTACAGAAGTGTGTTTCCGGTGACGTGCTGAATTCCGAGAGAGGAGATGCAAGAAGGAGACTAGCGACGGTTGCAGAGATACGGTGTAAGGTCTGCGAAAAAGGATTAACCCAAGGACGGTATTATTGTGAGTGGAAGAACTGCCAAATTTGGTGGGTTCCCAGAGAGCTGACTCTGTTTTGCGTGCTTGCAAAAATAAAAACAAAGACTGCCCTGAGTGTGATGAAAAATCAGGACAGTTCGATCTTTGCGAAGATTGCTATTACCAAGGGCAGACTTGTGTCTCCCCTGATGAGCATCGACTTTTTGTCTATCTCAGAGCAAACTTTGATCGAAGTCACCCGGACTTGAATTCGGACGTAACTGTCTGCGGTACTTGCAAGAAAAAGATCATGCAAGGTCCAGTATTCGGTGAGTACATGAAAACACAGAAGATTTTGAAGAAGAAAAGAGAAACGAGAAAAGAAGGAGCAGAGGGGAAGAAATGAAAACAAGGGAGCCGAGGAGCAAAGTGTGAGGGTGTTGTGCTTGGAAAATCTGGTACACTGCTGACAGCCTCAGCCTGCAAAACTCATGACCTGAACATCTGTGACCGATGCTATGAGATGGACAAAGCTTGTGGAGACACTAGCCATGTACTATCTCGTCAGGTCATCTATAAGGGTGAGAAACACATCAAGAGGCAGCTCACGGAAAAGGACATGTGCCGATTCTGCAAAGAGAAACTCAGTGAGGGCCCATTTTATTGTGAGTGCTCACAGGACCCTTAACCATAGAAACCACCCTCCTCCTTGGGTCAAGAGCTGATAATGATTGCGATCTTTTAGGCTGTAGCCAGTGTGCTGGTAGTGGTGGATACTATGATCTTTGTACCAGCTGTTACGTGAAGGGGGCTGGATGTGAAGACCGGAGTCACATTCTGAACAAGTGCATACCGGCTACGGGACTTGCAAAGAGCCACCTGCATGATGTTCTGTCCGTGGACGGCAGGGACAGACTGAAGGGGTATCTGCAAGATCAGAAAGCGCGGTTCGGTAAACTACACCAGTAAGCTGTCAAGAGGGTTAATCGGGGGGGGGGGGGGTTGCTGCTGAATAAGACAAGTTGGGTACTTTAGTACACAATATGCATACCGTGACGACGCTACTATAATCAAGTTGATTGGTAGCAACAGTCCACTCTTAGCAACATGAAGACCGCAGTAACAATAACACACTGCACATGTTACTTGTCCGTCATGCCAGGTCATGATTTGTTTGATGAAGGCAATCAACCCACCAGCCGTGCTTATATAACGGGTGGCTCAAAACAAGTTCAGCTACTTTTCTCTCGTTGCTTTCCGCTGAACATAGCCTGCAGAATGATTTGCTACTATCACTATCGCTACTTCTACGAGAAGCTGTCTTGTACACGCTTGCTATACAAGACTTTTGCACCAGATGCTCTGTAATTAATGGCGTGGTTGTTACCATTACTACTACTTCTCCGTTGGAAGCCCTCGGCGACTCGCGAGGCGACAAAACACAGTTTAAATCTACAATTGTGCTAAACAGGACGAGGGACGTCATGAAGAAGCATTGAAGCCGCCTGTAGCCGCAGATCCGCACGGTAATTCCAAGAAGGGCAAGGGAAAGAAAGCAAAGGCGATAAAAAAAAAATAGAAAATAAAAATCCAAGTGAAGTAAGTCTCTTTCGGGTCTCAGGACGGGGCCCACTTGGGTGGGTTCCACGGTGGATCACGTTTTGGCATCATTGGGGGCCGGAGTCAACCTTTTTCGTGTGCGGCCTCGCCTCTGATGCACCGGGCCGAGACACGAATCGAAAAAAGAGAGGTGAGAGTAAGGAAGTACATGGCGCGCCAAAAGTACGCAATAGGAAACAAAACGACAAGGCCGGCAGGAGTTCCAAAGCTCGGGGTTCCAGAACATGTCTCTCTCCCTTTTTCTGTCCCCACCACGCGGTAAGCTCATTTCGAGCGTGGTGACATACCGATGCGCTGGTCAGTTTTTGGGGCCAGGTGATCCAGGCCTGGGGCGGTCAAGACTCGAGAGGAAAAAGGGTTGCCTGATCGGTCTTTTGCGTGGTCCACAGATGGATGCTACTACTGTAGTATGAGGTAAATAGTATAAGTGTTCATATTGATACATCATCAATATGTAATAGTGTCTTGTGCATTGCTGACTTAGCCGGCCGCCTCCGACTTGGCCGTGATCAGCCCTGCAGGTAGTGTCCTGCAGCGCTTTTCCAAGGGGAGCCACCGCCATTTGATTCCGATCAGGAGAACTATGGGTGGTGTTCTCCGCCTGGGCCTTGATGGTACATAGTATTATGGTATTCCTACATAGCAACCAGGTGCTGGAGGTTTGTTTTCTTTCTTCTTCCTTTCTTTCCTTTCCCTGCTAAAATCTAGAACGCCACAAATGGTTCCTGGCGATCGATGAGAATGTGGGTCGCAAAGAGACGTCCCGCGCAGGCTGTGCCCGGTGCTCTGAGAGAGAACTTTCTACTACTCAGTAACTCTTTGGCGGGGCGTGCTGTTTCGGGAATCTGCAAGCGGAACGGAATACGTAATAGCACCGCAGTGCAGACACACAAAAAAAATTCCTCCATGCTCTATGAATCAAGGAAACCAAGTCAGAAGGATGGTGGAAAGGAAAGAAAAGAAGAGAATAGAAAAGGTTGCAGCCAGAGATCCACTTGGGCGAGACCAAAAGGCAGAATAAGGAAGTTATGGGGTAATGATCGAGTAAGAACAATATTGAAACGTTCTTGAGGTACATACCATCAGGCTATGGCGCTTAGACGGGGCTGGGCAGAGTAGATGACCCCTGAATACTTATGGTGTCGTGTACATAGTACATCAACCATTACGAGTACAATGTGCCACGTACATAGTACTATCGTAATGACCAAATGGCAGCAATTACATACGACATTCCGCGCAGCTAGGAAGCCGGTGGTACAAACTGTAGTAGAACTGGGGGAGGGCCCGTCACGGATCCTGGGGAAGCGTGATCGCATTCGAGGTGACGATTGGGAAGCGGAAAATGGTGCGATCAAGTAACAAGCACATCCAATAAGGTGCCAGCATGCCATCACCTCATCACTCGTGAGTAGCTTGTCCATGCGCGCTCCCCTGCTGCAGTGGGAGATGGATGGACGGGGATCCTTCGCGGCGCATGCAGTGGTACTGCAAGTACCGCATCTTGGATCGTGCGTCTCCTCGGAGCCAGAGCGGCTGCTGGGTGCCGGCACATCGTATCACTTGTCTGTGTCCCTCTTCTATGTGTCTCCCTCCCTTTTCCCCCCCTGCCCCAGTGGATGGTTGATGGGAATGCAGATCCTATCTACCTTCTGGATAAAACCTGCAAGCATGATGAGAACATCCCATCAAGGTCTATGGCATGATGCACGTTGTGATGTGACCCCATCTTCCCCGGACTTTTCGTGATAAAGGATAATAGGCGGGGAAAAAGAAGCATGACTGTCGGTGAATAGCGATCACGCCCGCCATACCACTATCCTTTAGCATACCATAGTACCATACTACGTTGTCGTCGGGCACGCCCTGCGGCTCTAATCGGCCGAAGGTCGGCTTGCTCGCCCCGCGGACCGAGGACGGTTGATATTTTTTTCCTTCATTTTTTGGTCCGCAAACGAGTTGAGAGCCTACCGTCTACCTGGGAAGTAGCGTCCAAGATATCTCTCCAAAGCTTAGTGGAGGGTGGCAGGGGCCAGACGGTCTACGCCTTCTCACTGGACAATGACTTAAAAGCAAGCACCGCGTGACAGAATTGTGGCGTCTTTCCCCCGGATTTTTGACAGATTTTGATCATCGATGCAAATTGGCGACATTATTTGTCCAAGTAGCGTAATAGTACACCTGTAGTACAATTACCAAGGGAATCCTTTCATTCTAGCTGATGAGCGATTGAGTGATATTCTTCTCGCCCTGCACGTCGTCTTGCATGCTACGTTACTGCTGCACTCGAAAGAGACAAAGCAGGAAGTGACAGTAAGTAATGATGGGGAAAAAAGAAAAGAAAAGAAGACTGAGGTCCCGGGCCGGTCTGGCTTGCACGACCTGAAAATACTCTGATACAGTACGTGCTGTAAAGAAGAGGAGTACCTTGATGAGAGACCCCCCTCCCTCGTAAAGAAAGACAAGCTTTTCGGACGGGCAGCTGACCGGCACTAGCACAAGCTCTGGCAGATGTAAGGGCTGCAGCTATACGCAATGGTACATAGTACCGAATGATGTAGGTTGCTATACGTATGTATACTGGGTGCTATGTGGTTCGAGGAGGGGTCAAGAAGTAAATGTCACGAGGGCATGTGACAGTGCCGAGAAACATTAGCTATAAGTGTGAAGTGTGTGTAAGTAACAGCCTCATGTTACTTTCCTCATTTTTAGAAAAGAAAATTCCTGTAACCCCAGAAAAGAAGAAGACCTAGGTACTTCTTTGTCGGTATGACTCCAGGCTTGCCCGTACCGGAAAGTCGTGCCGGCGTCAATGCTGCCTCAGTCTGGGACAGCCTTGCTCGAGAGAGTCATGGTCCATCATTTCATACCATAGTGCAGCAGAAACATGAATTTGTATGTGGGTTGTGGTAAAAGTCATAGGCTCTGGCTTCTTGGCTTACGCCCACACCCATGGACCCCATGCTGTGGTTCTGCGCAATGCTAACGGGACAGAGCCGCTCCTCTCGTTTCAGCCCGAGCTCACAGGGCTGGCCTTGGCCGTGGCGCCTACCATAGTGACATAGCGCCATTTGAGAGTGAAAAAATCCCAGTAGTTTGGCTGGTGGGGCGAGATCAGATCCGTTCTGCACTCTTCCCGGAGGCTGTCACCCTAGGTATGGTACTATGTACATCTTGTATGTACCGCTACTATGTACCTGATCACAACATCGTCACAGGCCTTTTCTTATTTTTATTTGAGGTGAACATTCAATATTGTCGATGGTGACGGTCACAACCTCGGCATGTTTTCAGCACACAAGTGCCTGGGGCGGTAGTGGTTATTGTGTTGTATCTCTCATAGAATGAACGGGCGGGAGCGCCGGGGCAACAGAAACAAATGGGTGTAGTAAGGATCAACAACCGCTTCCGGGCGAGCAACTGGAATGTGTGGGGTCTGTAGTTTACTGAAGCAGTTTCCACTGACAACAACCTGCAAACAGCCTTCAACTCCTTTTTCCTTCTTCTCCTTCTTTGACGAGACGAAGCCATCGTGAGATGGTTTTGTGCCTTTGCTGGTTAAATTCACTCAGGGCCACTTGGCTCGTCGCCGCCGTCCGGCTTAGGAGACCAATCCTGAAGCAATATGAGTAGAGAAAATTACTATGGTGCATTGGTCTTCACCTGTGCACACCGTAGCAGGATTTCCTTTACATATCATGTAGTACTGTACATAGTACTGTACTATGTACAGACTTGCTATGGTACGAGTCATCCGGACCGGTGATGGGCTGATGTGTGATGGCCTCAGGGCGCGCGCATAGAGGTACGTACCTAGTGATCATGTCTTGTATCCACCCCATACGGTGAAAACGTTCCAGGTCGCCCGGGCTGGGTTGGACGGGTACAACAGGCTAAGGGAGAATGGACGGACGGGGGTGTGTGGGTAGGGAGGGGAAAGGAGACAGTGTGTGAAAGAAGGAAAAAGAATGGAGGGGGGGGGGGAATGAAAAAAAAAGAAAGAAAAAAAAAAAGAATGCAGGGGTGTCCACCCTTCAAAGCCGACCATACTATGTGTCATGAATTACCTGATGGAAACGGCATGGAGCACGACGCAATGCCTGACGCTGCTTTCATAAGGACCGTCATGGCCACGATCTATAATAAATCCAGGATTCTTTGAGAAAGCCATTGGACTCTGTGTCTTTGAGCGTAACTTTCCATACGCTTTACTTATTTTTTCCCTTCATCCTGCAAACAAAACTACAACCTCCTTTTTTTGATCCTTTGCTTTCAGAACAACAATACCCCCAGCCCTCTGCATTCCCGTTTCCTCTTCAGCGCCTTACTTGGACGACTTACACGGAAACATCCGATACGCCCCCCCTGCAGGCCTCATCAGTCCCCCTACCAACACATACCGGTCCAAGTGTATATATATTCCAAGAACATTTGACCGCGAAACGAAATCATTCGGCGCAATTTTGACGAGGCGAATACACAACTGTGCCTGTCATCTTCAACCTTCAGTCACTAATTTGACGACAATCCCGCGGAGAATCACAATTCACACTTCCTCCGATATTCGGCAGTCCAGGGAGAAAGGAGCCTGTTGTCACAATTACTACCTTGGAAAGTCAATCAGTCAGCAGCAGACATTCAGAAGCGAAGCCAAGCGAAACCTCGGCACTCTTGACCCGAGTCACCAACCAGGAATCAGGACGAAGAAGGCGAGAAGGCGAAAGAAAGAGAAAAGAAGAAGAAGAAAAAAAGGTGGCGCCAAATCCCTGACGGCGCCAATTTATCAAAGCCTAACAAGTTTGGAAGTCGCACCCCCCCCCCCACTGGGGGCAGGTACAAGAGATGCCGCACAGGGTCGCCAGTTTCTTCCGCAACCCCACCAGTTCTTTTGAGAACCAGGTCATACATCTCAAAAAATCCACCATTCGAAGCAGAACAAAGTCACCAAACAGGATCACTGCTGGCGCAAACCAACCAGAGCGGCCCTGTGCAGAGAGGGCACCTTCATACGCAACATCCATCGAAGAGGATATAAACATGGATGAACCATCTCCCCTGTCGTCTGACACACACACCCACACTCATCCCACCACCGCCACCACTCCCACCAGCCAGCCACAATCCCCTGCGCCGGCAGTAGGAGGAGGGAGGATCATAGACTCGCCACGGCTGCGGCCAAGAGACGGCAGTGGTGGTGGTCATGACCACAAGGAGAAGGACAGCAAGGACATCCACCACCACCGCCTCTCGTTCCCTGGCATTCACCTGGGCCGCTCACACAAGGAACAACACACCAACCCACACGCAAGCCTCTCCTGGAGCATCGAGTCCCCGCCCATCATCTTCCATGGTGACGAAGAAAACAGCACCGGCGCCCTGGTGTCGGGACAGCTGTTCCTTGACATCAAGGACGAGTCGTACGACATTGCCTCCTTCAAGGCCACCCTCAACATTCACGTGACCCAGAAGAAACCTTACACCGTGCACTGCTCCGACTGCGTCAACCAGTACACCCTCGTCAAGGAGTGGAAGTTCCTCCCTAGCCCAGGCCGCACTCTACACAATGGCGTGCATCCGTTCCCCTTCTCCGTCCTGCTGGATGGTCACCTGCCCGCCACCCTGGACTCGCCCCTTGTGAGCATCGCCTACGAGTTCAAGGCCGAGGCCATCCCCACCCGCGCCGGGTCGCCGCCCATCAAGCTCGAGAAGCTGTTCGACGTGAAGCGCTCCCTGCCGCCGCCCGAGCTGCCGCACCACTCGGTGCGAGTCTTCCCGCCCACCAACGTCAAGGCGTCCGTCCACTACCAGCAGGTCATCCACCCTATCGGCACCAACACCTTGACCATGCGCCTGGACGGCATCGCCAAGAACAACACGGGCACCACCACCGTCGAGTACTGGAAGCTTAAGAAGCTGACCTGGCGCCTCGAGGAGACCCTCAGGACCGTCGCCCCCGCCTGTGACAAGCACAAGCCCGCAGCAGCAGACACCACTGCCGCCGATCGGCAGAAGCGCGGCATGTCGAGGACGGAGACACGCGTTATTGGCGAGAAGACGCTGTTCAGCGGGTGGAAGTCGAGCTATGCCGGCCCCACGGACTCCAGCGTCGACCTGGAGCTCGAGTACGCCCTCAACAAGCACGCCAAGTACAGCTGCGACCTCAAGTCCCGCGACGGTACCGAGGTATCGCACCAGCTGATGCTGGAGATGGTTGTCTCCCAGGAGTGCGCCCCCACGGGGAAGCCCGGTCTCGTCACCCAGACAGGCGTGGGGAGAATCCTCAGGATGCACTTTGGCACCATCCTCACCGAGCGCGGAGGCATTGGTATCTCGTGGGACAACGAGGCCCCGCCCATCTACCAAGACGTGCCGGCCAGCCCACCCGCCTACTGTGAGGATCTGGTGTCTGGCAGTCTTGAGGGCATCCCGGACGTTATGGAAAGTTTGGACGCTGCACCTGGGCCGAGCGGGACGGGCAGTGGGTGCGTCAGCGGAAGAACCAGTGGCAGGAGTTCGGCAGAAGGGCAGCGGTGATGAATATATGTCTACAAGCCCCTTGCTTGAATCACATTGTTCTAGGGATGGTCTTTTTTTCTTTTTCTTTTCTTTTGTACTTTCTTGCATCTCTTGTCTTCCTGGCGATCAGCACTCCCATGAGTTGTTTTGAGGCGTGGCGCACGGGGTACCAGACCCCCCACCTTCTTCTGTTGACATAACCTGTCTGTTTCTCTTGATTTAGTTATTCAGGTTGATACCCGCATGTGCATCAAAAGCACATTCAAGATCATTTAATTAGACGGGCTAAGGTCCATTGATAACTCGATCGAGCTATCCAATACGATACGATGACAAAACACTTGTCTCTCAATTCACCATCTTGTGTGCCTGACGTGATAATTACTCCGCCTCTGGACGATTCCCCAAAAAGGACAATGATAGAACAGAGACAGCCAAGGCAGACAAGGTGCGGAGGGAGGAATTTCATGGAAGAGCACATGGTAGTATTGCACTCAACATGTGACATTTGAAGTACAGAGTATCAAAAGTATGTAGTCTGATCAACCTGGAGAACACCTACACTGTGAACGCCAAGCCAAGCCAGCCCATATCTCTTGTTCATCTCCATTCCCCCAGCAACCAACACACTACACCAATAACCCCAAAGAACGCCATTGTTTTTATCAAGAAGAAGGAGAAACCTCCACCTTGGGGCTCGTAGCTTTCCCGTTGCCCTTGGTTGTGTCACCGCTGGAACCATCCTCTTCTTCGCTCTTTGGAAATAAAGAAGGGTCGTAGCCGACAGCCTTCACAATCCCAAGACCTTTTGTCCTGCCCTCACGGAACAATAACCGGTCGCCAGGCGCTAGGTACTCGGGCCGCTGGACGAAGCGGAATGCCACGGTGGCGCGGTCACCCGTCCGGATGAAGGGGCGGTCGACGTCGATGATGCTGCAGGTCTGCGACACGGGGCCCACGTGCAACATGGCCTGGTACTTCTTCTTGATGGTGGTGACGTGGTTCAGGATCAGGACGTCGGCCACGAACTCGTTGTACACCCTCGGCTGGGGCGCGCCGTCGGCAGGCTTGGGCAGCACGACCATCCCCTTGCGGACCTCTTTGCGCCGGATCTTCTTCAGCGCAAACGAGGCAGATTGCCCTGCCGACGCGGCGGGCACACTGATCCTCTTGCGCTCGATGGACCGGATGGAAGTCTGCGTGAACTGGCCGAGCGAGTCGGGTCCGATGATGACATTATCACCAGCGTGAATGACACCGGACTTGATGATACCAGAGACGACAGTGCCCACGAAGGGAACGGAAAAGGTGTCGTTGACGTGGAACTCGAAGGGTGCGTCGGCATCGTATCTAGCAAGGGTGTCAACACTTTTAACACATGAAGATCGTCGGGCTTTTTTTTTTTTTTTTTTTTTTTCAAAAAAGAATGCCACGTTCTGTCTTCTTACCTTCCATGGTGCGGCAGGATGTTGAGGAACGTCCGCACAAGGTCCAGGTTCTGACCGGTGACATTGGAGACCTGAAAGATAGGCGTGATGCGCTGAGAGACAAATTGGGTCGCGGTGTTGATGCACTCATCCCGGTTGTTGATAAAGATGGGGATCTTTCTCGCGCCGGGAGATTTCAGAATCTTGGTGATCTGCGTGATGGTCTGCTCGAGGATCTGAGGCGGGCAGATGTCGATCTTGGTGATGACAACCATGACAGGGACGTTCAGAGCCAGCGCGATACCCAGGTGCTCCTTGCTCATACCAATGAGACCGTTGTTCGCCGCTACCATGAGCAGGCAGTAGTTGGGGCTGCTCGAGAGCAGGCCGAAGACGGTGGTGCGCAGGTACCGCTCATGACCTGCCAGATCGGTGAAGGTGATGACCTTGGCGCTGCGCTTGCCAATCTCCTCCCACGACAGCTTGCGGCCAGGCGTGTCGGATGTGATGACCTGGCCGTGGGTGTCGAAGCCCATGATCTCCATCCCGACAGAGCTGGTCCGTCCGGTCTCGATCTCGTGCTTGTGGCGGAAGAGGTTGACGCGGGCCCTGCCGCGACCATCATCGAGGTCACCCTTAACCAGAACGCCCAACATGGAGCTCTTGCCGGCGTCGACATTGCCCACCACCGCTATCCTGGTTTCTATAACATTTTCGACCGTGGCGGGGTTCTGGCGGATCAGCACCTTGGCGCTGCAGTCCTTGTCCTTCTCGCTGGCAGCAGCCCGGCTCTCAATGTCACCCCCGACGTTCTTGGTCAGCAGCAGCTGGCAGTCAGCCTTGACCTTGTGTGCAGCCTCCTGGAGGCGATTCCATGCCTTGTCCCAGCCAGGCTTGTCAAGGTGCATAGAGTCGCCATTGTGCTCGAAGCCTATGTCAAACAATGTCTCCCCATGGCCATCCTCCAGGCGCAGTGTGATGAGCTCTACCAGCTTCTGTAATGAATCGTCATCGTCACCCAGCAGTAGTGTGTGGAGGGCCACCTGGGGCTGCTTGTCAGACAGCTCCAGGGAGTCGAGGATGCTGTCCAGCTCAGCATCGATATCATTGTGGGCAGAGGGGGCGGTAGAGGAGGCTAGGGCCGTAGTTGATGGCGATGTTGTGTTTGGTACTGTATTTGAGGTAGTGGGGGTGGCATTGGACTGTCTGGCACTGGGGAAGCGGATTGCCTGCTGCTGCTCGACAAACTCAGCAAAGTCGCTAAGGGCAGCCTCCCCTTTTCGCCGTTCATGGGGTAGCTTCGCTGATTTTGTTGCCATTATGACTAGGTGGGATTACCCGATGCACTGTACAGGAGAGGGAGAGTGTGAGCCTTTGTGACTCCAAAACAGGCCGATATACAGGTAGATAGATGGATTTCTTCTGTCATCTGATCGGTTGTAGTAGTTGCAGCAGCATACCTTGACATGTGCTTTAGTTTAGAGGCGGTGGTGTATTCGGGTGATCATGGTAGGGGGATCCTCAAGGGTAATGGGCTTGCTAATAGATAGAAGCTCTGAACGCTGTGATCGGGGCATTCCTGAGGAATAAATAGACAAAATAAGAGAGTGCCTATTGTGGTTGCCGGATGAGCAATGGGGGTAAGAGAGTGGCGATCGACATGGGGGAAGCTGTCAACTACGAGTCATCGAGTCGAGTTTAAGTACCGCCCCTTATCCCCCGCACTGGAAACTCTTATCAGTCAGTCACCAGTCAACCTTTACCCCACCACAGCTTGCTTGCATGCCATCTACTGCAGCACTGTACTTTGAATACTGCCATGCCTGATGCAGTTCGTCTACAGGTACTTCTTTCTCCAAATCCTATGGCTCCATGGTGGCGATCATGTATTTCATTCTGTCAAATTTCTGTTTTCGAGTATCATCTTTGTTCATTGTTCACACATTGTTTTCAAAGGCTCTTGGTCATTGATGTATATAAAAATTTTCATGTCAGAAAAATAGTAACCGCGTATCTCAACTCGACCACTTGCATGAGTCCATCCCATGAGGTCGCCTCATCCCTCGTAGCTAAGTCGCTCGTTGGGGTTGTACAGGCTCACAGATATCGTTCAAATCGTGTCTGAATCCTGGTTACCTTCTTGTCTCGAGCGGCTTTACTCTCCGCTCTGCCCTTGCTTGTGTCGTGATCTTCGAGTGCTCCCAAAGACACCAGAAGGGCAATATTAGGAACAGGTAGGTAAACTTTGGAACTCTGGAATTTGGGAAAACTCTCGAAGCAATTATGTCTGGGGTGAAAGCTACCGTTTGCCCACTCCTTCTTCCTGGCCAGGCTGACAGCGCTCACCGATGCTGACCGCAGGTTTCCTTCTGACTCACCCGGCCTGTCTGCCAAGTCGCACGTCTTGATGCAAGAGCAGAGTTACCTCTACTGCTTCATTATGTCTTTCCCTTCCATCTGACCTGTGATACTTGGTCTTAGGTATCATCCTCGGCACAAAGCCTTTCAATGCCCCCCCGGAGGTAAGCTCCCTGCCAGCCTCGCCATGGATGAGAGAGGAAAACCCTGCTCAGGGTTCGACTTTGCCGTATCTTCCCCCTCATCCGCCGGCCGCCCCTTTTCACCCACCATCAAATCCGCCTTATTCATGTCGTTTGCCAGCAGATGCCTGAGGTATCTCGACTTTCTCAGGGTGCACCAACGGTATATATGCCCCTCAGCTGACCGTCCCTTGATGCGAACCTGGGGCTAGGCCACAGATCATGATTGAGACAAAGGAGAAATCAGCACGACACTATCGCCTGTTCGAAGGCGTCAGTAGGGGCTCCATCCAGGGAAGTGGTTATCGACTGACCTCGGACGAAGAGCATCTCGGACCTCTTGCTGACGGTCTTGACGTCGTCGTCATCGCCTGCATCGTCATCCACCACGTAGACAGTCTCCTCCACCTCGCCCATTACCAAGTTGCAATGGCTGTCATAGGCCTGTCCAGCAATCGGGTCAGCGTGTATACTAGTGAAGAGAAAAGGGAGAGAGGAGGAGGTGTTGGAGTTGGGGGGGGGAGGGGTGGCATGAGCTTCTCACATGAAGTCTCCCCTTGAGCTCGCGGTCGCCTCTGAGCTTGACGAAGACGACCTCATCGAGCAGCAGACGCACGAGGTCCAGAGGCTCGGAGGCGGTGGTAGGTTCATCCCCAGCGTCAGCCATGTTAATACCTAGCCTGTATGTCGAGTGTTTGCCAAAAGTAGAGGTAGCAGACTTATGGAATCTGGATGGAGCGATAGTATGAAGGTGGTGTACTATGTAAGTTTGGTCTGGTGCTACGTTTGTTCTCTGTAGGGATTGCCAGCGCTAGGGTTGGGAAAAGTTGAGAGCCCGTGCACACCATGGCAGGTACTGCTGCTCTCCTCTTACGACAGGGGTGGGAGGGGCCTGGTGGTCTGGAGTGGGGCTGGTAACTGGTGGCCCTAGCATGCCTTGCAGCCCTGTAGGCATACGCAGCCCCCGGGCGCCCTGAGGCTCTCTTTCGAATGAGGGGAAGCAACCCCCAAAGCTGTAGGTGGGAGCCTGGCAGGGCTGCTTCTCCAAATATGCAGGTATAGAGTAACAATGTTCCCCTTGGGCTATTCCCCCCTCCTCTCCTGAGACATGGGGCATAATTTGCAGGGTTACACACAAAAATTATCGGCCACAAAACTGAACTCGACTCCTAACTCGACTCCTCGTACAGCCCTTCCTTCGTCTTCTCTCTAGACGAGTGTGAGAGTGAGAGAGCAATGAGTCGCCAACGACCCGCCCCGGATGAAAATCAGTTCTAGGCCGGTGGAGGCCCGACGGCCGCTATTTGGCCCACCCGGAACCAGATCGAGCCTCCACAACCGCTTTCGTCCTGCTCGCTTTAACACTCATCCTCCTCTTCCTCGATATCAGCCTCAACACCGCTTTACTAGCGGATTCGCCAGTCTGTCCAGGAAGGCCCTTCATAGCACGTCTGATGCAGCTTTAGACGGTGACCTCAGGAGGTTCTATTCAGGTTCTTCAGCTAGTCGCGACACCACCCATTCTCTGAGTAGATACCAGCTCTCCCTTGAATCTCTGCTCGTTGCCCTGCGGCAAAACGACCCCGTCAGGCTTTATTTCTGCCTGCTTGATCTCACCCGCGGTGCTACAGAGCTCGACAATGACTTCTGTCATGCCGTCAAGGCTATCCCTGGTACCACCTTCTCCGAGATCCTGCGCATCTTCGACCCCGTCAACGTCCAGAAGAATGTCGACTCAGCTCCTGAGATTTGTATCTCTTACGGTGCCTCCGTCCAGACGCCCCTCGGTGAGCTCGTCAACAAGTGGGGCGTCAAAACCCTCTACGTGAGCATCTTCAACCGCCTGCGCTTGATTCAGCAAGCCCGCCGGTCCTCGCAGGTCCGGCCCCTCCTGAACGACTATGCCGTCCTGCTAAGGTGCGCAGGTGCCACCTCCAACATTCAGGCCGCCAAGGAGATCTGGTTTGAGGTCAAGAGGGATGGCTACCAGCACTGGATCGATACCCAGTTGTATACCGAGTTCATCAAGGTCCGCTACTTGACAGAGGCCCTCTATGCGAATAACAACCTGGCCAGGCTCCGCTTGCGGCCGCTGGATTTATATCGCACGAGCATCTGGCTCCCAAAAGCGACGGTAAAGAGACTGAAAGCCCTCGTTTCCAACACCACGAGCCGGCAGGCACATCGTTTCGGGCAGAATCAGGGCGAGCTCTACTGGGCCGAGCCCTTGACGAGGATGCTGCGGAGGAGGTTTCCCCTGGCCAAGCTAGAGCGCTCGGCTTTCAGGCGCGGCTTTTTGCCCGCCGACGAGCTCCTCGCCTGCGCCGTTCTGAAGGCCAATGGCCGTAATGGCCGCACCGTGGCCAGCCGTGTTCTGCTCAAGGACTGCTGGGGTATCAACGTCGTCATAGATTGGGATGCTGGCACTGTGGATGTCAGCGGCGGTGCGGACTTCCCACCGGGCTCCGCCAAAGCGCCCACCGAGGCCCTACTTGATGCGGTCGTCCACTGCTTTGGAAACCAAGGGCAGGTCGTTGTGGCTGTCAAGCTGGTGGACTTTCTGTCGACGCGGTATGGCCTCATGGTCCCTGACAAGGTCTGGTCCGACCTGTTAGATTATGCGCGAATTCAGCAGACGAGACCTGCCTCCACTGAGTGGAGGCTGGCCGGCTTTCCGAGCAGGCTAATCAAGACCGATACACTACTAGATATCTGGAACGTCTGCACCCAGCATCCGTACAACTTCAAGCCAGGCATGAAGGACTACTACACCCTCACCAAGATCCTGATCCTGGAAACAGCATCCAAGTCGAGGCCCTTGGAGGCGATCCGACAAATCAGGCCCCTGTACCGGGACACCGTCCGGCAATTGCGTGAGGCATGGCAGGAGCTTGTCCTGACGACCCGACAGGGCGTACCGAATTATGCCGCCTACCGCCGCTACCGTGTGCTGCAGTCTAGGAAAAACTACATGTGGTACTGTTTCCACTACACAGCGCTACAACTGCTCAAGAAGACGAAGCCCGGCCGAGTCGACGACCACAACGCGGTGAGGATTATCCCTGAGGTTGTGCGCGAGCTTGGGCCTTTCATGCCCAAGACTATCACGTACCGCATCGCAACGGGCATCGTACAGCTTCAGAATGACCACGTCTCAGTGCAATCTGTAGTGACTACACAGGCGGTGGCAGAGCCACGACCAATATCGGAGAGGCCACTACCGGAAGTCCAGGGGTCGGACAGTGCAGCGTCGCAAGAGGGAAACGAGATCAACCAGGAAGAAGACCCGGCCAGTGAAGATGAGATAGAGGATCAGGATGACGACATGTGTGGTCATGCTACTAAAGATTTTGTCGGAGCCGTTGCCTCTGGGGAATCCGTCGTCTCTGCAGGCGACTCACCACCAAGCTCCACGGGCGTGGCGAACTTCCGTTTCCCGCCTGACTGGCCACTGGCAACACAGGTCATTGAACGGCCTGCATTCATGTACCGGCCGCCGCTCATGGCGCCCCCAGGACAAGTGTCGCTGACATGGCTCCGGGACGAAAACAAAATCTTTACGGGCTTTCACGACGATCAGAGGAAGAAGCACTATGCAGCACATAGGGTGCTTCGGACGACGGTACGCGCGGCAGCCGTGCCAGTGGATCTGGGCGCTGAGGCCACACAGAAGACACAGGTGAGGCACCTTGTGTGGATGCAGAGGTGATCTGCCAGAGAAGAAGCAGTGATGATGATGATGAATTGCAGGACTATCGTACGGGTGACTTATTCAACCACCCATCGATCTTTGACTGCCTTTCATGAATATATATATGTATTTTTCGCCTTTAGCCTAGGTGTTCGAACTAGACGGCTAGATCGCATGAATATATATTTCTGACCGAGCTCTGATCCGGATCCAGATTAATGAAGAGATTCCACTCACCGCGTTTTTCTTGTGAAAAAAAAAAAACCAAAAACATCCGGAGGAGCCAACGAATGTACTATTTTCTGTTTATAGCGAAAGAAATATATATCTACATTCTTACACCTTCTCTAGCCTCAAGTCATTCATGAACATGTACCGGCTCAGTGTGATCCATCCATAACGGAACCACACCATCTGGCTGAGGTGGGCCCTCGTCATCGCCTCTCTCGCCGTCAGCCATCCTCCATTACCCAAACCGTGCATGAAGACAAGTGCGGCCGGATGGTCCTTGGCGGTGGCGGATGAGGCGCCGCGCCATGCAGCCAACGCCGTCGGAACGAGGGTGGCCAACGTATCCAATATACCTGCATACTTGCGGACCACACCGACGGTGGTCAGGGTGTACAGGTCAATGGGCGAGGACCAGCCAGGCTTATGAGCGGTGAGCGAGGAGACGAAGGCACGGGCGCCGTGGTAGAGGGAGATGTGGTTGGGATGGGAGGAGACGCCCCGCCCGTCGAAGGTGATGAGGACGTCGATGGTTGCGGTGGGCTGCTGGTCGGGTTTCTTCTGGCTTGGTGCGAAGGCGTCACGGAGAAGAGAGGAGATGGATTCGGTGGGCCAGGTTGTTGTCATGGAATCTGGAAAGTCACTGCACATTTCATATTGCCGCGCGAGGATCATGTCAGCCTATCCAATTGTATGTATCCCTCCACGGCAAGAGAGAGAAGGTGGGCACAAGAGTCAACGTACGCAGGGTTGTCGACAACATAGACATCCTCAGGTTTCCTCAGGCCCAGAACGAGCCCGCTCTTGACTAGCTCTTTCTTGCGCGTATCACCCAGTCCCTCGGCGTCGCCGCTGCTGAGGCACAGGATCTTGACGTGGTTCCCGAGCTCTGGCCGTGTTAGGGCCAGGACGGTGGGCGCAAAGAACATGGCCTCATCGTCCGGGTGGGCGATCAGCAGGCAGATGCGCTTGTTGCGCAGGGCCGGAAATCTGGTCGACACGATGCCTACAGTGTAGAGGTACAGGGTGGGTATCAGCAGCACAAGCAGCGAGATGGACAAGAGAGAGGATTCCATGACGAGGAGGAGCAGGTTTGGGCCGCCATGCAGTGTGTGGCTGCGACAAGAGGCTGGAAGAGAGGAGAGGAGCCAGAAGGAGCCAAAAGGAGAGGCGCGTCGACGATGCTGCAATGGTGTAGTTACTTACTAGGAGCATGGTAGTAACGCGTAGTGAGCTTTGCACTACTGCGTTACTGTAAAACTACCCCGGGATGACGCATGGGTACCTGTATGGTAAGCTCTCGGAGCGGGGGGCTGAAGAACAGGGGTTCCAGGGCTGGACAGGGGTTCCAAGCTGTCAGAACATCAAAATCTCAAGAGCCTAGAGAGCTTGATATTTTGGAAGCCCTTGGCAGAACCACAACCACGACCCATTACCATCGCGAACACCACCACCCTAAGAACTGCCACAACACATCCATACGACTCTACAGTTTCAATATGGCTCGTCAACGAAAGGAAAAGAAGGCCAAGGACATCAAGCTCCGCCAGCCCGACCGGTCAGCCCCTACCGATAAGACGCTCCTGCAGATCGCCGAGGAGAGGAACCTGTTCAACATGGCAGACCAACAGCAGCTCAAAAACAATAAAACCAAGGTGGCGGTCGGTGAACAGAAAGAAGGACGCCAGATGAAAGCCGAGGGGGGCGAGGAGGAGGGAGACTCCGACAATGTCCTTCCTCCCTCGGCAGACCGCTTCATGGAAACAATTCTCTACGCCGTGTGTCTGGCCATGTTGCATTTCACCCTCGACTACCTCGTCCAACATCAGTATGCCATGGAGATTGAGATGCACAAGATCATAACGAGGGCCATTCAGGCTCTAGTTGGTTCGTCACTTTCAATTCCTTTTCCCTATCGACACTTGCTGACCCAGCTACTTGTTTGCAGTCTTCGCCGCCCTCGTCCACGCTCTCCATCCGCATGCTGCCAACACCACCTTCATCCCCGGCCTCCCAGCGAGGTTTCACCACGCCGTACGCCAGGCCATCTTCTTCGTCACCAGCCTGGCATCTGGTTGCTACTTGATCCTGATCACAAATAAGTACACATACATGGCCGTCCTCAAACAGGCCCCGCCCGTTGGATGTTTGTGGGTTTGGTCTGTGTTGGAGATGGATCTTGCTCCGTCCGTTCTGAGCCTGGTTGGAGCCTATCTATACTTCTGGCACAAAGGCTACAAGTTTTGAATTCACGCCAATAGGGCTTGGATCGTCTTCTCGTACTCCTCCGGCTTCCTACCCAGAAGCTGTTCCAGGTCCTTCGTTGCCAGAGATGTCTCCCCAGCTCGGATTGCCACCCACGCGGTCGCCCACGTCCTCGCCTTCTCCTCGTCCCCAAACTGCTTCACCACCTGCGGCAGCTTGACATACTCGTCGACAGGGACCTCTCGGATCTTGAACGACTTGCCCACTGCCCTTCCTAGGACCCCCACTGTCTCGGCGAGGCTGATCTCGGTCGTCCCGGACAGCAGCACCGTCCCGTTGACCAGCTGCTGTGGAAACTGCCCGCCCACACCGCAGTATTTTGCGATGAGCTTGGCTGAGCCCTCTCCGAGCTCATCTCGTTTGACCCAGGTCACACCAGGACCACTGCCATCGTGAGGGATGGTCACCTCCGCCCCGTCCGGTGCATTCTTGGGGTCCAGGAATGCTGTGTAAATGGGATAAGATTCCGAGTACAGGCCTTCGCGTATCGATGTGTACGTGAAGCCTGGGTCGGATTGAGCAAGAGAGCTTAGGTATTTCTCGCTGCTCAGATGCGCCTGCATGACCACTGCCTGGGACTTGGAACTCGGCAAGCCGGAGGAAGCGTCGCCAGCGAAGCCGAGGCTGCTGTAGAAAATGTGCTTAACCCCAGCCCGGCGCGCGGCGTCGATCGCGGGCAATTGAACCTCGTGCGTGTCAGCTTCTAGCTCCGGCAAGGTCATCTCCCTGTTTCTCCCCCTTCTCACTCACCTTCACTCTGTACTCGTGCACGTGGCTCGGGTACGAGACGAGGAACAGCACGTCGAGGCCGCTGAAGGCCACCTCGAGCTCCTGCGGCGTACACTCATACGACGCCCGGCGCACTGCCACGCCCGCCTGCCTATATTCCTCTTCTACCTTTTCCGGGTGCCGACAGATGAGAGTAACGTGGTCGTTAGGGACGAGCTTGAGCAGGTGCCGATAGGTGCTCCCGCCGAGGCCACCAGAGGCCGGGAAGATGCCGATATCCTTCATGATTTATGATTGTGGCTGCCAGGCAGTGTCGGTGGTATCGTGTTGCGAACAGTACGACTCTTTGGGCAGATGTGAAATCTTTTTGTCTTAAGTATTTTCATCAGTTCAGACGTGAATGACTCTGGTTATTCAGGGGGGGGGCCAATATCAGCTGATTCTGGCCTACGAAACTGCAACAGACAAACCACTCAGAGAGGCAATGCAGCAGATCCCCAACCCCACCCCTCTCTGTTATGGAGCCTCATGACGAAAAGGGTGGTTCCCTTTTGCTGTAACAATTACTAATGGCATGCTAGAGCCGCCCGTCCAGAAGCGTCGGTGGTCACGGCATTTCGATGTTCCTTGGTTCAGTCCCAAGTATGAGACCTGACTCCGCCAAACCTTGGTGGGTGGTATCGGTGATAGGTGTTAGTATCTCAGTTACTATGGTCAAATGAGTGACCTACTCATGATTCTAGTCATTTTTATACCATAGTACGTAGTAGCTAGTAGCTAGATCCACTCCTCGGAAGGACGGAAACCTAAATTCAAGTTTGGACGTCACAGATAAAACGTATCAGGAAAGTGTGTGGGAAATGATAGAGTGCGGCTCCTTTTACGATGACTTGCTGATAAATATATATTTCTCCTTCCTTCGTTCAATAAATAACAGACAGCGAACGCCACCAAGGGAAGCAAAGCGGAAGTAGGCGAGACCCGGCCCGTCAATAAAGAGAAAATGGAACTACCTTTCGGCCACCATAATTGTCATACCTGCCCATGATTCAGCAGCAAGTCTGCGACAGGGTCAATATGGAACACGAGGACGTGCTCCTCCTACTATCTGAGTAGACTCATGATCATGGACAACACATCTCGGATAACCTCCAATTGAGTAAGCCAGGCACATGTATGGGTCAAGCGCAGCCTCAAAACAGATTTTTTACATAGGGGTTTCCCAGTTCGTAGCATAATGGCATCTCCAGACACATGCAGCATGATTGAAAATGTGGTCAGTGTATCCCAAAGTGTGTGGTTCATTACAGCTATGGCGTAGACTGTTCAAGCACCTACATCAATATGTGGATCTGTGAGGTCCCTCCAGAAGAAAAGAAAGAAGAAAAAAGAAAAAAACAAGCGATGAGGCATGATCAGTGGGTTGAATAAACATGCATAAGAAATTTGAGATTGTTTATCGTGATTACTGCACCCTGGAGGCACGCAAAACCCTTCGAGGAGAGTCGAGGTGAATTCAGGGTCGGCTCTCCTACCATTTGAACATCCAAACTATGAACACCTGGGGAATGCGGATCACTCTGCCATCACCAGGGCTCCCATCCTCCCTCACCAGAACACACATGGTCGCCAAGGTTCCAGCCTCGGTTTTGAACATGTAAGGCAGGAGCTGCAGCGAGAAGTGCGCCCGAAACCACGAGGCCTCATCACAAATCTAGTTCTCCTACACGCCCAGCAGCTCTCAGTTCTTTTCACCCGAAGCCTTCACATGCTTGTATTACTCTTCACCCAGGCACTCAGAATAAAAGGAAAGGGGAAAAGCAAAGAGAAAAGCAGGGACCTCTAGATGTAATGATCTGCTCGATGCTCCAAGTCTAAACAATACACATTAATATTTCTTCAATGCTTCAATGCTCCGAGACTATAAGGTGGTCAATCAGGCCTCGTCAAGGTCTTCCCCAACCGTTCCCGAGCAGCTGGCACTCATGCAGCGGCACCAGATGAATGCTACTGCTCGGTGGGCTTCTCATCTGTGGTCGACAGTGGCTTCTCGGCGATGATTCGATAAGTAGTGGTGATGAGTCTCATCTCATCCATCTTGACAAATGCCTGCCCATCCAGACACAGTCTGTTGATCAGGGTCTTGAAGTGGGGCGGCAAGATGCGCAGCTTACACAAGGCCAGGATGACCCTGCGTACGGACCGGAAGTAGATGTCGACTTTGTCGATGAGCGGTGACTGGAGCCCGTCCGTTGCCACGCTCGCATTGTCGGACCTGGTGATGACGAATCCGGCCTCTGTGAGTGCCTCCTCGAGAGACGCAGGGGTCGGCGTCCCGACAGCCCCGATCAATGGCTTGACGCGCCGCATGAGCTCGGCATGCTCGGGGTTGTGCTCATCGTAGGCAGGGTATTTCACCCAGTCCAGAGAGGAGAAGCGCGCGCCCGGCTTGAGGACCCGAAAGACCTCCTTCAGTAGAGCCTTGTGGTCTTTGACGAGACTGAAGGCCTGGATGTTGTAGAAGGCGTCGAAAGACTCGTCCTCGAAGGGCAGAGGCAGGTCATTGAAGTCCTTCACAACGAAGTCGTTGTCGAGACCCAGCTCCTTGTTGAAGGCGCGGGCCTGTGCTATTGAGTTGGGATCAATGTTGAGCCCCGTCACGCGGGCACCAGAGTACCTGGCCATGTGTGCGGCCACACGGCCCCTCCCACAACCCAGGTCGAGAACCCTTTGGCCCTCTGCCAGCCCGAGGTCCCGGGCTACGGACTCCTCGTACAGCAGCTGATTATCCCGTACGGAGACCTTCATGTCTATGGCGGGGGGAATGTACATCTTCTCGACATCGCCCAGGGCGCAAAGGTGGTTGAGCACGCCATAATAGGACTTGAGGCAGTCTCCTACCTTTTGCTGGTAGTCAGGCCCGAGCGTCTCGATCATCCTGGTCTCATCGGCCCAGTCGAGGTTGTAGATGATATAAGACGCCATGAAATCGTCAACCTGTTTCGGCGTGAGGCCGCACAAGTACCTGAAGGACCGAGCAAAGGTCTTGAGGCGACCAGGAGAGACGGAGCGGTCGGGGTCGGCACCCGCATCCTGATCACGAGACCTGTCATGTCCCGTCTTGCTGCTGCCCCGGTGGGAGGAGAGGGCCCGTTTCGACCTGGGTTTTTGGGTGAAAGCCTTGTCGGATGGTGGCACGGAAGCTGTTTTCTTCTCGGTCAGGGACACGCTGCTGCGCGCGCTGTCCGTCAGGCTGGTGCCCTCCAAGGTGGTAGGCGTTATGGATTCAGGCGTGGTCTGAGGAGATGCCAGGAGAGCAGGCATCCTGGGGCCCGCAGCTGGTGTAGGTGGCGTCACAACCACGGCGGCAGCCATCTTCATGTCCAATGACGCGGCAGAAACTCAATACTATACTGTAGTAATCGAGACAGGACGCTGGGGTTCTACGGGTCGCGGACCGGATCAATAAGGATCGAGGCCGGGAGGTGTAGAGTTGTGCTCAACGAGGATGAGGTGAGGTGGCACGGTGTGGTTGGAACGTGGTGACGTGCAGGATTCCAGGTGTGTAGGCCTAGGTTACGGAAGTACCCCTCTTACTGGAGAGTGCCGGGCAGAACAGGGTCCAGAAGGCTTTGTGTGTAACAGCAGGTAGAGAGCTGGTGGAATTGTTTGTGAGCGAGTGACACAGAGGCTTCCGCAGGTCCTATGACGGGCAGGCCAGAGACGACGTGCCAGGCAGGACAGCTGATGATCGTGAATGGTCAGAAAGGGAAGAAAGGGAGAGAGGAGGGGGGAGGGGAGGGGAGAAGGGAGACACACGAAGAAAGGAAGGGGCGCAAAGGAAAGGAAAGTCTCACCCCACAGTGCTGGCTCAGAAGAGATGAGAACTCGAGTGCGAAAGTTGGACTGGGCCTTGGGATGACTCGGTGATTCGTGTGGATCAGATACCAGCAAGGATGACAAAACACTGAGGGCGGCAGAGGATGAAGAGACGAGTCGATCTCACAGCACTCAGCTTCATTCCAGGCAGGGCGGAGGGGGTCTGTAGCTCAGAGGACGGACCGAGACAGAGGGGGGGAGAAAGAAATAATATAAAAAACCTGGCAGGTACCTTGGCCAAGGTATTTATTTGTGGTAGGCAAAAAGAGGCCCGGGGGCTGGGAACATTAAGCCTTGTGAGTAGTATAATGAGTGGATGCCAGAGGAAGTTCTGTGCAGCAAGATCCAGGTGGGTGGGCAGAGGCCTCGATTGGCCCAAGAGGTGGTGGTGGAGGAGGGGTGACTGGTGGGTAGCTGAATCAACGGAGGAGATTGAGGAGATTGAGGAGGGTGAAGGGGTGTGGGAGGTGAGGCAGGGACAGGGATAGGGAGAGGGGGATTCGCGGGATCTCGTCGAGACGTCAAGACGCGAGGTGGGAGGTGGGAGGTGCGAGGTGCGAGGTGGGAGGCGGGAGGGGGAGAGAGAAGAGGGGTGGTTGGGTTGGTTGGGTTGGGTTGGAGGGGTGTGGGAGGGTGACGAAAAAGAAACAGGCAAGATAAATTAGACGGGCACTAAAAAGGAAAAGGAAAGAAAACCCAGGGAATAAGAATATGTGGAAAGAGAGAGGAAGAAAGAGGGGCACTCTCAAGTATAGGTTAGGATAGAAACAACGAGACGAAAGGGTAGGAGAGAAAGCCAGAGAGACCGATCTGGCCTCACCTGATTGTTCTTGTCCAACCAAGCAAGGCTTTGACAGCTTCCTTCATGACACACTCGGGAGCCATGTAAATGGTTTGTCACTGTAAGACTTACTTCTGCTGCCCAAGGCCAAGAGAGGGAAGGCAGGAACAATCAACAGTAACAGCAAGAGCAACCGGATGTAGGTGATATCAACATTCTACCAGCCACTACAAGGAAGGTACTAACCAGGGTATCAATGTACTGCTTGGAGGGCAGGGACGAGCGAGGTGGAGAGAACCATGTATGAAGTACACCCCATATACTTACATACTACAGCTGATCACCACCCGCCGTTGGGGTTTGGGAGAGGGGAAAGGGGGAAAGGGGGTTGGGGGTTCCATCAACAACAATGGATACTGCTAGAATGGCATGACAGAGTGGTACTGTGGTTGTACAGTGTATGGCGTGCGGCAGCAGCAACGATGCTTATGGCCGTATGGACATACGGACTTAATTTGTATATGCACAGCTCCTGCACCACCCTCCACCCTTCCTCAGGTGAGAGCACCGGATGGCTAGGGCTGGGTTAGTTTAATCCTGTGACCCGAGTAAGTCTCCTCCACATGTTCTCCTGCGATGGCGATGGTGATGATGATCAAGATGGCTAAGATGAGTGGATGCTGACAATCTATGCCACCGGAGGACTCGGATGTTGTTGGTGTGTCGTGCGTGGTTCACGCGATGCTCCGCAGTTCCGTTAAGGTTGTAGATTTGGGTAATCCCGCCCGCCGAGCTTATTAATACGGCCCCGCCCTCACGCCCTGTCGACCTGGACGGTATATACTATCATAGTAAGTACTGCCACAGTATGACCGCAGTACTAAAGTACCATCCTAGTACACAGTACACCCACCTGCTGTCCTCTCAGGCCCGCTCACGGACACACTCTCCTCACACACACCCACACTCCCGAAGATATGGTACCTAGACCACGTCTTTTTAAGGCACCCTGACGTCGTCCCGTGCTGGTTGAAGCTTCTCACACAGAATGTGCAGGCTTCCTGCATAAATCCCCACTTTTTCGAGAAGGTCGCCTAGATGTCGCTATGGACCGATATCGCGACCTTTCTCCTCTTCTAAAACCGGTATTTGGATTTGTTACTTTTTTCTCCGCGTATTTACTGGGGGTGTTTTTTTGGTGGGGTTTTTTTCTCCTTTTTTTTTTCTTCTGTTGTTTTCCTTGTTAGGTACCTTTTCTCCGACTCCTGGCCCTTCCCCTCTCCATTCTACCTTTACCTCACGTTTTCGCCTCCCTTCTCTCGTCGTATTCAAGTTCGTCATGCCCTTTCCAGATGGATCATGGCTCCAAGCCCATAATTACGATTCTCAACAGCGGCGTCGATCACAAGAAAGAGTCGGTCAGCAGGATTCTCCCCGGTGACTCACACATGCCCGTTGAGAATCTTACGGTCTGTCTCCATTGCTAAGTGCAGGAAATTTTCCGGGCCTTCCGTGACGTATAGAGTGGTCCCCTCCACAATAACCACGTCGTTCTGTGATTCCGTCTCCAACCTTCTGTGGGGTCTGCCTCTCGCTCCTCGTCCTTCCCCGTGGCACCTTGTCTTATCCCTCCCCTGCCTCAGTTATTTCTTCCATGGGCTTCAGTGTGGTGATCCCTCGTTGGCGTAATCAAGTCATAATCATTACTATGGCATTTGTCTCCTAGATGTCAGTTGCCTCCAGCGCGGTCACCAGCCTTGATGGTGTCATGGTGTCAGCCGGCTAACAATCAGTCCGTTCTTATGGTGTCGTGCTGTTGCGCAATATTGAAGGAGTCTCACTATTGCCCCTCTGTGTCTTTGCCTCATGGCTTGTCACTTGACTGTAATTGGCTCCTCTGCGGACCTAATTATCTATATCAGGCTATTGTGCTGGATGAAGAGGTTCTAGAATATGCACAGTAAAGATCGAGGAGACCTCCATAACCTGGAATCTGGACTTCTTTGCCCATACTTCGCCTGTTTTGATCTTAGGTGAGTGCGGATCGTTAATGATGCTACACGCCGGACGGTCTTTTCGCTGTCTTCCCTTCATAGGTCATCTCGACATCTCAAGAGCAATCTCTGTTTTGCTCCCTGTCATGTTCAGCCTCGTCTCGTACGATCAGGTGTGCCTTCGTTATTTGGGCTGCCGCTGTGTTTCAAAGATCCATGCGCAATGCGGCTCAAGCTACATACACAGGCCCGAGTTTTAAGCTTAAGTTTGAAAAATCACAGCCTTGTACATGGCTGGCAAATTCCCCTGGCGATCTCTCACGCGATGACATAGCCCGCTCAATGCCATCATGTATTGGCCCGGGTGCCCCTGGGCGTCATCCTGGAAAGGGTGTGGTGAGGGGATGGGAGACGAGGGGCGAAAGGAAGAGGGGAGTGGACTTTGTCCTTATTGGCACAGACGACACCTTGGCGAGGATGTATCAACCAGAGGTAGATGGTTGTACTGTGCGCGTATACCATAAGAGTTTCCACGCGCGGTGTAGCTTTCCTAGTTCACCAAGCGTAATAATGCGTCTTTACAAGGTCAGCCTCAAAGTCAAGAACCTCCAGTTTCTGTTGATTCATCGTGGCAGTTTTGTATGGCTTGTCTTAACGGGGTCCAGAACCCAGCCTAGACAGCCCAACATCACAGCTACATACGGGACAGTGGACTGTGTGAGAAGAGATGCAACATCACTACCCAAATCTATGATACTATACCCATCTCACACGTTGCCCTGCGTCCCGTTGCTCGCTGAACAAAGTCAGATCATCATGTATGTGCCCAGGGAGGAGGCATCACAAGATTCGGACACATCACCACATACTGTAGCAAAAGCCAAGTTTCAAGGAACGAAAAAGGTACGAACTTTCCGATACTTCCGACAATACATTTCGGAGCGACGACACGTGCTAAACTTCCCGGGTACGCCGGCATCTTGTACCTCGAAGTCACCCGTTCGTTCCCCCTTGTTTGCCACCAACAACCCCCCTCCCACCACTTCAGACACTGGAAAACCCGAAGGCGTGGGTCGCCGCATATCACTGACAGTAAGACAGTCTCAGAGGCTGCCTGCTCACTGCTTCGTGTGTGCCAAGCTGAGCCCCATTGGTACATGGAGAGGATAATGTGGCTGGTGTGTCTGGCCCGTGAGATTCCAAGACTTAAAAGTCAGTCTCTCCAAGAAAAGTACTTACTTCCCTTAGGAATCTGTGTATGGCTTTTTTCCTTCTTCACAAGGTATATCATCTTGAAAATTACCCAAATATCTTGGGAAGGACTGACATGTCGCATATGATCTCTTTGATCATCCAAACGTACATCTACCCTTCTCACTCACTACTATGCACCATCCTCCATAATGCAGGTATTATTGCTCAGACTTCCTTAAATGATGGTTAAATTATTCAGGCTCGAATCCAGCCTAGCAAGTCAACGAGGTACGAATTCCGTTTACTTTAAGAGACCGTTTACCTTGGATTATGGGGAGATCAAGCAAGAATCAACCACAAAAACGCTTGCTTTTGTCCCCAGTCGTTATTATCCTTCACGTGCCTGAGACCAACGACCGTCGCCAATAAAAGAAGAGAGAACAAGAACCAACTTCCCTCTCTGCTCCCCAAAGCTCACAGCCTCGCCCTGTGTGTTTGCAGACTCTCCCAGTCCGACCGGGTAAAAGGGACATACGTGTCATCCTTGCCGCTGGGCTCAATCCAGTAGATGGCATCATCATTGGACAGCTTATCCGGGTCGACACCCTCGCTCTTGAGCGGGACCTTGTTCTGCTTGTGAGTTCCCGTGCTGTAGGCAGCGCGGGTAAGGCGGATGAAGATGGGAACCGCATATCTGGGCAGTCGGGACCGGCAGTGCCTGTGCAGGTGGATTTGTTGTCAGCAGAAACATCAAGCAGGCTGGATCGAGGCAAGACATACCGCAGGAACTCTGCAAAGTCAAAGCGGCCCTTCTCTTCCTCTCCTAGGTACAGGGCCACCGCACCCGCCCGTCCGTCATGGCCAGGAAGCTGCACGCCGTAGACGTTGGCCTCCACGATGCCGGGGAAGTCGCCCAGAGCGTCCCCCACCTCGGTCGTGGAGACATTCTCGCCCTTCCACCGGAATGTGTCTCCCAGACGATCACAAAAAAACCATCGGCCCTCGTGGTCCCGGCGGAGTGCGTCGCCCGTGCGATAATAGCAGTCGCCCTTTTTCAGCACATCCCGCGCTATCTTCTTGGAGGTTGCCTCCTCATTGTGCCAGTACCCGCGAAAGTCACGCCCGGGTAACTTGGAGCCTGGTTCCAGCTTGACCAGAATCTCCCCTCCCTCCTCGAAAGGGACAGTTTTGGCAAACCCCGTTGCCGGGTCGCGTAGCAGGTCGCCCGTCTCGGCGTCCACTGCTACAGCGATGTGCCAACCGCGCGAAGCCCACCGCAGCAGAGCCCCGTGTAGTCCCAGCGCCTTTGCCAAAAAGTCACCCCGGCAGGCATTGGACAGTCCAAACATCATCTCGGTAGAGTTATAAAACTCGTAGATAGTGTCGATGCCAAAGCGCTCGCGGAAGGGGATCCAGACATCGGCACGCAGGCCGTTGCCCCAGATGGTGTGGACGTTGTGGTACTTGTCGAGGGGCGAGGCGGGCTGGGCCATGAGGTAGCGTAGAGTCTCGCCCACGTACACAAAGTAAGTCGCACGGGAATCGCGGATGTCAGACCAGAAGTTCCTAGAGCTGAACTTGGTGCCTACGCAGAGCGCGTCACCAACCTGTGTTGAAATGCATATCTTGTCAGTAATGAACGCAATTGGAAGTTGACGACCAAGGAAGGTGTGTCGCCTGCTGCACATGAAGGCGACGTTGATACAAGTAAAAAGAGGAAAGGTTCACTTACTGCAAGTGCTGAGAGAGCCGAGAGTCCTCCTGTTAGGTGATAATAAGGCATGCAGTTGTAGCCTCGCTGTCCACCCACGCTAATGGGACTGTAGCCCTTTTTTCTCTGTTGAATTGTTCAGCACAAGGTTTTACAGAACCCATAAAAGATCCCACATCTCTTTCTAGACGTACCACTGTCACGGCTAGGAAGCCGGCCAACATAGGGAAAATGATGGCTTTAGAAAGACCAGTGGTGCCACTGTAGTTAGGGAAGATTGATTAGTACCCAGATCTTAGTTCACCATGGACGTAAGGTCACGGCAACACATCCACAAGTAATTTAAATACACATGAAAATGGGGCCGAGGAGGGAACGACGATGACATCTAAAGCACTTCTCAAGTGGTAGAAAGGGTGCGCTCACCTGGTAAAGGCCAGAGCCATAGGCGAGGTCGCTTCAACCAATCTGCGAAGCTCATCTGCCGGACGGACAGGTTTCATGCCCAGAATTTGTCCACGAACATCACCTAGCTTGATGATGTGGTGACCAGTAGCCATCAGTTCGGAACGGACGGCCTCCAGACGACCCAGCATCTCGTCATCCCCACCAGCAAAAATCAATCTTGCCTGGGCAATGCCCACGCAATGTAACAGTGGCTTGGAGGCAAGATTGGTGTTGATCAGAGCTGGAGCAGCACCGATGGCCATCAGGCCCAGCCAAGCACACATGAAGTCGGGGGAGTTGGCCATGTAGAAAACAACATGGTCACCTGGCTTGACTCCTTGTGAAAGGAACCACTGGGCATACTGATGGACCCTAGTATAGGCCTGGTTGTAGGAGAGACACTCCTCACGGGACCAGAGGGCCTCGCCATCTCCTTCTCTCTTGACAGCCTCTTCGAAAGAGTAATACAGGGAAGACCGACCGTTGTTTGCTGTTCATCAGGAAGTCAGTGGCCTAATTATTTAGTTCAGATGTTGGAAAGCAAATCTAGATATCTCTACTCTTTCTCCTTCACACTGTTTGCTTTGGAAAGCTTCTTACCGGCCTTTGCCACTTCCATAAAAGCCGCTCTACGGCTCAACAGAATCTTGATATCTGCCAGCAGACTGAATTTGGCATTCAAGTAGGAGAGCCCGGCCACAGCCGCGGCTAGGGATCCTGCAAGGGTAGGAGCTGAAGCAAGGGCCCAGCATTAGTAAGTAAATATTTCGCTTCCACTCTGGACAGGAAGGAACAGGATCGAGTTCACAACGGAGATGGCTCACAAATAGACATGGCTCGACTGATTGCTCGACAGACTGGTGACGGTCAGTGTGATGGACGAGCCACGGCAAATGGGAAAAGACCGGGGCAGGTGTCTGTAGAAGGCAAGGATATTGGAAGACTTGCGTGGTACCTTCACAACTCAGAGATAGAGTCAGTGGAAGGTCTTACTCAACTGCCCCAAAGCCTTTGTCTGAAGAGAAGATAGATATAAAAATCAAGAGCCAGTCACAGCATCCTTAGTCAGGACAACAGTCAGTTAGCAAGTCAGTTGGTCAGGCCCGAGTTTGAGAAACCCCCCACTGGCAGAGTCAAGGCCGAAATTACGGTCAAACTGATTCACTGCTCCATCTGATGATCAACTGCATGAGTCCTTTGGATAGACGAAGTTGAAAGAGCCGTAACAGTAATAGCGATAGTGATAGTGATAGTGATAGTGAAGGGTTTGGGATGCCATCATGATGTTTTGCCACATACTCCGTAGATGGAATCGCAGTTTTCCTCCCTCCCCTTCTCCTCCTCCTCCCTTCTTGCAACGCGGACTTCGGGCGATAAACCAGATGCAAGGACCGTATCCGGATGCGAGTTCAATCAAAGGTGGAGTTCCACCCCTGCACCTCCTCTACGTAGATTGCGCCGCTCTGCCGAACAGGTTTCATTCATGCAGAGTAGATCCAGCTTTTTGGCAGGGGTCGACTGGTTTATGTCCATGACGGCTGAACTCTCAATTTGTTGAGGACCTGTCATCACAACCGAGCCGAGGTTCAACTGCTACTAGAAAGTAAAGGACAGCATGTATCTTATGAACAGCATAAAGGAAGACCAATCTGACCAGTAACAATCATGAGGGGAACCTCGGCTGGCTGGACTACATCAAATCCTCAGGACCTGCTGTCAATTGACGATACAGAGTCACTGCCTGGCTTGGATTGTCAGCTCAACACGCACTTCGTGCAATTGGAACCTTGAAGGTTGTGTAGTTGTTCTGGTGCTGGGGATCACCTAAAGAATTGAAAGCTGTGAACCTGGAATTTTCCGGCTCTACACTGCTAGCCTTCGAAGTCCTATAGAACATAGAATGAAGACTCAATAAGAGACAATATCCACTCATCAGAGAGTTCTAAGCAGCGTCCCTGTTCATCAGTGCAAATCAAATGGGTAAGTGAGAAAGGGGAGTCCCTGGAAACCTGCAATGCACATATGTGCCACGGGATGCCAGGCAGTACAAGGCAGGCTGCCAGCTGGTTCCAGTTATTGCCAGCTGCGCGGGACAGGTGTGAGTGCACTAACAGGGACACAAGCGGTCTTAGTGCGCTCCTGATAAGCGCAATCTCCAGCCCACAACTGAGCCGTTTGGTAAAATGTGAAGTGGGTCCCCAAGCCTTTGACAACTTCTAGACAGGAATTCTCAACACGCTCACGATTTTTCCATCCGACCAACCCACTCCTGTCCAGCAACCAGACCCAGCACCGCTGCCGACTCTCCTTCCCTCAATCTCTTCAGCATTTCCCCAAGGAAGTCTATTCAAAACCAGTCAAAATGGGTGGCGGTGTCTCTGTTCGCGATGTTGATGTAGGTCCCTCAACTTTTCCAACACACTGATTACCTGGCGACGACCTCAGCAACGAATTCCCCACCTCAAGAAAACCCGATGCTCGATTGCGCACCACTTGTGCCACGACCTCTTCGAACGGGAATGCCAACATCCTTCACGGTCGACCGGACGTAACACAAAATGGATGGCATCGGGCATCGGGTATCGAGGCAACAACTGCTGGCAACAGCAAGAAAGAATACACACACACACATCATCGTTGAGAGCAGGCGTGAGGGAGTCGCAAGACTTCTGAAGACGGAATAGTTGCTAATTCGATGATGTCTTGCATCAATTCAGGCGCACAAGTTCATCAACGCATACGCTGCTTTCCTGAAGCGCCAGGGCAAGCTGCCCATCCCTGGTATGTACCACCGTTATATATATGCATTTCTATTCATCTGCCCGGGTTTCCTACTCCTACCCCTTGAGGCCTCTTCCTTTGTTACAGAGAAGCTGACGTGCATTTTGATCAGGTTGGGTCGACACCGTCAAGACCGGTCCCGCCAAGGAGATGCCTCCTCAGGACCAGGATTGGTTCTACATCCGCGCCGCCTCCGTCGCCCGCCACGTCTACATGCGCAAGACCGTTGGTGTTGGTCGCCTCCGCAAGGTCCACGGTACCGCCAAGAACCGCGGCTCTCGCCCTTCCAAGCACGTCGATGCCTCCGGCTCCGTCGACCGCAAGGTCATGCAGTCCCTCGAGAAGATCGGTATCCTCGAGCAGGATGAGGAGAAGGGTGGCCGCCGTATCACCCAGGCTGGACAGCGTGATCTGGACCGTACGTTTGAACCTAATTACTTTTCCACGAGACAGATGCTTCTGTTTGGCCTTGTTTACTGACATTTCTCCCCACGTCCACAGGCATTGCCGCCCAGGCCGCTGCTGCCGATGAGGAGGAGGAGGATGACGAGTAAACAAATCATCATGGTGGCGTAGTGCAGGAAATTTCACGGGTCGGTCATAGGCGTCTAAAATGGATCATTCGGGATCTGATCTCTGATCATGCTTTGTTCTCGGGGTTTGGGAAAATGATACCACGTCGATAATGATCTGTTGCTCGTATGTGCCGTTGATCCATGCCACGACAGGAATCTTATTTCCGACACATCCTCGTGTCCCAGACTAAAGCAGCCTTGCGTGGCTTAGAATGAACAGACACCACGTTTTCCCAGTGCATCTGGTTATTCAGTGGTCAAGGCTGGCCCGGCCTTCAATGCAAAAACCAACCTCAACCTCAGTTACTTTGATCTACACGGACGCAGTGCAGTGCACCAATACTTATGCTGTGTTGTTTCATAAGAAGCGTAGCCACGTACTATTATTGTAACAGTGGCCAGTAAGCCCCCATTTCCTTTCTTCCTTATTCCAGACTCAGGAAGAGTACTGGACTGCCAGGCCAAGTCCCCTGAACGGCGCATCTAGCTTCTTCAAGTCCACATCTGTCCCCAGGCTGAAGAGCAGGGATTTGTACCGGCCTTCGTACATGAGGCCCACCCTCATGTTTTGGTCGCAGCGACACCTGAACACACCTGCCGGGAAGTCATCCTCTAGTTGTTCCCTTGGGTTGCTGTGTATGTCTGCTGTGGCGACACCTGCTGGGCCACCTGTGTGGACATCAACTTCATCATCATCCAGCCTCCACTCCATCTTCGCCTGGAAGCTGCGCTCTCTCAGCCTCTTGGTCGGCGTTACCCTCGTCACAGAAGCAAACGAGTCATTCTTCAGGATCTCTGTATCCGTCACGGCTGCGGTCGCGCCACCATCAACTTGCTCTGCACTCGCCAGCACATCACGGGTTATCTCTCCCACCACCAGCTGCTCCTCCCCCCCTTCACCCGCTATTATGGTAGGCATTATCTCTCCCTCTGAGCTCACCGCTCTAGGCTTCCTCTTATTCCAAAGCTCCATCCCCACCGCCCAATTACTCTCGTAGCTGTACAGATTAAAGCCAAACTGCGATGCGAGGGTCCAGTCGCCCGCCATCACCGCATAGGTCGCACTCATATGGCCCACCAGGTTGAACGTCAGCGTTGCGGTCAGCGGTGTGCCATGGTGCGTCGGAAGGGTCTGGAACCGGCCACCCAGGCTGAGTCCGCCGCTCTTGTTCAGTGTGCCGTAGTAGATTTCCCCGCCTGCGCTGAAACGGCCATTGATACGTTCCTTATCACCAGAGGAGGCGTCAGTCGCAGCCCCGCTGTTATTCTGATGGGCAGTGAGAGGCTTTGATGATGATGATGACGGTGACGATGTTGATGCGAGAGGCGGTTGATGTGATTCAAGGATATCGCTGGTCTCTGAAGACGCCGTGTTCGTCACATTCCACAGACCACGGAGGCCAAGCACGCCCCCGTCACTGGATGCGAGCGTCTCGACCCCAAACCGTCCTGCGGTGTCGTCCCACGACGCCAGGCCTAAGAGGGTCCCGCCGTGTCGCAGGTTCTCCTGGCTTACAGCCCTCAGTGCCAGGTTCACCTGGGGCGAGATTCTCGTGGAGAGCAGCGCCTCCAGGCGAGATTGCGGCAGGTACAGTCTCCCATAGACCAGTTTGTGCCCGACGGCATGGCGGATAGCCTGTGTGGACAGGGACCGGTAGCACCTGAGCAGGTTGGGGAGAGGGATCTTGTCGGAGCTGGAGACGATGTCAGGGCTGAGGGGGTGGGTGGAGTACAGGTAGGAGATCCAGCCATCCTTGATGCCGATACTGTAGCTGGTGCCGAATTTGGGGCGCACAAAAGAGGAGAGGGTGATGCGTGAGCCAGTGGGTGTCTGGAAGCCCAGGAGAGAGCGAGCTGTGAGGTCTAGATTTGAATACTGAGTTTCCTTGTCAGCTGGAATTGACTGCATGATGACAACACAGAGGACAGACTGTTGGACAAGGAGGGAGAGAGAGAGAGAGGCTCACGCTATTGTCATATGTGTTACCTCCACTGGATGTGATAAAGGCCTCTTGGAGGTAGTCGATGAAGTCGCGCATGGTGGACGGTTCCCTTCAGTGTCTGTGCCATGAGAAGGAGCAGGAGGTACAACAAGATGAGAAGAATGAATGAGCAGGCAGGTGCAGTAAGAGTCCTCAGCGCAGGCCCTAGTACAGCCTAAGGCAAATCCCAGAATTGACCAGGTCAGGCAGGCATGTTATTTTCTCATGAAATCCCTCGTTTAAGGGCAATAAATCAATGAGGCTGTTAAAAGAAAGGAAAAAAACCAGCCTGTTTATCGTTGTGAAGATGAATGTTGGTGGTTCTACTGTTAGTGAACCCCTGCTGTTGTTTGGAGTCCCGTCCCCCAGAGAAGCTTCCACTGCAGCTTGGCACCCCGAACCCTGAACAAATCTGCTGCAGCCCATGCAACAAAGAAATTGAAAAAGAAGAAAAAGAGACCATTGAGAATCCTCAGCCTGAACCCTGCCACTCACACTCCCCTCAAGTCCTTTCAAAGCCTCCTGCCCTCCCATCAAAATCGCCCATCGAAGTAGGCCGAAAGGAGGATTCGAGGCTACTGTTTCCTCTCATCTCTCAAAGGCGAATTCGGACAAGGGCCTGGAGGACGCCTCCGAGGCTGGCGGCTTGTGGGCAGGCTTGATGGGAATATGAAACGACAGAGGTCGACAACTTGGTACACCACGCGCACGCCCGGACCTTGCTCGACCGTTGACATGTGTGAGACGATGTGTTCTCTGTCGCCGAGCTGTTCTCTTCTTGATCGACTCCGGCGTGAGGAGTGCTCTGTACCACTTTGTGAGCCGGCTCGACTGGGCACTGCTGTAGATCGATGGATCCACATAAACAGGAGAGCCTCTTTTCGGGAAACGCCGTGCTGAGGAGATTTGCTCTCGGTGTGAACATTCCGATCCCCTTGATGGTGAATTTGATGGTGAAGAGGCTCTTGAAATTGGTTCTTCTGCCAAGGCGTCGTTGTCCGAGCCATCCTCCTCACTGACATCTATCTCATCCTCTTCTGAGTGATTGCTAGTCTCGTCGTCTGGGATGTCACAGGTGTCGGCTAAGAATCGCCTTGTCTTTCTTCTTTCTCCGACTGCATACCATTCTCTGTATTGCCAGCCTATACGGAGGCCAGCTTTTTGACGTAGTAACTGGAGGAACTGTGGGTTGGAAAGAAAGAAAAACTCAGCTCTTGAGATGCAGAAAGAAGATAAAATAGCTGGCAACCTACCTTCAAACAGTTGGAGCATGGCTTGTGCTAATCATGATGTCAATCATTGTTAAGATGCCGTTCGAGCTGGATTTGTAGGAGCTGGATAGATTCTTACATCCATTTCGATAGTACAATCCCGTAGAGACGGTGGCAGCTCGTGAGCTCGGCATTTAAGCTGCTTGACAGTCTCTGGGGTGATTTGAGATATCCCAAAGAACGCAGCTGCCTCTTGCAAAATACGCAGAGCAACATGTTTCTCAGCGTGAGCCGAGTAATAGAACCCGTCGTTCTCTGGATCACCGGTTTTCTGTGTTCTCATCAGCTTTTTGTACTCCTGAGATGCGCAGGGAAGTTTTCATTCTTACCGGATCAAGAAAGTGTCGTGGAAGGTTGGCTCCGAGAACTCTGCAGCTCTGGCGGACTAGAGCCGAAGAAGTTTTGTTATCGAGAACGTTGGCGATGTTGACAACCTGTGTAGCTTGTGACCCTGCCCACTGTTGAAACCCTTATTAGCATCAATGCGCATTATTGAAATCTCGAAAAAATTTGGGGGGGGGGGGGGGGGCGTTTACTTACCCCAGAGACGGCCAGCGTATGACAGTTCTTAGCTTTCCTCCAGACAGCCATGCTCTTGTTTCCCAGATGAATCTTGAAATCGGCGCTGGCTAGCACTGTGACATGGCAGATCTTGAGTCCTCTTCCTGTTCTCAAGAACACAATGTGGGAATCGGATGGATCTTTCTGGGCCAGACTCAGACTTTCTGCCACATCTTTGTTGCTTTTTCCGAGTCTGTATTGGTAATGCTGGTAGTCTCTCTGGTGACGTTTCAAGATAAGAGAGATGTAAGCCCTGCCAGTACGACTGGGTGGCCGTCTGGCAAAGCTCTCGTACTGGGTCAGACTTTCCTTTCTCAGGGCCATTTTCTTGAGGTAATCGAGAACAGAGAAGCCCCTATCGTCTGTCTTTTGGATAGACGCATTCTTGGCATATAAGGAAATGGCTATGTCCAAGTACCCGAATAGACAAGCCAACATAAGTGGCGTCTGGCCCAGGGCGTTCCTTTGATCGACACCAACCTCTTTTTCTGCAAGCAGACTGAGAACCTGCTTGCGATCTTTTCGAAGGACCGCCAAATGCAAAGGCTTCAGACCGAGGTCCGTATGGTCCATGGTGGAAGCGCTGTGGGATGACGTGTTGCTGGCTGTAGAGATCGACATCTTGACAAGAAGGTCAGCATACGTTGAGAAGGAAAGGACTTTTGCTAGGGAACTTTAGAAAATCAACTCGATGTTAGGAAAAGCGTAGTAGTGGGCATGGGACTGGATGTGAAATGGATGTGAGAAATCACTCACTTTGATTTCGTTGACAAAACGCAGGAGGTTGAACGGGTTGAAGTTATGTGATGATGATGCACCTTCTTCACTTTGCAGGAAAGAACTTTCGAAAGATCAAATCAGCTGAGATGTTCAGCTGCCATCTCAGGAGTAGGGTTATGAGGAGGCAGTAGCAGCAGTAATGATAGTCAAGGCAGGTGTACGAGGATAGAAGTATGTGATGCTGGAACTATGTGATGTTGGAGGGGGCATTGGATGGTTGACGAATAGCTCCAGTGCTTGTAGAGAGAGGAACAGAGAAGAAACGAGCGGAAGACAAAAGATGAAAAGAGAGAGAGGGAGAAAGGGGTGGAGAGAGTAAAAAGGAAGAGGGAGAGAAGGGGGAAGGGGGGAAGAGGGGGGGGGGGGAAAGGGCAGCGGACGGAAGAGAGGCACACTGGAATTTTCGAAACGTGACAATGATGCTGGTGCATAATGAAAGCTCTCTCTCTCTCTCTCTCTCTCTCTCTCTCTCTTCTGCCTTCCTCTGAGTTACATCCTCTTCAAAGCCTTTCGATCTCACGTAGACCTATCTCGTTGGCGACCTGATCTTAGACAACGGTATAAGAAGGGATTTACAAGTGATAAGCTTGGCTCAGGCCTTTCAGAGAAGCCGTTCGCAAAAGTCTGTAATGGGAAGTCATTGACAGTACAGATATTCGAAGCCTTGCTGGGTGTATGTAGGAGGACGTCTGAGATGACAATTCTTTCTTTGGATATTTGGTAATAGTATATACATAACTTTTCGCTAAGCCGGTCTCTCTCTCTCTCTCTCTCTCTCTCTCTCGTAGTAATTAGTACTCAATGCTCACTGGACCTTCCCCCTTGCATCGACAGTCCAGATCTCCTCAATGACACCCTTACGGTAGGCGTAATAGACATCGTGGAGGTTAATGGTAGGATCGATATGACTCGGCACCATCTCGACCCGGTCGCCCACCTTGAGGCCAAGACCGTCGTCCTCCCACGCCAGCGAGCCGTGCTCGTCACCCAACACACCATACGTATAGCCAGGGTCCTTGGGCTCCGCCAGCCCGCTGTCCGTCGTCAGCGACTTGAGCCCGGCGTCGATGGTGACGATCTTGGGCCCCTGCCGGCTGATGACCGTCGACAGGATGGTCAGGCTGTTGGCATAAAAGGACCCCACCGCGTTGCGGTAGTCAGTGTCCATGAACAGGAACGAGCCGGGCTGCACCTCGGTGACGCCGGGCACGGTGACACAGAACTCGGCGGTGCCGGTCCCGCCGGTCGTGACCACCTCGATGTTGTGCCCTTCCCGCCGCAGGTCCTCCGCCGTGGACGTCAGCACGGCCATGGACTCGAGACACATGGCCTTCCTCTCCTCCAGCCCGTGCACGTGCTGGATGTGGCCCTCGTACCCCTGCACGCCGACGAGCCGGAGGTGCTTGAGCCTCGCGACGTGGCCCGCCAGCGCCCGCGCGGGCTCGCCTGGCTGCACGCCCGTGCGGTGCAGCCCGACGTCCAGGTCCACGAGCGTCGTCAGCCTTTCGTCCTCCTTCGCGGCGTCGAACCCCGCCGCCCCGAGCGCCGCGTCGATGGCGCTCGCCGCATCAGCGTCGTCCACCACGATCCGCAGCGCCCGGTGCTTCCGGAACAGCTCGACAAGCCGCCGCACCTTGGCGGGCCCGACAATCACGCAGGTGATGAGCAGGTCGTCGAAGCCCTTGGCGCAGATGACCTCGGCCTCGGAGAGTTTGGCGACGCAGCCGCCCTTGGCGCCGGCCTGGTTGAGGCGGCGGGCGAGCGTGGCCGACTTGGTGGTCTTGAGGTGAGGCCTGATGTTGATGCCTGTGGGGAGGAGCTGGGACATGAGCTTGTTGATGTTGGCTTCCATGAGGTCTAGGTCGACGATCATGGACGGTGTGTCGAGCGAGGCGATGGTGTCGCCTACCTTGGGGGCGTACATCTTGGAGGGCTATATGTGTCTGTCTGTCCGAGGTGGTTTGCTTGCTTCTTGTCGGTCGATCCTTGAAGATACAGAGAGTCCACCAAGCCAAAGCCAGAGATGTGATGCGGTCGTCAAAGGTGGTGCGTTTCAGTTGGACGGAAAGGGTTGGAGAAGACAGAATATAACGGGTCAAGGTGGCAGGCTTTCCTCCGTCATCGGCTTACAATCAGCAATCCCGGCAGCGAAACTCTCAACGGTGAATATCCGGTATTAGTCGTGATCCGGCTTCTTCTGTTCGGACCGCCCATGATCCTGCCGTCAAACCTTGTCCGGACTACCGGGCGCCAAGGCCTTTAGAAGCTCTTTCGCTCTGCGCAGAGATAAGGCAATTAATATACGCTACACGTTTAGTAAATGGACCCTTGGCATTACGTTCGTTTCATTTAGTTGGCTGCCTTTCATTAGCGAGCAGTACGCTCACATGTCCTCCTGCTCGAGTGGCCGAGAAAGAAAGAGGTGAGAACTATGTAAAGTCACAACATTGTGGCATACCGAGTGAATCTAGATCTCAAGAGTAGCGACTGCCCTACTTTTTGCCCAACATCAAATTTCCATTACAAACTGTGGCCCAAAGTTTGCTTTACCAAACTTATCCCGCGCGATCCTCGCAAGGGGCTTCTCCGCCAGGCTGCCCGTGCTTTTGTCCTTCGCAAAGGCTAGCAGCCCGTCCTCGCCGTCCTGGTTCGTGGAAAAGAGGATATCGTCATCCTTGGAGATTGAGAACATGCGCGGCAGCACGCCGCCAGAGCTGATTTGGTCCACAAACCTGAGCGGAGCTCTGTCCCTACTATCTATCGAGAAATGTGATATGTTGTCCGTGGCATCGCCAGTGAGGCGGTTCGAAACGTAAAGGTTCTTGTTGTCGGCGTCGATGACAAGCTCACCGGCCGAGGCAGTCGTGGGGTTGGCGGGCGGGAACTCGTCGCCGAAGGTGCTTAGGGACTGGACCTCGTGGAAGCCGAGGCCGTCGCCGGTGTACTTCAGCTCGAAGACCTTGATCAAATTGGTGATCTCGCATGCGATAAAGAAGTGTGTTGCCTCCTCGTGCCCGCCTAGGGGGAAGAAGGAGCCATGTCGGGGCCCAGAGCCGGACGGGCTGATGCGGATACGATTCTGGATCTCAAAGTCCTTGGTGTCGATCACGAGCAGCGCATCTGTGCCTAGATCGGGGACGACAAAAAATTGCCCAGTAGGGTCGAGAAGTGCCTCGTGGGGGTGAGGGCTGTCCTGTCGCCCGGCCACGGGGCCCGGCTCGCCGCCGGCAGGGATCTGTTTCCTGAGCTTCATGGTACCATCCCTCTCGTCGAGGTCCCAGATGTCAATCTGACCTTCGACAAAAGCAGCCCCAATCATGACCGACTTGTCCCTATTGAACTGCAATGAGACGACTCCAGACGAGCCGGTGGCATTCTGAACGAGCTTCAGTGCATTGGTGTCGGGGTCGAACTAGGCGGGAACGTCAGCTATTCTTATCTCAGCATAGAAGACTTGCCGAGCATGAGGGTGGTGGGAGGCTTACGTTGAAGAGCCTGGTGGTGTTGCTGTTCTCGTCCACGGCATAAAGCAGATTCGGCTCCTTAAACAGCAGCCAGCTGGCAGATGTGCCGGCGATGGTGTGATGGGCCACTATGTCGAAACTCTCGCCGTCGAAGTCCGCCGCACCGATCATGCCTGTTGGGCCACCTCCAATCAAGACCTTCTATGCATCGCCATGGATGTTAGCCCTCCTATTGCACCCCCAAGCCCCCTTCTTGCTAGTAGACAGAGATGCTGCGGCGAGAGCAGCAAACAGCAAGGGCCAAAATAGGGTAGAGATGGCGGTGCAATCATTTTTTACGGTTCGTGGAGAGCATCACCACGGGACCGGGGAATGTAAATAGGCTGACGTCGAACTGATGTGACTCACGGTACCGGACGAGGAAAGAGGAATGGGCAAGGCTCGAGTTCCATGCAATACATACACGGTTGCCACCGCTGTCAACATGTCAAGCCACTCACCCTCTTCTTGGCCCGGTTTGCCTGGGAGACGCCGTGGACCTGCTCATGCTCGTGGGAACCCATTGCGGAAGACGAGTCGATGGCCATCATGTGTGATCTAATGAACTGGCTGCTGGCTGCCTAGGGGCCCAAGGTGTGAAGGGTTGAGACGGAGCCGTCCGAAAGCTCAGGTCTGAAGGGGGGCGGGGGGGAAACAAAGTCAAGTATCGAATCTCGAAGATCGAATATCGGGTGGAGGGAAAACAGAAGCAAATAACCTGCAGGTGCGGATACTTGTTTAGTACTTACCAAATACTCGACTGAATAAAGTACCCCAATGTACCTGCCAGAAGTGTCCCTGCAGTATCGATTGCCTTGTCCTCAAAACCCCTAAAAGCTGCCCGCCTACCGGCGTCCAGGGGGGTCGGCAGCAATGGGGGCGGGGCGGGCAAGTGCCACACTTAGCGCTATCTTAGTGCCTGCTGCAGTCCCTTCACAGAAACTGTGGTGCGCTACACTCACTTCAAGTACTACGTAGTATTGTCTAAGTAAGTCTGGTGGGGTTAACGGCGCGGCGCCGGTCCTTGCCATCGATACCGGCACCGATCTGCCTCTGTTGTGCCGGGCCCATACGAAGCAACATGATGATTAATCGGAACACTTGGTGTGCACGAACCTTTTCAATATCTGACCTGTTGTGCTTCAATTGCTACCTGCGACTAAATTGCAGAGACAACAGAACATCGACCCATGGAGCCACCTGGGCCGACATCTCCAAAGACCCTTCTTTCACACATCGTCTTGACACGGACCAGGACCGTCTCGAGCCCTCATTACGTTCCTCCATGCTAAACCAGAATTTTACCCCGCTACTGTGTATCGAGAGGTGATCCATACCTCTGCTGTGATGCGGCTGATGCACATGTGTGCTCCTCGGCTACCCGCGTCTCTTTCCTCCCCTCTCCAGGTGGAGGCGTGGGAAGGTTTTGCGGTAGACATCATGACCCACTGAATGATGGATTTCCAAGAGATAGAGAAAAGTATATCATTAAAAAAATGAGAAGAGCGTTAAAGAAACGTACACGAAAAGAAAATCGCGTGTGGTCGTCGACGTCGTGTTGATCACTCGTTTGCCCTCCCAACGTCTCCTACCCAACGCCTCAGAGCCACGCCAGGAAAACAAAAGCCACGATGGCGGCAAAAGCGCTGGCCCCCGTGAGTCTATCCTGAGTGCCCACGGCGCCGCTCTTGCTCGAGGCGGTGGTGGTGCAGCTCTGGGAGAAGTCAGACGTGGAGCTGGAGCAGTCGGAGCCGGATGACGTGGAGCTGCCGCCAGAGCTGCTGTCGCTGCTGCCCTGGGAGCCCGAGTTGCCGATGCCGCTGGAGCTCTCGCCGGGAACAGTCGCGGCCGAGGACGCGCTGCTGGCGCTGGCGCTGGCGGAGGCGGAGCTGGCACCGGCATCCATGTCGGTACCAGTGGCCTCAAAGCTCGCCAGAACCGTGCTGTTCTGGCCGTTGACGACGGTGTTGTTAGTGCCGGCGTCGTTAATGTAGTAGTAAGACTCGGCATCATTAGTGCCAGGAGCGGAGGTAGCATTGTAGCACGAAATCTCGACGGACTGGACGGTGACGAAGTCGTAGCCGTACTGCTGGATGTCGGCCGAGTCCCAGTCGATGGCGCCACCGGCCCAGTCGATGGTGTAGATGGAGTTATCGGAGGCACCACCTGGCCAGATGGAGAGCTGAACGCGGGATGGGGTCTGCGGGTAGTCCCAGTTCTGAGTGGTGTCGTTCCAGGTGTCAGTCCTCTTCAGGGTACGCCCTGCGACTCCGTCGACTAGCCAGGTGACAGTGTCGGGCGTCCAGTCGATCTCGTACGTGTGGAAATTGCTGTACGTGTCGGAGAGGTCGGTGATGTTCTTGGAGTTGGTATCTTCAGGAGGGGGGGAAGAAAAAAGAGGGTGTCAGCATTCATCCTGGTGACACAGGAAGTTTGGGGGAGGGGAGGGGGCAGCATCGTCAGCATCATCTGGGCAGACTTACAGACGGGCAGGGCCTGGAAGTAGTAGTTTGTCTGGGCGGTGGCGAGGTCGACACCAATGAACTCGAAATCGATCTCATCCTTGACATCAGACAACAAGATGAAGGCAGAGACGACGCCAGCACCACGCGAGGTCTTTAGGGTGGCCTTGACATTGCCATACCACATGTAAACGGTGGATGCCAAGACGGTACCGGACGAGTTCGCCGGCATGGTCAGGAGAATATTGTCATTGTACGTCAAGACCTGGCTACCGTCCGAGTAGACCCAATCGTACTCGGAGGAGTTGCCGAGATACTTGTCCTCGCTCACGATCGTGTCGGTTGAATCGAGAGTCATGGACTTGGAGACGCACTGGGGCTCGGGGGCACAGCTGTCGAGGGAGAAGGACATGCGAGGGTCACAGCCGCCGAGGCAGTATGCACCGACGCCACATTCGCCATATTCTGCAGGCGGCCGACGTCAGTGCTAGCTCTTGGTATTCAAAAACGTGCAGTAGCGGGACCACGGCCAACCGAGGCTGGCGCTCGTGGCTGTGTAACATTGGAACAGTGACGATGAGACACGAGGCACGATGAAAAAGAACGGGGATGGGTTGAACTCACGCGAGCAGCAGGGAGTATCCTCGGGGCATTTGCTGTCGAGAGAGCAGGTGGCCTGGGCGGCGAGGACGGAGGAGGCCCCCAAGAGAAGGGCAGCTCCCAGGCTGCCGGGAAGAACTGAGCGGACCATGTTGATGCTGCCGACTCGCGCTTCGACGGTGGTTGTGATGACGGCAATGGGCGCAGAAATGGGAACGTGGACCTCAAAAGAGGAAAGATTGGCCTTGAGGAGGGTCTGTCGAATGAGTTATTGTACTGAGGGTTCGCCCCTTGTATTCAAATACGATGGATGATATTAATCGGCTGTTGAGTCGTTCCAAATACAACTCGCCAAGTGCGCTCCGTATGCGGGTTGGTCTTGGGATGTCAGTTGATTTCAGCTCAGCCCGACTCCACCAGCTGGAAAAGAAAACAAAGACGGTCTATGGTTGACCGGATTGGTTTGTCGGAAGGAACGAGACAATCTGCCGCACGTCCCTGGCGATAGCTAACAAGAAAAGGAAAAGAAAACAAGAAAAATTGTTGCTGCAAACGAATGTGGCGACAGAGAGAGGAAGAGAGAGGTAGAGCGAGAGGCCAAATCCGAGGAGAACGAAAAGGGGGGTGGGGGGCGTGATATAGGATGGACAAGGGAGCGCGAGGGTACTTTGTCGGCCCTGGTGGGTATGCTTCTATGTACTTGAGCCAAGAGGAGGCAAACAAGAGAGTTAAAAAACTAGGTTAATATGTAGAATAAAACGTCTAGGTTCCTCGTCTTCTCTTTTCTGTTTGTCATTGTCCTCTCACTTGCTCTTCTTTCGCTCTCTTTAGCGCGACTAAATTTGTCGTCCCGTGTCAGAATCGCACAGGCTCAATCCGATTGCTAGCCCGCTCACTGACTCATTGACTCACTCACTCACTCGCCATATGCGAGGGACAGGCAGCGTGGTGGGAATTAAGATGGGATCAGGGCAACAGCGAGATCGAGGGGCCAGGCGCGAAGAAAAATCAAAGGCAGGGACGGCGGCGAGGTCAGTCGAGGGAAGTCCGGAGAGGATGTGGAGGCTGTGATGGATCAGGAGGTTAGCACCCCTACCAACTTCTCTTTCTTTTTTCTCCACCTTCGACCCTACTTTCAGGGGGTCGCCAATTAATTCAGATCCCTCGCGGAGGGCCATGGGATGGATGGATGGGCAGAACATGGATCGTGGAGGTTTCTCCAGCGTGTTTCCCAGACACGCCAGGCCCCAAACGTGAGGAAGAGTGAGGAGGGTGTGGGGTGGTCTGGTGGATTCAATACGAAGATCCGCCGCCGCCGCCGCCGCCCTTGCTCTCTCAGGCTGCCCCAAGGCGAATATCACTGCACTATACCGTAGTGGTAATTAGCACAGAGAGACAAACACCTTATTGGGCCCCCAATCCCAAAAAAAAAAAAAAAAAAATCAACCAGAAGCACAGTCGATACTATGGTACGATCACACGCAGCCCTACCGAATATAGACTACTTTGTTTGGGGCAAGGGGGATTGAACATGGTCCTGTACATCTGTGCTATGGAATCAATACGGCACAGTATCCCGTACCGCCTACCCCTCCACCCCGTAATATTGTTCTTGATATCTCAAACCGCACGGTTCAAGGCATATCGCGGGCGCAGAACTGCAGCACGGATTGACTGATACAACTCAGTAACCTCGGAATTCATTGCACGATGGATGGACGCTGTTACCACTCAAACACCACCACCAGCCTCGGTTCACATCACCTTAGCGGCGCATCCACCTTTTTTCCCACACTGCAGGGATCACCTCCCGAACCCCGGATCTATCAGAACAATAGACAAGGTGGCATAGTGCCCAAGCACCCGGGCGGCCCCGCCGAGACACGCCTCATAGAGGACTCGTGGAACGCGGCACCGCCAAACAGGTGCTGAAGTGGTGATTCGTGCCATCATCCCCAAGAACCCTTAGTCTGAGCAGTGAGCACCATATGAACGTGAATCAAGGGTCTGTTTTCTCCATTCTTCTCTGAGAAAGCGTGTTTGTGGGAAATCGACGTCCTTATTAGCAGATAAACCTCCACCTTTTCTGTACCGATCTCTTCGTCACCGTCAACTAGACGCTTATATCAATCTTCCCAACTCTCGGCCTCCCACTCGGAAGACACATTGCTAATTCACGTCCCTTCCCTCCAAAGATAATAATAATAATAATAATAATAATAATAACAACAACAACAAATCAAGAAAACACATGTGGCCCTGCATATCCATTACTCTTTGGCCCTCATCGTTATCCCCCGGCCCCTCCGTCACATCCACAGGTCGAACAGCACACACGACCTTGCAGGCTGTCCCTGCTCCGAAAGGTTTCCGCAGCCGATCAAGACAACAGCCGTGGCAGAGCGCAACTCCGCCTTCGTCATCTCCGTGGTATCATATTCGTGGTAGACAGAACCTTATCCCAGAGGCACACAAAACGAATAAAGAAAAAAAATAAAGTTCGTCTCCTTTCCTTCAGTCGGACGGCCCGCCGCAGCGCGGTTGGCAAAAAAAAACAAAAAACCAACATCTGACCCCACATCTTCCTCCTTGTGATACGAGGATGGCGCCGATCGAGGGCAGCCCAGAGCCCGAGATCAAGATGGGGGAGAGAAAGGGGAGAGAAAGGAGGGGGTGGGGGGAGGGCGAGGAGGTCGAAGTCGTCATACAGTAAAGTGTTGGGGGTGATCATGTGGTAGCCACGGGTGGGGCAAGCAGTGCTGTCAAGTTCCAGGCTTCGGGAAAACATTTTTGAGTTTTTCAGCAGATACCATATCTCGGCCTCGAACTGACGCTGGGATGTTCTAGGTGCGCTTGGCCTGATTGGCGAAAAGATCTGTACGTATCAAGTCAGCCCAGCCACGTCCATGCCATGAGTCGGTGGGTGGGAACGGTGTGCCTCAAGACACGGCGTGCTCGCGGTTCGTACCTGGGAAGTGCTCTTTGGCGTATTGTTCGCACGCCTTTGGCGGCTGGTCAGCTCTGCGTCTCTCCTTGAGTTCAATTCACATGTGGGATCGCTGCACAAACACACCTTTGCTGGCTTTCCAACCTTCTGGCCAATGACCTTCCATTTGTTGTTCTCGTACTCCTTAATGGCGTTCATCAAGGCTTGACTCTGCGGGCGCTGGGGTGAGTGCGTGAATAGGGTGGAGGGATTTTGGTTGGCATCTGATGATCCTCGAGCAGTCCATACCTCATCCTCTGCGAACTCCGCGTAGTGCATGTCCTTGTACCAATGCTTCTTGACGCTACCTTCGGTTCGGGTAGGAAACGTCTGTCAAGATACGGTCAACTTTGATGCCAACAACGGGACGAAGTGATATTTCACGATGATGGTTTCATACCTTTGCTATCTCGGCCCAACTCTGTCCGGCGTCGCGCATCTGCTTCAGGCGCAACTCTTCCGCAGGCGTCCAGGGAGTGTTGGTACGACTCTTCTTCGCTGCTGGAGGCCCTGATGCGGCGACCTGACCGTCCATCGGGGGGGCAGGTTGCGGCGGGGCAGCCACAGGCGCGGGGGGAGTAGGAACAGGGATCGGGGTCTGGGCTACCGCCGCTTGTTGAGCTGGGATCTGTGCTGACTGGGGCGGGGCGGTGACGACGGGAGCCTGAGGGGCCGCAGCGGCGGCGGCAGCAGCGGCGGCAGCGGCAGCACCAGCACCGCCTCGCTTTCGCTTTGGTGCAGAAGCTTGGACTGGACCGGGCGTCGGGGCCGGGGCAGGCTGCGGGGTCGGCTGCTGCTGGGGTTGGTGCTGGATCTGCTGAGGCTGGACGGCCGTGGGCTGCGGCTGGTGTTGCTGCACGTGCTGCTGCTGTGGGACAGACTGCGGCTGCTGCTGCGACTGTTGAGAAACATGCTGGTGTTGCTGTACATGTTGCTGCGCATGCTGCTGTGGATGTTGAGGGTGCTGAGGGTGTTGGTGTTGCGCGTGTTGGTGCTGCTGCTGCTGAGAAGCATGCTGCGACACGGGCATAGGTGGCTGGATTGCGCTCGGGTGTTGCGGATGATGCTGTTGCGTCGGAGCTTGCTGGGCGTACTGGCGATAGTCGAGATCATTCCGGCTTCTCATGTCGGCTTGTGCCTGAGGATGACCATACTGCTGGTGGCTGTACCAGGGTGTGTTAGCGGCAAAGGGCGATTGATTTTGGGTCTGCATCGGCATCGCGGCTTGAGGTTGAGATGGCCATGATGGCTGCTGCACGAGGTCTCCCCGGTGTTTCTTCATCGAGAAGACGGGCAGAAATGACCTATGCGAAAACGAGAGGGACCAGCGAGGTAAGGGCGTCGCGCCGAATACACACGACGACGACAAGGAGAGAATGAAGCCGAAACAGGAGGTTATGGAAATAAAGTAAATAAATAAATGGCAGTTGTGGGCAGGAGCAACGGGCGTGTTCGTGGTGGTGGGGAACGAGAAGACGCGAGGCGTGGATGACGCGAACTCAACAGGTTTCAAGGGCCCCGTCAAAAGTATCTGGCAAAAGGTGGAGTGCGGGTGGGGATGGATAGAGGGAGAAGTAGACAGAGAAGTAGAGAGGATGTAGAGAGGTAGCGGGACAGAAGTAACGAGGTAGCGGGTCGGGAGGGGAAACAGGTCAGGTAGCAGGTAGACTCGGTGAACAGCAAGGGGCCCCCCGCTGACTGTGCACTTGTCAACGTCCAGTGGGCGAGGGATAAGCACAGCTGAATGCTAAGTCGCGCTCGGGCTTGGTCCAGTTCGGGGTCAAAGCTCGGCACTCAATCGAGAGGGATCGCGCCCCTGCCCCACCTCCAAGACGTGAAAGGGCAGCTGTATTTTTCAGGATGGGACGGTACTTGGGAGCCACCAGAGAGGCCGCTTTTGAGTTCGAGATCTGCTGTGCGAAAGTACTGCCGCCCGATGCTGTTTCTTTGCTTGGACTTGGATGTCCCGACGACGATAGCTTGAGACGACTGAATAAAATGGCGTCTCTTTGTTTCTGAGGGCGATGGATCTATCTGCTGGCGATCATTGAAGTCCAGCGTGACCCTTGAACTGAAGTCTTGCCCATGTTCGTCGGAGCATGTGGAGCGGAGGATGTAGTTGGAGGGAGGTGTGTCGGGCTGGGAGAACGAGAGGGAGAGGACCAGGGGACAAGCAGATATGCGACGGGGTACAAGGGATACATATAAGACGGGAGCGATCGCGGGCCTTGCTTGGACCGTGGGCGAGGGACGGGAGAGAGACAAGACCAACCTTGCCTGGCCCCCAGCCCACTAGGCAGAGGTCGGTAGGCGGTAAGCGATGGTACAAGCCTAGTAGCGCGCAGGCGTTGTGGTAGACTGGTGGACGGAAAGACCTTGGTAGGTGCAGAGGAGGTACCGGAGGCTGTGGCATGTACTCTCACATTTCCAGGTTCTGGAATAGCACTAGAAGAAGAAGAAAGGGACGGCACTTGCGTACTGTCAGGCGCAGTGACGTGCGAAGACAACGAAAGAGGTGGGGGGGGGGGCACAAATCCAGGATACAGTGACAAGGAATCCACTAGGCGCTCCTAGGTCAATCATCGACAGATTGCTTGGACAGCTGCTGCGTGGCTCGTTTTGCCCAGTGCCCTGGACATAGCATCGTCCAGCTGGTCTGGCGGGCTCAGGCCCAAGTCCCTCACCACAGTAATCCGAGTGAGCCGTGATTTTGAATCAAGAGATCTTGGGACACTGCTTGACGTGATGGGAAAAAGGATATGAGATGGCCGTCGGCGTGGCGCGTTGAAGCGAGGTAGCGGCAAGATGGGTGACGAGGGCCCCCGGGATGAAGGGTAGCGGGATTTTGGGGGGAGGGGGGATGAGGGAGGGGCTTTGGCCGATACGAGAGAGGTACAAGGAAAACGGGTAGCTACTCACGGGTAGTCGTTTGGGTTTGGGTGAGGGTGGTGGGTCGCGCCGGGCTGAGCCTGCTGGTACGGCATGTAGTCACCCGTAGCCCCCAACGGGGTCATAGTCCATTGCTGCATGGTCTGCAAAGATAGTAACGTCTCGTTAGCTTGATTTGTACATTGTCTTCTGTTTCTTGTTATTTTTTTAATAGACAAAAATAGCAGGTATGCGCATGTGTAAGCGACGATAGGAGAAGAGGTCAATTTCTCTTTGATTAAGCTGACGGCCAGGAAATGCAGGAGGTGAAAGGCATGACGGCAGCGAGAGCTGATGGCGGTCGCAAATCGGCGAACATTGGCATCATGATTGGCAACGGGCCCAGGTTCTCGCCATCTGGGCCAGAAGACTGCGGCAGGAAGCTTCAAAGCTGCTGGAGACGAAGCTGCAAGAGCTCTGCACTTAGGGAGGGCCCCTGCGGTGGCCATGGTTTGTTGTGCAGGGCCACGAGTATTCGAGGTCGCCGGTGAAGGGCTGCAGCAAGTCGTATCCCGACCTGCGTCATCCCGGCTGAGCTGGTCAAGAGTGCCACCACGCCTCTTGGTGAGACCATATTGCAGTGCAATCAGGCTCCAGAGGCGATTTGATTGAGGGCCCAATTGAGCTGGACGCAGGCTGCAGGTAAGTCCATAACTGGACTGGGTCCGATTTTTGTTGCAGGTAGCAGGGAGCTCCAACCTTTCAGCGGCCAGGGCCAGGGTCATTGATGGGTGGATGACGGGATCGAAGCGCGAATGCGTTGGTGGGGTGTCGGCGCTCGGGACAGGGTTCAGTGAAGTGGAGTTTGGCAGCAGAAGAAAGAAAAAAAATAGAAGGGAAAAAATAACACAGACGCGAGACAACCAGAAAAGCGACGCCGCAAAAACTGGTGTGGCCTGGCAGCCCAGCAAGGTGTAGGTGGGTATTGTCGTAGTGGGTGAAAGGCGTATTCGATATGTAGCCCAGACGATAAAGCTTGCTCAACAAACCCGAGAAGCTGGCAGATTGAGATCGATCGGTCGCGACACGAGAAGGTTCATGACACATTTCGCAGGTGGTCTCGAACTCTCACGTTGGAGAGATGCAGAGATGTTCAGCGTCGAGCCCGGCCAAAGCTCCCAGCCTTTGGCGACTCAGTAGTGGGGTTGGCGTGGGTAGAGCAAAACAGCCTCTGGCGCTGGCTGATCATGGTCACGACATGTCGCACGTTGAAGCCACCGCCCCAGGAATGCATGACAGCCTCGGGCATCAGGAATTGTCGAGTCTGATGCCATGTGGCCTTAGAGCTCCAGGTCGCCTGGTACGGTGTGGCGCGACGCCGAGGTGGCTCAGGTTGTCGTGCTCGACCAGAGGCAATTAGGTACACACACCACCTGTACCCCAGTCTTTGCCAGCAGTGACGAGGATGAAAATTCTGCTCGCGTGGAGAGTGCAGATTGCTCTCCTCCTGCTCCTGCGGCGGCGGCGGCGGCGGCTGCTGCGGCTGCTGCTGCTTATGTTGCTGCTTCTGCTTCTGCTTCTGCTAACGACAGATGATGCTGATGCTGGCGCTGATGCCGGTGCCGGTGCCGGTGCCGGTGCTGTTGCTGGTGCTGGCGCTGATGCGGGAGCCGGTGCCAAAACTGCTGCTGATGCGAATACTAATAATGATGGTGCTGATGTGTATAGTGGTTCTGATAATATTGCTGATCATGGCGATGCTGATGATGCTGTCGCCAGCCTCTGTGCTGTGCGCTGTGTGCCCGCGGACGGCCTCGAGCCCGATGCCAGGGGTCGTGTTTTGATGCCTCGAGGGTACCCCGCGAGTACATGTCGCGATGAGGCTCTGCAGATGACGAGGGATGGACCGTAATGGTGACGGACCGGGGAATGAAGGATGGGCGACGAGATAAGAAGGGATGGGGGAGACAAAGAGACACAACGTAGCAAGAGCTTGTACTTACGAGCATGTATCTCCCACAGTCACTCTCGAGGAACACAGCTGGTCGTTAGGTCCGGGACCTAGACGGTGACAGGCGGTGGTGACGACGCCGAAAAGTCGAGACGCGATTTTGCGAATTGATCGTCAATGGCAAAAAACCTCAGATGACTGGCGATAGAAGGTCGTCTGTCGCAGGTACTGTAGGTAGCCTTGTAGCCTGCCCAAAGGTGTGATCGTGAGCCAGTGTGGGTGTGGGTGTGTGTGTGTGTGTGTGTGTGTGTGTGTGTGGTACGATGCCGGGCGGGTGGTGTGCAGTGTGTGAATTGACGTCGACCGACGAGGGATGACAGGTGGTGAGGGAGAGGTACCGCAGAGTCACCTTGGACGGAGCGAGTGACTTCTGGGATGCCAGGAGGGAACTCGAGAGGGAAAAGGTCTCCCCAAGCCCTTGCGTGTTCTGCCTGCGGCAGGGAAAGAGCAG